GGTTGTATCTATATGTACGGGCTTATACAAGTTGACTAATCTTCGTGGTGATAAACTATCTTTGCTACTAAAACTGTTTCCTGCTGAAGGGGAAGCTCTATATCAAACTTTGATACAATATTTAAACTTTTGTAAGGAGAACGTAGGTCTGGGCATTTCTGAATACCTGATGATTTCAGAATCGAATCTTAACGATTGAATTACTAGAAACATAGAATACATCACTCAGACAGACTGCTGAGCGTCCACACACAATAAGAAACACGTTTTACCAATAACCCACTGCAGAAAATATTCCTATTTCATAATATCATTGAAAAAATTTGGCTTTAATTAAAAAAAAGTTGAGAAAATCATCTCGACCATTGGCTGAAAGAAAAAAACAAGATGGCGGGGATTCGTAATTTTGCTCTGAAACGATTCGAATAATTTACTATTCGATTCGAAATGCCCAGGTCTGGGAGAAAGTAATGATGCTTTACATTTAAAATCAGTATGATACCTAGTATGCCATTTACGTCAAATAAAAATGTCGAAAATGTAAAATATGGGAATGCATCTCAACTTGGATCGCATTTACACGTATCAAGGCGAAAAGTCCTAATGAAATATTATAAAGAACACTATCGATAAAAAAAATCATCATTCATCACGATAGAAAATGCACCCAAGGTACAATATTAACTGTTCATTCAATGTAGACGCCAGGTAATATAACGATCTAGGGCAGTGTTTCCTAAACCTTATCCTGCCAGCGCCCCCTCGCACGCTCTACCAAGAATGAGCTGGCAAGAGCAATAAAAAAATAATAATAAAATTTGACCCGATCTCACACGTGATGATATTTTAATTTGATTTTGTTGTCAAAAGATGCAACACTGAAAGACTAAACATGGGTTCAAAGTATAAACCCAATGGTAGTGGAAAGTGGCGCATTTTCACTTCTGGAAATTCAGGATTATCTAGAAAACGGAAACCAAAAATTTCTTAACTATCTCTAAAACAAATATTTGATGTTATTTGCGCTTGAACTTCTGTTTGCGTATGATTATACTAAGAAGTTTTGCAAAATTTTCAACCACTCACTTAGTTTTCTGCTGAAGCGCACCTTCTGCTGTCAGGCCATGGAAATGAAAGAGATCAAACGGTGAAATCAGAACATTACGTAGTTGTGCTGAGAAAAACCTGGACATGACTTGAGGGATTGATAGATGTGACCAGCAGTGGTTCCAGCATGACGGGGCGACCCCTCCCACAATACATCAAATCAGACGCCTGCATTCTTGAGGGAAAACCGGTCAGCATTGATATCCACTTTAATTATTGGACTGAAACCTCTCAGATTTAGATCTGTAGGGTGTTCGAAGGACAAATTGTATCAGGACCATCCTCACGATTAGTAAACTCAAGGCTGCAATTGCAGAGATAAAATAGAGAAATAGCCAAAGAAGAGTGATTGACAATGTTGCAAAAAGAATGCAGCTGTTTCTTCAATGTCGAGGAGAGCAGTTGGAACATATTCTAGGAACAACATAATTTTTGCGCAGCACATCCTCGATTTTCCGATACTTTTGGGTAGAAACATGCGCAAACAGAAGTTCAAGTATAGACAAAATTAAATAATTCACTCCATTTCGTAGAAGTAATTGAGAAATTGCTGGTTCTGTTTTCTGGGGATCACGCTGTATAATACTGTTTTTAATATATAAATCAGTTAAATAGGCTGCTTAAGTCATTGTATTCGATAGTTTGACGCAACACAAATTATAATCCGACATCGAACAATGTGAAACACAACCTGATATTACAACAGGCTGGATATTTGGCGTTTGCCAATTCATGTATTACATAATTATGCATATTAGATATTATCCAATGACCCAAGTAATAAAAATGAACCAGTCGAGTCGCAACATGGAGATGGCCCTATTTGGCGTACGTCAGATCGATCACATGCGCAGCTCTCTCTCACGTGTTGCTCCTAACAAAACCAAAATTGTAACATAAGAGTGCTGTACTTACACTACCGCTTCAAATCACCCGATAGTAAAAAGAAAATGTAATTCAATACAGTACAACGAAACGTGAAGTGCATGATGAAGGAAGTATATGACGTTTGACGGTGAAGCGAGAAATTTCCAACACCGAAATCACAAGCAAACTAGTTTGAACCAAAACATAGGAGTATGTGACATAAAATATCACACTTATTGTTAGTTCCCGTATTGATATTGATCCCGATTGCCCAGTCCCCAATTGCCCAGTTTGACAGCCAGCGTCCCCCCAATTGCCCAAATCGCCATCAGCGCCTCCCAAGTTATCGCAAACGCCCACAAGGGGGCATTTTCGCCCACTTTGGGAACTGCTGATCTAGGGGAATCGGGTTTTGCGTTCAAAATATCTCAGTCTACTGTAACTTTCATTTTGACTAAAAAATGATTCATTGTATACAAACTGAGTTGACAAACTGAAATTACTGAGACTGGTGCTTCAGCGTTAAAAGCATGACATTCATTGTTGAACAAATTGAAGATGCATAACTAAACATAATTAAGTTGTCTCTCTTGAAACTTTCCAACAAAGTGTAATGATACCATAAAACAATCTAAATATATATCTTTGTCTCCATAAATAAAGTAAAATATTTAGTTTGTATAAAGCACACTCACATGCTCAATGTTGCGTATACAGCAGAGTTAATGAATCCGAGTAAGACGTTTAGGCATGTACCTTTGACGTATCAGTGAGTACAATCTTTCCGCTAAGCTTGTTTCACAAAAATGTTACAAAACGTTTTGAATGACCCAGCTCAAACAAAAACCTTAGTGATGAATTCCGGATTCTCATTTAATAATGTTCAATTCACAGAGTTGAACCCAGTCGTCACGCTAATAACTAAATTGCGCAAGTCGTTTTAGCAGATTTGAGAAAAACGTAAAAAACTTCCTATTGGTATTGTTTTGCCATTGAGAGTAAATAATTTCCCATTTATTTTGTCGTAGCTGGATTTGAATTAATTTTCATGACGCAGGCATGTGACGTCATACTCAAGCATTGTGACTTACACAGAAATGTGCCTATGACTTGGGGACATACGCAATTTCGCAACTTGACTATATCCATCAGTCCTCAAAATCGAACAATCGAAAAACGTATGCGATTTATAGTATCGACGATGTCTGAACCTCAAAACAACTTTTTTGTTTATAACATTATTTTTTATTTTAAAAATATATATTTCATCAATATAACGCGCTCTGCACACCCACCGAAAGTAAGACATTCCAAAGATATTGAATATAAAGAATAAAATTTCAATACATCCTTAAAAATAAAGCCAACCAATATGAATTGGACTCAGAAAGTGGATATCACAAGTGTCCGCTCTCCTATGCTGTAGTGTAAATTCGAATTTATAAGCGCTAAGCCAGAATTTTTGACATACGCAATTTTGCAACCCGACAATACCTATCAAAACGCTGTTTGAAGCGCTGAATATACGACATCAAAATACGATTCGATTCTTTATTTCCTCACAACTTTTACCTTGTCAATGTAACACGCTATGCAATTCAACAACCAATGGAGAATTTACTAAAAAAAAAAAAAAAAATTTTTTTTGTAAAATTAACTCCTCAGCATCAACTATCATAACTTTGCATTTCTGTTTCATGAAAATAGAAATTTAATGCTCTGTGAAAAATACATTAAATAGTTGTCACATGTATAATCCATATATAATAGTTTTAATAAATATTTGTTTTCAAAAAATCTCAAAACACTACATGATAGGCAAACGATTTCAGTGTCGAAAATCCTGCCGTCTGTCAGAAAACATTAAGATCCAGGTCGTTCAACAAACCCTGCTACTGTTATGGTATTTGACAGTGAATCGCGTCTATTCCTAACTCATGGCCGCAAATGTCAAACTTCGTAAATATACGTCAAAGGATACGAGACAAAGGGCGTAGAAGCAGTGGGATGTTTAAAATGTTAACATCGGGTTTTCTTTCGCATAATAGACAGACATGCCTAATATGTATCAAACGTCATCGTCTATTCTCTATAATATGCTGTAGATCAGTCACGTAGCCTTAACTGTCAATCACGTCATTGTGATGACACTGTAGTGTAGAAACTGGGAAATACCGTGATCAAAGTTTCGGAAGTTTACATGCCCGTAGTTATTTCATAGTCAAAAAAATCGTCACACTTATAATAAGTGGATTAAAAAAACGTCCAACGAAGCTTGGTACTCGCAAAAAGTCCCAAGTTGAAGACTAATGAGAATCTCCAAACGAAGAGAATGGATAAAACGTAAATCACACTGATATTTGATCCGGGATACTGATCACACCAGTCCCAGCTACGTTTTTAGTTCAATAAAGATATCCTACATTTTTAAACTAATATATACTAACAATAATTAAGACAAATTTTTTGAAAACTTCATGCATTGCCTGACAAATGTAACTATTGGTTTTCGAGTCGCGAAATAAATCAAAATCATTACTATCGCTTTATAGTAAAAGAGTATATACACATATATGACAAATTTCTTCAAATCAAACATGGCAAATAAAGAAAACAACATCAAACACTTCAGGCCATTTCAACAGTTTATTCAAGCCATCAAACCAAAATTTGCCTATGGCTAATTTCGCCTAGCTTATAGCTCACAGATTAGCAGTAGATTTCATACAAGTTAGATTTCGGTATTTAAGAGGGAAGTTTCTGGCGAGTAATGGGGGTATTTGTCAGTTACTGAATACTACAACAGCAAGAATTCGATTGTTATAACTTGTTGTTGTTATACAGAAATTTGCGATTGCTTTCTTCTAATTACCCACGAGATTTACGAGGTTGAATAAACTTCCTCCTAAAAACTTTTTTTCTATTTTTTTTTTTGCAGAATTGTAATAAACATGATTGTTTTTTATGAAAATAAATTGTATATCGGAAATATCACTTGTATATTGCTATTAATTATATTATGGAATATGGTGAAGGCACAGGTACCAGAGGATGAAGCAGGTACAAGTTGTTTGTTTGTATTATTAATATATATATATATATGTCTAGGATGGGAAAAATGATGAGTTAATGTGCTAAATTACAGAAAATGTTTTTTTTTTCGATGAATAATATTTTTTCGATGATGCAGGTAGTTAATAAATAACTTTTGTGTTGTAGACGCAAATTAGCATTTATAAATGCGGTAAATATTTAACCACATGCCGTACTGTACTGATAGCTAATTATAGCTTAGTCTATCATAGCTTTTCCGGGGCTAATGTTTCAATATTGCAACAAACTAAAACTCCTCAAAAGACAGTGACAATCAAGTTATTTGATTTACAATTAATTTTTGTAAACACAATTGAAAACTGACAAATACAACGCAAAACCACAAAAACGTGGCAATGCGACCACGACAAATCCGTATTTTTTATATCTACAGTTGAGTGCGTCGATACCAAACGGTTTGGCGTATGCGAATTTTTCAAAGATGAAGGATTTTGCAATGAACCAAAAACAATAAAAAAGTTGCAACGAAAATGTGATTATTCTTGTGGATGGTGTTCCAAATGTACGTATTCCAATTACTTTTGCCAAGCCAATGATTTGCACTGGCACACACTTTGAAGAGCAGTACTCTAGTTAAGTATCATTAGTGATAGTTTCGTTAATTTTTCTTTATTTACAATTATTATTAACCAAGTTTGCAAAAAATAACTATCAGGTAGGGTTATGCTAAAGGTAAAATTAATGTTGTTATCATATTTTGCATCAGCAAAAGCGTGTGAAGATGTAGCACCTTACATAAATTGTGAATCCTTGACGGAACAAGAGTGTCGAAGCAATGCACAATTTTATATTACACGATGTAAAAAATCATGTGGATGGTGTGACGGTGGACCGAAAGGTATGCAAGCATGGAAAGAGTACTTTGTGAATTTGAGAACGACATGAAATTCTGAGTATATCTGGCTTGTAAATTTATGTGTGTAACAGTAACCAATTTTAAAAAATTTACTGAGATAGGGTATATTACTCATTTAGTAAAATTGAATACACCAATGCTATACAAACAAATGGTGTGTAATACTAGGTTACTTTCTCCACACATATGTAGAAAAAAATCTATTGCTAAAGAATATTATTTCAAAGATACTTGGGGACCATGGCAAGAATGGAGTGCGTGTTCAGTAACCTGTGGTTCCGATGTTGGATTTAGAACAAAAACTAGAAAGTGTTTGTCAGATTCTTGTACGGGAAACGATGCAAAGCAAGGATTTTGTTCTGCAAATAAGCCATGTGGTATGTGGATTTACACAACTTTCGAATCTTTTCTTATTGAAAAGTAACACGAGTAAAAAAATCTTGAATATTTAATGATTAAATATATATAAATAGACATAGCTTACATCTTTCAGCAACAATTCATCATTGTATTAAATATATTAAAGCGGTTATTGAACACGAAATGGATTCTATGGATCGTGATGTTAATATGTTGTTGTTAGAATTCTTTTCCCTCTTGTTCTTGTTTACGGTTGTTGTGAAAATTCGCTATTGAACCAATTGCTTTGAATGTTTTAGTAGCTGAAGATTATTGTTGTCACTAGATGGATATTATTAATTTCAAAATTTTCTGTGGGCTCTATGTGATTCGTTTTTGAGGTGACATTTTTTGCGTGATGACGTCATCAACATTGAAATTACGCACCGTGCCATGATTCCTTGATTGCATCTCAGCGATCTGGTGGTCATACTACCGGTACTGTAGTATAAAAATTCGATATTACTTCGCCTTGGCTTCCGTGCCCATATATTTGAGCATTGCTGCTCACTTGTTATAATATGCACATTGGCATAAACAAGGATAATTAGAAGATAATTTATTCGATTTCATCGTGCAACGTAATATTACAACGTGACCCATGTATTACCGCGTTAGTTTGTCGCGGGTTGCCCTTATAGTGGTCCTTTTATAAAATCTATCAAATATGCAATCTTACTTCAGTTGAGTGGAGCGCATGGAGTGAGTGGAACAGATGTAGTGTAACTTGTGGAAATGGAACAAGAGTAAGGAACAGAACTTGCACAGTAGTAGATGAATGCATTGGACAAAATATCCAGATTAAAAATTGCGAACTTTCTGAATGCGTCGGTCTGTATTGCGATACTACCTCATTTGAATACAGCACTGCATCTTCGAATAAAAACATATATATACAATAACATTAAAGGGCTGAAGGGTCTGAAGATTTTTGCAAGATTTACGTTAAATTTTATGTGGTATAATCCTGTGTCGATGCTGTAAACCAGGGTTGTGCAACATTTTTTGTCGATGGCCCATATAACCAACTTCAGACATCTGGATGGGCCACACAAAAAAAATCAGTTTCCCGATGTACACAGCGAATTAATAAATTAGCGACAAAATCAGAGTTTATTAATATAAATTTGGTATAATTAACAAACTATTTCGAGCCATTATCGACCGAAAAATAAAACAAAAAATCTTTTTTCATTTTCCTGGGAGGCATGAACCACAAAGAATGAATAACGAGAAACTTTATTACTAAACATAAAACTGAGAGATAATCATCAACAACATTTTATCTACTCTCCCACTGTAAATTAATTATGCAATGCCTGATCTTATTGATTCTTTATTACGGCTAACTACCATAGTATCCATCATGCATGCTATTGCTTTTCTCGCTGGGTTTGTCTGACCATGATCAGACAAACGTTCAAATATATATATATCTGTGTTACTGTGCAGCAAGATTTTCTAATCACTTAGAATAGTTATCTTCACTCTTGCTACAGCATCTTTAAATTATATGTACACGTGTCGAGCAGCGCAAAAGCATAGAAGAAGGATAAGTAGTTTGTTCTGCAAAAACCCAATCGATAGCTCGAATCATATTATTTCCGTTTGTATTTTAATTGTACTTTGTTTCAATTATAGCCGGAGCAATACCATTTGACGAATGGACGACATGTTCCCGACCTTGTGGGGGAGGATCCAGTTTTTTTATCAAATCATGCCCACAATGGGACAGAAAAATTTGTCCCAGAGAATACGAAGATTGCAACACACATGCGTGTCCATACAGTGGGTATTTGTAAACCTAGTATTCGCGGGCATATTTACTTGTAGTGTCTGATTGTTACAAGATAGTTTATGTAATTAGCGATTACATTATAGTCATAAAAGGATCTGCTCCAAACTTTCAATCCTGTTTGTAGAAAACTGCATCGAATATCGTTATGGAAGTCAATACACTGAATGCTGTGATCAATCAGTCGAAAAACAATGTTTCAGGGTTGCAAAGAGAATTTTCAGTGGAAGTATCAGTTCAGCTAAACGATTCCCTTGGATGGTAAGTCAATCATAAAATATTTCACTATATCAAACTTGGACACAATAATTCTATTATTAGATCATGTACATAAACCATGATTGAAAGGGGTTCATGTTTGATATAGTGAACAATTTTTCAGGCACGGAGAAATTCGTTTCCGATTAGGACGGCGATCTTTCGTGGAAATATTTCCTCCGTCACTCGATTTAAATGGATGGTAAGGAAAATTGAAATGTGTGTTTACAGTGACACCTATTTCAACATGGGTATAATAATGATAAAAAGAAGGCATAATACATAGTCAATATACACACGAAATCATAAACGTGATATAACATGGGTAGTGGGTCATGCAAAGGTTTGTCGGTTGTTGCTGTTGGTTTGGGGCTTTAAATATTAGTCGGTTTAATTAATCCTTCTTGGGCTAAAAGGATGAGGTGTATTTTTTCTAATTACAGGCTCGAATTGAAGTGATTGGAGGAAAATTGGGTCCTAAAGCTAGAAGAACAATATGCGGTGGAACTCTCATTCATCCTAGATACGTCCTTACCGCAGCTCACTGTGTGGTGTAAGTTACCAATATTGTTTTTAAATAATTTAAGGAATTTTCAGACTTAGTCATCGACGCTTGTGAAATCACGATCTAAGACCTCAAAAAACGTATATTTGAGTTTTAAAAATTTGCTTATATATTAACCTTGGATGGTACAAATTGTTCTGATCAATCTGTATGTTGAAACAAAAATTATTAGTACTCCTGTAGTATGCGAACCAAGATGGCGGACACCGGAAAGTAGTATGTGTACTAATTCAGGGGTTCTCAAACTTTTGGTCTTGCGGAGCCGTGAAGAGGTTGACTATTATTCACGGAGCCCCAGAATAAATTTTAAAATTGTTACTTATCGATTAATATTCCTGAGTAAGTTAAATGTACTTTACGAATTAAAAGCTAAACATTTTTAATGAGGTTAATACAATCCATAAATAAATCTAAATTTCACAGATAAATTCTATATATGAAGGCTGTAAATTTGACACTTGACAAACATATTAATAAATTAGGGGTCGAATCTTGTCTCTTTTGATATTTTTAAAAGACTTAAAAGGTTGCTAATAACGTGCTCGATTACATTTTGTTACAATCGCCGATTGTTTTCGTCAGCGTGGTGTGTTTTTTTTAACCTTAACATCTTTACCTCGGTGTTTATTCTCCCTAAAACAAAAATTTCCTACGGCATATATATACATGTATTGTTTCACAATGACGATGTGTTGTTCTCGTGGGGAATTATGAGTTCAATGTGAAAACATCGTTACCATATCATAGTCATTGCTTGATCGGCGACGAGAGGCTAAAATATTTAATAAAGAGGTAGATCCGCAACTCAAATTCTTTGATTAAGAAGCGGCGTTATGAAATATTAAAATTAAAACTTAAAACGGAGGATAACACTAAAAGTTTTGTTTTAACAGACTCACGGCAGATTAAAGCTTTTTTATACATTGTAAATCCCAAATTTGGTGTTATGTTAGGTTTTCTTTGGTTATTCATCGTAGTAACTGAAATCAAAACACAGTCAATTATGCGCGCGATATACCTTTTATCAATTCTGAGACTACCGACAGAGCCGCATGCATAACATAAATTTCAATTGTTCGTATTTTGCCCAGACCTTGTGATTTTTAAACGGTGATATCTTTCAAAGAATCTGAGTGGCAGACTTGTGCGGTAGGAGTTAGTGTTGCAAAAACGGCTCAAATTTGTCGAATTCGCTAAATCTACCACGCAATCAGCCATGATTACAAGTCCACAAGAACTTCGTTCACTTAACTTTATTTCTCATTTCATGTCCGCGGATTGCCGTGGTAATTTGAGAAGTAATGATTTATTACATTGAACACCATTAACCCAATGAACAAGTCATTTTAAATATGCCCGCATCGGTCATAGATTGCACAATTGTAAATTGTACTTTTTGAGTTTTAATGTCAAACTAGGGCATTTTGTAACGGCGATATCTTGCTTAAAAATAATCTCGAGTGCGAAAAAACAAATCAAGTTTGACAAATCCCAAGATCGCAAAAATACGATTCCAATTTATTTATTGTTGGCAGTTTATCACGTATTTTATATTATTTAGAATAGTAATCTTTTATTTTAGTAATCCTAATAGTAATCTCGAATCAAACGTGAGTAACGATAAGCACGATTAAATCATTTTAAATGTTGCTCGCAATGATCATGGATTAAATATTTTACGCAACAGCAATCTCGTTATCCGCTGAAAATTTTTTTTTTCAATCGCGAAGAATGTTGCACAAATATTTCCGATTCCAATTTTGAACCCCTCTCCCTCTTAAGAATCCTGGCTGCACTATTTCTTATAAGTAATGTCATTTTTGAATTCCGCCTCTTTGCCATATTTCGAGTCTATACTGTTGTCAAATTTTATTAAAGCTTTTTTTGCTTCTTTGAACAATTACAAAATTAGCAAAGTCAGTATTTTGAAAAGTAATAGAATAGCACGCGGAGCCCTTAGGTTCCTCCCGCGGAGCCCTGGGGCTCTGTACGGAGCACTTTGAGAACCTATTTACTAGATTAAAATTAGGCCATAATTTTGTTCCAATTGTCCTCATTTTAGTTCTATTACGAGTTCGGGGACTAGTCAAGTGACTCTCGTAGTATTTGTACCTGAATTTATGGCCTAACCCTAACCTAGTACACATACTACCTTCCGGTGTCCGCCATCTTGGTTCACATACTACGGAAGTACCAAATTATTGGCAAGTTTATGTTGTATACCAATTCCATTTTTTTCTGTTAAAATCTATAACTATAAGCTCATAAGGAACGTGCAGAAAAGGTAATGTGTAGCAGCATTACGGCGAATGAGATATGAATGCACAAAATATTTTTCTATTAATAATATAAAATAGAGGAAACTGTGTGCCAATGGTGGTATATTAGGTTGATTTAGTAATGTACTATTATTATTACAATAAATTCTGTATTTTATTTATCAGAGATTTTGACCCAAAACAAATCAACGTTTTTCTGGGATCCGTAACAACAATTGATTCATCGTCTTTAATTCAAAGAATGTATGCTTCAAATTTTACAATTCATCCGAACTTCACTGAACCTGCTAATGATATAGCAATAATAACGGTAAGGACAAATGTCGAAGATGAAAAATATTATCTTAGAGTAAAATACGTGATATGATCTACACAAGTAAAGGCCTCTAATACGAATTAAAACTTAAGATGAATGTGTTATAACATCTTTTCTTGGCAAAATTTTGTCCAATTGGTAGTTCATGCACATATGAATAAATCTACTATAAAGCATGATTAAAGTTTAAAATAATTATTCTGCAAATCCCAAATTGTGTGTGTTGAGTGATTATTCTGTTATACACGTTTTATTTCACTGCAGCTGACTGCGGAAGCTAGCATGACGAATAATGTTCGTCCGCTTTGTTTGGCGGATGGAGAAAAAACACCAATGGATGAGAAATGTTACATCGCAGGATGGGGACTAAGTAAGATGATTAACTTTGGCTATGGCTTAACTATGTCGGCAATCTTAATAGACAGGCAGAGCCGGGATGAAAATTCCTCAGTTGGGAAAAACCTGGTTAACTCCAATGTTTACGTGACTTTGCTAGTACACAACTTTGCTGAGACACAAGAAAATTTGACCTAGTAGATTTGTGATGCTTATTTTAAGAGGGTTTTTGAAAACACAACAAAAAACTGGCGAATATCTAGCAAAAGCATGGAAACAAGCTAAGGGATTTGAGGAGCAAGAATTATTTAATGAAGAATCGTATATATTCATTTATTGAATGTCGATAACTTGACCTACGTTTTTCACAGTTTTCATTCATATTTTTAATTCAGTGGTTTTCAGCCTGTGGTTAGGGCTGGGCGCTTCGAATAGTATAAATTGTTCGGATCGGTTCAAAGCAAAATTTCAAATCGCCGACATCTTGTTTTTTTACTTTCCGTCAACGGTCGATGTGAATTGCCAAATTTTTTTTTTATTGAGGCCATGTTTTTCAATGCAATTGTGACATAACATAAGACTATTTTCCGTAGCGAGTTATTGATAAATAGGTGTTTTTCATTGTGTGTGAACGATCCGCGATCTATCCCAGTAATGTATTCTATGTAATTCATTTGTTGACAGAACCAATTACAATAAAAATGTCGCATACAATTACATATCTCCCATTGACTCCCAAGTATTCGAGATTCCATTCGAAAAAAATATTCGTTTCGAAAAAAAATATTCGATTCTGAATCATAAGGAATTAGAAATTACCCAGCCCTACCTGTGGTACGCGCAAGTTTTTTAAGGGGTGCGCGAGCAGCTTTGAATTATTGCAACGATAAACTTGTCAGATGGCTAAATATGCCGGCAACGCTTTCTCTTTACCCTCCATACCAGTGGTTCTCAAACTTTTTTAGTCCCAGAGCCGCATTTCAAACTTCAAAGTTATGAAGAGCCGCACACAAACAACGCAAGGTAAAATAGCAACAAACCTTAAGCGCGTATTTAAAATACCAAGTCATCGTAACAACAACACACGTAACAACTGGGGATGGGCAAAATATTGAATAAAAAAATATACGAATGGATTTTACCAATCGAATATCCGGTACCACGTGACCTGTGGCGCTCTGCTTGGACACCTAACTCGCTCGTCTCTAACTCAATCGTGAATTGTGCGAGATTTCCCAACGGCGCTCGCTATCAGAAAAAAACGTCAAATTTGAAAAGTCGTTGTCTTTGCGTTATGGTGTCATATGCCTATGTTTGCACTTAACGTATCGTTTCAATTCCATATTTTGCAAAAAAAAAAATGTACCGACGTTCCGTAAATTTAGAAACGTCAAACCAGATTAGGTATTCTAAAATAAATTTCCCAGATTTTAACTCCGCATGATTGGTGACATGTCATTAGCCATTTCTTGCATTACCGAACATAAAGTTAATTAAAATTAAATGACTTTCCGGCGTTTCATTGTGAAAAAGGCGAGTTTTAGGTCGTTAGAAAACTCTAGTTATATAAATAGCATGGATTTAAAAATGACCAAAAGTTTATCGGAAAGTAATTAACTTTCAAAGCATTAACAAGAGCCGCAGGAAAGAGATCCGCATGCGGCTCTCAAACCCTAGTTTGAGAATCACTGCTCCATACTGTATCTGTATGTATTCGCTGAACGACGCTTATAGCGCTACCAGTCATTGTCTTTAGAGATCGCCCGTTACTGCGTATAAATGACACTTAACAGAACCTACAGACAGGTACACTTTCCGTCTGTAAAAAATTCGGTCTGTCTGTAAAAGTTTAGAACCACGAAATCCTCTACCTTTTTACTATAGTTTCTATAGTGATCTCCGTTTCAGAATGCAAGATTTTCAAAAACAAATTACTGCATAAAATATGTGACATGATTTTTTGTCACATTGGAGACATGAGCCAAGTAGCTGTACGTTGGCTAGCTGTTGGACATGTCAGTATGTAGACTACATGAAACAAAATCTGAACAGCCGAGATTCCAAACAAACACACTGGCAAGTAAACCATGCAGTAAACACTAATATTGTTACGAATACGGTACTGCTATGCAATTTCTCTTACTTATGAAATGTCCTTGAATATAACTTATCCATTTTTACTCACTTTCATCCTGATCTTTTTCGATACAAGCATACACGAAGAACAGGCAACACAACGCAAAATGAGAAAGAAGATCGTTCCATATAGCCTATCGTATATTTCCAGTTCAGTGCCCAGAATACAGGGGCGTGCCAAACTCTTCTGCTGCCCGGGGCGAGTTTCTGATAATGCTGTCCCTTATATCTAACCTTAATAATAATTCGTACAATGAACAAATTATAGATGTTGTTATGCACTATGAAAAGATAACTGCAGTATCGCAGCTTCCACGAAATTGCAAGATAGCAGTATTGTTCCACTAGGCAAATAGCAAACAAAAAGTAACAAATCTCCAGACAAATTGACGAACGAAACCTGATCAACTGACTGACGAAGCTAAAACAAACGGAGGCAGTCCTGTTTTGACGGACACAAAATGGCGTCCGATATGCATCACTGCACTTGGGTTATAGTCAGGGCTGCCATCGATATCAACCCACAAATAAGGACATCAGAGAAACAATAAAAATATACCAAAAAATGGAATGTTGTAATAAATAAAATCGACGCGTGTCGTTATACCCCAGGGGTGGCCAACCTGCTTTCAACCGCGATCGACTAGAAGTTTCAAAATAGCTCGCGATCGACTGATCAGTAATAAGGTCATAAACAAAAATGAATGAATACTGAATACGCAGATAACTGCAAACAGCATACAAAAATTCCACCACTGCCAATAAGCTCGGGCTCTGCGGTCGCATTCACAGTGAAATTGCCACAAAAATTTGCATTTTTATGTCCATTCAATTTGATTATGTAACGGAGTAAATGTTTCATGATATATTTTAGATTCATTCAAATCATACAATTCACTATTCAAATGTAGAGCCTGTTTAATTTTTCGTCGTGAGTGTTTTCAATTGCTTGAAAAGTATCCATGTTATCTAAACAGCGAATAAATAATATTCTCAAACCATAAATGTTACATTCCAAACTTCAGTATCTAATTTACAATATACTTCAAGTCCGATTTTTGCTCGCTCGGAATTAGAATAAAAATTTGGCATACTGATGCCACTGCTACCGTTGCAAATAAAATGTTTCACACTACTCTTGGAGTGGGCAATAACTTTTGCACAGTGCAGAAATTGTTGTAAGATCGTTTGCCAGTCAAGACATATGGTATTCAGTACGTTCATATCTAAAACTTGGCAGTAGTGAAACTTGAATTGTGTCTATGACTAGGGCAGTGGTTCCCAAACATTTTTGACCATCGCCCCCCTAAAGTAGTTTATACAACTTCATCGCCCCCCTGTACTACAAAAAAATATAAAGTCAGAAACGAATATATTACAGACCAAATAAGAAGACAAATCATAGTTTATAGTGTTTTTTAATGAGATAGATGAGCTTGGTGTTCTTCAGCGAGTTTTTTATTATATCTAAAATTACCCCGTTTACTGATGGAAAGGTGATTTCGTTGTTTTAATAGCAATAGTAGCACGGCTGAAAACCCCCTTTTTACCATATAATAGGTCGGAAATGAAAGAATCCAGGGTTCTACCTCCTCAAAAACCGCCGTGTACTCTTGCCTTATAGCATTTCACTTCCTAAATTCACCCCATTTCACATTAAAATAATAAAACCAAAGTTAATTTTCCCAAACTTATAATAATGATTTTCGTACATCTCATTCATTCGTACTGCCTGATGACCTGCACCAAAAAACTTCGGAAAAATTCATCCCCGATTCCTCATCCTATCACGGCCTCCAGTCCGATCACCAGTCCATAATTAACCAGCCATTTGTTTTTGGATTCATAGACTCGGATGTGGAAGAAGCCCTGACTGACTATCGGCTACGGCCCAGGGGTCGGCAAATTTTATGTCGCTCGCAGGACAAAATTCAGGGTTGCTAGTATTTTGCGGGTCGCATATATTTTTCGAAAGTTAAAAACGGAACAGCGCGCAAAAACTGCGACAACTCAACTCAGTCGTCTTATTAAAAAAATATTACAAGGACATTTAATGTGACACTGTCTTGTTGCTGCATCACGCTGAATAGCTTTACGACGCCAAGATTGAAACATTTTCTAAATGGGCATCACCAAACCCACTTCTTTGCTTGTTCTTTGTAATGTTCATTTTCGAAAATAACGGTTTGCACAAATACGTACTTTCAAACATCGAAGTGAATATTTCCGCATGATTTGTGAAATTTTGATAAATATTTTCTTTAAGAAGATACATTCTTACAAAAATTAAGCAGTGATCAATCTCTCGAATAGAATATGAATTTTATTTCCTTATTGCTTTGCAATATATTCGAATATTTACTGCGCTATTGAACCCCTACACTCAGCATCATCTGCGTGTTTCCATTTGTCTAATTATAATTAAATTGTAGGCTCGTTAAACGAGTGGCTGTTCACTAAATTGTTAGGATATAGTATAATTCAGTATAAACGTGTCTCACCATAAATTCTGTTACGTAAAAAAATGTAATTTACTCCTCGAGCGTAGATTATAAATGAAAAAAAATTTCATGGTCAAAACCGCCGTTTGGATATTTCCCCGGGCATAGACTTCCTTGTTTACTTCGTGACATTGGCCAATCAGCAAGATGCAAAAAACGTAACAATGCCCCCTTTCGCATCCGCTCAGACACTCTCACTCAGACAGATTTTTAGGCGTGGTCGTGAACATTACCTCATTTTCGCGTTTTTGAATTATATTCGTTAGTTTTTAGTTGTTTTTCGGAAATTTGAATATAAATCGAATAAGTCAATGATTACTTTGTCTTTCTATGAGTTTCAGTTTAAATACAGCAATAAAAAATTAGTGTAGATATAGCTGTGATAGACTAGGCTAAAATTCTTTATCGGTACTTTTAAAAAACAGATTGTTAAATTGTGTGTATTAGAATGATAGTTTGAAACAAATACCCCATTTTACAGGCAACAACTCGCGAAACCACTCTTAAAATAAGTACCGAAAATTTTAAAATGGTGAAGTTTGGGAAGAATTTTCCGCGGTCAAAGGTCGGGGAAAGGTCCATTCAGTGAATCGTCCCGGGCCAGATTATTATATTCCGGTCGTATTTTGCCGACCACTGGGATACGCAAACTACCTTGCCTTACTGCGAAGACGAGACCAGAAATCCTTTCGCGTGTGATAATCGCCCACGTGATTCAAGCCTGCGAATGCACACAGAGTACAGAATTAAGTGCGCCGAACATAAAACAGGTTTCGCAAAATCGCCCCCCCTATCGCCCCCTTAGACTTTTTCGCCCCCCTCTGTATCGTTTTCGCCCACTGGGGGGCGATATCGCCCACTTTGGGAATCACTGGACTAGGGGACATACGCAATTTTGCAACTTGACTATATCTACCAGTCCTGAAAACCAAACCATCTCAAAACGAATGTTATTCGTAGTATACATGCCTAATCCCCAAAATAGCTAATCTGTTTCAATTACATTAGTTTTTATGTTTAAAAATATATATTTCATCAATATAACACGCTCTGCACATCCACCGAAATAAGACTAAAGGTAAATATAAAGAATAAAACAGCAATTTACCCTTATATAAAAGCCAACCAAGGTGAATTGGACTCAGACAGTGAATATCCCAAGTGCACGCCTCCCTACACTGTAGTATAAATTGAAATTTATAAGCGCTAAGCTAGAATTTGAGATGCAAAAACTCGAAAATCCTTCGCTCAGGTTATTTTGCCTTTGTGACGTCACAATTGCCCCGCGTTAACGATGATAATTCATTATGACGAAACAATTGAACACATATGCATATCATACAAAATCTCTATTTTTATGGGTTTCGGAATTCTTAAAATTAAATCTGAGTTAACAGGTGCGCAGCATTACAGCAGACAGGTGCGCAGCATTACATAAATACCTATATTTTGAAAAACTCAAAACCGCCAAAAATGACTTACGCAATTCGGTTATTAGCGTGAAGATGTATTCTTCCTGTTTTAAAACACACAGAAGGCGCTGTATAAAACTGGTTCAAGGCAATTCTTTGGAGTATGTTATTAAATTTACTCAACATCAGACGCGATCGACTACTCGAGACGTGGCGATCGACCGTTCGATCACGATCGACGTGTTGGCTACCCCTGATATACCCTGATAGCGCCTCGATACATCATCAAGGTTGCCATATTCGCTTTTTTAACGCCAAATTTGCCATTTTTGGCTTTTTTTCACGTTTGGCGTCAGAATTTCCATTTAGCTTTTTTCTTGGCTTTGCTAAGTCTCTTTTAGTGTCTATTAATAAAATCATATAAAATACAATATTTAGGGTCTAACAATAGCTTCTTGCTTAGCTACTTAACATTTGAATTTCTCCGAGCATCGATTTCCTTGTTTAAGCTTAACCATAGCCAAACATAAATAATTGCAGTTTCTGCAGCCGCTCAGACAGATGTTCAAGCAGGGTGGAGACAAATCCAAAAAAAAAATAGTTGTATAACTTAATTGTCATTATGTCTTCCCAGGAACTCTAGTTTAGTTGCAGTAATCAAAATTTAGTCTCACGAACAATGTGATTAACTACTCTGAAATAACTGTAAGCGGCACGTGGTTAGATAATTTTTTTTAATAAAAATGATGGTTTCAAAATGTTTGGATAGAATGTTTTAACGTATATATTATATCACATAGTCTTTTGATGGGGCACCCTGTGTATATATTGAATTGTTGAATATTGCTGTCCGATTGATATTTCATTTTGTTTTATTTTATGATTTTTTTCAACTTTTCCATATGGATGTCAGATTAACTGTATTATGTCGAATGTAGATTATGGTGCCCTCATTTAATTAATCCTTTTTACTTTTAAACCTTTCATCCCGCTGTAGTGGAAATCGCCATGATAGCAATCGAAAATACGGTTCCCGTACATTTGAACCTACGTACATTTGAACTAGAGCTAAGATCTGGAGCCCGAGCCCCAGCCCGACCCGATCCGATATTCCGGGTCGGGTCGGGCCTGAAATATCGAGCATTGCGTTCGGGTCGGGTCGGGCCTATATTGGTAATCATTACGTTCGGGCCGGGCCTAAAATGTCAAACATTGCGTTCGGGTTGGGTCGGGTCGGGCCTGAAAAGTCAATAATTGCGTTCGGGTCGGTTCGGGTCGGGCCTGATTTGTCAATTATTAGGTTCGGGTCGGGCCTAAAATGTCAAACATTGCGTTCGGGTTGGGTCGGGTCGGGCCTGAAAAGTCAATAATTGCGTTCGGGTCGGGTCGGGCCTGATTTGTCAATTATTAGATTCGGGTCGGGCCTGAAAAGTCAATAATTACGTTCGGGTCGGGCTTATATATCGCTGTATTTTGTATAAGTAAATATATGTTTATTAGAAACTATTTTTCAGAGTGGTTCCGATTTCATAAATATTAAATTTCGAAATTTAAAGTTTCGTAGTTCTTTGGATGATGATGCTTATTCATTGCTTTTAACGGCATACCTCGTTTAATTTAATGTGCCGCACAAGTGGAGTGCAGCGGGACATTTGACACACGTTTTTGAATGCCTCTTGATGATAATATGTGTGTCGCTAGGGAATTTCTTAGTTTGCCCAGTAAAACCTTTAGCTACCTTCTATCCATTAGCCCCGCATTGTCAAATGAATGTGCAGATTATAGAGCTCACAAAAGAAGAAATATGTCCCAGCATTCCCCTATACTGTACTAAACTCTTGCAATGACAATTCGAAGAACTCCTAAATAAAATATGAAATTTCGGGCCTGCAAAGCCAGTTAGTTAGTCGGGTCGGGCCTGCAAATCCATTTAATTAGTCGGGCTCGGGTCGGGCCTGCAAATTCAGTTAATTAGTCGGGCTCGGGTCGGGCCTGCAAATTCAGTTAATTAGTCGGGCTCGGGTCGGTTCGGGTTTTTATAACCACGGACCCGGGTCGGGTCGGGCCTGCAAATCTAGTTAATTAGTCGGGCTCGGGTCGGGTCGGGTTTTAATACCCACGGGCCCGGGTCAGGTCGGGCCTGCAAATCCAGTTAATTAGTCGGGCTCGGGTCAGGTCGGGTTTGATACCCACGGGCCGGAGTCGGGTCGGGCTGGATTTTTTTAGCCCAATCTTACCTCTAATTTGAACCCACGACAATTGCACCTGCATACTGTTGCACCTATAAAAAAAAAATCGTTTTACGGATATATGAACCCATACTAACCCTAACCCATGGGTTTTAGCACCCGCATACCGTTGCACCTATGAAATTTTTTTTGTTTTACGGATATTTGAACCCATACTAACCTAACCCATGGGTTTTAGCACCCACATAAAGATTGAACCCGCGGATATACACATGAGTTCAAATGTACGTGGGTTTAAATGTACGGTCACCGAAAATACAACTTTGGATGGAAAAAGTCATTTGTGTGGCTCATTATATGAACTGATGGCTCTACATCAGCATATTGAAAACTCATTATTGTGCCATGGACGTCAAGTCATGGGGCTTTTGTACTTAGTAAAATTGTTGGCTTTGTTTAAGTATTGATTTGGCTTTTTTTGATCATTAGGCATCATACGGATGCTACCATTGCTATCTGCAGTATGTGCTGGCTGATAGACATAAACTCTTGAGTTTTGGTGCTAAATTATCAGTAATGTTGAAGCAAAAGTATACCTCCGATTACATACGATACAGCCCATTTCATGATTTACTACTATGCTATCCATCGTTTCGAATCACAGCTCGATCAGGATTGACTGCAAGGACATCACCAAATCTTCTAGAAGCCAGAATAAGACACTTACCATTCGGTGTGTGTCAGAATGAGTTCTCAAAAACACTATCACACGGTTCACATATGAATCCTGATACTATGATGTGCGGCGGAAAAATTGACGGAGGAGTGGACGCATGCAGAGTAAGACAATTTCTATGTAGATTTTCTCATAGCTCGTGATCCCTTGCCTAAAAGTGTCTCTCAAGTCAACCACCGACTTAATTCTTAAAGCAGCAATACCAGTAGTTTACCAATAGTAGTTCCACCAATGAGAACAGCTAAATTTCTGTGTAATTGATCCATCGGCTACGATTTTACCATGTTTATAGAGTTTTCTGTATTCAGTTCGACATGTATTTTAGAAGGGCCGTATCCAATCACAACAAACATTAAAACCTTACACAAGGCAGATATATTCTAACTATCTGGAAATCATTTCAAAGATTTCCAATTAATGAATGTGCAAAGACGACATTTTTAATTCTAAATTTATTTCCAATTCAACACAGGGCGATAGCGGCGGACCATTTATGTGTCAAAGATGTGATTCCTGTGAGTGGTATCTCGCAGGTGTAACAGCTTTTGGGAGAGATCAATGTGGGTCATCGACAAGTCCTGGAGTTTACATGAGAATTACTCATTACGAAGACTGGATAAATGAAGAAGTTGACAAATATGACCGTTTCGGATTGGACTGCCAATATTATAAAAGTTTATAACATGTCTGTATTTAAAATTAGGTCTCCTATAAGTTAATTAATCTTCGCGGTGATAAACTATCTTTGCTACTAAAACCGTTTCCTGCTGAAAGGGAAACTTTATATCAGACTTTGATACAATATTTAAACCTTGTGCAAGGAGAAGTAATGTGCTTAACATTTAAAATCGTCATGCTACCTAGATGTGCCATTTACGTGGAATAAAAATATCGCAAAATGTAAAATATCGGAATGCTTCCCAACTTGAATCGGATTAACGCGCGTATCAAGGGAGAAAAGTCGTAATAAAGCTAATAATAGTACATGGTATTTTGTTATTGTTATAAAGAACACTACTGAATAAATAAATCATCACGATAGAAAATGCTGCCAAAGTACAATATTAACCGTTCACTCAATGTAGACGCTATGTAATATTAAAAAGATTGGGGAAATAGGTCTGGCGTTAAAAATATCTCAGTCTATACGGTAATTGCGATTTTGACAAAAACTAGCAATATACTGTGCACAGGTGCCTCAGTGTTAGAAGCAGGTCATTATTAAACAAACTTCTTAATTGAACATAATCGAATATTAAATTGTCTCTCTTGAAATTTTACAAACAAAGTGTAATGATGCTATGAAACAGGGGTGCACAAACTTTTTGCTATTGGCGGGCACATTGCATTTCTTTGTATTAAATAAGGCCTCCAGGGGGTTGATGAGCGCGACTTCGGCGCGCAATTTTTTGACGTTTATGACGTCATAACCGCGTATTTGACACGTGCGAGGTGCAGTCTGCCCAATCATGAAGTATGTAGGACTACTTGGAAGTATATTTTTCGCATTTTAAACGGATTTTTCTTTTCGAAGGATCTATTCTTGAGCAGATATATTGCAGCAAGTTGCATAATGGTTGCACAATTTTGAAAAAAAAGTCGGGGTCGGAAGGAGGGTCGGTCCCTCCCATTTTCTTGTCCCCAAAATTTAAATAAAATGTCAAATATTCCAATGAATTTATTCTATAAAAGTTTGCAAAGCATTGTAGCAATTTAATGGCTCACTTCGTCTTGCATGTGGGCAGATAAACTTGCAAAGTCGGGTAACCGCAAATACACCATCCAGATTGTGACGCATCGTGTCGTCTGACTTTTTTGCAGTGCTTCTGTTTTGCTTCAATATACGCCAGCATAGTCGCCAAATCCTATATTTTGAACTTTTATTTTGTTTATAGGATTTTGTATGTGGCATGCCGCATTATTTTTTCACGACGGCCGCACGTTGTGCACCGTTGCTATAAAACAATCTAAAAATATATCTTTCTTTCTCAAAATAAAGCAATTGGTATAGTTTGTTTGGACAATGGACATGCTCAATGCGTATAAAACAGAAGTTAATAAATCAGAGAATAAGTTTAGGCATGTACGTTCGACGTATCAGTAAGTACATCCATCCGCTTTGCTTGTTTTACAAAAATGTTACAAAACGTTTTGAATGATGCAGCTCAAACAAAAACCGTATAGTTATGAATTCCGAATTGTCATTCAATAATGTTCAATTCACAATGTTAAATGTCTTAATTGACGTATATATCCAGTAGAGCCAACGGAAAATTTATGTCGAATAATAGGAGATGGAATGCAATTATTTGCATTCACTTTTAATTTCCAACAAGATGGTAAAAATGATTATTATCGTGTTTTCGTGGATGTTTGTACAACGCTGCTCTTTCGAGGAGGTGGCGATGGTCGGGGTCCTTTGTTTTGGGACACTTTTCTCAGGACGCTCTTGTTGGAGGATTGCCTGGACTTGAGTTTTCTCTGGAACTCATCTTTCAATTTTGTTCTCTTAGAAAATCGGATTTTGTAAATCATACCCAGAAAGCTCATAAATTCACCAAAGTCCATAACTCCTGAAATATAGGAAGAAACATCTTCAAAATCTCTCAATCACCGATTTCAGACATTCGCTAAAAATAATCCGAAATGTTTTATTCCCGTTTGTATCGCGCTAACAAAATTAAAAAAAATACTACCGTAACAACTGGAGAAGAAACGCATATTTTCTATAAAATTAAGATTCCCTCATTTCGTTTACCGCCACTCGAGTGGAAGCACGATAAACTCGAATAAAATAAATTAAATATATATTTTAAGATGAGAAACATGATTGTCAATTAACATGACCGGCCAATAGACTTATCCAGTAATAGTTCCCTTCAAACATATGCGAGATATTTCACTCTGAACGAAGTTAAAATTAAATTTTAATCAAAATTGAATATTTTCGAGATGTCGGTAGCTGATTTTTTTTATCCAACCATGCCAGGGCGTACCATAACTCAGTCGAAGCGCAGGTGTGCTGTTGAAAATTTTCAACAAAATTGTTACGAATTTTCAGGTATAGGATCCTTTCAAATTAGCGTATAATAGAAACTTAAGCTATTCAGTGGAAAACTGTACTGGCAGTTTGGGGAAAATTACGCCACACATCATCTCGAGTGATACGTAAAAGGGTGTGTTGTGATGAACTTGAAACAAAAGACGGCAGATAACTAAAAAAGTTAATTAGGAAAATTCATTTTGTTCTCATTCATTAATTTGATGTTATTTGAAATACCGCAAAAACGAATTCAGTACATTTAACACAGCCGAAAACAACGTTTAACAAACGTTCAATGTGTGTTTCTCTTCGGTAAATTGCTCTCTTTTTCCGAATCGCGTAAATCTAATTCGAAAAAGATGCGATTCGTAAATCTAAAAGTGGCATCCCTAGTCGTAGTCCTAGCTCCTTTTTTTGTGCCGGTAAGTTCCTCGGGAATAGTGAATTGTCGGTCAATAGGCATGGTAGTGGTAAACACCAAAGATTATCTAACCATAACGATTCAGGGTTCTTGTCTTAGGGTTAGGTTAGGGTTCTTGTCTTACACTGATGCCATATCTATTATGGTCAGAACCCACCAAACTTTTTATGCAGTAGGCCAAGCATCTTCGAGATATTACCAATAATGTTTAACCAAGATGCATTGAATCAATGCACAATGGTTTTGGATTTGGGAATCTTTTTCTATCGAAGATACATTGGCATTTTTGTTCAGCTGTGTGCAAGCTACCTGAAGTGTGTCAATCTCAGTTAGTCTGATAATCATTTCAGCATGCATATTCATTCATATAACTTACAGGCCTGTATATGTATGTGTAACTAAGGCATTGCGAGACAAATATTTCATTTGTTACACATTTCATAAGCCAACAATTGATGCTATTCATGCATGCCACTGTTTTCCTAAACACATCGATAAACAAACTCAAGCTATTCATGCTGAGCATATTATTATGGCATTATCCATACTATATATATAGAGCTTCGGAAGATAGTTTTTTACATTTTCAACCAACGTCTTAAAATATTCTCATTCTTAAATATCAGCGAAATATTTTTTTAAACGATACCAGTTTTAACCTTCAAATAATATTACCGTCATTGTTAGAATCCATTTCGTGAAGAATCACTTCACATTCCGATTTACTGACGTTGATATTACAAGCCTGTAACAGAGTAAAAGCAGTTATTATATTTAAAATATAGTCATTAAAAGCACTAGTTATTGCAAACACCTGTAAGACGAAATTTCTCAAAATATTTGTCAAATTTATTTGCCATTGTACATGAAAGAAAGCTGCATTATGTTTGTTTTATGATGAAAGCCAATTTTCCATTTGTTAGTAATTCCAGTGTGAACGATTTAAGCTTTTGAAATGGTTCAAAGATTTTATATCCTATGCTGGTATATAACATACACACATATCACAATTGGCCATTTTACGACAAGACGCTTGATCAATATATGTCTATAAACAGGTAGCATTTTCTCAAACAATGGAAGAGCACATTTCGATGAATATAACATTAAGAACGAATTTCTCAGTAGTAAGCTCAGTCAAGTTGAATTGAATATTACGCTTATGTCAACTATAGAGAAATTAGATGCTCAAATACAAGAACACTAAGGTCGCGTTAGGTTAGCGGGATGGTGAGGCCTAGTTGAGTACCGAGTTGGAGGGAGATCGGTGGAAAGCTTGTTTCAATAAAGTGTTAGACACGTTGAACAGAGCGAAGCAATCCTTACCTTTGACGCTACCGGTACCCTCAAAAAATTTCCGAGTTTCGCGTAGCAAGAATTTACAGAATCAAACCGGACAGCCAGTGTTACCATGAATAAAATAATACAGCTAAATTTTGAACGAAATATCAGATTTTACACAAAATTTAGAAATAAATAGAATTATTAGCCTTCTGGCAAAAAAAAAAATCTTTAACCACTGAAAATTTCAAAGCAACTGGTCTCGTATTGGAAGATAAAAGCGATTTTTTAATGAAAATCATGACGAATAACAAGAACAACAACATAATATTGAAACGATCGTTATGTCCACTGACGTGTCCAACAAAACAATTTTGGGGGCTCCCGAAGTATGCAAACCAAGATGGCGGACATCGGAATGTAATATGTGTACTAGGTTAGGGTTAGGCCATAATTTTAGGTATAAATACTACGGGAGGCTCTTGGCTAGTTTTCGAACTGATAATAGGACTAAAATAAGGAAAATTGGAAATAAATTATCGCCTAACCCTAACCTGTTACCCATGTTACGTTCCGATGTCCGCCATCTTGGTTCGCATACTTCGGGAGCACCCAATTTTGTGTCATATAACGGGTCTCATATAACTTAGAGGATATTTAAAAATAAATGAAAGTAATAGCCCTCTACCGACTTCAACAATCTTCAAGTACTGAAAAGTTGAAATTGATTCATCAATATTAACAGTATATATAGCGATTTTTCCCAGGGGCAACAACAAGAATTTTTTAAAACAATCGATAGGTCCACTACATGTTTAATAAGTATTCATTGCAAAACTAATATCCTGATAATACAGTAATTTCCTGTCAAAATTATACATGAGAAACTTACTTGTTGTTCAATTAACCAAGACAAGGTATGTGGCCAATTCACGACGCTTTTAATAACATCGTTCACATCCATGGAAAAGATTATTTGTTTACGGTGGTTATTATTGTATTAATGATATATTCTCTGAAGTTTTGAAATAAATGTGAAAAATACTATGGTTGTTGTAATTGCTCTACAATTCTAATTCAATAATCGGCATTTTAGCCAAAGCTGAATAACAAAAATTCATTATATATATATTCATGTAAAGCACTAGTAAAGCTAACACGGATGTAATAAACAGAACCAAAACATTATGTTTTTGATTCAAGAAACTATGTCGTTCAGATAAATAAATATCATCTACATCTGCAGTTTTCTATTTCAATCGCATTGGTTGAAATCCTAAACAACTCAATGTTCCCGATTTCGTTTTGTGACTTTAACAATAGTTAGCTATTTTCGTCACTTTCATTGAATGAATCTGGATATGCTCCAATGGGGTTTACATTTATCCTTCTACATTATACGAGAAACATTTCTAACCAATGATTAGAATCAATGACCGGTGACATAAATTTTGCTCGAATTTTAAAATGTTTCGCAAATAGTCGTGGTAGTTCAGTTGTGGTGCCTAGTGCCTGTAGGTCCCCAAGTAAATAATACCTATAAATAAAGTTCATATTTTTGGAATCTTAGTCTTATCTTGAACAGATCTTATATTTATTTAAATCAATGAAGAAGATGGAGATCGCAATAAAGCAACACAAACTTTGAGTGGCAAAGTGGTCTGAGTTCATGTATTCAAATTTTATAAAATCCACATTGTTTTTCCGGTATGTTATAAAGTTCATTCTAGTATGAATCTATTGCATTAGAGGGGAATTTTAGCGTCAGAATATTTCAATTTAGGTCATACATATAAAAAAAAAAATGAGTTTCATATATCTATGCATTGCACAGTATTATTTTGCCAATCGAATACAAAGAGTATGTTGAAATTTTACAATAAAGCATACATTAGGAGAATTTAACAAGAGTGGAAAATTCAGGTTGGTGTCATGTTTTAGATCGGTTTAATTACGCATGTACATATCAAATTACTTAGGCTGGGATGACTGAAGCGCGGTCAAGCCACTGTAGCTCCGTTCATGAATTAATTTGGGATGGAAAGGTGAATGGCAATATCATAAAAAAAAAATTTTGTTCACCAGGTTTGAGCATAAAGATGCACACAGTTTATTAAACAGTATATCTAAAATATTATTTTAAAAACTCGTTAATTTACTGCTGTTTATTTATAGCTTAATCACCTGTGCCTTTGTGCTTAGCATTCGCATGAAAACTATTAATTTGTTTATTACTTCGATCGGAAATTACGAACCACTATAGGATTTGTTCACTGCGTGTGATGAATCCAAAATAGTCCAAACTCGACTGGCTATACCTAAACAAATTTTCAACCTGATTGCACCATACGAGATTGGCAGTATTCATATTCGAGTTATATAAATAAAATTTTGGTTGCACGAAGTATTTGCATATAGTTTAATAATTGATGAGTACAATCTATCCGAGTTGCAATCATAATAAGGCCATTGAAATATGATTGAGGAAATGCAAATTTACGGAGTTGTTGAAAACGGCAGCTGGTTGATTATATATCTTAACCGCACATTGTCAGGTGATCAATTTTGTCTAAACATATTACCTAATACGTTTTATACCGTTTATAACAAGAGCATGAATATGTTGTTTCGACACTATACTTTGAATAATATGAAGAAGCTAAATTTGCACAAAATTTACGTAGTTTTGAACAGAAATACTTTATTTCTGACTTTTTTATTCGAAACAAATATTGTATGGGATTTTATAGAGTATTGTATATATATTATATAACAATTCAGCTGAGACACTATTGCTTTTAAAACAATCAATCACATACGTAATCGTGAAAATTAACACGACTTCGAAAGTTACTATACTGCATTCTGACTATAACAATAAAAAATTTGTAAGTCGAAGTTTTTTTGTAATATATATATCCATATCAAATAAACAGGAAAATAACCGAGTATATATTTCACTCATATGACGTATATTTTCAGGTTCTATAAATAAAAGTTTCGATGCATCCAATACCGTAAAATAGCAATGGTGTGTAAACCACCGTCAGCCAGTGTCAAACTTTTGTTCAACATAAAATCCATTTTGAACTAGGGTATGAAATATTTGAACAACGTTTTCTAAAAAAATAAACTTTCGCAATAAAATATTCTTAGAATTGAATTAAATAGAACAAATTTTGTAGGATATCCCGCTAAGTATTCATTATTTACCTCAAGATGAACCATTTATTATACGACATTACGATTAACACCATGAATTACCATGCTACACACCTGACCAATTATTCAACAAAACCACTTGACCGACATTGGCATATAGTTGAACTAATTATATCATGAACTTCATCAATAGTTATACATTTTCATAGGTTTTGCTTAAGTGTTCATTATACTAAAAATACCTTCATAGCATTTGCTTAAGTGATTATTTATGTGAACTAATTAGATGTACTCAACATTAATCAACGATTTTATTACTTTAAACTTTTCGGGAGGTTCATTTACATGATTGCTACAATTAGTAAAAGTTCACGTATTTTTTTTTTCTCAAACCTTTGATGAAATTTAATTTTATAAAATTGTTAGACGTGATGATATATAAAAATAATTTCAGGTGTGTTTCAGGTCTTCAGTTGTGTTTTTAGGCAGCTTCTGTTGAATAGTCTGTTTTTGTTGGAGCTAGTGAGAAATCTATAGGACAGTACAAAATTTTGAAACGTGATCGTCTCAAGAAAAATAGGTCCTCAGAGATATAATATAATGAGAAAAGTGCATTAAAAAATCCCAAACACAAAAGTTATTTGAGAAAGTCCTCGCCCAATGTTGCAACTATCACCAGGTAAATTGAAGATTTAAAAAAGGGTACTCCTGAAGTATGCGCACCAAGATGTCGCATAACCTGAACCCTAACCTGGTACACAACCTGAGTTCAGGTTGTGCGCCATCTTGGTGCGCCTACTTCAGGAGGTCCAAAAAAGTTATAACATGTATATGTTTGTATTCACACGTTAACAATATTATCCTACTATCGATTGGATATAATTACTACGTATTAACTGTTACGCTAAAACCATTCACGAAAATTTTCACTGTTGTATGATCAAAATTTTAGCTCTGTCGGTCATATTTTTACGGATGTATACTTGCAAATATTAAATACCATGGGAATGTCACAAATATGCTCTTTTCAAATTCCTCTTCAAATTTGTACATTGAGCGTGGGCTGCTAAAGTTCGAACACATTTTAAATATCAACTTAAAATATCACCTTTGCGAATTTTATTGCTGCATGCACGTACGTGCAATATTCCGAATATGTTAAATTTTTATTAGATTATCTGCACGAAATAATTTACCACGTCAGCTGGGTGCAATCCAGTTTATAAGGTTACGATAGCAGACAATTTATTGCCTAATTAAAGCAATTGTACAAAAATCCCTCAATTTGCTGTAACCAGTTTCATATGATGACGTCATAAAATACCGAGAAATTTGTGAGTACAATTAGTTCGTGATATATTGCGCATATGCTTTGTAAGTTTATGTAATGTATATAGTTGAATTTAGCAGGCATAAAATTCCAATACTAAAAATAAATCCCGGTTGAATTTTGAATTGTTGTACACAAGGCATTGACATAAAAAACATTGTTTTTGTAATATTACTTAATTTTTATTTTTACGTAATATGCCAAAATATACAAATGGGTGTTTTATTTTTTTGGCTATAAATTCCAGTACTTGCTAACTGAAATTTATTCAGTCAGCCAAACGTGAGTAAAATCGTTATAAAGAATATTGCTTTATGTTGGTGGACGGAAACTGTTAGATATTTCCTTTGTATGTTTTCATAACAACGAAACAAACAATGGCTGTTGGAGTATGTTGTAATAAAATTCTGCCATTTTTGCATTTCTAAACTTATTTAATTCTCTGTTAAAAACACGATGCCCGGATTTGAATCGCCAATATTACTACAATATTATTATTTTTTATCAAATTGGCGCAACGACATAGAAATGTTTATTGGAAAAACCAAACTAACATGGCATAGTTTGAAGTACCAACAAGAGTTATATGAAAAAACCATCGATCGGTTTGGGAAGATGTAATCAAGTTTGTGACTTTAATTCTGTTTTTATAAATTTTTCTTGTATTATTCATTTACAGAGCCAAATAGGAATCTTTCGGCAACTTTTTTTATTTGATAGTGCCAATATTAAAACAACTGTTTGGCCTCGGGACGTGTTTGTCTACGCAATACTTTGATAAACGATTTGAATCTCCCCGTACCAACAGCCGAGGTCACGTACATTTCACATTTATCAGACAAGGCAGCATGAACATTTTTGTGTTAGGCACGATTGTGGTTTTGGCATTTTTTGCGGAACATACAGGTAAGATAAGTTAATATTCTACATTACATTAGCGAAATGTTGTTTAAATCTTTTAAGAATTAGAGGAATCATCACGAGTTAACCTTATATGTTTTGATACAAAATCTAGAAAAGTTTTAAAATGAACTTGATTTTTTTAAGACTGAATGAAACATATGCGGGTCAGTTTCAGGCTTGTGTGTGAATTGATCGCAAAGTATTTTTGGAAAATTATCCATCCGCACTTGTATAGATAGTCAATCACCATCAAAATGCTTTACGCCTCTGTTTCATTTGTTGGTTCATATAATAATTCAGATTCAGTCATATAGTTTTGATCTCAACTCTCGAGCCGGGATCCCATCTGAACTTTGGATATCGCTCTAAAGCCTCTAGATTCTAGAATCTATCTCATGATTTAACCTAAATTAATCCAGATGCTTATAGTATGATGTGCCATAAACTTTACCCGATTTGTTTGGTCTTTATTACAATAAAGCAAGATTATAAGTTTATTACCTTTCGATATAATTCGACTATATCTGTTTACAAAATTGCGACCTCATATCAAACACGGGCCCGAACTCCACACTGGAAAGCGCAGAAGAAATAAGTTAAAAATTCACTCTTTTATTCCTATTACAGACGCGGGTTGCAATTACCCCGACATTACTCATGGATACCCAACATATGCGGTTAGGTATGAAGAATGCGGTTATACTACATATCAGTATCCATTGATTTGCCAACCCGACGGAACTTGGCAAAAGGAAGACGCTATATGTGATGGAGGCGAAAATGGTATGTTAGCTTAATAGTAATAATGTGAATTTTTAGTTTCGTTACCATACACCGTCCTATAACCGTTATGTTTAGTGATAATGCATTATTGTGATGTATTTTAATCGCGCAACAATTCCGAACAATACGATGTTTGGGCTTCAATGCGAGTTTCTTCATGCTACAAACTATTTTACATACACTTTATACTATGAATTAGATTTTGGTAGGCTTAGTATCATTTTTGAGGGCACTTTCCAGATTAATTTGTGTCAACTTTTTTGCCAATGTTTGTATGAACGTGTAATTTTTGTTAATAAACTCATTATAGTGTTTACAATTTAGATAAATTAGGCCAGTAATTTAGTTATCCATTATATCATGTTTACCAAGAATTTTGCTAAGATCATCGTTGAAGGTTAGTTCCTATTCTGCATCCGCGCCTTGGGCATTTAATTTAAAACGAATTTGTTCTGTCACCAGCCCGTACACGTCCCCGATAAAATCTGAGAATCTGAGAGAAAGTCAAATTTTTTGGAAAACAATAATACTAATCATTTTTCGTGGTGACGCAAAAGAGGGAGACACCATTGTCATTACAAATTTAATTTCAGCAGTTTTTCCTATTTTTAGTTTATTGTCGTTATCATTGACATAAAATATAATTTTATGTAAAACGATCTTCTCTCCATGCATACATGTTTATATAATATTTGTAATATATACCTTATTATTTCTTCAGCCGAAAAGATTGCACAACGAGTCGCCCTAATTCAGCTGTAAGTGGATAATGACATAGATATGTTATTTTAATGTAATATCAATATTGTTACACGTTACGTTATAAAGGCGTTCAGTCATGACAAGAGTTCAAGGAGATTCAATTTCAAAATGTTTATTAAAAGGCTTAAGGCAACAAGGAAAATTATACATTTGACTTTGAAAGATTAATTAACCGGACCTCCTGAAGTATGCGCACCAAGATGGCGCACAACCCGAACTCAGGTTGTGTACAGAGTTAGGGTTCAGGTTGTGCGACATCTTGGTGGGCATACTTCAGGAGTACCGATTAACCAATATAACTTTCAGTCGCTAGCAGTGGTTGGTGATGCAATCTGCAAAATTTATTACTCAGAATATTATATTATGATCAAAATTGCATTTTTCTGATTTTAAATTGAATTCCGACCTGGTCTTAGTATACTAAAAACTCTCTCTACACAAATAAATATGAAATGCAACGATTAATTGAATCTAACCCATATTTTCTTGGTCGTTTCACACGCAAAATTAACTAATGCAAACTATTGCTAACCCGCTCTTCAACTACCAGCTATAGAGACTAAGACTAAAATAATCAAAAAAAAAAATTCACTACATATACGTTCTAGTTCATCTTATACTCAATATGAATAGTAAAGTATAATTACCAATTAATTTAAATTATTGTATCTTGTTCACTATAGATTCGCTTGGCAACAGCAAAATTCAATGCAAAGAGATAATCGTAACCTGCTGCACCGAATAATACACGCCAATGGCGGACTTCCCGCACCCCACCCACCTATGTCAGCGGAAGATCAACTGCATGTCCTGCTCCACGGTCTTTTCGGCCAACACGCTTATTTTCCACCAGGCTATCCGATTACAACGTCGGATGATACTCACTCATATCCTAATTACCCATCATCATATTTACAATCTGGCACTGCGCACTTGGGACCTGCAGGCTTGGGCTTGCCAGTTGTTGGACAACCCCCAAAAGGCAGCACTCCTACTCATTCCCATCAATATCCGACCACAAATACTGATGATAATCACAATCATCATCATCCATCACCTTATTTACAATCTGGCACTGCACAATCAGGACCTGCGAGTCTCGGCGTGCCTGTAGAGAGTTCACCAGTTGTTGGAGTACCTTCAAAAGGCAGCACCTCTCATTCCCATCAATATCCGACCACAAATACTGATGATAATCACAATCGTCATTCATCACCATTTTTACAATCTGGAATTGCACAATTAGGACCTGCTGGAAACCTGGCCTTGCCAGTAGATTATCCAGTTGTTGGAGCACCTTCAAAAGGTGGCACCTCTCATTCCCATCAACATCCGCATTCACACACACCCGAGACGGTTGCACCAGTTGTGTACCCAGCAAATCAAGGTGATCATCATCACCAACACCAAGGACCAATGTACGTTCATCCATCCAAAAAATAAAGACGAAATAGTTAATCGCGTGGCTATATTTTGACCTTTTATTTTATGTATATTTCGATGCGTTTTGTTTGGTATAGCTGTACGATACCGATACAAAAATATCCGCCATAGATGGATGGAAGCCGAAGAAAGTATTTTAAAATTTTGAACAGATAGGGCGATGTTTTGTCGGTTCATTGACGTTGTAGCAATATCTCGTTTTTAAAGATAGGGAATGTTAAACGATAGGATTAATTGCCATCGCTTCATGTGTTGTGTGTCATTTTGTTTTCATTGCTTCGTTATACAATCTTACCATTTTTATCAAAGACGAGGTCAATTTTGGCCGAATGCGTTGCTTTCAATATTTCCATACATTTTTCCTTTAATTATGCTTTTGTTGTCGCATACGATAACAAATAAAATTTAAATGGAATTTCAGAAATTTGATTCTTTTTCACTTGCTGCTATCAAGAAGATTTTACAGTGGTTAGTTAGCCGATCTAGACATGTTAGCATACAAGGTAAATCTGTGGTTTGAGCTGTATTCAATACCATAACCTATGGATAGCATGTAAAGTGTAAAATGCCGGACTGCCAATATTGAACTTTGATAAATGCTAAGTTATTAGACCAAACTAGTCTATTATGCAGTGATGGGATTCAAAATTTTAAGATTAATAATCCATTTTTGTATCGAGATCAATAACATGGTCCCTGATTTTAGAAAATATATGTAAGTGACAACGGAAGCTACATTAATATGACACACTTCACATAAATCCAATTCATAACTTCCGAAACGTCAAATACAACTCTAGTTGTCAGCAACACTGTACGTTACCCATTTGCTGCGGTAATCTATCTATCTAACATCTAAAGCAAGAATGGGTTCTCTGATAAATGGAAAAATACCAATAACGGTTCTCGCATGGCACCTTATCCCGCCACTTCTAATATATACAGTACTCATGATTTCATAAAATTAAAATAAAGTTGAGTTTACTCACTCTCAATAAATTCATCAGCTCACAAAGTTCGAGTGTTTCACTTTGATCTTTGTCGAAAGCAGCGAAGACATCATAAATAGATTTCATTATCGGCTGTAGATCGATTTCATTGTGAGTCATATTGCTTCAAGTTCAATGTTCGAAAATTGAATTTCAGCTTATGAAATACAAGTATTAGAATGTTCTAATTTTAGTTAATTTTATCTAGAAAATAAAGATACAAATATTCCTCATAATAAAACTTGATTTCTCATTGAGGTGTTCTTAGATTTTTCTTAAGAAGGTCAATAGTGATTTATACTTATAAAACTCTGCAACGCTGAAAATATTAGGAATAAAAATGTTGTTTCATCGCTAGTACGGTTGCTTCTGTATTGGCAAAAAAAAAATTTTACAATTTAAAATTATTGTGAAGGCCTTTCGCACGTCTGCGCCCCAACAATATAAAGATATAAAATATCTATATTTGCAGGCATTGCACCCGTTGTATTTGAGGCGTTGTTGGTTTAGAGTTCAATAGTGATAGACGAATAAAAAATTATGTTGTAATAATGCATAATATTAGATACGCTCGTAGGCGTAACATTGTGACAAGAAATCTCTACATGCAAAATTTGCGTGGGTTTAAATATTCCTAAATGCAATTATCAGGACATGTAAATTATAATTCAAATATTTAAGGTCGCAAATGCGTCAACAGGAGAAGGTCCATATTGCCGGATGGGATCAGAACAGGCGAATGTAACAAATTTGAGTTTTAAGAAAAACGCAAAAAACAATTTTAAATTTCGTTATTTTTGAATTTCTATATATTAACGTTTAGTAAAGAATTGAGCTCTGGGTTTTTTAATGTGAATGAGAATATCTTTGTAATCCATATTTTTGGCACTGCACTTCCTTTCTGTTTTTTACCATCATGACTTTGGCCCATTCTGTTTTCAACAACTTTTGAAATTTTTTGCATGGGATAAACAAATTCTAAGGGATGAAAGTTTCGGACATTTTATTTCTGATGTCCATGCCCATCATATTGGAACTTAGGCCTATTCTGTTTTTAATTTCTACAAAATATTATAGTCCTAAGTCCGGCTAAAACTTTTAATATTGAGAAATTCAGGATTTCAAGACTACCATCTTGTGGGTACCCAAAACCCCAAAAAGTGAAATTTCAAAAAATGTGACTTAGACCCCTTCTGTTCTCATCCGGCGATATACTGATGCAATGTTTTGTAAGTGCATATTTTTGCGGATGTAATTTTCCTGAATGCATGCTCTTGAAACTGCCCGTACATGCAAATTAGAGGTGCAGATATCCATTGGTACGAATGGCCTCAAGTGCAGATGTCTGTAGCGCGATTGGTCGATGATATAATAGAATTAGATATCTTGAAGTTTAGAACGGGGCTCCCGAAGTATGCGAACCAAGATGGCGGACATCGTAATGTAATATGTGTACTAGGTTAGGGTTAGGCCATAATTTTAGGTATAAATACTACGGAAGGCTCTTGGCTAGTCTTCGAACTGATAATAGGACTAAAATAAGGAAAATTGGAAAAAAATTATCGCCTAACCCTAACCTGTTACCCATGTTACGTTCCGAGTCCGCCATCTTGGTTCACATACTTCGGGAGCACCGTTTTAACAACGCGGATAAAATTTTACTAAATAATATAATTTCCTCTGATTTATGGAAATACCGCTTCTGCTTGTTTGTTATTAAAAGAATCCTTATATCTAATTTTGTCAATCTTTTTTCATATCAACCTAGTCGCCAGCCATTTGCAACCATGCTTAATGCAAATGAAAAAATTGTCTTTAAAATACCTCAATTTTATATGTCATCTTATTTACAACAGTACTAATACAAATATAATCCATTAGCATCAATAGATCTAGAAACAACGCAGCTTTCCACACAATGAGGATCTATCTTTTTGTCTTGGTATTAAGTTTAAGATATAATTTGCCTACGGTTTCAATTCTGAACTGGTAGTTTGTAATTTCAACATGTCATGCTTGTCACGAATAACTATAATCGCGCGTCTTAAAATGGCCAGGTTACGGATATGAGTCATATAATGATGCTATGTGTGAAGCACAATTTCACTAGTGTAAGTACAACTCATCGCTTTGTTAGAATAGTGTCTCAACCAGGGCTATTTTGAAATCTTTATTCCTCCCTCACTATTCATAAAGAGTGCTTTAATTATTCAATCTTCAATGGATTCTTAGCCAGTGCACAAGTCGCACTTCCGCTTCTGTACAGATTAGGTACCGGTAGTTTATAATAATTGAATAAATAAGTATTGTTATATTAAATAGAATAAAGAACTTAATATTATTCGTAATACAACAGCAAATACAAAGCTAAATTCCTTCCCCAAGAACGAAAAAATTCTTCGTCGGGGATAAATACCTTTCTTATTAGGAAACGTGGTATTAGGCGAACATTATTTGTTTCATAAACATAGAATATCGTCTTCGATAGTTTATTATTCTCCAGAAGTTACACACACACACCTTCCCTTGCTCAACTAAGTAGTTATTATCTGAGAAATATCGTAACCCACTAGTAGGCGTACTCGGCCTATCTATGGTTGCATCTTCGCTATATAGTTATTCTATATCTTGAGTAATGAAGCATAAAACTACAAGCCCATGTTAAATGATTAAATATGACATTGTTTTTAGTAATAGCAGCCAACTTTCCACGTAAAAAGTCATAGAAACAAATACATGAAACCGGATTTGTCAAATAATGTCGCTTACAAGAACCGCTTAACTCAAAAATGCTCAATATGTTATACTTTTATGGAATCTTTCTACTGAAACTCGATTTGAACATCACTTTTGACTCGTTTTTATCGTTCCATTCTACATTATCAATCAAGCTTGGGGCTTCCAAAATGTCTCTAGGTGTCAGTGAAGAGTCGGAATGTTTTGAGATGAAAGAACTTGCTTTCTATTTGCCTGTTTATTTCCACAACAATGGCTTATCAGAAAGATGATAATGACACCATAACTATTTTTAATATTGAAGTACGTTTGAAGTATACATATACATATACAACACATACATTTTCATGGTACAAGATAGAAAAGAGCGCCGATTTGAAATGATTTGTCTGTATGTTCCCTAGATTTAAGCTTCTGTCTCAATCTCATCAAGTCGAACTGCCCTATGTTGTGCCATTGAATAATAAATTTAAACAATTATATATATTTTGATTATATTAGAATACTTGAAAACATTCGGACTGGAATGTCACTTTAAGTTTGATAACATATATGAAAAACTTTTGTTTTTGTATTCACTCCGGAATTGTATCTTTGTTAAAAACCAAACATAGTCTATCAAAAAGCTCAATAATAAAATTAAAACGCACACCCTTTGTGTAATCAAGTTATATATTTTATCCATACGCCATAATACAATTAAATAAATACTGTGTGCGTCACTCTTCTATCTAGTTGAACCTTTCTTGATAATTCAATGTATCGACGATATTAATTTTTCTCTCGAGTAGGGACAATCGCCGGCATAGTTATCAATGACTTACGAATATTGATCAGTCAACTACAAAAGTCGAGCAAATATTTAACTTCAAAATTTACTTTCATGAACGTGAATTTTTTTCAATGACACTTTGTCGATAAAATGTGGAACAAAGGTGAAATTACTATTTATTTTTTGGGACGTGAATCTTTAATCAAAAATATATTGAAAAAGTCTAAAGTGCAATGCTGTCTTATATTTTTATCACACACATATCGTCAATGCATTATGTAAATATATATTTTGACTTGACAATAATAGTTGAAGTTTAGTATTCTGTTAAGTAATGTGAAAAAGATATATACCTATGCAACCTATGCATATATACGAACTATTTAGCCCTTTGACTGATTCTTTACATTTGACGATCAAATACATATACTCGAGATTTTTATACTTTTACGGAGAAATTTGGCCATGTCCCCTCGACGACTCTGTCCTACAATGAACTTGTAACAACTAAATTATGGTGGATAGCAATGAAACGTTAGACTTTGAAATTAGCTGTTGAATAAACTACATGCCCAGTGTGTGCTTACTTTCGTGTGCTTGTATAGTAACTCAGCCTTATGTATTGGAATAACGTTTCAGTTTTCTTTTTAATTGAGGATGAAATTGGAATTCAGTTTATCAAACTTATATATTTGTGTAAATGATATTTGAACACATTTTTTGAAATTGATTTAAATGATCTGCTCCATCACCCCATCGGAGTTTGAGAACGATTCGGGAATAGGCCACAGGCGTATTTATTCCGTCGCAATACGTTATTGTGTTCTTTTCGGGTATTTAAAAAGAAAATTGATAAAATTTACTCTGTAAATAGAGAAAGAGTACTAATTTTAAAAAACGTTACCATGGGTGCGTACGTGATCACGTTTTATTTTTTTGTCTATTTCACTTTTAAATCGGTGTGAGAAAGTCAATCCTGGGGGCAATCGAATACCAAATAGGAAACAACACGTCACTTTAGTGACTAATACGATAAAATCTGGCGCTTTCTAAGTATTGGAAAAATCACGCGAAGACATGTGAAAAAAATCTCAAATATTTTACAGATTGATCAGCCTTGAAACTTAATGTTGTGTAGTCTTTTAAGGCGGATTCTATATTGTCATAGTGACGAATCATTGCCTCGACTAATATTGATGAATTAATCAATTCCGTCGTATTCAGATAACACTGTGTGGATAAAATATAAATTAAGCCCACTCGGCTACAGTTACAACTGTAACTTTTGTAAATTAAATTAGCATGGCATTGTTATTTTTGTTGTGAATATATATTAGAGTGGAATGTCTGAAGCTTTTTCAGTCTCTTTTTCACACCCTCTGCATTTAGAAAATGAGATAATAAATTACGGTAATGATGAAATGACGATAGAGATACAAGTAATTCTAGATAGAATTATAAGTCACCTCACGATTAAGGAATTTTTGTGTCTAGAAATTCAATGAAACAGTGGCCGCAAAATGGCGTTTTTGTGTTTATCTGGAATATAATCCGAATTCGTGTTGGGAAACGCCATGACGGTTCTACGGTTCATTAGAAAACAAAGTAAACTAGTATTTCGTAGTACAACGGCGCTCACCATGACTGTATAAGCGTGGAATACTAAATAACACGTATTGGCATATTTAGAAAACACCCAAGCTTGTTTCATTTAATAAATACGTAGTAATTAGTTATACTATTACTAATTACGTAGCCATGGTCGAGCGCAATACCCAATTACTTACTATACTGTATAATAATATATGGGCCATTTTCCATGCGTACGCAAGAACGTCGTCATTCGAGTACGTCCCTACGTTACGTCATGAGCGCAAAAAAAAAACGAGAGAAGTAATTTTTAAGCAACTGCGATCTTAACTTTTGATTTTAATTCTAGTTTAGCATTGCCGGAGAGAGGTTGTGGTGATTGTATTGGAGATATATATACATCAAAGTGTACAACATGTGGTCGAACGAAAAATATTCTAGTATTTCTGCTACCGTAACTGTGTTTGGATGCTCAGGTGTGGGCAAGACAGGTAAGAAAAAAATGGTAAATTTATTCTAGAGTTTTTTGAGCGTCTTTTCGTATAGTCGATCCCAAGAATAACTTGAACAATTGAGCAGTTAGTTAGACTTTTCGAATTATCAAATCATGAAAATAGAAAGATTTTAGATTCGACAGTGGCGCACCTCAGTCTATATATACATGTTTAAAGAATGAAATATTACTGTGTTAGGATATGCTACAATACCATACGTACGACAGTAATCCATCGGAACATTGGTAATTTCCGTTGTTGTTATACTCGTTTCCAACCAAAAACGTGTTCTCTACCACTGTTGGCAATTTTATTATTTACCATAAATTTTGTCGACCCATATTAAGAAAATATTTCTTAATGCCTAAAAATTTGCTGAGTAGTTAAATAAATTTTGTAGAAGGCGTGCCTGAAAATTACATGAAATGGTACAAGATAAAGGCGAGTTTGAATCGGACAAATGTCGCCATTTCCATATATATTAATGAGTCGCGTATGGCCATGTAGAAACCACATATGGTTGACACTTCAGAAAAATTCCTAAATTTGCAAATGTGACAATTCCAAAGAGAATTTTTAGGGTTTTCTATTTCAAATATGAAGCAAATATTGAAAAAGTATGAACAAAAACGGATATTTTATCTATCTTTCTGTGACTGTGATTTCAAACAATCTGTGAAATGGTAACTCTGAAAAAAGCGATTTTTTTTGCAAATGACAGTGAATTAAGTGAAAATTTACATGAATTTTTAGGAGAAATCGCTCGTTAATTAAGCAAGGTCACGCGCACTCATTCTGATATAAAGGAAATTTACTTTGTTTCGCATTCTTTAAAATAATTCAATTTCTTAGAGTCTTAGACCATCGATACATCCTGTTAACTAAAATTCATGCATTGTGCAATCAATATTATTCCTGTCCAACTAGAGCTAGAGATGAATGTTATTTTCACGGCACGCTATATGAAACACCGCTTTGTATGTACAATCTGTTAAGTGTAGACTGAAAAAAAATTGTTGCTAAACATGACCAAATAGGCCACTTACGCACGAGTATTATTATTCGTGTTCTATTGGTCACAATATTCGATAGTCCCAGTCCCGTAGTATGTCTACTACGTTAGGGTTAGGCTATAATTTTATTCCAGTTTTCCTTATTTTAGTTCTATTACGAGTTCGGGACTGTCTGTGTTAGCCAAGTGAATATCCCCCTGTCCAAAGGTTTCAGTCCCTTTACACAACTTGATGTAAAGTAGGTGAACAAATTAGTTATCCCATATTGATACACACACTTCTGGAGCGCACAATATTAACTTTTTATTCTAATACTCTCTGAGTCTAACATGTCTGATAATTCGTTTTCCCAAAGTCTTTATGCAATAAATCCGGAAATGACTGATAAGGATTATTTGTATTTTTACGTAACGTGTAATTACCGCTTGTTTTTGTAAACATTGAGATAATAATTACCCGGTATTATATTGATTGGAAATAATTTTGAAAATTGATTTTCAATCGTTCCTACCAGCTGTTTCTTCGACAGACAACACCAAATGTTTTTTTTTATAAATTTCGAAAAACTTTGCTATTATTATATATTAGCGTATTTCACTGTTTGATTTGAAATGTTTAGGGTTGGAATATTAGGTGTTAAAATTTCAATCAATTTTTAATTTGTTTTGGACGATATTTTATAACTTTTTTTTTTAAATCGAAAGCTGAGATTTTTTATATAATTGTTGTTTACCTTCATTTTTTCCAGGAAAATGTTTACCATAGCCCGACCGATTTGAGATAAAACCGTTCAATTTTAAGTTGAAAATATTTTTTCAATTTAATTTATAATTGTTAAATTTCATTATTCGTTTGACGACAGACTAAATTTAGATTTATTGTGTTTGTGCGCTAATTGTCGGGTACGTCTACTTAAACCGTATTATTTACTTTCCTGAGAAGAACCTAGCCTTTATTTAATTGCTCTGTAACGATACTACTAAACAAAAACATTAATTCTATACAATTTGATAGTATATAAACAAACTTAAGCGTTGAAATTAACATTATGTGGAATTGAGCGCGGATAACTCATTGATCGTTCATTTTTTGCGCGCAACATTTTTGATGTAAACTCAGCAGTTTTTCGAAAACACCGCCTTTTTCAGATTTGCAATTTTATTTTACCATCTTTTTAACAGTACGTTTCACCTTATCATGGCATTTGACACGTCCAATAAATTTTTGTTCTTTGTTTGCAGCTCTGGTTGTCCGATATTTGACCAAGAGATATATAGGAGATTACATTAGCGGGACAGGTATAATAATTTATATGTCTTATCTCTTACTTTATTGCCTCAATAAAAATTAAATCATTTCGAGAAAAGTAAACACAAATGAATTAAATTCGTAAACAAGCATGTTGTACTGAGCTGCATTCGGATAGGGCTCGAATTCCATGCTCCCAGATTATGAATGGTCACACAACGCTATTTCAAGCATTTTGAAATGAGACTATGTAGATCAGGCGTCTCGCCATCAAAATTTATTCCAATGGTATGACTTTGGTTCTCAACGACACTCGGGCCTAATTTAAAAAATTGTTTATTTGCGCTGCTCTCACGATTTTGACAACATTGCCAAATTTTATCCAATTATCATCTCAACTTTTGGGACAATTATAAAATAATACCGTCGAAACGGTTAAAAAGGTGAGCAATGCGCAACAATTTAAAATACTTGGAGTAGAGACTGCTAATTTTAACAGGTCATTATTTTTAACGAATAATTACTTCGATTTAAACAATCTCTTAAACCCTTTATAATTGTTTTATAACTTTATAACTTAATAGCTTGGTACATATTAGAAAAACATGCTGAAAAAATCTAAAAATGTGTTGACTACTCGAAACGTGCTGAGTATTTTTTGAAAACGTATATACGTGTAATTCGGTAAATTTATACCGAAAATAGATGTAATATTCTTAAAATTCTCAACCCCTTTAGTATTAAACCATATTCCTAAGCGGTTTTGAACTTTCTTCGTTTCCTTCAATTTTCTTCGTTTTGCCCAACGCTGTTTTGCAATTAAACCGCATTATTTTTCAACTTGTTTTCAATCGTTTTGCATGAACGTAACCGCTAATTTCAAATTAATTACTTCACCGTGTTTTGTGTTGTTGCTTAAATTAAAAATCAGGCGCCAAAGCGATTCAATATCGGCTGACAAATAATTCGAGGTTATGTAATTTCGCGGTAACTTGCGGTATTTTAGGGATAACAATCCATTTTAAACCGCTTTTGCGTGAACTTGGCGCTTCATAGTAAGGCGTACAAAAACGAATCCTCTGCGTGACTTATTATTCCTGAAATTTTAAAATTATCTTATATCGCAAACCAATTTTCACGTCGTTCGCATAATTCTGTGGTCATTTTACCGTTAATCCGAAATTCACCCGTGGCTACTTATAGTTATCGATAATTTGTGGCTAGAAGCGGCCTTCCAACCGTCTGCTGTTCAGAAAAGCAAGCCGTAATTTTTCTTATAATAACATAATTGTATCAAGTTTTGTAAAATGATATTCGATAAAATGATCAATGAAACAGCATCAAAATTTTTATATCCGATAACGCAATTTTCTAACGGATTTTTTTTTTGTTTTGACCTTTACTCTGAAATTGAAACAAAATTTATCTTTTCAGACATCACTTACAAATGTGAACTAAATTTCATGAGACGACAGGTCGAAGTTCAGATTGTTGATACAAGTGGGATAACCAGCAAGGTAAGGATTCATTTTCACTCTTAATCTTAATGATACGGGATGTTACCCTGCGCACCGACTTCCTTGTTTACTTCCGTGTCTAATCAGCGACTGTGACGTAAATATTTTTTGCCGCGCTCATATACTTTTCGCCTGGACAGATTATAAGTACAGTGGTAAACATTAACTCGTTCTTGTGGTGGCCAAGGGCTGGGGAAACATCCCTAAACTTGCGCAATTCATATCCATAAGACCTACGTAAGATACATAGCATATCAGAAATATTATTTTCGGGTTGTATATTGTTTTATACTGTTTCGTACTGTAAATGCGTCGCGCTACAGAATCCCTATATTTTTATTTTCACTTTCTTCTAAATTTGATATTTTAGATGTGCTTGACTGATAATATAATCAATATATACATGTTGTATAACTTCGAGTTGTGTAATATTTGTGAACGATGAAATCATTCATACATCATCAGTAAAATATATGTGTTTATTTATATCAATCAATCAATGCTTTGAAGTAACTTGTACCTGACTCCTCATTATTAGTGATATATCGTCAGTACCGTAGCATCGCTAAACGCTGGGAATCAACATTTTTTCATACTGTTGTTCTTCATGTATACGACATTTGAACACGTAAATTAGGCATAGCGATGGTTGGATATATAAGCGTAATAAATATGTTGGAATAGGGGTTGGATATGGGGCCACGATCGCTACTTGAATCGCTTACTTTTTATTGGGCTGCTTTTCAGACATTGAATTTGATTAATAGAAAACCAACATAGGATGCGTACTGTCCATCAAGTGCAATGAATTATGTAATGTTTGTTCTTTAGATGATTTTAAATCTGTCTAGCCTATATGGAGAATGGTGATATTAAAACACAATGAATCATAAATGAGTGGACATGCCTTTTTCTTCTCTTTCGTCAAAATTTACGATTGCGAGTGTCTTGTTCATTCATCTGTTACAAATGAAAATTAATGTGGCTTTTTGTGCGCTAATGCAGTTCCTGTATTTGTTTGCGGTCGATAATTGTAGTAAATATGCGTAAAGATCGCGAGCAAAAGCGTACAGACATCTGTGCAAACTGGACTTGAAATTCTAGATGACGCATAAGAATGTTTATCGACGAACGTAATATTTTCACAGAACGAAACATTGACGCGCTACAACAAATGTAATCATCTTTTGTAAATTTCTGATATTTTGCGTCTCGACAAATACATTATGGAAGTTAATGAATGATAAACAGAAAAGCGATATTTTCATAACAACAACAACAAGAAGAATTCGAACAACAACAACAATATCAACATAATATAAAAACGATTTATAGTTCCATTCCGTGTCCGAAAATTAACTTGTAACTTGAGAGTAACCTGACTTGTTATTCCCAGTATGCGAAATTCCATTTATTTCCATATACTGTAATGTTGAAGTGATTAGGTGACTTGAAATTCCTCTAATTGTGAATTTTTCACTTCTAAAATTCCAAGTCAAATTATAGAGCTTGTCAAGGCTTTGAATAAATTGGATTCTAAAGATCTTGCATTAACCGATAAACGTTGAGGTCAAGTGAGTTTGATTAAACCAAACCTGCAGTGTATCTAAGACCGTGGGAATTGAAAATCGCTTTTGTGACGAATGTGTGCAATGTTGTTGACCTCTAAGCAACTTTAGTTTGTAAAAACCATTTTTTATTTTCATTTTAGCCATTACCTTATTGGACTAGTTTGTTTCGAAGTAAAAAGCAGAATTTATCTTCGGATAATGTTAAATCAAAGCTACGTAGTCGGAAATCAGGTTTAAAAATCGTGATTGCGTTACAGCATTACTGATTGTAGTGCACACAAGTAAGCGTATCTCAAATCGAAATTCGATTCCAATGTCTTCTTGCAGCCTTTTGTTTGAATTTTCGTGTCCGTAGGGTAAGTTGGGTAAATAGGATAAAGAATGTGCTATTTACTAACATGTTGTGAAATCGTTCTCGCGTGAACCTGAATCTAAAAATTTGGTCAAAAACACGATCTAAATTCTCTAATGGAGTCTAAGCTCAGGAGAAATGGCGCACATGTGTTAGCACCCTTTGAGACCACACGGCTGGTGACGAAAGACAATAAATGATATACTTTTCATACATTTCATTGCAAAGATTGCTGCTTTGCGAGGAAACTGCATACATCGATGCCTTACAATACTTGGTATGCAATTGTTAGGAATAGGCGATTTTTTCAACAAAAAGCAGAGGATATGATAGCAATTAGAATCGGTTATTTTTTATAAAAAGCGCGAAAACATTCATATTGGTTGTTTCAGTCAACTTTAATAAGACCACAATAGTTATTAATTTTATTTTGTAATGTAGATCATTTTCTGAGTCATATAATATGCTATTAAACACTTGAATTTTGATTGACACGTGCTTTTAAACTTACAACCTTGATGTAATTTATTTATTGAACGAATATTAAATTTTCAGATTTTATCACAGTACATATTGTCAGTTCAGTAATCAAGGAAGTCAGCCACAATAGACCTTAATTTTTGCCAGCTAAATCAGTAAACGGGATATTAATATTTTTATTATATTATTTATTCTTAAATGAACACGAAAAAAATTTGTTTTCGAATTTTATCACTGACAAACCTTCCGATAAGAAGCTTAAGTGGTCACTAGTTCTTGACAGCTCCTGATAAAACCTCAATCTTATCACTTTTGTGATCGCGCACTCAACCAAGCATAAATCGTCGCGTCATTACTTTGAAACGTATTACAAGTTGCACCGTACGTTTTTGACGTTCAAGGAACTGTAATGCGACATCTAAGGTATTTCGATGTCCATGGAACGGTCTTTGCATAGTCTGTTATTGTAAAATACCTATAAGCCCTTACACAGCGGGATCAGGACTAAACTTTAAACACTATTGATATTGAGATGGCGCGCACCACCTGGATATTCTCAATGTTTAGCCATTTATCATCTAAGCCGAGAAAAGTGCTCAATTGGATTGCGGGTGGAAAAAGTACCCATAATCCTCTGAAATTGATAGCAGTTTGTGATGTCATTTCTGTAACTGACAATAATATATTATGCAACCTCATGACGCATGGTTTGAGAAATAAGATGTTTATTGTAAAGTGAAAAAGATGTGTTTGTATATATTTTGCGTTTTCAGTGCCGATGTAACAAAAATTACGTCAAATGAGTAGTTACCTGTTATTCAAATTGAAAATATTTAGAATCGTGGTATTTTACGTCATCGTCATCAACTCACGGGCCCAGTTCATCTTCAATTAGAAATTTTATCGATGCTCGCAAACAGGCTAAAATATTAAGTTATTGGACTGAAGTATGAAAAATATTTTTAGCCTATGTTGAATGACGATAATGGCATCTGGGTTTGAGGCGTTCCAGCGCATTGTTAATGGACCGTATATTCATAACTTTGTATGTTGAACATTTTACTGAAGAACTCTTAAAAATGTCAATTTAGATATGAACTTTTTTTGGGTTTACGATTTTTTCACATATTTGCCCAAAATGAGAACAGATGCGATTAAAATACCACGCCTAACAAGAAGCCAGAAATAAGCCCAAACATAAAATAAACCAACCGATTAAAATCAATTTTTATCTTCACTACCGCGTGCCAACTATAACAAAATTGATCATGTTTAGAAGCAAATTTTGTTTGTTGATTTTAAAGTTAAGCCCAAACACGCGGCGGACGTAACTAATCTCAACCTTGACCCAACTTAGATGTTTGTAACATGGGGCATGTTAGCTTGGACAAATTATTCAACAATATTATCATTAGTTGTTCCAAACGGCAGGTGATCGTGTTCGGCCATTACACCCATTTTTGGAAACCAAGTTTACCGAAATTACTCTCAATGATTTTTTTCAACCCTACTTTCATGTGATTGCGTGTTGACCTTGCTATGGGGGAAATAAATATCAAAATACACATAGCAAACTGTCTCCTATCTTCACCTTGAAGTTCATTTTCTAATGAGCTTTTCACCCCAAGTCAAAATACATTTTGGTGTAATTTCTATGATCTAATATATTTTCCTCCAAACTAACTCATCCATGATATATATTTTAAAAGCGAGATTGCAAGCGGCATAGTTGCCGCAGAATATCAGTCCGTGTCGATTATGTTTCGCGCTATATTTTTTTTTTGAATATTTTGAAATTATCATTGAGTCAATAAAATTTTATGTCGCTTTCTCAGATGCATACCTTGAAATAAAATAACGGGCAATATTCATATCATATTTATTTATTGCAGGATCGAGTCATTGACGTTGCAAAAAATCAGAAGACGGATAAAGACGTCATAATGCTAGTATACAGTTTTGACGACAGATCATCGTTTGATTTTGTCGTCGATATATTGCCGCACCTATCAGAAGCTGCACCAAGAGCATCATTGTTAGTCGTCGGGAACAAATCAGATCTAGACGAATCATGGTGAGATAGCATTGTCACAACCTTTGTGTTTTGCATGAAGTTCTATGTTTCTTTTATGAAAAACTTGAGTACATCACTACAAAAATGTAGTAAGTTTTGAGCTCCAGTGAACTTTTACAATAAAGTGTTATATTGGGGGGTTCAAATATCTTGCATCTGCTTGTCTGAGGAAGTCTGACGTTGTTTATACCAAACGTTACAGAATAAAATTTGTGAAAGTGTTATGCAAGGTATTTATACCACCTTGCAGTCGGTGCATACGCAATCCACTAACACTTACCGGTAGTCAGAATAAGGAAGCAGTAAGCTCACGCTACTCAACCATATACGCAAAGCATTACGTGTTTACTTTATATTTGTATTTGATTTATTTCCAACAAATGTCGATATCCCGTAATATAATACAGAAAACAACATATTGCTTTAAAAATCAGTCAGCCCTCGGGCTATATTGGTATTTTTTGAAATTTGTGAAATACAGCTGTGCAGCTGATCCTGACATTGTTTACTTAGTGATAACTTATTAATAAGTTGTGTTTCGTTGACAGCAATTCATACGGGACCAAAATGAAGCGATTGCAAAACCAGTTTTCGTTTACACACGTTACTGTATCAGCGAAATCATCATGTGGAGATGCAACTCGAGTATTTACGAAGTCAATTGGTCTTGTGATAAAACGTAGAATGATGGAAACAAGTGCTTCGTCAAACGATCTTACCGTTCGGGATGAAGACCGTCCACACGATTTTAAATTTCCTCTGGGATCACGTAGGTCCCGTTCGGGTGGCCCAGATGCAAAATTGCCCCGAAGAGCGACTGTTGGTAGTGGATTGGGTTTGCCTCCTACACCAGAGAGACGATTGTCTGACAGGTTGCCTTCAGTTGATTTTACTATTGTCGAAGAAGACCTTGAATTGGATGGCAGACAAGACAATACATTCGCGGCAGCACTTGCCGACGAAGAATCGCTATCGCGTCCGCAACCAAAGTCCATATCATTCCGCAAGCGCAAGAAAATTCCACCTGCATCAATTGTCTTATATCCGCCTAGTGGCGCAGAGGATGACAACAATAACGAAGTATTACACCTGAAAGACAGTTATAGAGGCCCGCCTCTTTCAGCTCCGTTACCCAGTAATCCTTTCCCGGTATTTCGTTTCCCTGAAGTATCTTGTGCTGCAGAATTCAGGTACGCTAGTTTACCAACGTCACCAAATAGTGTTTTGAAACGGAACAATAGCTTTTTAAATAAAGTAAAGAGTGCTCTTACGGCTGTTCCCCAGAGACTGAGAAGCCCTAAATGAGGCAGACGAATAATAATGGGAATGTGCATTCGCCATTTTGTCCATTATACAGGCATTTATTGTGCAGTAAGTCGAAATCAACCAAGAGCAACGCGTTTACTACTAAATCGTATTCTGTATCGCTTTCCCGCGCAAGTATTGCTGTCGTGCGTTATCCCTCAACGCCCGCCTGTAAATATGTGGCCGTGATATTCAAATCAAAATAAAATAATAACTGGCTCACTCGACTACTGGAACTCGCCATTAAGCCTAAGCATGGACCATTCTTGTATGAACATTTGAATGCAAATATTTTTGTTGGTCATCGTTCATTACATTCACTCAATCAAATCTGAAATTTTTATCCATTTCTCATTTCAATCTTCATGTTGAACCGACCTTAGAATATCACTAAATATCACCAAACCCCAAAACAATTTATATTTCAATATTGAAACCACCAAATATGATTTATATGAAGGAAGTAGTATTGGCAAATTATGATAAATGGTTAAGCCCATAAAACTCATAGACTTGGATATATCATATAATCGACCTTTAGTTGAAATATATCTGATTGTGACGTTTGACTCCCGTCTGTGATCACTCAAAAATGTACTTTTGAGTGAGTTTATACACTTGTGAGTAGGTTTTTGTGGCTTCGCCTTCAAATGAATGTTTATAAAAAAAATAGTACTTTATTTCGTACGTTGGCAGCCGTTTCGAGACAGACAGTTCAATGTTGTCCAAGAAACTTGATGGCACAAGAACAATTTTTTTTTGTTATTTTTGGGATGACCGCTCCTTTCCGCTATAATTTATAGTTAGGCAACGAAGCGCATTTCCACCACGCTATTAGACGTATTAGGTTAAATTACCTTGTCTGTAGATTTTTGAAAACCCAATAGGTGTCAAATACCATATTCTTTAAATTCAATATACATTGGTCTGCATACGTCCAACTTTATTGAATAAACACAATGTTATTATTTGTTATAAACGCAGAATTTATGGTAACATTTACAAATTTCTCTACTGTACATATCCTCCTATTTGGAATGGTCGATATAAAGTACTGGTAAATCAAGTGTAACATCACTTAATTCTCGGTAGCTTATAGTATTTGCTACTGTATACTCTTTATATTACTTCAGCTTAACCCTCAATCCTTTTAACTGGTTGGATTTGTTGGGCTAGCAGATAGTCACCCTGAACAAACTATAGCCTGCAGAATAAAAGCCATGAATAAGAAGCTTCATTATGGGTTCGTGCATACGTGACTCATTCTAGATTGATTGACATGGTCTGAGAAAAAAATGCGAATTCAATTATATATTTACCGACTTATAAGACAGCGGCAGTTTTGCAATTAAGCGAAGTTTCGAAAATTTTAAGTTATGTCTTTAAACGCTATATGATAATTTGAAGCACATATATATCGTAAAAACGAAACAATGTTTATTTGGTTTTTACAAGATGTGTATTTACTTTCAATAGATAAGCAATGTTCAAAGCATACGTTTGCTACAATCCAAAACTTAGCCGTAAGCTGTTTGGGTGACTTTGTGATTTTCGAATTGAGAAAACGATACTTTTAGTAAATTGTCGAATCTTATATGGAAACTTGTAACACGCTTTCAAAATATTAAAACGTCATTTAGTTGATTGTTTGGGTGCTCCAAGCTGATGTATAATTCTATTTCAAAATAATCCGCTCGAATTTATATTTCAAATCGCACCATTTAATATCAGATTGAAATTTTCTACGTATTCAAAAGATATATTTACTTGTGGTTTTCTATTTTGAGTTTCAAACCTGGAATTTACTGCCCGAACTCAAAACGATATTTCAGATTTTGATATTATGCTTTTAATTTGTATTAAATTATATACTTTTTCCATTTCATTTTCAATATTTTCTTCTGTATATTGTACATTTGCACTGTTACTTATTTGATATTTTGTTTACTATTTTCTTTACTATGAAATGAATAGCTATAAATAAAAAAAAAATGCAAATTGATCGAATTATTGTGGTATTCGAAGTTTGTACAGGAACTAAAAGCCGAGTTGGATAAGCAATGTTTTCGATGTAATCTGATGAGAAAAATCGATGATTATATGATGGACTACTTTTTGTGCGCTTACCAATAAATGTTAGATGTTGATAAAAGCAACCGGTCACTATTGTAGATTCCCGTCTATATATTATAAACATATTGAAGAACAGGAATCTTATAGCTAGATAGGAAGGGTTCTGTTAAAAAAGCGAGTCCAATTTGGATTTGGCGACTTCGCACAGTTGTAATGATCTAGTCCTAGTTGTTAAAGGTTTAGACTTATAACTTTTGGCGTCGGAGATTACCCATCTCAGGCCCAAGTTCCTGCTACCTACTCCACTCAGGGTGTAATAAATCTTGGTGGGCAATGCCGAACCGGAAAGTATCCGGTTATTCAAATAAAAGCAACTCCTTACACATCGTAGGATATCTGACGCCGCATGTATTATGTGGCATGGATCGTAGCAAAAGGCGTGGATAGGCATCGCATTAAAAATATACCAAAAAGATTCGCATATCTCGAACTGTTTTCTAGCTGTGAAAGATCGGATTTGTTGTTTCTTGTTGTTCCTAAACCTTTAGGGCCTTTTATAGTCGTAATTACAAACGTCTGCAATATTTGTAGTGTTCTCTGCATTTCGCAATTTGCAGAGAAAATTGACAAAACCGCTTCCTGAAATGTTAAAATGTTGAAAAGAATCCAATTCGTAAGTGAAAAAACGTGAATTGCTTTTAACGAAAACAACAATTTGCAATCAGCAATAAATAGCACTTCGCCGAAACAACTAACACTTACGTTAAGTGGCAATATAATCCCATTACAATGTAAAAAACAATTTGTCTTTCTGGTCATATACACCGAGTCATGTGTGAGATATACATTTAAGTGAAGTAATGCTGGAATTAAGCATAAGACTTGGATAAATATACATTTGAAGTTTAATTTATCACTGGCTTGAACATGGTAGAATTAATTGTTTTATTGCGCAATAGTGATAGTTTGTAATATTGGAGAAACGATTTTGGCATTTCAATTAAAGGTTCTACTATTTCGGTACATTTTTTGAATATTTTCACAGGGTTTACAGCACACAGCGCACGTTTGACATAAAAATACCAATTTCTTAAGCACCAACTAGGGAATTAGAAACTCGTGGCGTAAAGGCAAACTAATTCCTCTCAAAATAATTAAACTCAACGTTAACTCAATTGAAATTGCATCAATTAAATTGAAATTTTGTTTGTGTCTTAATAGCTTTAGATACAAGCATATGCAACAAATACTAATTCCATATTATGAGTTGGTACAGTTCGCATTTAGAGACAGAAAAAATACCATAAGTAACCAACCTTAGAAAAGAACGACTGAGACCGCTTAATAACTTTATTTATGTACAATGGTATACATGGTGTAAATGAAATTTAGTTAACCAGTTTAAAAATATTATCATGTGGTCTTATGATAAATTTTTTGATAGTCTTGGTAGACCCTAGTAAAATTCTAGCTGATATCAGTAAATTTCTCAAAGCAATGCCATGACCATCCAATGTCATAATACGGCATAAAATGTTTATTGTGAAATATGTCCGAAAGATGATATTATTGATCCATCTTTGACGATGTCTTATCTTTACACGTCATCGCCTACTCCCTTGTCACATCTTCAACAAACCTGCGATAATGAAAAATAAACGACATATGTATATACAATCGAGTATTACATTATTATTGATGTCAACGTGAGGGAATTTCATTTATTTATTAAATCGCCCGACTGTCAGTTATACTAGGCCAAACCTAAATCGGTAAAACTCTATCTTTTGTCCAACTGTATAGGCGAGCAGTGATGAGAATAGTGAATGAAATCCTCTGGCCCAATGAGGAAGACAAATTAAGAGAAGTTAGTCAGAACTAAGTTAAGTTCATTTCAGCGTCAAATCTTGAGTTTTAGTTACAAATATCATGGATTTAGTAACACTATATCATGGTGTCAAAAGGGAACAAGAGACTGCACTTTAGGCTCTTATAATTATCAGATGTGTATTCGAACCCATGACATGGTTTTACGCGAGTGCTGTGATACAATCTTGTATTTAACATTTATAAGCTTAAATTTGACATAATATCATGTTCGATTGAGCATAAACACATACTATTCTATTGTTTCATGTCTGATCTTGCTTGGCTGAACGTGTTCAAAGTGATAAACAATTGTCTAGCGCGTGAAAGATTTTTTGAGATAAATTTCATGGGTCGTTTGTCAAGTTGACCTGAACATTGTGGGATTACGAGTAATATTTGCAAACCTAATGCTTGCTAGGCCATCGAATTGGGAACATGCATATTCAAAATAAAAAGACTATGAGTCGTTTGTGGAAGGTGAAAATATAGATATCAAACTTTTGAGTTGAAGATTGAATTACTATACTTTAGTGGCGAACATGATTACATTTTAAAAAGGTATAAAAAATGAACCATGTTTTAAATTTCCACAAAAATGGACACGCTGCTAATATTATTTTTTTCCAAAATAAAATTGTATTTTTCAGCAATTCGAAGTTAAATCGTTGTATTGAGTATTAATAAGGAAAAAGTTGTTGCGGTCATAATATTAGCAATAGTGTGAAATACTCAGCCGCCAACTATAGAATTATAATAAATCACAGATATAGTTTCATAAATATTGATATGGAGAAAATTCTACAGACATGGAGAAGCTTTAAAACATAAGTAATTGCCCTTTGCCCGTCATCGTCCCATACTTCATTGTATCATGAACCTGATACCCAATTTTCTGATTAGAGTAGTTTTGCGTGCTTCCAGACGATTGTTGACTGGTGTCATTCAAACCGCGAAGTACTTCAAATTGCTTCTTCTTTACCAGATGGAGATAAGATCAAATTCATTCAAATGATGGTGAATCATTGCGAAATTGTCCCGCATCCTCGAGCAATTCAACAATTTGTTTGCTATACAAAATGAATCAAATTCATTGGACGCCAGATCAACGGTTCGTCGTCTGGTGACTTCGTTTTGAACGATTGTTCACAGACGGACGAAAATGTACCGCAATTATAGGGACGGAATATTGAGTAGGAGAAGATACACCCCAATCAAGCTCAATCAGATATGAATTGATTGCAGTTTCAAACAACCTGCAGTTCAGAAGCAACTTTTGACACCAATCTGACGCACACACTCCAGACTTATTGTCGATTTTGTCTTCTCGTGCGGGGTCATTCAGGATTGTTAGGTGTTTTGGTTCGAAATGTGTGAAATCAAACGATGATTTAATGTGAATAATTGTGAAATTGATTCAAATGATTTAATGTGTATGAAGGATGTCGTGGAGTCAAACCAATAAAAAAAAAACATTGTGGATTCAAAAGTGTTTTATAATGCATCTCCGATGTAGTATGAAATGTGGAATATTTCTGTCACTAGGGCCAATTTTATTTTAAGATAGGGAGCACGAAATTACACTTATTTGGAATCATTACACTTTCAATAAATTGAGTTTAGTCTGGCTCGCAAAATTATTTATGTAAGTATGAAACTGCGCTATATTTAACCGTTAGACCACAATTATTCAATATAGACTACAATTATCCTAACACAATAACAATATTTCAACGATGTGGCGTATATAAGAATACTATGAAGAAGATGCAGTTAGATTAAAATGATCTACAATGCTGTAAAGGTTGTAATCGCCGATATAACGTTATAAATTAGTGTCGTTTATAATAAACAAAATGAGACCGTAATTCAATTTTGTAGTTTTGTTGCGTAATATATTTTGTTTTCCTTTATACTGCCAGCTAAGAAGCTGATCAAACAGCAAAAACATTAGTTACAAAATGACACGACCCCGCGTGCTTTATTTCAACTCAGTTTCGCTTTGATTATTTATTTTTGTGAAGGGAACAGATAAAAGTATGATTTACCAACACTAAAATGCTACAATAATACATAAATTGTTACGTTTTCCACTTTCCTTAGTTCTTCTTATTCAGTCGACTAGTCGAATTTCTGGTCTAGCCATGTTAAGATTACAGGTAAACGACCTCTGGTTCAAGATTTTTATGCTAATTTGCCGAAGCATTTCAAGTATCATTTCATTTTCTTGAAGGCCCAATAATCATAAATTAAAAAAAATTTTCCGCTGGAAATTTAGAACTACCGGTATCTTTATAAGGCATATATGAGTAAATCAAATAAAGAACATGATCGACCACGTCCTATTATTGTTTATACTGTATTATTCAAAGCAAGTTTGCATCGAAACGTGGTGATTCACTCTTTTGTTCCTGTTTGTTATATTGTTTTCTTTTCCGCCATCAGATGGAGAAGAACCTATTCTTGGGAAAAGCATGTTTACGCTGCTTTCCATGTTAGATTTCGTCAGTTCGGTATACACTGAATATAGCAAATATGTCGAAGTCGTCAACGATAGCATCAGTAAATAGCTCAAAGCTTTTGAGGATTTAAGTTCAGATCATTATCGATTTTTTATGGTAGGTTGAAAAACAGTCAACGATTTCAATCCCGTAAAACTAAACTATTCTGGTCTAAAATATTGTTCAAATAATAAAATTTTGTTTCTCTTTTTTTCTCTTTATAAAACATCTGATAATCAAATATGAGTGAAATTATTATTTACAATCTGTGTTTTAAATTGCTTATCTGAGGGAAGTAAGACTTTGATCAGGCGAAATAAAATTTACGAAAGTGCGTTTTAACCGTCCATTGGCCCATTTCATTGTTTTTACGGATCCATGCAGAGTGGGTGCATATTATAAATCCACTAACACAAAAGAAGAGATAAAAGAATAGTAATTAGGAACACGATCTAATCAACCATACAATCTGTAATAAAATGTTTGTCAAATTACCAAATTGTCAGTGTGAAGCAAAAAAATAATATTTTCTTGTGACATGCGTTATTCGTGATTGAAAGATCTTATTAAAAATAACTGGGAGGTTAGTACAAGGTCAGTAGCATATCAAAGCGACAGCATGCACGAGAAAAAAAAACTGATTCCTATCATAGTACAGATAACGCGGCGCAAGAAAGACATATCAAATGACGCATCATGTGCAACGGCATAGTATCAAGTTATAGACGACTGTTGTAAACGAATCTTGCAGCATTCGAAGTGTACAATTTTCAAGGAGTTTGTTTGGCAACTGAACCAATTCATTACACCCTCAATAAATATAAATAAATAAGTTTGCGAGGCGATGGTATTTGCAATAAACAGGACAACCGGGATATTCATAATTCATCTTCGTATTTCAATCACACGACACGAGTAAAACCTTAAACACACACCTTCCTTTTGATTTAGTTTCATATTTTGCTCCCTTGTTGATCCAGAGACATGCAAAGGGTGATCGATTATCCGGTACCGATGACATTTTTTCGGTTTTGGCAAGATACATTGTTTTTAATTTAACAAAATATATATTAAAACAAAGATCCCTATATTTGCATTTGAAATGGAGAAATGATCGAGTAATGTTTTTTTTTGCGGTCTGCATATAAATCACGGACGTAATATATCGTGCTATACATCATATTTGATGCACAAATAATTGAGAAAATGAAACAATGAATCATTTCAACTTCAAAGAGATACATTATGTATTTGCGCTACAATAAGCACCCCGATGACGCCATCTCAACCGACTTTGCGGACGTTTAGGCTTGATCGAACGGTCAGTAAACACTATTAAAAAAGTCAGGGATATGATCCAGAAGTTGCAATGAACTGGGACTGAATTTGATTTTTATCAATACCAATTAATTTAAAGTTCAAATTCGACAATGAGCGAAAGTAAGAAAAACCTTTTGTTTGGATTTCAAATCTTATGCTTGTGAAGTATCATGTACATAATATGACAAAATTTTACAGTATTCGTACTGTGAAGATTCAATTTTATATGGTATAGGTTACACGCAGGATAAGCTTGTTAATTTTACACATTTTTAACAGCGTTTGATTTGAATATAAATTTCCGAGTTACATGGGTCATTATATTTGTAAACGGGCATTTCTCCCTCGTAATGATGTATTATATCCCCTAATTTCTTGCGCAATGTTTTCCTACCAAATTCCGTCGATTATAACCGGAAATTAACATGCAAGAAAATTAGCACTAAAATTCGGCCATGAAATTATTAAGATCAGACAAAAAATTTTGTGTCATCTTAGGTACCCCCTGAAATGTGACCCCAAAAATAATGAGACCACAAACATTTTGTTTGTTTTTTCGGAATATACATACCGAATCGTTTGCACTTAAGAATAGAGAGAGCTTCGTGTGACAATTCGGGACCATCAGAGCGAGCCCTTGGATTATAGAATTCAGAGAGATTTATCAGTCACGTTATAGTAATGCGTTTGCCTAAAACGAAGGATCGTTAATGAAGTGAATTGACTTGTATTGATCAATGTTAAGTAGACTAGAAAAATAAACAAACAGCAAATATGTCAATCAGGCTTATGTTTTAAAACGGGACTTAAAAAGTTCACGATATGAATTTGAAATACAACTAAAGCACAATCATAATCATGTTTAAATCTTAGTTGAATTAAACACGATTAAACAAATTCGTGTTCGCACCTGATTTTTCAAAATTTGACAAATCATACTTCAGTTTAGTCTTCGCCATGCATGGTAGATCGGAAATTTATCTAGTCTATTCCTCGCTCATGTCTAGCCAATGATGATATCAAGCGCGGTTAACTGACGTAGAAAAAGCATTATCTCAACATTATCTCTATGTTATGTCAGTTAATATCGAGTTCCTTACTATTACTGCAGGATTTAAAAGCAAATTAGTTTGATAAAATCGCTATTTTACCTTTAGAACAATATTACACGTGCTTTTATTCTATATGGGCTTTACAAATCCAACGATTTTTTCTAAGAAATAAATAAACCAACACTTAGTATTATAATAATGGTCGAGTCCTGGTCACTTATCCGATAAAAAACCACGTTACACCCAACTCATTGAATCAGTTGGTAAAATGTGGGCAAAATATACATTTAGGGTGTAGTAATTGTATGCTATTACTCTAAAAAAACCTTAAACATTTTCAATCCCATAACCAAAATTGCTTTCATATAATACGCATAAAACGTTATGAGCAATGCGTGCAATAGTACTCGGTGTCAGTAGTTTCTTGCTAGATAACTGTACCAATAGATAACAGGTACAATAATGGAGCGAAAAGGTATCCTTGGGTGATACCATGGAATTTTTACCCTGACAAACTAGTGTATCGTAAAAATCATTTAAAAAATAATTTTTTCGCGATAAATTCTCAAACTTATACATTAAACCAGTGTTTCCCAACCTATGGGTCGCGACTAAAAACTAGGTAGCCTGAAAATGTCATTGGGTCGCTTGTTTTTTCAACATAAACCTAAAAGGTATTAATTTTATTTTCTAGTGAATTTTATTGTTTATTTCATAGTTGGTATCAGGGTGATGCCCAATAGTAATTGAATATGTGGGAAGTGTCAATGCGTGAAAACTTGGCAGCATTCATTTTGCTAAGTAAAGCCACGCCACCATTTCGAGAGCTCGCTGATGGCAAACAAGCGCTGCCTTCTCACTTGGGGTAATTTGGTGAGGGGAGGGACATTCTGCAAAAATTATTGTTTAATATTGGTCATTATGTTTGCGGGCCTAAAAGTACTACATACGGTTTAGTATTTGCGCATGTCCTTGGGTCGTGAGATTTAACAAAATTTATCTTTAAAACGATTTGGGTAGCTCGAAAAAAAGGGGGGAACCACTGCATTAAAAATTGTAACCGTTTTGATTGGGAAAAAAAATCTTGTGAAATCAAGTATTCAATTTACAGCAAGTAAAGGCAATGTATTCGTCCGGTTTATGGTTACTTACACATTACAGCTTCAGCCTCCTTAATACTGACATACACGGTGCTGACGTTGCATTACCACACTAATTCTAGTGTTAAATATACCTGCTTATACCTTAATCCAACAGAGACCTACATGGGTGGTTTGTTTATTTGAAAATATTAAGGCAGCTGTAATTCATTTATCCGTTGACCTCAAGAGTTCTCAGATGAGTAAATACAAGGGGGAAGGAAGTACAGAATTTCTTTGCATGAAAATTTCATTTACCTTGCTCGAACACTTTCCATTGCTCTTGAAGCAGAGGCCAATTGTGCACGAAATATCCACTTTACTTCCTCGGAGTGAGAAGTTTTGATAACGGAAACGGAAGCGGAAGTTGGATAATGATTTCATGGTTGTTATCGGTAGTCCAATATTTTGATTCGGACAACTAAGAAACAAATATGCTATTATTTACCTATGGTAGGAGTTGTAGCTAAGGAGAAATATATTATTTTTATAAGTTGAAGAGTCATGTTCTGGTCAAATATACTTAAAAATCCTACAACGGTATTTTGTAATAAATAATGTCCCTGAACAATACTATTACTATTTCAATTAATTTCAGTTTCGTGAATTTGTAACTACAGTTCGAAATCAGGAAATAATACGCATAAAGACTACACTTTCTTCCGGTATGATATATTATTTTGAGTGTTTTGAATTTTTTAAGGTGATTCAAGAAACACGTCAATTGAGTTCGTATCCAGAAACAGCATATCATGCGATTTAGTGATATTTTTTTTAATGAATAAATGGCATAAACAGATATATTGTGGTAAACTTTAGATAATCTAATGTTGAAAGTGTTAAGTCTATATACTTAGCCTAGAACGAATAATGCCATATCTATAATGCCATTCAAACAAAGCAGGCCCCATCGAAACGCAATTACGTGAATGCGTAAACAACTGAGTGTGGCTGGGGGAGAAGTAATACTCGACTAGCGAGCGAATTTTGTTTTCAGGTTAAGAGTTGAAATCATGCATAAGTTAAAATATTAGGTTTGCGTCGATATCAGTGCGCTTATTTCCAAATGAACACGACATCGCCGGATTGTTAGCATATATCTTCTAAATGGAAACGAACGATTGCTTCGTATATAAAGCCATTTTCGTCATCTGTCTTTCAGTACCAAATAGCCAATTGTTGCACAGTCAATGTCCCATTGAGGCCAGCATTGGTCGTAGTTTTATCATACTTTGCATATATGGATTGGCGAATATTTATAGCAAGGTCTGATATTTTCAATAGATTGAAAGTTACCCATTTAGAATCAACTGTACGCTCTGCTGGCGATATTTGGAGTTACTTTCAGAATATGCCGTGCAGTCAGTCACTTCGATTCCCGCGAGGGTAGGCACAGTTTCTTTTAAATAGTTTTCGCGTCTTTCATCGTACCCCACCTCGACAAAGACCATTTCTCCTATACGTTTGTGGGCGCCTGAAGAAACAAAACGAAATGGGTATCCAAATATTATTTATTCCGTAGATAATAAATATAGACAAGACATACCATATGTTGTTGACAGCTGAATACTGGGAGAATGGTGAATTATATGTTAGATATGAGTTTGTTTTGACAAATATGTCGGAAGTGGCAAATGGTCTACAATCTACATAACCATCAGTAGTAGTAAATCGTAAAAATAGACATTTTCCAAAACACAAAAGGATAATTGCCTAAACGTATACCACTGACTAAATATGAGCAAACAAATTTGAGGGAATCGAAGCATGAAAATAATAATAAGAGATTCGGTACGTTGTGATCTTTTCCATCCATAATAAATTTAGAATTTTGACGTTTTTTTCACCCAACATTAGTGGAAATAAATTTATACTTGTGGAGAAGGTATTGCACTATTTGCTTAAGTGGTGATGTGATCAAGCTAGATAAAATTGAGCAACGTACGATCTAAAATATAATTGATTAAGGAATCGAATAAAGACGTCATTCCGTGGACTGCGCGTGGATTATGACGTCAGCATTCAATCTATATGATTGACTGTTCATTCACCATCTGTGCCACCGTAATTACCATCATTATGCATGTATTAAAAACGAATACACAGGAGAAAATGCACTATTGCTTAATTGCTTTGAAAGTCCCAATGCAGCCATTATAAAGGTGGGAGGATAGTGCCATCTAGGGGTGAAATACTAAAAAGCGTTGTTTACAAGATATCATTTTACGTATTTGAAGAAACCAGAACCAGCCATCTAATTTCATATTTCATTTTTTCTTGGTATTTTATTCGTTTTTATTCATTGTTTTCTTTAATTGTAGTTTGGATGATTTAAATGACGACAAAATATTAGGAAATTCAACTCGGAAAGTTTTACTATAAACCTAAAAGTTTGTTTGAAATCCAAGATGGATTCAAGTTATTAGCATTCCATTGATTAGGATCATCGGCATTTACATGTTTGTAATGCTTGAAACGAGCAAAAATTTTGCCACGCACACAGTCCTACCCGTGCACAACTATAGCTATGGAACTTTACTACCAACTACTCATTACTTACCTGGTTTCAATGGTTTTGTGTAACCAGAATCTGCATATAACGTTATCGTTGGTTGATAATTCAGAAGAAAAAGTCCACCCCAACCGAGTATACTCGACATAGTTTTACGATGAACGTCAGGTTTTTGTATAATAACTTGTTGATCTGAAGATAGTTCATGACAAGTACAAGAAAACGTAATTCTAGCTTGAACCCACGTGAATAAACGGGGTTATGGGACAATCTATTGCGTATTGTTATCTGGTCAAATGAAAAAATTGTCCATAACATAGTTTACGTATAAATTCACAAAAGTCGACAGTCTATTCTGATATTGCACCCAATAGGCTCTTAAGATGAGAATTGTGAATTTGTTTACCTCCGGTATTTGAAGAATCTCTCCACATGTTCAAATCTACATTTGGAAGAAGTTTGCATGGTACTGGTGTATTGGTCAATACGTTCGGAAGCCTCATAGCTGATGGTTGAATGTTTGTTAATTGTGGCATGTTGTTACAAATTACTTTTGCCAACGTAGTCTTTCGAAGCTCACGTACTTGTTCTGAAAGTTAGTAATAATCAAGTAATACTTTAGAATTTCTTGAATTGTGATCATTCTCACACCAAAAAATGCGACCCGCCCGAATGGACACAATGCAGAAATTCATGCCTTCGGATTTATTTAAAAATTGAATTTCGAATAAATTTTCATAAACACAAGTGAATTTTCTCTGGAGGTTACACTATGCGAATGCGAATGCAAGTATCGCTAACATCAATTTTATACACAAAAATTAATTGTGAATACTTTGCACTTGCTTCCTCTTAATGTTTCAAGTTCAGCTAGCAAGAAGTAAATAGCAAAGAAAATAATAGGATAAAATTTAAATATTCATCCTGGGATTAAAAGGAAATGCACGGAGAAACATAAGACCGCGAGAAAGGAAAATACTGAAAACCATCCTAAGTTTGTATATAGAGGCTGATGGATGTCCTCTTTTTTTTGAAAGTTGGATTGTCATATCTTACGAATTAATCAATAACAAGTCCTTTGTTGCATCGTATATAAAAGTTATATAAATACCTTGATTGAAAACAGCATTAGGAGGTTGGTTGTCAAACCAGAATCTATCTCCTTGCTTTAATTTGACGAATTGATTTTTCAATATACAGGCAAAGGTTGGTCCTACAGTACTGCCTTGAACAGCTTTCTCCAATAAACCACCGACATAAAGATCTATATCTTCCACTGACCTGTGGGTAATTGTGGATCAGATGGAGTAAAAATAATCATGTTACTGCAAAAGATAATTCGAATAAATGCAAACAGAGAACTTGGATTATTTGAAAGTCAACAGAAATACACTGTTCTGATTTGCTCATTTAAAACAGGTAGCTCAGAACTTACTTTAATTTCAACCTCTCCTCGTTCTATATAGTGCGACAATCATTCATTTTCAATTCTAGATCTCAATCTATATATTGTACTTCGAAACTCTGCCATGATTTTTTTATAGTGTCACTTAAAAACAGATACCAAAAAAAAATACGATATTTTACAGTGCATACTTAATCTACTTTTTATGTTTTAAGCAACGATTCTGGAGTATAATATAAACAAATAGCGAATATATATAAAACTAGGTTAATCACAAGGTTCTAACAACTAAAATTTTCAGTGTCAAAATAATGTTTTATTTATTAAGGTGAAGTTGTTCAGTTTAAAAATATCGCCTTTCGGTTATTCACTATATTAACATGCAGTAATAAACTTTCCCGCACCTGTATAAAGTTCGAAGCATATTGGATTGTTTTTCGTTGAACACAACGTTCAAATCTGCCATCATCGAAATAGTTGAAAATCCACACCATTGGCGCCATTTATTATATCCAGGTATTCCGTGGTCCCGACCTCGGATAAATAAAACTTTGATAATCATAAATTTGTGCGTCATCCCACAATTTTTTTAATTACAGTACAAGTTTCATAAATGATACAATTAGTCATGGATATTTAGCCCAACAAGGTTTTTATTTATCTATGGGCATTTTAAGATAAAAATTTAATGCGTATTACCTCTTTGAATGTTAAGTGCAAGCAAGTCAAGTCCTGGGCCACTTCCGTTCGCAAACATTCTGTTTCTGAGTGCATTGGTGAATTCGCCGTCTATCTCGTTTCCCGGAGTTGACAGCAGACAAGTAGACAGCCCATTTGGACCTGTAGTTTTGAGAACTTTCAAGGTTCAATTATGTGCCTCCATGGATATATACGCACAGGATGGGATGTTGTCACTCACCTATACTATTATTGTATAAGCTTGAAGGGTTAAAAAACGCAACATTCAAACTGTCGTCACTCATTTCCTCTGTGCTGGAAGAAGCCTGCTGTGGCTGAACAAAACTGTCCGTAACTTGACTGTGTCCAAACCGAAAAGCTGCAGTTGCAAATGCGTTTGAAATTGTAGGGTCTACTTCGGGATTGTATTGTGAAAGAGATTCTCCATCATAAATAGACAGGGCCATTTCGTCACCTAAAATGTATACCTCAGCTTAACATTAAAACGACCATCTGGTATGAAATGAAAATCTAACGAGGATTTGCCATAGACAGAGTATTCCACAAGACGAGGATAGAATGCTCAAACATAATATACGCTTCAATTTTCTTTGTATGTGTGAATAGGTGTTTGAAAGTTAAGTTCTAAAATAAAATATTTGACATATTTTTAAATGCTCCTACATTATACAAAAACATTGATGTAAGGTTTTAATTTTAAACTGCATGCATTTTCATTTAACTATAAGCTACCTAAAATTTCTTTCATATACTCTGAATATGTTATATGCTGATGCTGAGCAATGATGATTTGTCTTGTCTCCCAGAAAATTCTTCGTTTACTCCACCTTGGATTTATTTCCCTCAAACGCTCAGCAATCCTATTGTGTTCTCGAACCCACAAAAGATGAATCAAAGTCAAAGTAGGTGTTTCATTCACCCTATATTGTATAAAAAAAAATTGGTATTCATTGAATTGATATTAAATGGTATACAGACATAAAGAATGGAATGTAGAAATTTTTCGATAAATTTGTTTCCTATTTATATTAAATTATATTGGGCAATCCAACACAAGTTAAAATATAAAGTCCTATTACTTGAGTGAAAGGTTCACGATATTATAAGATTAGTGAATAATAAAAATTTGTTTGTTTTTTGTGTTTGTGAATTTTTTTGTTTTAAATGGCTGTTTTTTCTTTTTTCACTCCCTTAATGACTGGTGATCAGGAATAGGGTTTGAAGCAGGGTGGTCCAAACCCAGGCCTGCGGGCCATATGTGGCCCGCCGCTTCATTTTTGTGGCCCGTGTCGCATTTGCGCAAGGACAAACAAAAATCGCATTTGGTGTTGTTTATTCATAAAATCAGAAAAATCTTCTGACATATTGTTCAACACCTATGTTATTATCACATCACTGAGTTGACTAGTGTTATGGCTAGCTGGGGCAACTGGCGGAGTTTAGTAATTTGCGTGGCTGGCCCAAATTGTTAACTGGTTTCTAAATTTTCGGTCGGCTAAAACGATATTTTCTCTTTATGGCACTTTCTCCGATATATGAAAATTTTGAAATCTTACAATAAATGTAGATATAGTCAAATTTTTGCACGTTTCAGTGAGTTTTTTTGTGGTGTTTGCATATATTTTAGCTCGATAAATGACAAATAATGACCAATGGGTTTGGCCAATTTTGTGTTTGTGTTTGTTTTTGTATATATATATTGTTTACCTATTCTTGGCACTATTGTGGCCCGCGAACAATACAAAAATTATGATGTGGCCCGAGAGGCCGACAACCTTGGACCACCCTGTTTTAAAGGAACAAGCTTCAAATTCTTACACTCAACCTAATAACTTAGGGTGAACTTTGAAGTTTCACAGATGTTTCACCTGAAATCTCCTGCAGCAAAACATTTTCCGTGTGATTCAGGTCCGGGACATTTGAATTTATTGCTGAACGTTGTTGACACCTTGTCGTATTCAGGAAGTAAATATTCCATTGGTGAATTAGATACTAAAGAATATAACTGAAGTTAGTACTTTATTAGTAGGAGTGGGTCAAATACACGAAAATAGGAAGACAATAAGCTAGACCCATATGTAATAAACAGAACATAGATAGAAAATTTCTCTACTTCGAGATATGGAAAAGAAAATCCAATTTTTGGTTCATGATGTATTATATCGAGCAATCTTGATGGATTTGCTGAATTCTTTCTAAAATCTTTTCCGAAATAAAATTGAGTGTCTTTTGATAGAATATTACTTGTTGAGTTGTATAATTAAATTCTAAGGCCTTCGATGTTCATCGTAAAAAATGTGATATTGTTCAATATATTCTATTTTCGAATATATTTATGATAATATATAATAGTTCATAATATATTCTGTATCTAATACCTTCCATAGTGCTTTGGTGTTCGTTTGACAATGTTTCCAGTAGTGTCTGTGTGGATCCATACACAGTGCTCGCGTCGATGTAAGATGTTATCTGATTGACCTGTGTATAGTAGATTATATATCATAGATGCTTTCGAAATTTGTGTTTTCGTTATAACAAAAACATTGATTTCAAAGATCCTAAACTCATGTCTTTCTAAAGTCCCCCACCTGTTCCCTATAAACATTTTTTGTGCAGCCATTTGGCACAGTTCCAGCAGATCGAGACAAAGGTATACATCCTGTGGTTCTTCCAAGTTCTATATCAGCAACTGAAACCCGAATATTGTAACAAGATTGAAGCAAAGACATTCCGCAATTGCATTCAAGTTTCTGGCCTTGTTGGTCTGTGAATTGTAGTGATTGCTGTTTAGAAAATCTATTTTCCTGAATTATTTTACGTTTTGTTACTTAATTCCGTTCATTTATCTTATGTCCTGCTGTATTTTTATTTGTCTTGGCGATCAACTTTGGAATACATCCCACCTGTAGCCATCGGCGTGAATGAAAAATCATGTGAAATATATTGTCCCCACTGCATCAACATAGCAGAATGATGTTTTGAAGGATCCACGTCTTCAAGTTGCATACTAGTACTCACGCGTCTGGCGTTAGGAAGAGGAAAACCTGTGGCGCTACATCTCGGCATTTGTTTATCTGAACAAGAACTAAATGTAAAACAAAATACATGAGTAATTTCGTGCTGAATTTGAATAAACTGAATAATTCTTTGGAATCAGAAGACCGCAAATCAAACAAGATAATGGGAAATCCCCGGCGCTTACAGATCAAGCATCGTTATCGGTGGTGTTGTATTGAATGTTGTTATATACATTGCATGTCTTTAAGCTTTAAAATGCCAGCTTTATGTATGATTTTTGTTTTTGTTTGGAGCCAATTTATTTATTCAATTCATACGTCATTTATTCACCAACATACATTCTCCAGAAAACGTCAAAAATTGACTCACTGTCGCAGTAATCGGGTTCCAGATTTCTATTGAAAGGTCTTTGATTTTTTCCCCAGAAAAGGTTCCGTAAATTATTACAAGACCCATCTATGGATGAATATCGCTTCATAAACGAACTTCGACCATCACATATTGATGATAATTCAGTTTCGTTCCAAAATTCAGCTGCTTTCTGACACGTCATAAGCTCTGCTCTGGTTTCAGAATCCCCGTGAGTACGATATCCACTGAGAAAAAAGATATAGTACCACTGACAACCGTTTTATCATACGCGTTTTTAAAGGCTTTTTATCATCTATAAAATAAAAATATATTCATCAATTTTCTTGCATACAAAATAATTTTGAAGTTCATGATCCAATTTTAGACTATTCTATATTCGAGTTATTGTAATGAATTCAATTAACAATATATAGGATAGACACGTGACCATGAGTCAAAATGGTAAAACATTTACCCAATGCAATTGCGCAAAGCAGCAGTAATTTACAAAAGTGAAGTGAACTAGCATTCAGAGAAAAAGCAACGCCGTGCACAGCGAAGAGATAGATGCTTGCCAACATTATTTTAATGCCTTTACTGATCCTTTACAGTAACACCATGGTATATATATACATTTATCCGAATTGAATAGCGCAGAAATAAAACGATAACATATATATATATATAGCTAGCATATTTAATACAATATCACATACGTGAATTTGTCAGTTATTATTCCAAAACTTCAGTCATGTAACATACTTTAATATTGATAATAATTGCGCTTACTCATTGTCAGAAATTCCAAGATCTATCTCCTTTCTGAAGACGCTGTCATCTTGCACACGGAAAGCAGATAATAATCGGTCAGAATCTTCTTGTCCATTGACCAATTTTAAAGCTGAGTAACAAAATATATATATGCTCGTTTTCCCGACAGACATTTGTGTAGTCAATGGACAACTTCAAATAGGAACTTACCAAAACCAATCACTATTGTCATAAGTGCACAGTTGCATTTGATTTCCATTGCTTACGTGAGATTTTTTTTCTATAAATAAATGGCAACACACCAGTAATGGTTTCTTCCTGCCCTTAATCCTACGTCTGACGAGTTTTAAAAAACTACAAATACTTGAAACTCTCGATTTAGATTCGAACGACTGTCAAACTGGCTTGATGGCAATCATTTGGCAACACATTTACATTCTTGTCAAATTTTCCAAAGATATTCTGGCCTTATAAAATTTACCAAATATTATCAGGTAAAGATTACAGCCTTAAAAGTTGACTAAACTCATCATTTATCTTTAAAGCTTACCTGTAACTGCATAAATTGAATTTGCGATTTTATTGCTGGAAATTATTACGCTCAATTTCCAATAGTATCAAACAAACAATCCTCAGATATATCATGAATTAGTCTGAATGAAACGAGTGCAGAAGAAGTCGGAATTCGAACGAGAATAGGATACAAACGTGTAAGTCAATAAAAGGGCTTACATAGCAATTCCCAACAATACACCAATAGTTCAAGCAATAAGCTTTTCGCAGCAGAAGTGAAGCAGGCGTGAGAATCAAATGGAGCAAACGTAATCATGTTACTCCCATTTTCATATATTAATTCCTAGCAATGCCGCAAAACAAGTATTTGATAACATATTTGACACGACATATTGGAAGGTATCAATGGAGGACGTAATCGGGCTTCTTTTTGCAGATATGTTTATCAAAAGCAATATTGAATTAAAAATTTGATGTGGCCAAGTGTGTAAAAATTGATTGATTGTTGTAGGAAATATTAAAAGCAACTGAGTATTATTCATTCTCTCTCTCTCTCAATGTTTGCGAGTAGGGTTGAACCTGATATGATTCGACAGCCAACACATTTGCATAAATAAAGATATATAAAATATGCATACCCCATCATCAATGGGATATGTATACATACATATATAGCCAGCCATGCATTATACACCATTCGAAGATGTACATATATACAGCCGATCAACTTTGTTTGTCGGTTTGCCACCGTCTGTTATCGAAGTTATAATGCAATAGAACTGTGCCAAATACATAATAATCTACCACAATTTTCTTCCAATAAATTCAAATAACATATCATTGTAAGGCTTGAAGAATGTGTCCAAAATTTTTAGTGAGTTCGGATTCGGTACGAATGAGGTAGAATTTGATCGAGTTCTTCCTTTCGCCCTCCCATGCGCTGTCGCAGTATAACAATTCATCGGAGCGTACTTGACTTTTGAGTCAGCCACAACGGTAGGTCTGATGCAATATAAACCAGTATCTGGATTTTTCACGAAATCTTCGGGCAGAATCATCCTTGGAATTCCTAGAAAATCTTGAAGCTGTAAATAAATGAATACCGATGAAACGGAATAATTCAAAAATTAAATGTTGTAAACGTTTTGAAATTTGTTACACAAAGAGGACAATACTTTTTTTTTTATCTCCGATATTGATATTTTTGTAACTAAGGATATACTACTGCACGTGCATAATTTAAGGTATAATATGTACAAACGTGGGCGCTTCAGAAGTGTGTGTACCAATATGGTGGTAACTAATTTTGTTCGACATCTTTCCATCAAGTTGTTTAACGGGAATGAAACTTACGGGCAGGAGGTATGCTCACTTGGATAACACAGACAGTACCCGAACTCGTAATAGAACTAAAATAAGGAAAATCGGAATAAAATTATGGCCTAACCCGAACCTGGTACACACACTACGGGACTACCGGGCATTCGCTTCACAGTTTTCCCAAGTGATAGGTTCCGAATAACCAGTCAAAAGTGTTAATAACAAACAAGAAACATGTAAAACATCCAAGCCGTTTTCTGTACTTCGTTAAAATTAAAAAAAAAATTTTGGAGTTAATAAATTTGATGTAGCACACATACCTTCTCTACCACGGCTCCAGAATTATATTGAAGTTCTTCTCCACTCACTACAAACAATTGGTCTGATGAAAAATACCTCAACCACCTGGCATAACGAGAATATGTAAGATTTAGTTTGACAGAAATAACTCATACCATGTTTAATAGACAGATATTTTTTCGCACGTTTTAGCTTGGATACAACAGTATTCAGTAGAAGCATGGCGGTATTAAAATAGACTAAAATTTGTCTGGAATTTCCTGCGTAATTCGTCACATATTGAGAGGATTTTGATTGTGGGTGTAATGTAGGTTTTCAGTCGGTATGGTCTGGCCAACACGCTTAATACTTACCAGGCTATTGATCAATTTGTTGCAGCATTAATGTCAGAAAATTTCCATGCGAGTTATTGCTAATCACCTAAAAGTACCTTTTCAACGAATGGTAGTAAATTCCTCTGGTCAGAATATGAGAATCTCCCATACGCCTATGCCAAGCATCTGAAATTGTTTCAAAGTTGTCCTCATCAGTTTTTGAGAATTTTATTCTCGCTTCCCGAACAAACTTATTGACATAATTATCAAAGCTCCCCCGAAACTTTATACTTCCCAGCGCCGTCTGTAGAAAAAACGAAATTAATGAATGCTCCCGTCTAAGTCAATAATATAAAAGTATGCAACTGGACAACTTTGCTAAACTCGACAAACAAAACTATTCGGAACATTTGGCTTTATAACAAGTCCATGCTGATTGATAAACAACTAGGACTAAATATATATAGTATACAATTTTAAATCAGAGCCAATGTTGAAATTGTTTTTGAAAAAATATGTATACACAATATGAATAATATGATTGTGAAATCATTATAATTAAATCATGTCTTGATAATATATAAACGTATGTAGTAATTTTAACCGTTGGGGGTACTCCTCGATAGCACGCAGTTTTACTGTATTATCGAGCGGTTTATATTTGTAGCAAACTGGCGAACGCCTCAGGATAGGATAGGATTTACAAATTTATCCCGGGGGAGAGGAAAGTCGATGAGACGAATTTTTCATATGGCGAACCACGGCCTCTCGTCCGGTTACCAGTCCAGGTCGGGTATGGGATTAGTTAGTTATTTGCTTTCGGAAGCATGGACTTGATGGTGGAGGAAGCCGTAATTGACCAGCGGTTACGTGAACCACCCTACGGCGGCGAGGAGTCCAGCAATCCTCTCGTGCATGAACATCCCCGCATGGGATTCGAACCTTCGATCCCACGAAGGGTACGAGATGCGGTGGCGAGCGTATTCCTAACGTTTTTTTTATATTTTTTATTCCTAAGCGTATTCCTAACGCTTAGCACGATGTGCCACACCGCCGAGCCAACCTTCACCAACGAGTTGATGGGGTTGTAATAGAATATGATAATTGAATGAAGCTATTTAATCATTAATTGTAACCTAATTACCTCATGAACAAAATCTGAAAACGTTCGCAGTGTAGGATTGCATAACACGAGCCACAATTTAACATTTGGCAACTGAGATTTTATTCTTGCTGGCGTCTCTGGTGCTCCAAAATTAAAATAACCTGGAGTCTTTTCCATGCATAACTCATTTTTTGTAGTATTAGGCAATTTACTTCTGTAACATGAAAAATAGCAATTGATTCACTATTCATTATTACTAAAACAGATCATAAGTTTAGCATCCCTATTGGGGGGTGCATCACAAACAATATGAGGCATTTTTAGGAAAATAAGCAATGTTGAAAGTTACTATTTTTCATGTCAATTCTACATTTCATGTGTTTCTTACCTGCTAAATATTTTAATATTGTTCTTCAGTGAATAGTGCTGTAATGTTTAATTTGAACTGAATCCAATTAACTCTATATTTGAATCAAAGCATTAACATCATAATCTTTATTTCTGCAACAAAACATTTCATATGCGGAATTCTCCACATCTCATTGTCTCACTTTTTAGTCATTAAAATACAATAAGAACGGAATCACTTTGTTCATTTTCATAAAGTTGTGCAGTTTTCTGTTATCTTATTTCTATTTATTATATTGTGAAATATTTTTGAAATTCTAAAATTGAAAATTATATATTTCGTATAGTACTCCCGAAGTATGTGAACCATGATGGCGGACACCGGAACGTAATATGTGTACCAAGTTAGGGTTAGGTCATAATTGTATTTCAATTTTCCTTATTTTAGTTATATTACGAATTCGGGGACTAGCCAAGCAATTCCCGTAGCATTTGTACCTGGAATTATGGCCTAACCCCAATCTGATACATATACTACGTTCCGCCACCTTGGTTCACATATTTCGGGTGTACCTTTCTTATATTGGCAAACTATTGCTGGATACAACGTACCGATAAAATTTCATTCCTTTGAAATAATCCCCATTATTGAAAAAATGAACTTCGTTCAAGCCAACCTTTATCATTGGATGGTGTTGTAACGCAAACTGCAACCACCCGGTTCCGCATTTTTCAGCGCCTATTCCGATGATGTCAGGAAGACTTTTCATTTCCTGAACAAGATGTATAGCACAAAACAGTAAGTTATTTAGAGATTATAGTAAGTGATTATTTGATATTTCCTTACAGCACAATAAATCACCTCATTGTTTTTATTTCTTTTGTAGAATTCTAACACGAGTCTGTCTCTTTCTGTCATACCCGATTTTGCGTCTGAAAATAAAAACGTAGCGAAGTGATTTATTCCCCCTGGCATCGAGAATGATATGCAAAATCAATATTTACCGATATTTAAATCTCCTAATTCGATCATATAAAAACAACTGTATATATAATATTCCCACCATTCAAGTAGGCCTAAGTAACATCTAATTAAAAAAAATCAGAGATGAGAAAAGATTCCTCTATCCACCCCGTGGAGACTATAAAGTTAGGACAGATCGAGTATGGAAATAATGGGTAACAGTTAATCGTTCCAAGCACGAGCACACGGATACTCCATGTTAACGGAAGATTACGCGAACCATTTTGTGATGGCGAGGAAACGGGGCAATCAGTCGGGCTTTAGCTATCGTCACCTGACTAATAGAACGATTGGTCAACATTTGAGTTTCATCACTGTAAAACCTCAGTTTAGGGTACTCCCGTAGTATGTGTACCAAGTTAGGGTTAGGGCATAATTTTATTCTGATTTTCCTACTTTAGTTTTATTACGAGGTCGGGGGCTGTCTGTGTTAGCCAACTGCTCATAGATTTCAGTTCTTGTACAGTCCAGGGGTCTCCAACTCAAAACATGTAGCGGGCCAATTTTTGAAAGTTATTGACCACGCGGGCCGCAAACCAAGAAATTAGATACAAAAATGGGTATCTGAATGTATCGTGATGAAATTACACTTGAATCTTACCGCAAACAAGACATGAAACATATTCATTTACTTGTGCTGGATATTTGGATTTGATGTTTTGCGTTAGTTTGCTAATCTTAATAAAACAGCATGCAAACTGTCTTGCTAACTTTCATATTTGAAAAAAAACTGCTCGCAAATTTAAGAACTGCCAAACATCGCAGGTATGCAACGTGAATGTGCAATTAGCTTTGCAAACCTTTCTTCAGAGACAATGAACTGACCGAAACTCGTTTAGTTTGAAATCATTGTATTTATAATTGAATTGTAACAATAGAATAAAACATGAACGTGGTAAAGTGGAATAACAAGGGAAATGTTTGCTTCACTTTTTACAGTTTGTCGGACCGGACTCTTGATGATAATAGACACGATAAAACTTACTAATAGTTTTGACATTGTACTATTTAGGTTTTTGTGGGAAAATCCCGACCATGACGCGGCCGCAGACCCCTTGGAGACCCCTGCTTTACACAACTTGATGTAAAATGGGCCAACAAATGATCTACCATACACATACTTCTGGAGCGCCCTGTTTAGAACTTTTACACAATATGATTATTTTTGTAACTCTAACGCACTTACCTACTTGCTTCTCAGTCATATATATAAACTTTCGAAATCTCCACATTCTTAATAACTGCACTCCTAAAATGGTTATCCCAACGGTAACCAAAAATAACATGAGGGATTTCAGTAAAAATCTTCGACTATGAGTATACATAATATCCTATGCTATTCTCGTGAAGAATATTTTCGATTAGAATTGTCATTGTAACAAGACTGTATTCAAGTGCCTGAGGGCAACTTCATTCCGGTTTTGTGATGTGGTACTAACATAGATTGGCCGTAGATTAATAAAGAGTCCTTTAGAATTTAAACGATGACGTTTTTGTGAATTGTATTTTATTCCATTTCATATTTTTTAAAGTCATCAATCACAGTCATAACATTTTTATTTTTGTTGTCCTGGCATTTTTCATGCACCAATGATATTGTGTTGCAGTAGATTGCATTCAATAGAAATGGAAAAAAAATTCTCCTAGTTCAGTACAATTAGAATATATTCACTTGTGCTTGAAGATATTGTACAAATTTACAAAACATTAGTTAAATATCCAAATACTTTAGCATACTGTGTCTATTGGGTGAAAATCTAAAATTGTTTGGTTTTCTAACATGTGTCTGTGTTCATCACTTTATTGTTTGTGATTCCACTGTTTTTTCTTGTACGACATGGGCATATGCCGTGTTTCCCCGAAAATAGGACCTAGCCTAAAATGATATAGGGATAATGTTGTTATTTGGGTAAGATTTCACTGTTGTTTTTTAGATCAATAATATTATTCTATTACTACCTATTTGTCGTCGTTTAACGACAGACGATAAACTGTTGTTCACCAACACCTACAACCAGCCAAAATATATTTCTCACCCCCAAAATAATACCCAGCATGTTTTGAAAATGATTTCAATATTAGGCCTCCCCTTAAAATGAGGCCTAATCGATAGCGCGAATTTTTTTTTTTTTACTTAGTCTTAGTCGATAGCAAAAAATCTCTCTTACACGTTTTAAAAGATTGATTATTTTTAAATATTTTATGTTTAGCATTCTAAATAAATATAAGATTCATAAAAACCAATATTTTGTATATTTCGAAATCTCGTAATTTTCTACTTTGTAATTTTGTTTTTGGACAATGAAAATAAAAGACATCCCCCAAAATAAGATCTAGGCGTTGTTTTTCGAAAGAAATTTGAAATGAACACCCATTTTATTTTCCGGGAAACGCATTTATCACGCACTTGAAGGCCTTGTGCACACTCATCTTAATTCCCGCATATACATTTTTACGCAAGAGACTCAGCCAGTGCCTCATGAATTCGAGTTTTCGACTAATGCTTTTAAAAGGCAACAAAAGCAACTTTGCTAAATTTTCGTCCTGTTTGTTGCAATGGATGCCTTGGCGGGGTTAAAAATACATCATCTATATATTCAATTTCTTAATTATTGTTAATATAATATACTCCAGTTTACAATCGTTATTTACTCATGAGTACTAATGCGTAATTTTTTTGATATAATTTCACCCCTAGATTGTACTTGCTTGCCTAACCCCTAGGTATTCTGAAGTTTTGAAATTATGCACTTGTTATAGGACTACGCATCATGTCTGTATGTGCCAAATTTGTATTTTTCGACAGTTGGCAAAGTTCAATCAAATCAAGTTCCTGCATCCGAAAAAATAACTGGCTAACTAATCCCGCACCCGCCGTGGACTGGAAACCGACTACTGTACGTAATATAAATTGGCCATATAAAGCCTAAATCAGCTTTCCTCGCGATAAATATGTAAAGCCTATCTTATCCTCAGTTCAAGATGTTTGTTCGCTTGGTTTCTGAAATATCTACTATTTAAACTTTGATAAGAGTCTTTTTGGTCTTTTTAAAATCTTAGTTAGGGTTTCTGTACTTACTGTGCACATAATATTTTTTCATTCTTGCGTATTGTATTATGTGTTGTGTTGAAAGATGAGTCGAAATAAGGAGAATGTTGATCAGTGGGGGGAGCACTGTTTTTTTTTACGCGTGGGATCAAATTGCTACACCGATAAGCAATAGTTATTATCAGGATAACTTCTCGCGGATATTTTTCTCATAAAAGTAACCTACATGATAAAGATTTTCTCAAAGTCTGGTCACTTGGTTGGGGTTTAGGTGGCTGTGAATTTACATTCTACTTGTTCTTTAATTATATTCAAGCTGTAATGGTTATGAAAGAGACCGAGATGAGTTTTGGCCAGATTTTAAGAAGGAACCCACCTGGGACAAAGAGTGCTGTAAGTGAACATTGAAAGCCATGTTAGTGTAATTTAAAACTTAAAAATTAGAAATCAGTTTGCGTGTCAAGATTTGACCAAATTCTCGAAATTGGAGCTTATTTGTTCTATTTTGATTCCTTACTGCCTTAGTTGAATATTTTCAAATCAAAGTCTTTTTCAATATGCCTAGGCCTATTTCTGTTTTGAGTACGGTAAGTTTTCAATGTGACATAGGCTTGTCTAAAACTCAAATCCCTTTAACAAACTTCTGAGTAAAATGAAAAGCCAATATACCTACAAACATTTGCATTGTACTGTTTTTACCAAAATATCTAAAGTTGATTGTTGCGCATGTTCCAAAATTCTGTTAAAATTACAATTCATTTTTAAAATTGTCATTTCCAATTCAGATCAATTTCAAATCTTTAACTTGTTTACCCCAATATTCAGGATCTCTATAACTGGCCAGACCAGAGTTTTGATGAGATGGATACAACACTGGCTGTCCAGCAATATATTCAACAAACCATTCGTAAAGATTACAGTGATATTGATCAAATATTATCAGCTCCAGAGGGTCAGGATGAAGGAGTATGGAAATATGAACATCTTAGGTGACCGCATAATAATACATAATTTCTATGACGATACAATTGGGTACCATCTGGTAAATTTATTTTCAAATTTAGTATGCATGATATTTTATCAACCTATTAGTCCTATCCTTCACAATAGCATGAAAAATTAGGTATGTGAGTTTAGTGTCTTGTTTGCACTTGCAATTGGTTGGTGAAGACTTTATGTAACTCAGAAAAAGTGACTTTGGATAAACAAAAATTTTAGTTTTGGTTTTTAATTACATAAACGTTACCAGTCGTAATATTTTTTTACATTATTGTCGAGGATCTTGTTTTCTGGCAATTCAAAGTCCAAAATTGAATCATAAGAAAATTTGATTTCATATTTCAGATTAGGACTTCTGCTACTTTTCCTGTATCAAAAATAAAGCTGACCAGGAAGATGCAAAGTCTGATTTCTCAATAATATTGCACTATATCAATCTTGTCTCATAAATGAATCTCTTTGGGCCCTATAAAATAAAACGCACATGTCAATATTGTAATCACACAATTACCACCCTATAAAAAGCTCTTTATATTTGCAGGCAATTTTGCTTGGAACTTAATGGGCTTGCGGTCAAGCTTCAGACTGAATGTACAGCTGAAACATGTTCACAGATGACTGCAACAGAACAGTGGATATTTCTTTGTGCTGCTCATAAAACTCCCAAAGAATGTCCTGCTATAGATTAACACAAGACATACATTAGATGGTGCTGCATGTTTATTAAACAGCAACAAGTATTTTCCAAGCAGGTACATACACTTGACAGGGAAATATTTCAATGGTCTCTCATCTTGGACCATTTCAGATCATGTATGACAATAGCTATACATTTGGTTGTTTCAGATGCATGAACTTTAATGACTTATGAATGCTGCAACAAACCAGCGGTAATGTGAATCATCCTCTGATAAGGCGAGTTAGCATCTCTTCTTTGCTTATAATCATTCCCATCAATATGTCCATTGCCAGAGCAGAATAAGACATTGGGAAAGTCCTCACTCTGTTCTACATACTTAGCACAGATGAACCAAATTTCAGTCGTCGAATTTGTCTGATTTTTGTACGCTAATGATTTGTCCTAAAAGGTTGTATTAATGAGTAATATGAACAGGGTGTACTGGATGAAATGGAAAATTGTTCGAATCTCAATATATATTGTTTTCTTCTCAGGCTCGAAATTCTTGAAATAAGGCAGGGTTAAAATGCAACTTGAAGTTTGTTTGGTATGATAATTCTTTACGCCTTACCTTCATGCTACAAAACTCAATTTTATATCTGAATATGAAATTAGAATTGAAGATAATGATACATCTTGAGGTAAATAGTTTCGTTTCACAGGCATATCATTTAAATAATTATTAATTTAAGTTATCTATGTGATATGTTTGTCAGTATATCGCTCAAAGTCATGAGTATTTGTCAATGCACAATTAACTTTTTCAACGTTTTTCAGAGTCAGCATCAAAGAATCATCTGTGGCGAAGTTAGGATCTGTATGTAGAAGAGTTTATAGAATATTTTCTCATGCTTATTATCACCATAGACACATATTTGATGAGTTCGAGGTAAGTGAATATTATTGTGTATGTGGGATTCAGAGGTGGTTCTACGATGTCAAATAGTGAACGAAATCTTGTTGAATTTAATGTAACCCTAAGGGCTATTTTTCTTTATAAAAAGTGATTTAAATCATTACTTTGCTGATGAATCAAATGATTTGTAGTAAACGGAAGTACGGTAATTTTGGCAATCTGTCTTCCTAATTAAAAACTTGCAAATAAAACTAATTTTGGATTCCGTTTAACTACGGTAAGTTCCTTAGACAAATCTTACTGAACCGCTGTACAGATCGTAAAATTTTAGCTTTCAACATGATTAGAATGTATCTTTAACGTATATTTTTATTCAAATCTTTTTAAAGCAAATTGTTTGGCTATTACGGTTTGAGCTTAACCTGGAACAGGTGTTATGATGCAAGATGTGAACTTTATTTACATTGCAGAATGAAAGCCACCTCTGTCGTAGATTCACTGTCTTTGTTGTCAAATACAATTTAATGTCACGAGACAATTTAATAGTTCCAATATTGCCTGATCCTGAGGATCCATCCCCAAAGGAAACTTCACCGACATACACTCTTGTATCATCACAGGTATGAAATATACTCTACGCAGTTTAGCATCACTGCTTCATGTATTCTGGAAGTTTGCCAAAAAGTGTTTATAATAAATATGTTTACACAATTTTTCAATGTTATTTCATGTTATAGGTTGAAAATGAAGATGGACAACCTGCCGACGACTCACCTCTTGATGAGACGCCTGCTACAGATGATACATTGTCAACGACAATCATACAAGCCGCAACTGCGGAACAATCAGAGGACGAACCAGTGAGATTTTTTGCTATATAATATTTACAAAATCTCTTTTCACTCCTTCGCTTCCATAGTTCTCTGCACAAGCAGCCACTGATAGAAATAAAGAGCTTCCCATCGGATTCTTTGTGAGGTGTTGGGCATGGAGTTTAAAACAAAAATCTCGAACCTGCGAGCTGCGATGCCAACATATCTAAATGGGTTCTGCTATCATTGCAGCATCCTAGCTCGTATTCAGCCGCAGGAGTCGGCTATTAGATTATTGTCAGTCAACAGTGATCGATCTTCAATTTCAATAATAGATTAAATTAATTGTAAAAGTTGTGTAACATCTCCTAATGTTGATTTTATGGTGATATGTTTGGAAAATTTTGGTCATTTGTAATATAAAGACCTCCCGATCATGTTTTTTTACAATGACCATCACAATAAGACATTTCTCTTTTTTTTTAATATACACTGGTGAATGTAGTTGTTTATAACACATTAGGAGGATGTAAGTTTCTGGACCATTTTTATCATTTGTAAATAACCTTGCCATTGCCAACATTATTCTCCATAGGTTTTTTCCTTAATGTTGTTAATGTTAAAAATTCAGAAAATAACTCAGGAGGAAGGATTTGGACATTCCGGTGGAACTGCTGACTTTGCTACGCTCAAACTTTCCAAATCATCAGACAAGAAGGATTCAACTAAAAGTGTGAATGCCAACAACAGCAACAATTTGGTTTCCAAATTTAAGAAATCCACAATACTTTGATTTAGCAGCAGCTGGGGATAATTCTGAACTTTCCCCTGAACGAAACGAGGAAACAGAAGATTCTGACTGAATTGTATGATATTTCTACCCGCATACCACAGAAACAGAGCACATTGTTCCAAATATACGTTGCAAACTTGATAGAATACTGTGTTGCACTTTTGAGTATGCATGATAAGAATGCGTTTTGATCAAAAGCAAGGCTGTGTTGTTGGTATGAGCCTTTTAAGATGACATGCTTGCTTTTTTTGCTGTTGCTATATATTTTTGTATTAAGTTTATATATAATGTAGAGGAAATCAATATCTATTTGATTTGAACGTTTTATAAAAAATTATGTGGCAGGTAATATGTTATGGAGTCTTATTATAGCCTTTGCTGCAAGAAAACTGAAAAATCAGCTAATTAACCCCGAAACACATTTTGGACATGCCTACTTACGCTGCTAGTGTTTCATAAGATGAATTTTGCTGTTTTCATTACTTTTGTTTCGTAGCCTCGAACTGTTTCAATGATGCTAATCTTAACGCATCTTTGTCTTGAGTGTTATCCGGATTGTGTTCAACATATGATTAGGCAGTTTGTTCTCCAATGGTATAAATATATAATTCTTATAGACTTTTGCTAAATATATTACAAACCTGAACATGCGTGTAATTGGACATATATGGAAGCGTTTGCATTAGATATGAGCATGTGTTTTGCTATATTTTCACTCATCATTCGTTCAATGGAAATTTAGATGAATTTATTCCTAAACGTAGGACTCGAGATATCAAGCCTGGAGTATCTGATATAATTTTTGATTTTTTCATTTGTTTTGAATCAATGTCAAATATGTTGCTTGTAGATTTATATGTTTTATATGTAGGACTGTATTGTTATTTAATAAATATTGATCATTGTGTGATATTAATGACCATTACAACCATTACAAGTCAAGAATCTGCTTCAATAGAAGTGGTCTGAAAATGTCGTTGGATACTTCTCCCCCATCTTGTCCCAAATACTAAATTAGTTAAACTGTAAAGCATATACTAAAGGTTTAGGAGATGGATAACAATAAGACTTAGTTTTCGATGTGCTAACGGCACAGGGCGTATATTGCAGATAAAATTTGAAAAACTGTTTAGAGATATTTTGAAGGATTTTTCAATTGTTTGATGTTTACGGAAAAATGTTTTATTGCCGATGTACTGATAGCATGATTCGTACTTTTTTCGTTAATGTATAACTTATCACGATCTGTATGCATCGGCATAAAGGAGCCTTGTTTTTTTCCAACATTTTGATAGTTCATTCGCCTGTTTAGAAGAGCTTTGCACACCCTGGTCTGGAGGATGCCGCTGGAGTTCACGGAGGCCGGAAAATATCAGTACAGTAGTAGCAAGTATATTATGGCGTCCACTTTTATGTAATGTGCCAATGGCATTTAAATGTTTACAATATATCCGTAAATGACTACAAACCGGCCACTGTCGTTTATTATCATCTGCACAAGATTGATTGTCGAAACCATGGTTTTTTCGGCGCTTGATTGAAAAACAAAACCTTTGAACCATTATTAATTTATTGTTGCATCGCGTGTGAGGAGTGAGAACCCCATATGTCTTGTAGTGCGTAGGTAGGTACCGCATGTCTGTATATCAGATAGATATTGACTTTTATTTCGTAATCATTGCCTTCATGAAGTTTATTTGTACAGACAACAGACATACGAAACGGTGGCTAAACTGAAGGTTGGCGAGGCATTCTGAGTGCAATTGGGTTTTGTCGCGATTCTTAAGTAACGAAGCCTGGCAGTCGGGGCAAGACAAAATATTTTGTCCACTGTTACAAGAGCGCTTGTTGATATCTCATTGTGATTTTGAAGACTACTGTTTTTTTATGTTTGCAATCCTTCACTATATCTACAAATTGTACATATTGCGAGTTCTACTTTAAAACTCTAAAACCAAAATTTCATTCAGGATATTGATACCTTGGCAAAATGAGCTATTTTTTTTTTTATATTAGATTACTATTATTAATTGTTAATTTCCAAATTGTCTAAAATTGTGTTTAAAAAATGGTTACATTCTTCATTCTCCATTTATAAAGTTAAGCCAAGCTTATATTACATACATGTTACTTGTTCGGCAACATGTGCTCTTTATTTATATATTTGATAACTACCGTAATATTTCATTTATAGTGACCCAAATCATGTTCCATTCTTTATTTTCTATATCATAAAGTTAATGAGCCAATCTTGTATTGCATTCATGATATTTCCTTGTTGACATGAGCTCTTTATTTAATTTTTTCTTATACTCTATTACTATTATTTAATGTTCATATTCAAAGTATTCGAAATCAAGTTATAAATGTTACATTTCTCATTTTCCATTTTATAGAGTTATGCCAACCTTATATCTACCTTCAAGTTACTTCCTCGCTAACATGTGCTCTTTATCTCTATATTTGATAACTACTATTAATATCACATTTGAAGTGTCCCAAATCATATTACAAAATGTTACATTCTTTTTTTCTATATTATAAATTTAATATGCCAAGCTTTTATGCATTCATGATATTTCCTTGTTGACATGAGCTCTTTATTTGATTTTATTTTTTGATTGCTATTATTAAATGCTCTCATGTAAAAGAGTCCCTAATTGTGTAATAAAATGTTCCACTCAATTTTTCTATCTTAATGAAGTTAATATGCTAAGTTATTAGCTCTTTTTCATCAACCTTTGACCTACCAACGATATCTCAATACTTTCCTATTGAGATCCCTGGCTAATCTATGATAAATTAATCCATTTACTACCAATTAGTGTAAAAATCTGGATAAATGGCCTTGATTTATGAATTGTTCTATTTCTATGTACAAACACTAATATTTGATGTTTATTTTTAAAGTGTTCTGAATCATTTCACATAGTGTTATGAAATATTGAATCTTATTTATTCCTACATTAAGTCAACTGTTTTGTTTTTGCATTAACTTTCTTGATATTTTAATATCGATTGTTTGTTTATACAAAGTTTACAATGTATTGCATTTTAAAATGCATTTTTTTTGTTGTTTAAAACCAAATTCTAATTTGTTTTGATGACTCAACCCATGCATCTGATTACATTGCACTAGTGTGTGTAGAATAGAACTCTACCCATATTCGCTTGTTCAAAATCCCACTTGTTATGTTTAACTTAAATTCATTCAATAAAACAAGTTACCCAAATAAGGGGTAGCTTGTCTGACCTGCTTTCCCACTTTTTTTCGTTTTGATCATTTTATATTTTGCAATATAATTTCAATTTGTGCAAAATCCTATTATTTAAAAGAATGCTTCCATAATTAAGAATAGTAAATTCATGTAAATATTGTACATAGTATAAATCGTGAGAGACATTGAAATATTGACACGAACCTGTTATTTTTATGCTTATTTAATATAATTGGGTGGCAACTGACTCTGATGACCCCCAAAGGTCGTATCGTTGCCCCCCAGTCATATACCGAAAACTATTTTTTTTGATATTTGTTTATGTGTGCATAAATTGTTTTCTTGGTTTGACAAAATGAAATAAACTCTCTCTCTCTCTCTCTCTCGCTTACCTGAACGAATATGTCATGTCTGCATGTCGATCCCCTGGTGAGTTGTCAACTCTGTTTACTGGTTTTTACAAGTGTGGTGTCACTGTTTGGTGTCGATCGAATACGACGAATAGTAGCGTGTTTCATAGTTAAGCAGTTTGGCTGTTATTACTGTACTTGATAATCGTAGTATCCCAGTTTCCTTATTGAAAAATGCAACTGGACAATCGAAAACAGCAAAATTAACAATTTAAAATATCCACTAATTATAAAAATGATATAGGTACGAATACGAGTATAAGTTTAAAATGAAATAATTGATAAAAAATAATTCAGTGAATATAGAATTCAAAATTATTTTTGATTAACGTTCACTACTGTCAGACTGTAGTCTACAAGGTTCAGGAGTAGGCCCATACAGCCATAGATGGCACTGTGATGGTTTAAGCATCACATACTTCCACATAACTGCAATGATCAATTTGTATATAGGCTATTTCTGATATAAGGTTAAAAAAATTGTTACTTGAATCTTAGAGTCTGATAGTAGGTACCTGTATTATATAGTCTAGTAAATCATGGACTTGTTGTACCTTCCAAGTGAAGATTTGAAAGAACATGGATATTCCAATTTATTGAAAGAGGTTCAACAGTTAGGTTGGTTTGGCCCTATCACTTTTTCAAAAGGAATTTATAACCCGGAAAAATATAAACATAAGATTGATCGAACTCCTCAAGATATTTGGAAAGGGGTTCTTGATGCCGATCGTGTACAGTGGATTGCATCAAACATTGCAAGAGAGGAAGAAAAAGATAAGGGAGAGATTCTGAAAGATGCTTCGAAAATTCTTCAAGAAATGGCATACAAGGAACATTTGAATTTGGTTAGATTTTTCGGATTTTCAATGTATCACGTTATGAACACGATTTACCAAGAAGGAATTTATTATAACACTGATACACTGGAGGCATTAAAAAAAGCGATTAGAGAACACCCCGTTATTTTAATGCCCAGTCATCGTTGCTATATGGACTTTCTTGTTGTTTCTGTTCTTTCTGTACATTTAGGATTGCCGCTTCCCGCAATCGCGTCAGGCATGGACTTCATGACAATGAAAGGGGTTGGTTTTCTTCTTCGATCAAGTGGTGCATTTTTCATGCGACGTTCATTTGGAACAGATAGATTATATTGGGCTCTTTTTACGGAATATGTTCACAAGTTTGATTATAAATGGCGATCGTACCAATTGAATTTTTTATTGAAGGTAGCAAGAAGTAGATCTGGAAAGTCCTTGAATCCAAAATTGGGTCTGTTTTCTGTTGTTGCTGAGCCATATTTGAAAGCTCAAATATATGACATCATGATTGTACCTGTTAGCATTTCTTATGATAGAATCCTGGAAGAGTCTTTATATGCATATGAGCTACTTGGTGTGCCGAAACCTAAGGAATCAACATCAGGCCTATTTAAAGCAACTGGAGTTCTGCAACAAAACTACGGAAGTTTACACGTTCATTTTTCTGAGCCAATTTCAATCAGAAAAGAGTGCTGTCACATGGATCGTGCAATACATTCATGTTATCCCCGATACATGCTACGTTTAACTTCAGCAGAACAAAGTTATCTTAATGATCTTGCATTTAAAGTCATTCAAATTCAGCAGAAAAATATGGTTATCAGTGTTTGGTCATTGATCGCCACCGTTCTTATTCATAGTCTTGGAGGGTTAAAGTTCATCGATTTAATAAAACAGATTCAATGGCTCCTGGATTTACTTCGTAGATGTAATGTCAAAGTCAGAGTTCAAAGTGGAAACTTAGAAGACGTTGTTAAGCATGTTTTGTTCCAGTACAACCATCTTGTAAAAGTAGATTCCAAAAACGCTGAGGAAGCAACTGTGAGAATTAAACAAGATGAAAAACCAATCTCTACACGATCTTCAAAAAAGCTGGTTATATTGCAACCTGCGGTTCGAGACAGAGCAGCAATTCACATTATGGTTGCAAGTTATAGAAATCAACTCATTCATGTTTTTGTAAAACCAGCCTTGGTAGCAATAGATCTTCAAATTAAACATGGGCTACTTGAATGCGACACAGAACAATTTGATATCCATTTTGCTGACGTTTCGAATGAATTTCAATTTATGAGGGAAATGTTTTATAAGGAGTTTATATTTGCACCAAATCAGTTAAATACTGATTACAAAGAAGGGTTAAATTTTCTTTGTCAGTCCGGAGCATTAGAGAAAAATGGCAGTGTCTTGAGATATCACTCCAGAGGAAAAAACGTTATAACGTTTCTCATGGATTTGTTGCGTCCTTTCTTGACCTGTTATAAACTTATATGTGACTATGCTTCACAATTCCATCATGCTTGTGAGCTGAAAGAATTTTGTAATCTTGTTCAGCTTTGGATGGCAGGAAGTATTGAAGATAATCAAGTGATGCTCGAGATTTTATCCAAGGATATGATCAACAATGGCGTGCATGGCATAGAGAAGACTGGGGCACTGAGAATAAGCAAGGTTCGCTTTTGGTTTTCGTTTAAATATATGCTGTTTTCGAAACAAATGATTTTCTCTTTCATTTTGTGTGACAATTAATAGAACATTAATTTAAAAACTTAATTTGACCCACTAGTAGCACTGATATATGGATTATTTTTTGACAAAAACTGAGCTTCCATTGCTAATATGAATATACCTTTGTTAAACATCGGAAGTTATCCCTCAAATGGAACGGTTTACCTGTGTGTAGTTGTTTTCATTTGAAAATAATTGACTGGTACAATCTTAATAAAGAGTTACTCTTGTTTTCATTAGTAACAAAGCTCCACAACACCCTTTTAGAATAAAAAGCAGTCTTTTAGGTAAAGTAGGCAGCTCTCAAATCTGGCCATAAATATTATGACGTGGCTCCGATATATTATGAAGCTAAAGTGTATTGGATTACTTTGGTTGACATATATATTAGGGGAAAACTTGCTTGACATTGTCTTACAGTTTACTTTACTAGCTTCAATATGCATATGTTTAAACACAGGAAGCCGGCGAGCATATTGTTCATGTGAGAAGAAGGAAGGCCCAATCAATCAGTAAAAAACTTGAATGTCTGAGAGAAGGAAAACATGATGTACAATCTTTGCAGACAATCAGTAGCCAATCAAAATTATGATTTTTCTTATTTCTAATGATTATGCTGTTATATTAATTGAACTTTTTATTGAATTGAAATTGAACTTTCAAAATCAAGTTCTATGCAAAATAAATATTTTATTAATGCAGAGTACTTTCTTTGATTTTTGTTAGTAGTTTGACTTAGGCTTGTTAATTTTATCCACTGATTTGTACTGTTATATCTTTTGTTAGTCAACTTTTATTTTCTATTATTGACTTTATCATGAGCTAATATCTGTATTTGCATCAAATTTTAGATCAGGAGTATTCAACCTGTATTCTCTCATTTACTCTTTACAAGTTTCAAATGTAAAATTTACCCCTGGATCTTTTATTTTATTTTCACTTCTACAAATACCTATGATGGTTCATTCGACAAAAATGGTTTGGTAAAATAATTTCAATGTAGAATTGTGATTGTCTAAGTTTGGTGGTTTTGAGTTCACACAACTACAGTTTAAGCACCAGTAGTGAACTCCTGCTCTAGGGTCAATATCCTAGTCAGACTTTTATTTTCATTCACACCTTCCGCTAAGGCATAATTCCATAGTCTTCATTATATATAGATTGAGTTATATTTGCTTCTATAATCGTATTTGTAGTGCACACTTATGCTTCCTAATAATTACTTATATTTTCTTAATCACAGATATAATCATAATAGCGATAGCCTATCCTAAAATTGTTGGTATAATTCACTGTTTTGTGGAAGCACTGTTCAAGTTTTCCGTTCTGTCTTCAAATGGCAAGCAAACAATCTTCATCAGGTGACCTAAAATTTACTTTAATATAAGAAAGCAAATATTATCAAGTGCTTGCTGATGTATTACAGTTTTCCCTCATTGGTGTAGATAACATGGAGTAAATAAACTATAGCGAAGGAAAATTTGGAATTTGTTGTAATTGCTGGCTCTTTTAGGTTCTGGTAGTTCAGGGCAACAAATGTTTGTTCGTCAAAGTCCAGTTCCTCAGAGCAAATATGCTGATTTACTGGCTGTCATTGAAGAACTAGGAAAGGATATCAAGCCAACATATGCTGGAAGTAGAAGTGCGACTGAGAGATTGAAAAGAGGTAGCAGAGCATAATTAGAAATATCTGTGTTATTCAAGGTTTTCTAAATTCACCTTCGAGAATGGGTACAATTCATATTTATTTGAAGAAGACGATATTACCAATAATCATGTGTATGCTCCACTGGGGTAGCATTCCTTAAACCCAGTTCACTGACATGACTCGAATCACTTAGTAGTAGGAGTGTGCAGCAGGTTATATGGCCCACGTGCCACCAACAAAACATGTTGGACACCCCTGACTTAGAAGAGTCCTAATACCTCAGCAAGCCTATATTCAGGCCTCATAAACTCTGGCATGAGCCACGCCCACACTTGTTTCGAAGGAATCCAGCAGTAGTTCCCTGAGACCAAACTATTGTGCTCCATAAGACCATAATTACTAATGTCCAATGCTAATAATGCAAGTTGTGACAAATTAGGTCGGTTTAGCCAAGTCGTAACCAGGGACTATATGTCATACGATGGACTGATTGTGATATGAGCACATTTTCAAAATAGATTGGTTGTTGTGTATTGGACACTTGGTCAAGTGTCGCATGTAATCAATAAGATATACGCTTTGCCTGCAGTTTTTCACTTTGGGAAGACTGTGCCAGTGCGTGGAAGCAATTTTAAAGCCTTTAAAATATAAACTTAAAAATCAAATAACAGGTATTCTTCATGCTCGTGCTCTAGTTCGTGAATGCTTGATAGAGACTGAAAGAAGTGCAAGATCATGATGGCAAATATTTGACTAACCTTCAAGTGTTGATGAAAGGAGATTGCTCTATCTAAGATCTACTCTTGCAATATTTATTTGTTGTTACTTACACATTGCATTTTGTATATCTTTTTTAAATTTTACCATATGTTGGAAACGTGTCCAAGTCTGATAAGATAAAGTTGTTGTTGCCAGCCAGGAAGGGGAGTTTTCAACTTTTAGAAACATTTTAATGACACTGCCACGAATCTTGACTTTGGGCTAAAATATCTAATTAAATCGCAAATAAAAATCATTGTATTGGTAATTTCTCTTATGGGTTACTATTTGGGAGCAGGGATGGAAATTTTAGTGGAAATCTGTGCGATAGAAACTGTACAAAAATTTGATTAGTTTCCTGGAGAATATAGGTATGAAAAAAATCTTGCTTAATCTACTGCTTCATGTCGTGTGAGAGGAACTTATGTCGTAAGACACATCTAAACAAAATGGCACATAATTCATTTATAAAATTGATCGCGAGAAATTTTTTGTTAACAAAATCGAACATGGTGTCAATTTAGGTGGATATCAATTTAATTTTTAAGTCTTAGGCTGATTAAACGTGTACATCGTGGTTCTTATGTGTATCTGCACAGTTTTTTTATTTTCTTGGCATTAGTAACTATCACTGTGATATTCGATTTGTATTTCATGTAACCTAATTTTTGAATTTATAGGTATTGTTGGCCCTGTCTGCGTGTCCGCACTCCCGTGTTATTTAACCCATGTTCAATAGAATCATTTTAACGGTATTGAAACTAAATGCTACTCAAACGTTTAATGGACTGACGCTTTTTAACAGTTTTGGAAGTTATGGTGAAATGCTATTTAAACATTAAACGACTGACGCTTTTTAACAGTATTGAAGTTACGATGAAATGCTGTATAAACGTTTAACGACTGACACTTTTAACAGTATTTGGGTTACGGTGACGCTCATAAACATCATTGAAATTAGAATGTAATGCCATTTAAACGTTTGACAACCGACACTTTCTAACAGTATTGAAGTTATGTTTAAATGCTGAATAAACGTTAAACGATTGATGCTTTTTAACAGTATTTACGGTGAAATGCAATTTAAACGTTCAATGACTGATGCTTTTTAACAGTATTCAAGTTATGGTGAAATGCAATTCAAACGTTAAACGACTGACGCCCATAAACATTATTGAAATCAGAATGTAATGCCATTTAAACGTTTGACAACCGACACTTTTTAACATTATTGAAGTTACGTTCAAATGCTGAATAAACTTTAAACGATTGATGCTTTTTTCACAGTATTTACGGTGAAATGCAATTTAAACGACTGACGCATTTCTACAGGGTATTGAAATTACGGTGATATGCTATTTGCAAAATGTATATATATATACACAGTGGATCAGGGACAATAATTATAATGTGGTGGGGTGTGTCACAACGTGAAAAGTGATTAAATGCTACTCAGTGATATAAATTCATCTACATTGATTCAGTATTCATTACCGAATGAGAGACAAATTAGGCTTAATTTGCATGATATTTTTGGGAATATTTCTCATGCCCAAAAACTTTTATAGAGGTATAAGATGATACTTTAGAAAGATACCAGCAGACGGTATGTTAGTCGTTGGGTCAGACCGTAAATATATGCTAGGTCAGACTAGCTCGAATAATTCCATTAAACCGTGAGAAACGCCATTGAAAACTCGACTATGGACATTTCTGTGGTGCTCCCTTTCTCTTGGTGTTCTCAGCACGTGCTGATTTTGCTTAATGTAATGGGTAATCTAGCCCTGACCCTATCCTGTGTTGAAACAATTTACATAGTAGGACACCGATTTATTGCCGCCACACAAAATTTGTTAAGTATAGCGAGAAAATACAAATATTTCGAATATGGTATTTATTTCGACCGAGCGGGGTCATAACGGGTGGAGGCTAACTCGCCATGGACCACTCGCCATGCGACGGCGGTTAACGGGTTAGCCTGCAACTGTGTGGAGGCTCTTCTTGTAATGGGAGATGGAAAGGTGGCTGTTTATACTAACAACTTCAATAGTAAGGATAAATATATTAAATTAAATGTGTTTGGTTACAATACCTACTGTGCAAATGGTAACAAAGTGACAAGAAAACGTGCTTATATGTCGGAAGGCATACCGGTACCGTACGGTACTCGACGCGCAAAGGATGTCTCAACTTATCATTTTCATCTAAGCATGCTAAATATATCATCATATTAATTGATTGTATGAGCTCTGAATTACCAACAACGTTAAATATATCAAAAGTTCTATTTTGCTACCGGCAGTCTCATTTTATTCTAACAGCCGTTGATTGCGAGCAGAGAGGGAGAGAGAGGGCTAACTCGCCATGTCTTTATTCTTTATAATTGACCATCGACATCGCCATTTCGAGAGAGAGAGAGAGGGCTAACTCGCCATGTCTTTATTCTTTATAATTGACGATCGACATCGCGAGTTCGAGAGAGAGAGAGGGCTAACTCGCCATGTCTTTATTCTTTATAATTGACCATCGACATCGCGAGTTCGAGAGAGAGAGAGGGCTAACTCGCCATGTCTTTATTCTTTATAATTGACGATCGTATAGTAGACCCAGATAGTATTATCACTGAGCTTAAGCGTAATTTATCTCCGGTCTTACGCCTTACCATAGCCAAGCACTATAAATGTGGCAATATCAACGGATACAATACCACAGTTCTTGAACTGATTCTACGAATTTCTATTACGACTTCGATTGTCTACGATTTTCAAACTCAAAGCAACGATGAATGCAACTAATGTCTGCAACGAATGCATGTCTACAGTCACCAACAAACAAGAAGGCTTGATCTGCGACATTTGTGTTCGGTGGTTTCACCGAAAATGTTTCAATGGAACTACAGTAGGAATGTCCAGGCCGCAATACAGATTACTGAATAGTCGAGACGTCACTTTTGAGTGGAAATGCCTAGACTGCTACACAAAGGTAAGTATAGAAGATATAGTATATATATATTTTCTATATAAGTATAAAAGTCAAAAAGGTATAATGATCTTGTTTCTTTGCAGGCCGAAGATCATCAACAACAACAGCGGAATGATTCCACGATATATCTGGCCCCGCCGACGAACATTCCACGACTCGTTGATTAGTCCGACTCTTAATGCTCTGAGATTAGCCCAATACCTATGGTAAATATCCTCTCTCATTACTCATTTAGATCCCTAGTGTTTCGCACCTAGCCTATATGTCTAACTTGTTGCTCTTTTTTACAGACTGAGGAAATTTTCACATTTCCCGTCGGATGTTCAGGGGTGGTGGAGTCATCCATAGAGGCTTTTGTTCTTAGGGACATATCCAGCGAAAATGCCGAGACGACCTTCGTAGTGGAAGGGGACCTGAGTCAAAGAAAACACCCCAAGCTGTATGAGAGGCACGGTTACTCCTATACGGTTCTTCGCACTAATATCAATGGAAGTGGTGAGTTATAGTGAAACTCATATTACTACAACAAACAATTGCAATGTTTCTAATTAATCTTTTCTATCTACAGTTACCTGGCGGTGTTCGGTGCGGAGGAAAGGAAATATATGCCGGCCAAGGTATACCAAACAGAGGATGATTTTAGTAGAAATGGTTTGGATCATACCCACGAACCTAGACCAAACGAACGGCCCCGCGTCCTTCTCAACAGGGCAGTTTTGAAGCGCGGGTTGGAAAATCCGTACTCGGCATGTGGAATCATTACGAAAGCGGCAAGGAGAGACATGACCAACCCGCCTTCTATAAGATTCACTAATGTAAGTATCGTGATTTTCAGTGTACTTAATTTTCATTTTTTCTACCTTTCCCTTTCAGGAAGGAACATTGAAGAGGTTCTGCAATAGGAAAAGACAGGGAAACAGATCCATCAGATATTAACGATGAGTTGAAAAAAAATAGATTATTTACCTACTGATTTCTTATTAAAATATATCAGAATAAAGGGAGCGCGTCACCTTTTGTTCGCAACCCAAAAGCAATTGAAAATTTTGGCCAATTCAAAAGTTTGGTACATGGACGGTACTTTTGATGTTGTTAGGGACCCGTATTATCAACTCTTTTCAATTCACGCATTCGTTCGAAGTGGTGAATGTGCCAAACAACTGCCCCTCGTTTTTGTTTTAATGTCAAGGCGACGTAAGTGTGATTATGAAAATGTTTTCAAGGCTATCAAAACTATACTGCATTTAAATTTTCCAGGTACTCGTGTGAAGAAATTTGTCATGGACTTTGAGCAGCAACATGGCAAGCACTGTCTCTGGTATGGCCGGATGTGAGAAGACAGGGATGTGCATTCCATTTCACTCAGGCCATCATGAAGAACATGCAACAGAACAAATTAGCAAGTTTGTAAGCAAGTTTGTAAGCAAGCAAGTGTATAACAAGTGAGTAATTTAGTGCTCATATGCATCTATGTGTTTATATCATTAACGTTGTTGAATATGTAATTTCCATTTTTCAGGGACATCGGGACGAGAGATTTAATGAAGCAAGTCATGGCCCTGTGTTATATTCCAGATATGTTCATCCCGTCGCTGTTCCTATCTCTGCGAGGCAGAATGACCACCGACGGGTTGAATAGATTTGCCGAATATTTCGACAGGACATGGCTGAAGAACTCAGTTTGGAAACCAAAAGACTGGTCGGTATTCGACGTCGACGTTAGGACTAACAACCATTTGGAAGGGTGGCATCGGTACTTCAATAGCATAGCACGGACAAATATGCCTTTTTATAGCCTTATATCCAAGATTCACGAGGTCAGCATTGCGGTGGAATCAGATGTAGCAGAAGTAATGGAGGAAAATATACCAAGAAGGGCTGACGCAAAAATACAGCGAGGCAAATGACAAGCTGAAGGAAGTTTGGAGTGTTTTCAAGGACGGATGATTATCTGCGGAGGCTCTCCTTCGAAGATGTTCAAAAATCTACGGCCCGGCCTTTTGTAAAGAGTAAGTAACCTAGTGTAAGTATTTTTTCCCCTTCCTCAGTTTCTTTTCCATGTACAGCTATGATGCCCTATCTGTGCTTGGGTTTCTTCTGGTAAAAAGAAATTCTGACTCGAAGGCTGAAACCTTGTCGTGGTGAGTTGGCTTACACTAATATCAGCCGGCATCAGGGCAATCGACAATTATATAGAAAATAGACATGGCGAGTTAGCCTCTCTCTCTCGAACTCGCGATGTCGATCGTCAATTATAAAGAATAAAGACATGGCGAGTTAGCCCTCTCTCTCTCTCGAACTCGCGATGTCGATCGTCAATTATAAAGAATAAAGACATGGCGAGTTAGCCCTCTCTCTCTCTCGAACTCGCGATGTCGATCGTCAATTATAAAGAATAAAGACATGGCGAGTTAGCCCTCTCTCTCTCTCGAAACTCGCGATGTCGATCGTCAATTATATAAGAATAAAGACATGGCGAGTTAGCCCTCTCTCTCTCTCGAACTCGCGATGTCGATCGTCAATTATAAAGAATAAAGCATGGCGAGTTAGCCCTCTCTCTCTCTCGAACTCGCGATGTCGATCGTCAATTATAAAGAATAAAGACATGGCGAGTTAGCCCTCTCTCTCTCTCGAACTCGCGATGTCGATCGTCAATTAAAGAATAAAGACATGGCGAGTTAGCCCGCTCTCTCTCTCGAACTCGCGATGTCGATCGTCATTATAAAGAATAAAGAACATGGCAAGTTAGCTCTCTCTCTCCCTCTCTGCTTGCGATCAACGGATGTTAGAATAAATGAGACTGCCGGTAGCAAAATAGAACTTTTTGATATATTTAGCGTTGTTGTTGATTTCAGAGCTCATACAATCAATTAATATGATGATATATTTAGCATGCTTAGATGAAAATGATAAGTTGAGACATCTTTTGCGCGTCGAGTACCGTACGGTACCGGTATGCCTTCCGACATATAAGCCCGTTTTCTTGTCACTTTGTTACCATTTGCACAGTAGGTATTGTAACCAAACACATTTAATTTAATATATTTATCCTTACTATTGAAGTTGTTAGTATAAACAGCCACCTCTCCATCTCCCATTACAAGAAGAGCCTCCGCACAGTTGCAGGCTAACCCGTTAACCGCCGTCGCATGGCGAGTGGTCCATGGCGAGTTAGCCCTCATGGCGAGTTAGCCGTCAGCCGTCATAACTAATTCAACCCATCACCGGATGTCGCATGGGATTTGAGCATAGTTTTCTGAATAACTATGATTTTAGTACAGATGTCAGGTATATCTAGAAGCGATTGGGGGATTCAAGGGACAGTATCGATTCTATAATGTGAAAACAAAGCGAATGACTAGAAGAAGAGAGTGAGAACAAGTAAGTCAGCAACTTGGTTCAATGTTTAAATCAGATAAATACCGTAGTGCGCGAAGAGAGGCTTCATTTTGATTTTCTGTTGCAGCAAAACAACTGAATAAAGCAGGAAAGAGACAATATCGTAGTGACTACTGCAATACAAGGCAAAACACAAAAAAGTATTGTAGCCTTCCGTATGCGAAAATGTTCATAATATTATGCTGACCAATTATATAAAATATTTTGTTTACAAGCAGTTATGTGGATAGAAACAAAACCAGGAATAAGAAATATGATTTGTGCGTAGCGGTAGTATATGGAAAAGAACCTGAATTTGTTAGTCATTTATTTATGAATTGTGTATATTTTGATTACGTTTTTGATTTTATTGAAAACCTGAAAACACTGCTAGGTGATTAAATAATGCCAGAAAAATTATGAAACTTGTCTTTTATTAGACTCTGGTTATTTATTACATTCAAATATTATCCACAAGAAGAGATTTGAATATTGCTGTGTTTCTGGGTTTTTCTCACAATTCTGCAATTACCGTGTTTCCCCAAAAATAAGACAGTGTCTTATTTCAATTTTCGAAAAATACCACTAGGGCTTATTTTCAGGGGATGTCTTATAATTTTATTTATCAAAAACAAAACTAGAAAATACAGAATTAGGAGATTTTCAAATATAAAAAATATTAAAACCGATATCCATTTACTTAAATGACATGTTTTCCTCTCTCACACGTTTTAGATTACTCGTTTATAACGTATGGGAGAGATTCCTTTTAATCTGCGGTTGTGTTGACGAAATAAGAGCAATACTACTCAAAAAAAATACCATGACAAACCCTGGACGCGAAAATGCGTGGTAAAGCGCTCGATTATATCTTAGAAAAATAATTTATTCCTCGTTCTTCGAACTCGCGAGAAACACCTATTACGAATCTATCGAGGCGTGTACAAACTCTTGTTTTTGTCGGAAATCCACAAGTGAGTTGTGAAATCCAATCGTTTGATTAGGCGACTCGCAAGTGACCTGTCGCGGCACGTGTTACCAAAGTTCCGATTAGTAAATGTGCTATTCTAATAGTTGAATATTCGAATTATAGCCCAGCCTTACTCAGTAACCAGTAATCATTGACGCGATTAATGTCATGTGAATAAATAGACTTTTTATGTTTTTTTTGTAAATTCTAACGCAAATCTTAACTTGGCTGATAGTAAATTGAGTTTCGCAAAACATTTGCGGCCCGCAGTGAATTTCTGACTCGTTGCGGACTCATTTAAACGCTCTGCGGACTCATTTGAGACCGCGGACTCGGGTTGGGAAACACTGGACTAGGACTTGTTTTAATGGGGAGGGCTTATATTAAAATCATTCCTAAAATTCAGGCTAGGTCTTATTTTCAGGGTAGGATTATTTTACAGGGAAACACGGTAGTAGGTCTGAAATATAGTTATATAAAAACTTTGTGGTATATTTGAATCAACTACTCCTGATTACCATGTCAGCATGTGGTAATCAAACAAATTTGAACAGCAATCACTTATAGCTATATAGACTCAACATTGAAAAAAGTAGAAAATCGCCCAATTTTGTCAAAGAATTTATTTGAATTGTAAATTTAGTATGTGGGTAGATAAAGTAAATATGTCTAATACAGTAATATGTTTGATTTTTCTTTTGTTTAAGAAAATGTGCACCTATACTGGTACCAGTAGTAAAATATGAAACCATGAACAGAATATATTCATCTTAATATTATACCAACAGAACTCTACTTTTACTTTGAATATTACGGTACATTATTCATTTAACACAAGACAGAGGGAATTTCAGCCTTCAGGTTTTACTGTTGTTGAAGGATTTTTTTCCGGAATTGTAAAAATTGTCAGACTATTTGATGTCTGACAAGGGGTTTTACCTGCATTAATCGGAAAGAAAGTTTTCAGAAATGTCATTGAGTGACAGTGATGGGGAATTTTTTGATGCAAGAGAAGAAGTTAGCTCTCCAAGGTAAGTAGCAATTAATAAATCTACAAAATTGTCGGTAATGGCCACAAATGAAAAATTCATTATTTCAAATACATTTTAAAATAACATTTTTGAATATAGATATTAAATTTGAAAAAGCAAGAAACATAAGTACGGTAAAGTAGTATAAACAGATATAACTGTATGATTAGTTTTCTATTTTTTACAGTTTAAATGAAGACATTTTTGGTCATTCTGTAAGATTAAGAATTCGGTGCTTCAAAATGATGATATTTCATGCGAATTCCAAAATTTAAAATATTGAATATTAGTACATCATGGTATCATACATACATTGTTTTTTGGTTATTTTTGTATGCCTTTTGGATGTAACAATCTGTGGTGTTACTGTGCTTATAATTGATAAAATTATTCTGAAAAAGATAAAAATAAATTATATTTTGCTACATTTAGGCCATGTCAAAAGCCTGTTTCTGAATTGGTATCTTCTCTGAAGGAAGCAAAAAGTGAAATTTCTTTACCCACAGTTCCTGACAATGAACCAATACAGGTAATCTTCATTCATATATTCAACTTTGTTTGTAAAACACACCAAAGCATACAGAAACTTTTTTGGATGTACCTCACTAAAGGTGTTTTTAACATACTGTGTTATTGAATGTTATTGTTATAATTATACCGGTATGTATTTTTTGATGACTTTGGACTGTGTACATGGCTTTGTTAATTTTGAGATTACTATTACGGCACAATTGGAATAAAGGCTGTTTTATATTACACAATCGATTGATGGAATAAAAAAAGAGTGGCATTAGCATTTTAACATTGTCTCTCACTCCCATCGCTCAAGGGTAAATTATCCAATCTTTTATCATCTGCCCAAGTTACACTACTGGTCTTCCCATTTTGTTATTTTCTTCACTACTTTATAATAACAAACTTATTTTGGGCAGCTGAACTTGATTAAGTTGTGAGTTACTGACAAACATTTAAATTCTTTATTTTTTTAGAAAGAGGAAGTTGTTCCTGAATCAAAGCATGAAAATGTGATGAAAAATGAACATGAACTAACATTAGAGCAAGAGGAAACAAATGATGAGCAAGTACTTGATAACCATGATGAGCCTGATTCTTCTAAAATAAATGTAGAACCCGATAAATATGCAGATGGAGACTCAAATAGTCAGATTGGCTCACCCAAACTAGATGATAAAAATACTACGAAACGAAAAGAAATGACACCGACTATAACTGTTGGTAAGTTGAGTATGCTTTCATATTTTCAATTTGAAGTATACCTTTATGCAAAAGATATTGTCATATTGAGCCTTAAATATCTAAAACATCATATATATTAATTTATTTATTTTCTACTTCCTAAATCCATTAACTAATTTGGGATTAATATTAACTATGGGGCATTTTTAGAAAATTTGTTCCTTCACTGCCAAAATATATTTGTTTTATAATTTTTACCACTATGAACGTTTGCAAATCTTTGCTTGAATAATTGCATCATCTGACAATTCCGTATTCAATCATTCACTATTCTTTTTCAATAAAATATAAACTGTGGTATTCTAAGGATAGAAAAATTATTTGGGACTGTTTTTATTCATAAAATAACCTTGAGTGTTAAAAAACATATGACTTTATTCATTGCCATATAAAACAATTCTAAGAATTTATTAGATTCTACTATCAAACTTTAGATTAATAACACTTCTGAGACCGATTTGGTCCTCTGCGCATAGCAATATGCATTGAATGCAACACAAAACTTACAATTTGGTTATGCCATAGTCAGAAAAATTTATTTGCTCGGATTTGGTTTATGCCAAAATTATCATAATAATTATGCACTGTTTTGCTTTAACTGGAATGAAGATTTCGAAAGCAATGATAATTTACTTTGAAATTGTATTGTTTTCGGAATTCATTTGATTTCCTAGTTTTAATAATTATCAATTTGAAGTTAAAAACCACAAAATTTGTATTTTCAAATTTTCAGCACAGAATTTATCAAGATTCATTAAATTTACATTTTTTAAATTCTTTAATCAGAGTATTTTGCAGTATACATTTCATTGTATTTGGTTTCTCAATACAATTATGCAAGTAATTATTGCACTGAAAGTAACATAAAATAATGGAAAATTACCAGAAAACACACCAATGTCTGGGCAAAAGCCTGATTTACTTGCCTGCGTTCAAGATCGACCAACTAACTTGCCTGGAGTCAAACCAGTGGATGTTATCACTCGTCCAACCATGCCTCCTCCACCACCACCTGGGCCAAGGAAGATTCCGCCATCAAGACCAGCGCCTCCAAAACGGCCACCGCCACCCAAAAGAACACACTTGACTGCTAGGTCTGCGAAGCCCTATTTGAAGTAAGAGCATGTTGAATCATTTTTAGGGTATATTTTTAAATTGAGGAATTGTGTAACAACAAAAAAATTGCATCTTGCATAAATAAATCAAAACCTAAATTATGATTGTTCAATATCTTTTTAATAAAGCATTATGCCTAATATAACTATCAGTAAAGGTTAGTAGACTAACCCCCAATCGTTCCTCAATGCCTTTGCGCTAATGGAATCGTATGTGTATAATGCAAAGATGCTGTAGCAGGAATAACAATACCATACTATGCAATTCAAAAGTCCTAATGCACACTAACACATATGTGTATTTGTGTTAGTGTAAAGCAGGACTCTTAAATTGCATATTATGCTTAATGTCGGGGAATAAAATATGTCATAACTCATAAGGCATGAATTGGTTGAAAAAATTGTCTGGTATTTAACATGAAACTAATTGTGGATCTGAATTTTCAGAATCAACTATTTAGGTATGGACATTTAGGTACTAATCCACTGTCCACATACTAATCTACGATTGTGAGTAGAGTTTTGCGCATCATGATGAAATAGTGCTTTTACATTGCTTTTATACTTGCAGTGAAACTGATGATGGCCTTTTGACTCCAAATTCAACTGTTGATAATTTAACAAGAGAATTTACAGAAGCTTTGGAACATGATAGAAGTATTAATAAACAGCAGGCAAATGAAGAATCTATACATACTGACAGGTATCTTATAGAAATATACTATTTTTGAGATTCACGTTATGTTCCGGTTCCGGTATATAAAATTGTGACCTTAGTACCTTGTTTGCTTTAACAGGTCTGAAATGTGTTATATACTAATCCTAAGTTCCTGTTTAAATAGATTAACATGGTCAAAATCGAATACCATAAGCTCTTGATTATTGGAGGACATGTATAAGTTATTGTGTTGAGCGAAAAGTAAACAATGTCATAGTAAAATAGAAAATCAATCAAACAATGGGTATTGTAATATATTCGATATTCTTCATTAAAAAATATCAGTTTAGTGTGTACTGTATTTATAATTCTCAATAAATCATGCAAAATATGGGAGAACAAAACTAAGAAATTTCTCTAGCAAATGAAAAATTTACCTTCATGATAGGGTTTTAAAGAGTGGATACAATTTTAGCATGAGTTAACTAAAATTTTACAATAAAACCAGGGACATGTCTACAAATACTCTTATCAAAACTATTACACTCATGCAAGCCATATTAACTTGGCTGTTATCTTGATTAACAATCCACTTATTAAAATTGATTGCATCATTAGTATATGATCACTCAACAGTATAAACAAAAAATGCCAAATATAATATGACGATTATTTGCGTAATGCTACAGTTGCATTCCATGAATGTTTTTGTAACTGTTTCATATTTTGTTTAATTTTTAGTTTATCTATTGAATATACTGAATTGTATGAATTGATTTCTGGGTAAGAATCGCACTACACTTTGCTGTGACAATGTGCAAGTAATTGAAATTATTGAAACCAAAAAGTGCTTAATTGTTTATTGTTGTGGCGGCATTGTCAATTATCGATTTTGTAAATGCTTAGGTGTTAATTTTGTTTATTTAAAAACATTATTTTTTTGAGGTAAATTTAAAAATATAATTTTTTTTAGAAGAATGTAGTTCTGTTAAATGATAAGTTTATGCATTTTAGTGATTTTCTCCATTTGCAACTCTCACAATTTAAATGGTTCTCTGGAATTGTGCTAGAATATGAATAACCTCTTTCAACACCTAACCCCCTAATTAATGCAAAAGCAGCAGAAGTATGCAGACATCCCTAGCATAATCAAGTTCACAATATTTTATCAAATATAAGCACACGCTTCATTCTTACTAATAATATAAGAGCTATGTGTTATTCTTTAATTATCACATATACTTTTTACCAACATTGTTCTGTAATTAACAGTGACCAAATCTTCACTAAGTGATTTAAACGAAATTAAATCAATAAAATTCTTATTTAATTTGCAATAAGATACTTATTAGGAATGGGGACTTATACTTATGCGCACATTTTAGAATGTTCTGTTTCAAGATTTTTAGTCAATCATGTTGATTTCAAAGAATGCAAGCATAAAAAAAGCTTTCCCGAATAAATATTCAATTTACATGGAAGGTTTCAAAATATGATTCGCTTTCAACATTTTTTCTCTCATTATTGCTGTAAAAATGGATCTTAAAATGTCAATTATCTATGATGGATTCGTGACCTCATGCATATTATTTTTTTGTTCATTTCAGCCCAGAATTCATAGTATCTCATGAAGTATCAACGAAAACTATAGAGCAAACTGGTATGTTATAACTACGTATCATATATAAAAATTAAATTTTTTTGTCATATTTTTTTATCGGTTTATGGTCTTAATTTAAGACACTTGTCTAGTAAAAAATGTAAGCAAAAACATATATTTTTTTCTTCAATTTTTATCTGATAGCCATTTTAGACCTCCAGATATATACAATAAATAGTTGTATGAATATCTACTGTAAGAGTGTACAGTTTTATTTTTATCTACTAGTTTACTTGCAGCAATGATGCAAAGTTATTTTACTTCAGTATAAACATAGGCTAGTTTAATTTGTCAATATAATCAATACATACTTATTGACTATTTTGAATATTTTATAATCTTTCACACTTCAAATGAACTTGTAATACCAATTGATTTAAAACATTAAGTATCAGTAATTCCTAATTACCTAATCAAAATAAAACCACATTTAGATTGATGTTTATTTTAAAAGAAAATGTAGACCTATTTACAGAATATGAATTTAGTTTGACATGGCTCTTGAATTTGCAAATTGTTTGATTATTCCAAATCAATTATATGCTAGATTGAAGATACTTCTTATTTAAGAATTATGTAAGTCGCAACTCACGAGTATTTTGGATCTAGCATGGAATATTTTATGGGGAAGAATACTTGTAACTGTTAAATTTTTTCTCTGACTTCCATTTGCTATTGTGGGGATTCTTTCCTGCAACTCATTTCAATTTAAAACAAAATTGATATTTAATCCAAATATTATACTGCCAAGAAAAAACATTTCGCATGAAAGAAAAAGTTTCCATAAACATGATCATAGTTTTTAAAACACTACTTTATTATTAATCCTAAATTATATTGGAGGTGAATTCTCAGCACAATTTTCTCAAAATATCAGTTTTACTGAATTGCTGATAAAATTAGAGAAAAAATCTGAACAAATATTCAATGTGATCATGGATGAAGAATTCAATATTTTTTGTTGTTATTAAATACGAGCCAATTTGAAGTATTTTTAAAAATCAAATTTATTTTTAGAACACAGTAGTCACATTGGATCAGCATCAACTGTGAACACGCATACATCACCATCAAGTTCATTACGAAGGGAAGAAGTAAGATTAATTATATGATTCTCATATTAGGAAATGTCAAAAAATTCAATTCCAATTATTAATCATTTCATTTTACAACAGGATATCTTGGCAAGTGTTATAGTAAAAAATTTGGACACTGGTGAAAGTATGCCACTGAGTACAGCAGCAGAACATGTAAGTAACAGTAATTTTACATCTTCATATATAAAAGTCTATTCGTGTAAAAGAAATATATCTAACACTGCTAGCGTAGTACTTCAGTGCTAATACATCTTGAAATCTACAATCTTATGTTGGCAAGGGTGTTATCGCTTGAGTACCTTAAATATATAGACATAAATGAAAACCATTAGAGCTGGAAATGCAGCAGTTGATCTCAACCTAGCTTAAGGTAGGTCTCTTACTATAGTGAAACGCTCCAATAGTTCTTCACAGCAACAGGTGGATGTCTAACAAGTGGAATAATTCTGATTTTTTAAATTTGTTCAATACTAGTTTCATATGTATTAGTAATTTTGAATTTTGATTTAACAAGTTGTTGTTCGAATACCCTTAATATTGATTTGTTACTTCATGTATCATTAAATGCTGTGTACACCATGTTAGCATGTACTTTACTATGATATCTGTGTAGACTTCAAAAGAAGCAATTATGAACTATCATGTTATTGACAAATTATTGCTAGTTTCTTCTAATTTTTGTCAAAGTCTTGCAAGACTTTTGATAATGTCAATTTGTGAAAACAATTTTCTTTGCAAGAATATTTTAGTTTAATTTTATATATCATATATTAACATTTGGCGAATTTGATATAAAAAGATATTGGGTTCAAATAGCAGTGAATTAGTATGTGCGTTAAATAAGCTATGTGACAGTAATGATACTTTGGCTGTTTGCACCTTTTTTAACAGAAATGAAAAATACACATTCTACAAAGTATTATCACTTTTTCATTTTCTCTACTTCATCTAAGTATGATGCTGAGGTATCTAGGCCAGCGTGGTCCAAACGTAGGCGGGCCACATGTGTCCCGCAGCCCCATTATCTGTGGCCCGCATCGCATTTGATGGGTGGTAATTAAATAATCGTATTTAATGTCATAATATAACCAGAAAAATCTCTTGACATATTGTTACATCACTAATGTCACTGAATTGACTAGTGTTATGACTAGCGAAGTTTAATAATGTGTTTGGCCAGTCTAAATCGCTGGCTTTCTATATTTTTGGTCGGGAATATACGCTAACCATATAGGCATCATAAAATACTAAAAATCGAATGCAAAATCTATTAGCCTAGGTTGGCTTATGCATGATAACCAGATATTAATGTTATGGCCTAACATTATAAATCCTGCTGTATGTATTTTTTTTCAACCACCCTAAACCGTATTACAAAAAATGATGCCTATTATGTCAGAAAATTTAGTAATTACCCTCCTTCACCTCATATTTGGTAATCAATCAATCTGCAGTTATTTTGTAAACATGAATATGAATATGAAAAGAAAGCTGACCAATTCAATCAGATTTTCAACTGCATATGAGTGTGAAAACACCACAATGCCTGCAATGTTGTGTCGGTGACAAAAGTTTATAAAATGGCATTTGACAATCTCCCGAGCAGTGAGCATTTTCTAAAGTTTATTTCGCTCTGAGAATCGTATCGATGTTCTAAAGAACTTACATTTGCAGAAGCACTTTCTCCGTTAGGAAGAGTTTGAAATTCTAAACTAAATGTAGATACAGAAAGACTTTTTTACAATCAATGTGATGATGATCAATGCGTTTGCACATTGAAGATGTTTGTTTTGTATTGCGCTGCTTACCTATTCTTGACACTATTGTGGCCCGCGAACGATGCAAAAATAATTTTGAGCCCCCGAAGAGAACAACCTTGGACCACCCTGATCCAGGCAATGATGATCGAGTGCAGTACGGGGACTATGGCACATAAAGTTTGAGAACCACTGTTTTAAACTATCAAAATATATTATTATGGAAAACCTGTATCCCAAATGCATATTATTGCATCAGGAATTACAATTTTTTCATAGATCTTACTTCCTTGATGTAAATTTTGCATACTCATATTTTTCTATTTAATTATAACAAAGTTCACTGACTTTTGGATCACATGACATCGATAGGGAGAGACAATACATTTCTCGTTACCTAATGAAAAAACGTTTTTGTACACACCTTTATAAAAACATTTGACAAAAAGGCGATGTGTCAAATTTCAAAGCACTAAATATTTGAACACACCCGATCCTATTGAGTTGAATCTATTAATATTTGCTTTTCCTATTTGCCATATTATGTATGTCTATAGAATTCCAATCTATTATATTGATACCAGCTGGAGATCTGTATTAGTTGGTGTCAGGGCACACAGGAGTTCATAAAACCATCAAATTAGGATCAGTATCACGATACCTAGACTAGGAAAGGGTTGTATAAAAATGTGTAATATTTTTTGATCATGTGAAGTTGAACAATATGATTTTTTTTTTTCGGAACTTGATTTTTAAAAGTTAGAGGACAGATTAGCTTCGACTTTTTGATGCAATTGAGTTTGTGTTTATATGTATTTTGGTTCGTTTTCTGAATATTATAAATCATTTATTTTGCTAACGGTAAATATATTCTGCCAATGCAATGTATCTCTTTTACGTCATATATAAAGATCCTACCATAAACAGTAACTTGGTGAAAATTTTCTTTTTCTCCCCATCGAGAACCCACTCATCGAGAATAAAATTGATCATCTCCCTCTTTTCAAAATACATTTGTCTCTTTGCATTGCTAAAAGGTTGTACGATTATTTTTCATAAATTTTCTCCTATATTTCTCAGGTTTCTCAGTTTATAAATCCTCTAGCATTGCAAATCATGAGTAGAACGAAAGAGTTTTCATATTCTGGAGGCTCAAACAACAGTACAATGAGTTCTCATGATGGTCAGATGAACACGGCATCAGCTATTTCACAATCTGTTTACGTCGATAGTGATTCTCTGTCTATCGCTAGTGACGATATTGATATAGGTATGTGTATTATTACACAAATTTTTGTTGAATATAAAGCATGATTACCAGTGAATAAGCCTAAGCAGTTTTTGTTGTAAAATTAAGCTATTTAGATTACTGGTATATGAAATTGAAGATAAAATGCAAAATGGAATTTTGGAATATCAATATATGTAATATCTAAACTGCCTCTTGTTTTAGGCCTTTCTTAGAACTATCTAACCTTTAGAAAAACCATTTTTTTTTTCTACTATACTTTCTTAATTTCTGAATTTATTATGTGTTTATTGCTAGAAATTATTTTACCTCGATCTTAACTGTGTTGTCATTATTAAAATTTATTTTATATATTACATTCCTGAATGTAGCTTTGTGTTTTTGATTCTGCATACAGAAAAGGTAGAAAAAAAATTGTAAGACCTCAAATTTTGAGATATTCTGCAAAAATTTTACATCTAAATTATTAATGTCTGAATTGTTCCTAATATCCAAAATTTACTTTAATCAAATATAACCAATTTTGAACGTATTCAAATATTCGATTCATTTTGGACATTCATGGTTATTGGTATTTATGTATTTGAAATGATTTTCCATCTTGTTGTCACCTCAATTCTCAATTCATCAACTTTACATTTGCAATTTGTTAGTAAGGCAAAAGTCAACAGAGGTGATGACATTCTGACCATTAAACAATTCCATTCAATCTAATAATAACATTGTCAATTTGATAATATAACGTGTCAATTAAACCTATTATTATTATTCCTTTTGGAAACAGGTAAAGATGCGTCACAACATAAACATAAAGAAGGCAAGAAACTGAAATCGAAAAGCAAGAAATTCAAAAAAATGGTTGGAAAAGGAGTATCTAAAGTGAAGGTTGCGGCAGGAACGCAAGTAGAAAAAGCGGTGCAAAAAGTGAAACATGTGAAAGATGAAGGTAAGTTGAGTTGGTATATTGTTCGTTCATGAGTCCAGAGATTTTATTTGACGTATTATTCTATGCTGTTGGGACTACTGCAATGATCAAAGTCGAATAAACTAATATTCGAATACCTTCGAATTCGAATTACATATATTTATATTTTCAAATATGGAATATATTCAAATTGGGACATCTTCAACAAAACATATAAAAGCTCATGCATCATATTTGTGAATACAGTATATGCTCGTTTTACCCCCCGATCTTGAATAAGGGCTCGTTTGAATAGCCGCCCGTGTGAACAAAACATAAAAATATATGAGGGTTGGTGCTTGAATACCCGCCCGGTGTAAAACCTGATTTTTCAGTGGTAGAGAACAATAGGAAATAAGGTGCGCTTTTGTCACAATGGATTAATGTTGTCAAATATTTGTCTTCAAAGATACCGTAATTTTTGTGTATAATTTAAATTTAAAAATAACCGTGCTTGAATAAGGGCCAGTTTGAATAAGGACCCGGTTAGTGAAATTGGTTAAAAAAATATGGGCCCGGGCTACAAAACGAGCAAATACGGTAGTTGACTTTATAGCCAATGCACATTTCACTGACACTGAAATTCAATTTAGAAAAATATTTGTTGAGGCTGATTTCCGGGACCTCCACAAGTATGTGCACCAAGATGGCGCACAACCTTAATATAGTATGAGTACCAGGTTATGCATCTGAAAACAAAATAAATGACAAACTAATCCCATGCCCGAAATGGACTGGTAACTGGACAAGAGGGTGTGACGTGGTTTACCATGTGATTAAGATGTATTATCGGCTTTTTCTCTCCCCAGGGATAAACACATAAATCCTATCCTAATAAATAGACAACTGAGCAATTGCTGTAAATGTTCTGTAAAATAAATTTTACTGTTAAAAAGCTGTAATTTATCTGATTTCTCACTTTACTTTATCAGTTACTCACACTGATCAGCTGAATGTATCGAGTGATGAAGATTCAACTGAATTTGGTTCGTCTTCAACTATTAAAGTAAAAGCAGCTTCTAGTAATAAAGGACCTTATCAACTTTCACATCCTAAACAAATTCAGGATATTGCGGTTCATGTTGTAAGTTACCTCACTGCTATATTCAAACGGACTAAACTTTCATGGTAAAGCTCTGATTATAGCAAGAAAAATCGGAAATTCATGACCTGAATTTTTTATTACTCAAATAGGGTGCTGTTTGGTGCATGAAGTTCAGTCATTGTGGAAGATTACTTGCAACCTCAGGACAAGATAATGTCATCTGGGTTTGGGTGCTGAAAGATTTTTATAATTATTTTAATGATATGAGGAACAAATATGACAATAAAGGTATGCTTTTCTTTCATTTGGCAGTAGATAAAAGGGTAATTTTTGGCAGTAGATAAAACTCTGTATTAAATGTTGAATTATGATCATTAATTAAATAACCTAAAGCGCCGAATGACACTCACTCTATGCGAAATTTTCGATCCAGAATCACCGATAAATGCACTCATAAAATTGCACTCATTGGCTAATGATTTCTATATTTCCAGACGATGAATTATTCAATGCATCATCCATGAAGCACGTTGTGCATTCGTCATCGTCAAATTCATCAGATTTTCATCAGAATTCTGAAGACGATGTTTTTAATTCTGAACCACAAATGAGGCCGAGTCAGTTAGAAGAGGATGAAGAAGAGGCTCCTTTCAGACAGGTATTGGGGAAGCATGAGGGCTACCTCCACTCCTAACAATGTACAAGTGGTCACAGATACTTGAGAATTCAATACTTTAAATTGGCATTTCTTACCCAAATTATTACACTGGTGAGATCTGGTCAGCATATCTTACACCGCAGGTCGGGTGCAGCCAGGTCATCCAAAAAAGGGAGATTTTAAAAATTTTCAATACATTGCACAGGGATTCACTTGCAGCGACTTTCAAAACCTAGGGTGGTTGAGCGCTATAATCTGCAATACCGTAGTTAGGTCAAGGTCAAAGTTCATTAATCCATTAATTGAATTTTTTCAAATAGCAAAGAGTTAAAACAATCTCTTTCTAAGCTTTTATATTTTCCCTCATATCGTTTTTTACCTGTACACTTCATTTTTATTTCAGGTCCCATTCTCATCGTATGTTGGTCATGCTGCTGATGTTTTAGACTTGGCATGGTCGAAGGTAAAATCAATTTCATTTCAATAGTAATTCTAATCTTCACTGGGAGGTCGTAAAAGGAAATTTATTTTTAATAAGGGTTTGCACATGGCGAGCCAACTTTTATGCTTACTATGCTATTGCACTTGAATAGATGTAAGGTGACTCGCCTAATTGTTCGTACCAAACCCATATTTCCAGTTCTTTTTATGTGAATCAATACAAGCGTGAAACTGAATTCAAAATCATGGGCAGAATTGAATTGATTATGTTTTAATTAGGTATTGTTGTGTGGACTTCTTTGTAACGAAAATCTCACACTGAATCGCAATTAAAGCATAATTCAAAGTAGGGATGTTCGAAACAAAGTGAATATTCGAGTACATTCAAAATTGATTATATTCGATATAGTAAATTCTTAATTTGAAAAATTTAGAATATTTTTATTTGAAAATGTCTTTAAGCATTCATTATCTTATGATTGACAAAACATTAGAAACTTCCGACAAAATAAAATAGAGAATAATAATTAAAACTTTTTTATCTCAATTATTCTACATGATTTAATTCGATTTATATGAATTTACAATTGTCTTGAAGAATTTCTCTTGTGAAACAGATTCATTTTAGAATATATTCAATATTTCATATTCGGAAAGATTATTTTCGGAATACTAAATTATTCGGTTTTGGCCTTCCCTGATTCAGAGTCTTGTCAGATTCATTATAACACAAGTTTTAATTCATTTTTTTTACAGAATTTTTTCATTTTATCATCTTCCATGGATAAAACTGTGAGGTTGTGGCACATATCAAGAAAAGAATGTTTATGTTGCTTCCAACATATTGACTTTGTAACTGCAATTGCTTTTCATCCGAGGGTAAGTATACTTAGCAGTGTTAGCTAATTGGTTTTCTATGCAAAATATCATTCTGACTATTTAATAAATCTCTGTACGGTATTTTACAGACCATAAGGCGCACTTGTAATGTTTTTTTTCTCAAAAATCCATTGTATGCCTTGTTATAAGCCTGTGCGCCTAAGTATGAATCAGGTTGGTATGTGATATTCCTTAAAACTGTTGCATCGCATATTTTGGTGCACCTTACATATGGACAAAATCCCTATCTCAAGCAATTTTTTGATGGCGTTCCTTATAACTAGGGGCTCTCCATGGTCCGTAAAATACCAAACTTTATTGTTGATTGAGTTTGTATTTAACACGGTGAAAAGGTTCGCATGATGGCCCATATTATGGGCCAAAAGATTTTGGTTCAAGCTATAGCCCTCACCAGGTTGTTGTCATTTTGGTATGCTATTGACCCTTCTGATACTATGACAGCTTGTTCAGACAGAGCCTGCATCAAAAATTTCATTGGGTAATGAGTTTGTCGTAATTGCTTTGTCATTGTTTATATAAACTGTCGAATAATTTTGTTGCAGCAGGGTTTTTGCCTGTCTGATAATATATTGTATTGTTTTTTTCAGGATGACAGGTATTTTCTGAGTGGTTCATTAGATAGCAAACTAAGGTTATGGAATATACCAGACAAGAAAGTAGCACTGTGGAATGAAGTATCTCCTGATGGATCATCAGTATGTTAAAATTATATTATAAACATTGTTTTCTACCTTTCTAAATCTGGATGTCCTTTGAAGCGTTTTTAAGATTAATGATTTTCATCCGCGAGTTGTGCATCTTGCTTGTCATCATCAATTTTTTCATTATCTGTCAGACATTTTATGTATGTAGCTATTTGCATGAAAGGTGTGTAACTCTTGCCCATGCTTGGCACCGTATGTTGAAAATCTTGAGTTTATAAATGAAATTTTGACAGTGTCTGTTTTCGAAAAAATACATCTGTTTAACATAGTATGCACTATTTAACAGTTTTATTTATTATCTCGATAGCAAGTTAAGGTTTTTTATCATTATATGAGTTTTTCTGAAAGTATTAATATTTTTAGTCATCAGGCTCTGTTGGAGGAGCATTGATCACAACAGTTAATTTTTGTGAAAATGGTAAATTTGCGGTATGCGGAACTTATGATGGAAGATGCATATTTTTTGATACAGAGGTGAGTTGTATGTTTCATTGCCTTTGGCAATATTTCACTTTCCTTATAAGTTATAACTAAGTTCGGTTGATGTTAGAAATGGATAATGATTGCACTATGATAATGATGTGTAGAAGGGAATTAATTTATTCCTTTTTTGTCATCTAGCACTTGAAATATCACACACAAATCCATGTTCGGTCATCCAGAGGTCGAAATACGAAAGGTCACAAAATTACAGGAATAGAACCGTTGCAAGGAGAACATAAAATTTTGGTAAGAATAAGAACCCATTTCTTGTATTTGGTGCTATTAGATTTGTGATAAGTTTTAGTCAACTCATATTTGAATTTCTTTTGAAAATAAATGTTTTTTTTTCATAATGAAATCATGCTCTGCCCTTAATCAAAGTTCCTCATCTTAGAGAATATTATCTGCAGAGGCTAAAAAATAGTTACACTAGATAAAATATAGCTCAATGTTTTGACGCTATTTTTGACTATCATTTCAGGTAACGTCAAATGATTCTCGAGTACGTCTATATGATTTGAGAGATTTGTCATTAGTTTGTAAATACAAAGGACACACAAATCTTAGCAGTCAAATTAAAGCCAGTTTCAGGTTTGTTTTTTTATTATATTTGAATTATGCATATTTGTATCATATTCTGCACTCGGTTAGGCTGGTTTGGTCAATAATGACAACTTCTTTATTAGTTATTAGCTCAGAACATGGATTGGTTGTTGCTAAACTAACATCGTCTGTCTGTATATCAATGATTATGTTAAGCGCTGTACAATTTATAGTCATCTTGAGGTGTTGATCGTTTCTATGTATGAAATTATTACTCTTTATTGCCTTTATTCTTTGAGGCGAGTTATTGATGAAAAAAGTTTCATAATTTTATGGTTTCTCATGTATGTTAGTATCAAAATTATGTGGTATTTTCTACAAAATGTTGGCATTTATCTCTTTGTGGATTTAGACATCATTATTTTGAATTCAACTCATGTGAAATTTTCAGACAGATTATTTTTTTTTTTCAAATATTAGTGTGGTATTAAAGTGTTGGTATATTTGAAAAGCCTGGAATTCCTTTATAATGGAATTTGTAGGCTCAATTCAACCAAGTTTTTGTTTTGTTATTTTAGTCCTGATTCAAAGTACATCATCTGTGGATCAGAAGATAAATGTGTTTACATGTGGAGAACCAGTTTACCACAGGATGTAACTAAACTATCATCACTGCGAAGAGATCGTAATGACTCCTGGGAAAGTATGAAAGGTATCGAATGAAATAAAATCGCTTTCCAAAACAGTGCTTACATGTTTCTATCACAGTTATATAATCAGGGATATAATCAGGCTCACATCAGAATATGAGCATTACAACTCACTTGCAACTGAATGTCTGATAATTTAGTTGTAAATTATGGGATCTAATTTCATAGGGAGGGAAAGGATTGCTAAACTTTGCTGTCCAGGTACAGCTAACTTTTACCGATTAGCTTTTTTCCATATCCAAACTGGGCAGGAGGCTGCAGTTTTCTTTATGACATGGTTGTTCTTATCGTCTTTGCCTTCATCATGATAATAATAACATTGACTTGATATACCATATTTAAATCTATTAAAGCATTTCTTTCTCCAATGAATATACAAATGTAACCTTATTTTTCATTGCAGCTCATGATGCGGTCGTCACTTGTTCCGTCTTTGCTCCTCATCCACAGCTTTTATACAAGAACGACGATACTGATAATAATACAGAGACAAAAACCAAATCAAAACCGCAATCTATTTTATCTTTATCTTCCAAAAAACATCCGCAAGAAGTCAACGTAATTGTATCTGCTGATTTTAATGGTTGCATAAAAGTAATAGTCAGTGGACAATGATGAAGAGTTACTGTGTTTCATTTCATTTTGCTGATTTTACATATGCTTCACAAATTTTCAATGTGGAATTGAGTACTGTCCATATTTATCATTTATCTGTTCGAAATTCAGGAAAAAGTCTCAAAATAATGTTATGCTGTGCTGATTTGCAGTCCTGTAATTGAATGACAAAATGAAATCATGTATGAAACTATCAACGCCTCTGAATGATTATACAATCAGTTACATACAGCTCATCTGATTGCAGTGCAATAAGTGAATAGGCAGGATGCATTCAATGCTAGGCATGTAACCCACGGAGTGGTGGTTATCATAATCTGTGGTCGCCTGCTCTTTTATAAAAATATTTTATTTTGCTTTTAAACGCATTTACATAATTTATTTATGCGCCATGTTTAACAGAAGTGAAAGAATATATGTATTGCAGTTGAAGAAATAAACGAATCTTCGCTTCAAATTATGTAGTAATGAATGGTATATATGAGAAGGCTTTTGCTTGTGGCCTCAGATAACCTCTCTGTGCTGAGTGTGCTCCCTGGTGGAGCCGAAGGCACAGTTTGAGAAACTCTGCTTCAATAACCACAGAGAATTTAGTGGTCTCACCTAATTTTTCTACTTCTCCCTTGATTGCAAATTAAAAAGGATAAATTTTTGTGTTGGCCCTATAATTTTTGACTCTATGATTCAGTCCTATACGTACTTGTTTTTTTAGTATGTTTTCATTTTGCTGAAATTCTGAGAGCAAAGCACTAAACATTTTTGTGCATTATAGACATATTAGATGTATGGCTTTAACACAGCGTGCAATATAGTAATAATGTCTCATATTCCTGATGTTTATGTAGCTTTCGAAAGACTTTATTTGTGAGAGAAATACAACAGCAAGAGACAGTTTATAAGTTATACGTCCCAAGACGAACGTTTTGAAAATGCCAATCGAGTGTTGACAAGTTTTCTGCTATTTGTATACTGTTTTACTTTTTAGTTTGTCACTTCCCGTTTCATAATAATGAAATTTAATGCAGTACTCTAGTGGTTCTAGTCCTTCCATTGTTGTTTTTCTTGGCAAATAAAGATTTTCTGAATTATTCATGTGTCTTTCATCTACCTTCCTGAATTGCTTGGATCTTCATTATCTTGATCGTAGATCATTTTTTAGAGCACCAAGCATTTCTAAACATTCGGATGATGCTGCGTACCAAGAGGTTTCCTCGAAAATAGGATAACTCTCTAACAGCAACCCATGAAAAGCCAGTAGCTGTACGCTAAAATATGCAACATTAGGAGTAGAAATTTTGTCTTTTGAAATTAAAGTACAATACAGTAGTTAAATATAAAAATAGGTGTGTTTAACCAATTCAGTTTTGTTTTTTTAAATTATCGGACGTTAGAGATAGAAATATTATTTTCAAAATGATAAAAGTAATCCGCATTTCTCCGTGAAAATTACGATTTTGTCTCGTTTTTTCGTTTAATATCGACACATTAACAGTTGAAATATTTAAAAGTACCGATCTTTAGAGTGTAGAAAATCCATATTAGTTTGAAAGATATAAAGCAAAAACTATCGATATTTAACGAATGCCGTTATAACGGTCGTTCTAAAAAAATTGGTTTTGAAATGACTATTGAAGTTTTGGTGAAACCCTACTTAAGCGTTTAACAACTAATCTATTTCAACAGTATTGGAGTTGCGTTGAAATGCTTCCTAAACGTTTAACGATTGACGCTTTTTAACAGCATTGAAGTTACGGCAAAATGCTTCTTAAACGGTTAACTTCTGACGCTTTTAAACAGTACTGAAGTTAGGCGAATAGGTCGACCTATTTTTTATTTGTTGTTTCTCTCCATCTACTGGACCAATTCATTTGAAAGGTTGAGTGGGTATATATTGTTGTTTTCGCTAGAATACTCTTTGTGGGATTCGAACCATTCTATACGCCTTGTTAATGTATCCCGAATGTAATATTTTGAAAGGGAACACTGCTAGGAATTGTGGTTTCCAAAATTTCACCGACATTTCGCTAACTTCACGCGGTGGGGGTGTGCGTGTCGGAAGCGTCTGTCAAAACGTAGGCTGCAATGACCGGTGAGTGATGGACCTGATCAAAGGATGTAAGGAGGTATCTTCAGAACAAAGTTTTTACGAGGAAGCTGACAAATACTGGAAAACAATATCACCTACCCTGGATGGAATGCTTGGAGGCTATAGCCATATCTCAACTTCTGATGTTCTTGGTTCCAGAAAATTTTTAAGAGAATTTCTACAGGTTTGCTTGTACTGACTTATATGTTGAAAGGGTTATCTCTCGCTACCGGTAGAAATCACTTGTTTTTAGCTTCTTGCTATTTTTATCACTAATAAATTAGCCAATAGAAAAACAAAAATGCGATGTAAAGATCTGGGGTCTAGTACCGTATAGTTTACTACCACAAGTACTTCCAGTGGGCGTAGCATAACGAATTTTGCATTAGTTATTCCTAACCCCCACCTGACTATGTCATCCAAAAATTACGTCATCACGACGTCACCATCACTTCATAGGCCTTGTCAAAGTATAATTACGATCGCCCGAAATGGCATCTGCGCCGACGTTAATGAACTTGCTAATGCCGGCGATCTCTCTCTCCTATCGTGATTGTTGTGACGAGAAAACGAGAGAAATAGCTTGCTTGATTTCGGGTGATCGTCTGCACGCTTTGGACGACCATCCGCATACCTTGTTACGGCACTGTGACGTTGAAATGATGTAATTTTTCGGTGACGTAGTGAGATGGGGGTTAGGATTGACATATGCAAAAATTGTTGAGCCAGGCCAACTGGAAGTGCATGTGGTACTAAACTGTACCAGACCCAAGATCTGTTCATTATAAAATAATAATTTATTTTGAGGATTATTATAGCCACTAAAAAATATAAATTATGATTTATTTCACAGTTTATTGCTTTAAAATGTAAGCCCTTCAATTAACATAGGCATGGCAGCAATTTTTGCTATTATTACAGTAAGACTATTCTCACATTTTTAAATGGATGGATGGATAATAATACCCAACCGATGAGATTCTATTTTTTTCAACGATGATTGCTCTTGTTCCCTTATTGTGTTGGAAAAAATTCAACATTATAAAAAAGATGGTAACAATCGTCTGCTTTTATAATTTTATATAAAAAAAAAATTTAGCATGTAGTATGGAAATTTTATTCATCTAGAGGAGGAATCAAGTATTGGTGATCATTTACCACCATATATTCAAGTATAGTATGTTTGTTCAGGGTTCAAATCCGCGATTACGACATAAGAGAGCATTAGATTGTGGAGCAGGAATTGGAAGAGTATCCAAATTATTTCTTTTGCACATTTTTGACACTGTCGACCTTCTGGAACAAAATGGTGAATTTCTCAAGCAAGCACCAAGTTATTTAGGACCTGAATTGTCGAAGAAAGTGGGAGAATATATCTGTGCTGGATTACAAGATGTAAATTTGAAGCCAAATTTTTATGATTTAATCTGGGTGCAATGGGTAACAGGTGCGTTTTCAAGAAGTAGTTCGTATTATAATCTGTTTTCTAGAAAGATATTTTTTCATATTTTCTTTGGATTCTGTGGGTCATGTTGTTTATCCAGAATTTTGCTAACTTTAAATCAAAAATTGTGACACGGTTTTTCTGCTAAACACGTTTACCTGTTGGTTGTCTACCAGTAACAGAAACTTTGTTTTCCACATATTCGTTAATTGTTCCCAGCATTATCATTATAACACACCACATATACAGAATTTTGCTAATTTTAAATCAAAAATTGTGACACGTTTTTTTTGCTAAACATGTTTACCTGTTGGTTGTCTACCATAAACAGAAACTTTGTTTTCCACTTATTTGTTAATTGCTCCCAGCATTATCATTGTATGTAACACACCACAGTTCAATATTTCACATTATCATGCTCGAGTCAAGCCTGTTGTTTATTAAGAGCAACTGTTTGCTGATATTGACCACTTTTTATATAAAATTTTAAATGTCACAAAACGACATGTTTTTAAAATTTTATCCTCATCTTTCTATCAGTTCTAGCCCCTCATATTCAACACTTGTCTTGAAAACTTCACTTAATAGCAGCCTTTATACGAAAACTATGTAAATCTTTTTTTTATTTATGCAGGACATTTGACGGATGCTCACTTTATAGAATTTTTACACAAATGCCAGAATGCGCTTTTGCCTGGCGGTCTGCTAATATTGAAAGACAATATCTCATCAGGTGATGTGGAATGGGATAAAGTTGATAGCAGTGTCACAAGAACACATGCACAACTACGAAGGATATTCAAACAAGCAGGAATGAAGATTGTGAAAGAAGAACATCAGACTAACTTTCCAGCAGAATTATATAAGGTTTTTATGTTTGCATTATCTAAAGAAGATTCATGACACAGTTTTTGGACTTCACCTCATATGCTTTTTATTTGCATACTGTAGCTTTATAGCCTGTGTTAAGCCTGTTTTTTGGTGGATTTTGCATGTTATAGCTTGATAAATGACAAATACTGATCAATATGTTTGCACAACAAAAGTGTTTGTTTTGTATTTCACTGTTCACCTATTGTGGCCCGCGAACAATGCAAAAATAAATTTGTGGCCCCTGGAGCGGACAACCTTGGACCACCCTGGTCTATACCATATTTTTGACAAGTCATTTTGGATTCAGTACTATAAAATCCTTCGCAGTTCAGACCTCAATTTGTGCAACAGTCACCAAAACTGGTCTTTGACTCTCGCCCCTGCTGACAATAAAAAAGCATCCTTTCTTATTTTTTGTGTGATAGTACAAATACTTCCGCCCATTTGAGCAAGCACCAAGGATATGTCTCTATCAACTCATGTCATATCTGCTCAAGGCTCTGGAAAATTGCTTTTAAACAAAATTTTGTTGTGTAGTTAATACAATTCTACAAAAGTTGATGTCTAAATTGCAATTTTTCACCAATTGATTTCTGCTCAAAATATTTGTTGCATTTTAATGTTTTAGAATTTTGCCACTGAAAACCAAATGGTTTTATCCTAACATTTTTCAATAAATTTTGCTTTTGCTTGTTATTGAGTTTTTTTAATACATGAGGCTGTATTACAGTTTGAATTTTAGCATTCTGATAAAAATAATTCCAAAATATACTCTTTTGTATAAAAATTTATTTGTTATAAAAATTTATATAATAATATAAAAAAAATACGAAATAAGGATTGATAAATACTGGTGTGTTGAATATTGTAAATACTGGTTACGAGTTTTTAATGCGGTCACAATGGTGTTCAATGAACATAATAAATTTACGGTGGATTTTTGCGTTAAACCGGTTGCGATGAGGATTTTTTTTGCCACAGCTGGAATGGTGTCAAATTTTGATTTCGTATGGTGCCAACTGGTTAATAATATGGTGAATACTGAATCAGGTGATTTGGAACTAGGAGTATCATAAATAGTTTCATAGAAGTTTATTCGGATTATTTCTTAAGATTTTGGACACAGATTTACCTTAGTTTTGATATAGGCTGCTGACCGGGATCCATCCAGTAACTGATAGCAGAATGCACAAATAAAAATAGGCATGCGATCAAGACGTTAGATTGTGAGACAAAATCGTATTGCAGTAAACTGTATAAAATTAGGAATAAAAGCAGGCCTTTTAATATCTTAGAGATTGTCTGTCGTCGTTGAATCCATTTGCGAGTGTTTGGTAGTTCTTCCATTTTCTCGTGTAGGATATATCGTTTTACTCCCATATGATAATCTTCAATATACTTGTTCCAATCCAATGTAGAAGTGTCAAAATAAAACGTCTGTTTGAAAGGAATGGGGAAATGCAAATATTGTATGATTTATTGCTAGCATTATCATACTGTGTCATGATAAAATTCGGTAATTACAATTCACATTATAACTAGTTGTGTGAGGCGGCAATCTGTGTAGTTCATTCCGTGGTTGTGTTTGATTGACGCTGAATAAAATGTTGCAGCAGAAGTACTCACAGGAAAGCCGGCGTTATTTGGTTACTCCTTCTAAGCAACTTTACTACGATTCCCTAAAAAATTGCGTACCTCTTTATCTTTGTCTGACATAATCTTTTGCAAATCTTGTTTGTTATTGTTCTCCCATTTCCATGATCTGACTGTGAAGTAGTTCAGACAATCACACATCGAATTAATCTTCTTATACCATCGAACGAATCTGAAAAATAATCTGACTTTCAATCTTCCATAATATGTTTAGGAATTTGAACAATGATTGAAACATGTATGCGCAGAAAGCTATTCTCAAAGATATGGACACAAAGTAATATTACTGCGTCAAAGATCCTAACTCCGGGTGAAATTACGGTACGCTTGTTTCAGCTAAATATACACTTCACAAATGAAGCGACATTTTCAAGGTTTGAGGAAGACAATCATAACCATTGAGTGTTACGCTTTACAAGTTCGTTGTCGGGCCACCGTGGTTTCTCCATACCGTTGCAAAAACCAAAAATCGGAAAGAAACTAAAAAGAAGCGCAATCTGAAAATGTCGCGATTAGGTTCATCAGAAAACATGATTCGATTCACCGCAAGACTACTAAAGAATTTGCGTTCTAAAGGGTTCGAAATTTGTCATGTTTTGAAGTCTAATGAAGAACCAGAACCGCAGTGTCCAGTTCCGCCACGGGTTAATATATTCTCATAGAAATTTACGACTTCCACATAGGATCATTTTCATGTGTACGAAAGAAAGTCTGATCTCTCTCACTTGGGTCTTTTCCGTGCGATTCTTAGAATGCCGTCGACGGTATAAGCTGGAATCCAGTGGCAAAATATCCATTCGAGCTTATTCCGAAGGCGATTCGGTGAAATACTTGATCCATATAGTGGTATTCTTGCAGGTTTATCCAATGGAAGCAGTTTTGCGTTGTAAGCTAGGAGGTCGGATAAATCCCCCCAGAGAAACCGATTCGAGTCCGGATTTGTACAGTTGTAAATCGTTGGTTCCGATTCGTAGTTTCTGAATAGACGAAGAAATAAGAAGTTAAGTTCTGATTGAGGCTAACTTTACGAATGTTGTGCATACTCCGTGTCGCATATGTAGCCTACACCGTTTACGTGGTAGTCCAAACTCGAATCAAAGTAAAAGAGAGACGTATCGAATATTAGGCAAAGCTTTTATACTGTATTTTATAATATCTTTAAAGAAAGCGTTTGAATCAATTCATAAGCGCTCATAAAATTTCAGGTAATAGCGATGCTTTGTTCTTCGGAGAGCCGGGAGTTCCAAGTGTACCAATATTCTTGCCGAGTTCTCGAATATAAAATAAGAATAAAAAAGCACTATTGATCAATTTCGAGTCAAATTATGTATCCTAAGTTGTATATATGAATATTTAGTTCCGATCTGAATTAGCATAAATATCATTCTACGTGTGTACTAACCTTTGGGTAACATTTTTCCAGGCTCCGGCCAGCATTAGGTTGATTGGAACATCAACAGGAACGAAATTAGCTGCGGCACTACGTTTTCCGAGCATTGTTCGTAACAGACCTTTTCCGAATGTGATGACGAGTCCAACAGGTCCATTCATGCTATCGCACCAACCTAGACAAGAATACCAACAAACTGGTAGTATTCTCAGAATTAGCAAGATGAATTTGAAACTAGCATCACCCTGATTTCCTTTGTCTAACTTTTTAAACAGTATCTTGATACTCCGCTTTCTCTTGGTAAACGCTATGTATTCTGACATTAGCAAATCTATATGACAGTGGTGGCCAGCTTATTTTCGACTAAAATCGTTGCATACAATGCGATCGACTAATCAATAATAAATTCGCGCAAATAAATGAACGAGTAATATTAATTCTTGGATTGTTGAGTATTATTCAAAATTAATATGAATGTTCCGCTGTTCTGCTACAATTGCGAACAAAATTCATAGCATTCCAGAGTAGACAAAATCTTTATGATTATGAAGAAGTGAAATATCGATTGTAGGATTGTTCGTCGCTCAAAACATCTCACTCGGCCTGTTTGTTTTTGAACCTCGACAGCGACGAACTTGTATTTGCTGCGTTTGTTTGTCTTCATCACGTTCTTCTCCAGGCATATCATCTTCTGGGCAAGCGAATTGGACATTCCTCTTTTAGCTGCATGAATTATTATAGTTGGAGACAACGATCTATGCGCCGAGTTCGTAATTATATGATTGAGTCCTATTATCGGCCTTTTTCCCTCATGACTGGAAACATTATCATATCCTATTTACAGGTGTAGTAATCGTAGATGTATTAACCCAATTTAGAATTTCTGAAACACACCTGCCATTGGTTCCTTCCAAGATGAAGTGACGATGGAAGGTCTGACAATGACAGTTCGATGTTCTATCCCATGGTGCAGCAGTAAATTTTCAGCGACTGATTTCGTATAAGTGTATGTATTTGGGTGATCTCCCAACAACGACGGTGCCAGCTTTTCCATCATTTCCGTTGACATCCATCTACACAAATAATGCTGCTAGATATTATTCGCAGAACGTTTGTTTTGAGTTTCAATTCAATGATAACTCACTTATATATCAAACACGCAGAAGTTTGTTATATTAATTTCCTCCTGTGATAAATATTAAAGTTACTTAGTCGCACTGTCACTGTCGTTTCATGTGTGTGTTTTCTAATGCTTTCATTGATATTTCATTTTCCGATTATTGGATTATTTTTGTACGTAATACAGATACTTCCCGTTCAATAATATAACAAACCTGGAGCAATTAAGTAAATCTTTCGGATTAACATTGATCGGATAAAATTTCTCTTCAATATGTTTTCTGTAGCAATAGGCAAAAGCTGTTGATAAATGAACCAGAACCTATGGAATATTAAACAAATTATTTCATATAACATTGAATACTATATAATATATTAGTTTCAAACTAGTTTTTGATAATTATCGGAAAAAGGACGGAAGTGTTGCGACGGAAAGATAGTTTATCCAGAAAGCTGGTGATTTTACTATGGTAAAAGTTTACTTTGTTATTTTACTTTCTCGTAATATATACCAAAGCTATATTGAAGCAGTATATTAAACATCATAATTGATTGTATTTTTGACGTTTATGTGTACACGGAAAGTGCCCCTTGTCCTGGACAGGTATACACCGCAATAATAGGCCTGTGAAGGCGCAGAGGATAACCAAATTTACATACTAACTTCGAATTTCCGCATCTTCTTTGAGAGTTCTATGACTCTATCGACACTTCTGACATTTGATTCAATAGCATCTCTGCAAACAGAAGAATTGTAGTTATCAGGATCCAGGTATTTATATATAGTAAATATGTCTCTTGAATATAAGATTATATCAATTATCACACTGTACGTTATTTGCAAGCTTGAATACCGTGGAAGACGATCATGAACGGCGACGAATTTCTCGCCGTCGGTAGTAGTTACTTTACTAACTCTGTTATTCATTTAGGGAATTAACTCAATTTTATTGTTTGATATCTTTTTGTCCAAAATTAGCATTAAACATTAGCATGAAAATATTGACTTCGAAGTTTTGCAATAGGCTTGTCCATGGAACATATTTTTCTGTCCCATTCCATCCCATGGGATTCCCATTGAAAATAATTTTCAATAAAAAAAATTAGGTTTAGCGTCTACTAAATAAGACTACATGTACAAAGAAACATGCAAAACAACAAACTTTATTGACTTTGTCAACTTTAAAAATTTAGAAATATTATTTAACTAACATAAGAGAGCTATGCTCAAATACATGGACACAAAACCCATAACGGAATGCTTTGTCATCAATTCCCCCAAAATCATACGGCATCCTGATCGAACCTGAACAGCCACGGCTGCCGGCTCTGTGAAGATGATCTACATTATATGCTACATGATTCAGATTTTAAAACCATATTCCTACGAGTAAAAATAATAAAGCGAAATTTTGGATCCCATACCATTCATAGAAAATTTACGAATAAATCAAAGTAATAGTTTAGGAGGATAGTGATTTTTTCATAACGATAAGAAGATAAATTGGTGTCTCAAGTGTCCCATAGAAAATACAAATGTGTGCTGCCCCCCCCCCCCCCACCCCCTCTTGGACATTTCCCATTGACAAGCCTCGCTATACGACAATCATATACAACTTAAAACTAACCGAAAGGGTTCTTGAAATCGAACAGAAGCAGCGCAATGAAATACAATTGAAACGTCTTCCTGTATATGGCTATTATCTTCTTCAGATATTCCCATGTGCGGTTGCAGAACATCACCACTGACTGAGATTACTTTATCTTTGCAATTCGCATTTTCTTTGATAACTTTAGCAAACAGCTAGGAACAAGCAAACCAAAGTTTTTTTATGCGTGACGTAAAACACATGGGCTACAATACGCACAAGAGTGACCGGTAATCAACGTTTAGCAAAGCAAAATAAAATCAACATACCGGCGAGTCAAAGATCGATGCAAGTCGTTCATGTGGTAAAAGTGATTTCTTTGGTCGGATGAGAACATAAATTTTTGATACATCTATCATAACATGGAAATTGTCGAGTTATTATTTAAAAAAGTTTTGCAGGCATCAAGCAAAATAAGTAAAATTTAAATGGAATAACAAATTCAAAAAAGGAAAAACAGTTATTGGACACTGACTAGTAATTTTACTAAGTTACGGCACGAATCTGATAAAAATCAAGCTTAGTTTGCTCACCTGGGCAGGACCGTAAAATTTTCTCGAGCAACACCTTTCCCATGAATCCTGTGACACCGGTTAAGAATAAGGATCGCCCTGAAAAAAATGAGAAAGATTTCAAACGTTCGAATATTTTGTGGTTTTATTATCAGTGTCAAAATTGAGACAACAAGCCAGCGATGATCAAATATATGGATACGAAGATCAAATCGAAGCAGTAGTCTATCCCAGGGCTACTCAACTATTTTTACCGAAGATCCGCATACAAAACTTCAAAAATATTTGGGTCCGGTCTTTCCAGAAGTTATATTTCGGCATCTTTAAACATGCACTTCCTCGGCCGACTAATGAATATTAGCCAATCAAGATTGTTTATCACGGCGGTATAGTTCTTTCCATATATATTTGAATCTATAAAAGTAATTATATAAAAGGAAACTTTGAAAGTGGGGCTAATGATCCAAAATAAAGAATTAGGCGCGGTCCGAATCGAATACCCGAAAGGTCCGGATTCGGTCCGCCAGTTGAGTAGCCCTGGTCTATCCTACATTTTACAGCACCGTCAAAAAACTTTCTACTTTCGCATACAGGTAGCAAGAGAGGAGCACGAGAGAGGTCGAACAATCGATGCAAATAATTTTTATCAATTTTAGAAAGATCATCACACAAAATTTCGAAGTGAAAAACAAATCACATAGAGCCCACAGGAAGTTTTAAAATAAATAGAAGTTAGCTTTCTAACGAAAAATACAATCTTTAACCACTGAGAATTTCAAAGCATTTGGTCCCGTTGGGGAAAGCATAGCAACTTGTTACAAGGAACTTGGCTTAGGCGTTATATTTGTAGATAATATCAAATGTACTTAGTCAGTTTACCTGCATAAAACTTCGACATATCCATAGTAAAATCCATTCTTCAATTTGGGACAAGAATCTCGTGAAAACGACAGATCAATCAAAGTGATGGAGAAGAGTTTTCCGTAGATACGCTGGTACTATCTATCTTCCCAAAATTTATTTATTTACTAGATTGGGCATTTAAATAATATAACTCCATGACATCATAATGGAGTAAATCAGTTATATTGTTTCGTAACTAATAACTGATAATCAGCTGTGTTGAAATGCATCACGTGATATCGATCTGATGACGTTTTCAATCATGGTTCGTTGATTTTCTTCCGTACCTTGATTCCCTGGTACGGCAATTTTTGCCAAGTGAGGCTACATGTGCGACTGGATTAGGTTCTCGTGATGTTGTTACTTTCTCACTACTTAAGATAGTTGATATAATTTGTTTTATCACTTCATTGTAATAGACTTGACTATTCAAACAGTTCAGCCAGGCAATATGCCGACACTGCAATTCAAATAAAACTCGGCCAGTTAAAACTCTGGAACTTCTGACCATCTTCAGATCTTTGAGAGCGAGAGGAATGTGCCTTTCAGCCTTATTTAATACAGTGAGGAGGAAAACGTCACATCTGCAGTAGTATCTCAGCGTGTACATATGTACGGTATCTAATGAAATGGCCTTAGAGCGACAAAAATAAAATTGGATGATTGATTTTTACATAAAGTTTAGAATGCTATCATGGAATTTCCATACTCACATAACAATAAATAAACTAGTATTCCTTGTGACAAAATTTTAACAAAATCGCTAAAGGGTGGTCTTTGTAATGTCAGAATGTATAACCACACAATTTACTGTGTTATACAGTTATAGCATATGGAGTTCGCTTTGAACTGTTGAATGAAAACATATGAAAAATGACTTCCAAATCTAGTAATTCCTCTGACAATTGAATAGAATCGGGTCTTCTTCAAAAAAAGTTGTATGTTGTGGCCTCTCTTCTAATACTCTATTTACACATGATACTAGAGTTATGTGGCTATTTAATTATGTCAACATTTTACAGATTAATATATACAATAATTTAAAATTAAACAATATTACGATGGCAGACTTTCTAGGAGATGATTTTGGTGAACCAGTCCCACCCACAGATCAGCAAACTGTCGAAGAAGACCCAGCAGCTGCTTTCTTAGCACAACAAGAAAATGAAATCGCAGGTATGATGACATTTTCTCAGTGTGCTTGAAAACTTTTTAATGATTGCCCTCAACTTTATGATATCTTGGTAATAGAATATTTGGGGTTAAAAATTTGTAGAAACTACTCAAGACATGGCGATCGACCGGTCGATCGTGATCGACGTGTTGGCCACAACTGCTATATAGCATGAACAATTAAAGTCGTATAATAATAATGAATTAATTTTAGTTAAAATCTAAACTTTTTTTTGTCAACTTATTTGCAAATTGTTTGCTGTTATTGAATGCTAGTGAGATAAGAAGTTTTTTACTTGTAATAATTATATTGGTTATAATCACAGGAATGAACCCACAAATAAAGCTGAATTGTTAGTAAATTATTAATATTACCAATCTTGAGATGCCTTTTTTGAAGAAATGCTTATTTAGCTTACAATCTTTTCAATTGATCACTAGCCTGAATGAGTTTGATTAAATTCTTCGATTACTCGTTAATGAATTCTAAAAGTTCTCGAAAAATTCAGTATTACTACTTACCAGATATCTTGAAATAAGTATTAAGTGAAATTATTCAATATAAATCCCCCAGCACCAAATGTTTTGAATAAAATTTGGAATTCTGAACAAGAAAATTTTCAATAGTATTAAACAAAATCATTGATGTTTCATCACAGCTAATTTAGCTAGGCATCTTTATTTTGGTAATATTGTCATGCATGAATATGAAATGGATTTTCAGGCCTTGTTTTAACAGTATTATGTTCGTTATCTGTTATGAAAATTCTTTAATAATAATGAGACAAGTGAGAGTGAATGCATCTAATGTAATAAACATGATTGTTTGGTAACTTTTGAAGGCCTTGAAAGTGAAGCATTTGGAAATATTGGTGAAACAACACAACAAACAACTGAATATGCTGATACAAACGGTTATGCAGATGATTTTCTTCAGCAAGATGCTTCCGAACAAAATCAGGATGTCGGAGGTAAAAACATTGCATAAAATATGTTAATAGTTTTTCCAATTTATTGCCAGTCCATTCATAGAAGTAAACTACTTTTTAATACAATATCAAAACAGGTGAAATATTGGCTCAACTAAATACCATACCTCAAAAGTGCTTTTGTTTTACTGTGCCTCACCAACTTGATTACTCTATTATTGTTGATTTTCCAACAATTTCATTTCTAGTAAATGATGTAAAAAATATCCACAAAAGTTTGCCAATGTAACAAAACTGAGAATAACTCAACTGAAATTTATGTCTAGACTCGGTGTGTACTATGGATATATCTTCTAAAAGTGCTACTAATTTCATTCATTACTCTTCACAGATGATTTATTCAATGCACCATCGTCATATGATGGTGGGAATGCAGTGTTAGAGAATGGTGGAGATGATGTTTCTGACATGGATCCATCACAGGCATATGCAGCCATTGCTGCCGCCGATGCCAGAATACAACAGTTGAGAGCTGAACCAGAAAAAATTATTCAATGGAGGGAAGAACATAATAGGATGCTTGAAGAGAAAGGTAAGAACAGAATCAAGCCACTCATTGAGAAATGTACAAAATAAGGTAGTCACTGTTTTCTATGATACGATATATCCACAAATTTATGCACATTTTTCGGTTGTCGGATTTCTGCAACAGTAGGTTACGGTTTTAATGATCATTGCAACTAAGCGCAGTAATAAGTACAATTTACAGCATTCGGAATTTCTTATACATATTTGTGTTTGCTTGCATGAATACTCTTGAATCATTTAGAATAGTTATCATCACTCTTGCTACAGCATCTTTGCATTATAGGCATACATATCCACCAGCACAAAAGCATAAAAGGATAAGCAGTTGGTCATATAAAATCCCAATTGATAACATATTTTCAGTAATTATAATTCAGATAATACAAACACGATAGTCAATATTTATTTGACTCAAAATTTCTCAAATATTTTTTATTTTGAGTAATTTCATCAATAGTTGTTTAATTTTGAAAATAGATCAAGATGAAGAGCAAAAGCAGCAAGAATGGCGCGATGCTGCAAAGAAAGAATTAGAAGATTGGGAGAGAAACAGACTTGAACAACTTGAAAAAACAAAAGCAAACAACAGGTGATAACTATTTACATTTGCCAATCTTATTGTACTAAACGACACTACATACCTCAATCTGTGATTATTGTACTGTGATTATTCATGGCCTAAAAAAATTATATTTAAATGATTGGTTCAAAGCTGTGAAGTGAGGAATTATTCAACATGTCTTCAAAATTGATTTATTAAATTATTAAACTGGTTTTCGACTCCTTACTTTTTGGGTCTCGTTTGACATTAACTTGAACTCGGATTCGTGTTTTCGAATTTAAGGATGATATCTGATGATAATGATATCCGCTGATTACTAAACTGTGGAGATCCACTTTATACCAAATGTACTGGTATATATCTGATAATAATTGTTACTTTGATTAGCAATTTTCTTAGTTTTGTGAATGTTGTTTACTTTTTTGTAGTTTGTATGTTTTATTGCCTTTTTTATTCTCATTGGTAAACAATCTCATAGGCTTCATAAATTGTAACATGTTCTTTATCTTATGGCAAAGAATTGCCAATGACGCTTTTATCAAGAGTCTGAGTGATGAAAAGAATTCCATCGGATACACGTATGTTAAGAAGATCGCTTAGTATCATGTAGTTGTGTTGGTGTCTCATCCTATTGTTGTGGTGTAAATTGGTGGTGGGCTTATTTGTGAATAGTTGCTCGGATTTCAGAAGGTTTTTTAATGGAGGAATTCAAAATAAAAATTTCAAAAAATACCTTCCGAAAATTTTTTTTTTGTTCCACTGCAGTAGTATTGTAACTTCAATATGACTCCCAATTTTTTATCAAAGTCTAAAATTCGTAAACAAAAATTTTTACTCTCGGTGACAGTAACTTAAGACTTGATTTGTGCCCTTTAATAGATTTCAGGGGTTGAGTATAGTTTATTTTTGAAAACATTATCTCGCTTATATCTCTGATCTGTGCAGCATAATGAGGGCTATTATAATGTACATTTAGAATATGCGAGATTCACATTATGGTCGTATACTCTTACCTTACTGTTGTGTTTGTATTCATGGTGTATTATGGGTCATAGGCGAGGGCATGTGAGGGTTGCATTCTTATTCAATTAATGTTTCTCAACTCTGGTCGATGCTGTGTGTGTCTCATACATGTTTAGCACAAAAATTCATTACTGAACACAAAGTAAAATGGAACATTGTTTAAAAGTTATCCGCTCTGTGTCTCTATTTTTGTTTTGTTAATTCCATTGCTCTTATGGTGTTGTGTCTTTCACAGTTGATCGTTGCTTTTGTCTATGTAATTAATATTGTTGTTTCATTTGTCTTCATGTTGGTGTGAGTTTTTAATCATCGCTACTTGCATGGTTTTTAGGCTTGTTGTGTCGGGAACATCACTCTTTATTCACATCCATGTTTGTGATCAATAGATAATAGTATTCAGTGATTTGTGGTCTCCATCACGTTCAGATTTCGTAGGGTGTCATCCTTAAATATGCGTTCTTCACTTATTAAGATTCTTAACTATAAATATATCCTGTTTGGAAAAGCTTTGTATTACATGAAAATTTTTTTTCATAATTTGTATGGCATATACCGGTAGATCTTGCTCCCATTTCGGTTACTAGTATGAATTGTAATTTAAGGTGAAGCTGTTGTAGGGAGAAAAATGCAATTTGGTACTTTAGTCAGTATGCTGTAATTTTGCCAGGATCTCTGAGACCAATATACCATTTGAGATATTTTTTGTACTAATATTTTATACTCTTATCAGAACGGCAGAAAAAGAATTCGTTGCAGAGCGTGATGAAAACAGGCCAGGTTCTGAATGGGAGAGAGTGTCAAAGTTATGCGATTTCAATCCGAAGAGCAGCAAAGGCACAAAGGATGTATCTAGGATGCGATCCACGTTACTCCATTTGAAGCAACACAACCTCGCAAAGCCTATGAGTGCAAAGTAGCAGCCATGACGTTGGTTTTTGGACAAATATTTTCCACTTTTAAGAAGATCATTAGCTTATGCTAGACAAAGTACAAGCAAATGGCAAATCATGATTGATTCAATAAAAATGAATTATTTTTGCTGTCGCTTCTCTTAATCTTATCCAGCAATGATTTTCCAATTGTGGTTTGTCTAAATTGTTGATTTGCCTTGTAATCAGGCCTCAATATATTTTACAAACTTTGAATAAAAATATGTATCTATCTATAATATCATGGTTGTGTGCTGTCCCCTGTCCATTCCAAGTATTTAGTTGGTTTTTTTTATCGACAAAAAATTTAAGCTTCAACCATTTGAGCTTCTATCACAATAATTTGAAGAAGATTGCAAAATATTTGAGAGAGGCAGTCTCACTCATGCTTAAAACCAAGTGAATTATTATGGTTAATTACTGTTTTAAATAGTCTCATTGTGTAATTTTATTGTATTTGACATTACGTTTAGTTGATATATGTATCATCATTGGTTGTAGAATCTCTTGTTAATCAATACCTAAATCAAAGTTAAGAAACTATTGATTAGGAAATCATTAATGTTGTATGGAAATTCAAAATATATTTCATTTCTTATTTATGAAATGTAACACACGATTCGCTGGTTGGCCTGTTTTTATCTAGCACACTGATTGTTACAGTACTGTTTTGAAGTTAATTGCTCCTCATCTTTAATTTGACAAATCCTTGATTAAAATTCTTATCAGCTGGTCTACAGGAATAAGTTTTATCACTTGTAGTTGGTGTGATCTTCCAATTAATGATTACACTTCTAGGTATCTATTGCAATCTATTATGAGCAGTGGTGGTTCATGGTTAAGATCTGTTTAGGTAGATATAAAGCTGCATCCAATTACAACAATGTCTAGTCAAAATGCTAGTGCTTATGCATGAGGTGCCACTGATTATTAAGAGACTATTATTTTACATCATATTCAAAAATACATTCTTGTAAATCGTTGAGTATGTGTTTGGTAATGTTTTATGAAATGAATTGTTTTCATTAGTAGGATTTATGATGGGAACAGTACACATTGCAGGCTAAAATCGACACAGCACTTTTATATATTTTTTGTGGAATTCTGAGTTTTAGTGATAAATTTTGAATATTGTTAAATACCCAAGTCAAGAAACCTGTATAACCCATTTGAAGCTTTCGGTAGATTTCTGTCCGGTTTGTATTTGGGTATTTTTGATGTAGTCAAAGAGTAGTTATTGAACCAGAAGTACCATACATATTTCCTGGTGCTCCTGAAGTATGTGTACCAGGTTAGGGTTAGGCCATAATTTTAGGTACAAATACTACGGGAGTCACTTGGCTAGTCCCTGTAATAGAACTAAAATTGGAATAAAATTATGGCTTAACCCTAACCTGGTACATATACTACGTTCCGGTGTCCGCCATCTTGTTTCGCATACTTCAGGAGTACCTATCCTTATATACTCCAGTAAATCCACAGGCAAACAAAAACTAACAATTTTCAAATGGTTTATTACATAAATTGAAGAGGTATAAACAGCATTCTACGATTATATGCGATTCTCCATGTTGTACCCCATGGTCGACAGTATTTATATTTTGCTACTACTGGGCTAGATTGCTAAAAAGGTAGAAATGAAATTAAAAAGGCAAGAGACAGTGGATTAACAAGGTTGAATTTGAAAATCTTACTTCTGATATATAATTAGGGCAAGAAAGCTGATGAAATATTCCAACAGTGTTCTGTGTACATTTAAAATGTGTAATGCTACATCATGGATAGAAAAGTTGGTTGTATGTACCATATTGGGATTTTAACTGTATTAGCTTGAAGAAAAGTGTAATGTCATGTTATCATATATAACAAATTTTATGCGCGAATGTCATGCATATGCAGTAAATAGATTATATACATAAAATATAACACTGAAAAAATAAAGACTATACAGAATATATTTATAATCTCACAAGTCACAGTAGAATAATGTTCGTGACAGGTGATAATAGAATTAGACTCTGTTGTACTGCTTACAATGGGCACCTATATCTTTGAATCATTAACAAACTGAACCCGTCTGCGGGCAACATAACACATAAAAATGTCAATATTGACTTAGCTATCAAATTGCCGGTAATAATTTATTTAATCCATATAACATACTGGTAATTATCTTAACATCATGCATGTATCTCAACATAATTATCTTAGCATCATGCACGAAAGCATTATTGTGTGACCAGACTGGTGTCGGATCCATTCTGCAATCCCAGATTTTTTTGAACAGTACTAGAATGGGATCGAGTAAAGTTATCGCAGATTATGTTTTTTTCGTGCGCAGCAAATTTGTGCGAGCTCAATTGCAATACCACTTCTTACGACCGGGGTTATATAATATATTGGCCGAATTATAACAATATAATAAATAATATCAATAATCGCACTAAAAGGAACCACATAAAAATCTGCAAAGTGCTATTACTTAGGGCCAATACCAACATCCTTTGATTAAGCTATGTATAATGTACAAATCTATTGAGTGTCTTCAAGATTTGTCAATGCCGTTACACAATGAACAAATATAATACTAAAACTATTTGAGCGAGTGAAAGGTAATCACTATTGATATATTAATTACCTCTATCCTCTTTAGATCAATATAATTACATGTTGTAAGTAGAAAGTTTGAATGAAGTTGACAGCGATTGATGAATGTAACAAAATCAATTCCAGAAACATTTCAACCCATTGACTGTTAGGACTTCAAACCAGTCAGAATATCTACGATAGTGTTAATAAACAATGGCACAAAAAATTCACACAAAACCTTACGTGGAGTTTTATAAACTCTTGTGATTTAAATATATCAATAATTTCTGACTTTTTATTCCAGTTTAATGTGAATATATATATAAGTTTAGACCGGGGGTCGGCAAACTTTTGTCATTCGCGGGCCAAAATTGAAGGTAGCAAGTCATTGGCGGGCCGCACATATTTTTAGAAAGTTAAAAACCGAAGGAATGGCCATTGAATCACATTTTTTCACACAGATTTCAGTTAAATTTCAAGCAGTGGGCGAAGACTGATCATTTGAATATTTTCTGTGTCATTAAACTATTTGCACTCAGCATCAACTTTTTTACATTCTGTTGCCATTTGACTAATTATAATCAATTATAGGCTCATTAAGGGATTGTGAATTATATACTTGTTAGGTAATAATATAATTCAGTGTCTCAAAACAAAGAACGTAAAGAATATAATCGTTAATACAGCTGTTTTGTTAATATAATTCAGTGAAGCGCCGCGGGCCGAATTATATTGCTCCGCGGGCCATAATTTGCCGACTCCTGGTTTAGACCAATCTAAAAACAAGAGTCCATGTGGAGATCACCAAGCATCACAGATTTTTTGTTAAACTATTGTGAAATGATTTTAGTCAAAAAATAAGATCCAAATTCATTTTCCCTTCTTAACAGGACAAGAATAAAAAATTTTAACATTCTTCAATAAATTAGAAAATTTCCTGGCACAAATCAGGAATGTTGGGCTAACATAAAAAATGTGTTTTTTATAGCTGGGCATGGATGAGACAATTTAGAAAATTCTATATTACAATGTATTGAATATGATAAAAAGTATGCGTATCTTATTTTAGCTGATATTTTTCTTTTATTTCACAAGAAAACATCAAACCGATCATCATGCATGCCAATAGAATTAATTTTACCTACCCACTTTCGACCTAATAGTGTTTAAGGAGTTATTGCAGTGCGTAATTTTCTACTACCCATAAAAATACAAACTGAACTGATATATGGAATAAAGTATTTTTTAAATAACAATAAAAATAAAGCAATAAAAAATATATGTTATATCATGCTGTAAGATTTTGTGTGCGTTGTATCAGCACATAGGATAGTCAACTACACAATTGGAATAATTTTGAAAAGAATCAAAAATTACAATACTGACATTTTAAAAATTAAAAAATTACATTTACATACCATGAATAGGATATAAAAATATTAGTAAAAGTGCAAAAATGTACTAAGTGCAAAATTGTACAGTGGATGGGGATTTGTAATTATTTGATTCTTTTGATTTAAAGCTACAAGTAAGAGAAACATATCATTCACCAGTGATAACAATGCCTTTTGAATAACATTTTCCAGATTCTTTTACCAGCAAACTTGGCCATAAAAATGATGTGATTTCATTGGAAGCATTATCTGAAGTATGAAATCTTTCATGTCGAGAATCGTCAAAATACGCAGCATCGTATTCTATAGTAAATGGTGGTGTCTGTACAGACAGTAACCAAGACAGGTGTACACATTCAGAGACATAAGATTGTAGCCCGACAGAAGAACGCAACTCTGGACATTCATACAATGCATCGCATACTCTGTTGAATACTTCCTATAAAAATAACACTGAGTTAGTTTGTGAAGCAGACATTTATTCTGCGTTTTGAATTTTCTCTATCATGCCATAGAAACCACATACTATAGTGAAAAGTGTATCATTTCACAACTTCTGCACCAAGAATTAATAAAACTAAAATGCAATGATTAAATACACGTAGTGTAAAAACAAATTCCAATAAAGCTTGAAGGTTGTTGTGTCAGTGTTAGAAAATTCTGCACAGCTAAAACCAGGATATACATGGTTTGGATCCTATTCTGAAATGTTCTGAGAAATATTGATTGATTAACAGAAATGTTTGACATTACTTCAATGAAATTTAAAGTAAGAAAAAACGTCCTTATATCCGGTGATACCCATTTCAGCAATTAGTTCCTAATTCGATTCTTTGTCAAATATATTACAAAAAAAGAAAAACGTAATACCCAGAGTAAGTTTCAATCAATCTAGCAATAGTGAAGTCCTACAATGTCGCTGATACTATTAATACGTTCGAAGAAATCACATATCATAACATGTCAAGTTAAAAAAAAAATTGTTTTTCATGTACTCCTTACCAACTTACAGCTATTCCAAAGCAAAAGCTAACTTGGTCAATGTAGTTCCTTGCTTCTCAATGCAATTAGGGCTCAATTTTTTTTTTTTTTTTTGAGAAATAAATTCAATGCGTTTACTATGTGTATATACGAATATATTATAAAAAATGCACAACAATCTTAGAATCCTTATTAAACATAAAATGATAACAAATAAAATAAACTTTTTGTACCTTGAAATTATGTGACACGTCATATGTATCGGCCGTATTTTTCAAGTAAGAAAATATCATTCTCTCAGTTTCGTTTGTGATGTTGCTCTTCTTTGATGCATTCGACATGCATAACGTCTGCCTCATATTCATTCGAATGTTATCAAGAGTATCAGCGACAGATCGAAACGATAACTAAAAAAGATCAATGGAAAAGAAAAGCTTAGAAAACTGCAAATAAGTCCCAAATTTGTCAAAAATGAGCCTGGCTGATATATTAACACAAACCACGAAAAGTTCATTATTGGGAATGTTGCAATATAAAATTGTCATGGGAATACTTTGAATATTTGATATTTTTTTTACTGGAGTTTGACATGACTGCCATTTATAAACGTTTGTTCTTTATTCTCCCTTCCTTGAGAAACTGAGTGAGCATGATGACATTTGTTGACAAATTTGTGCTTCCGGCTAACATGGTCTTGTGCATGCATCCTATCTTCAACATTAATAATTGTCCGCTTATCTATATTTCTCACCATTATAAGACAAATGAACACTCAAAAAGTATTCCCTGAGTTAATTTTCTTCAACAAATTGCTTAGTTTATTCCAAAGTGTATATTATATATTAATGAGCTATAATTACATTTCCAACAGATTTCCCATTGAATACAAATTCTTTCTCAGCCCTAAATGTTATGAATATGACTTGAAAAAAATTTTAATTTCTAGGGTTTTCTTTGGAAACAACAAATGGAAAAGCTCATAAACACATATTGTTCCAGTTAGGAATTTTATTGCACGACTTACTTACTCAAGGATGAATCATATTGTTTGCTATCGATGATGTAAAACGAATGATAATATTTGAACAGGATCAGCATAATAGGAATTTTGGAATGACGTATGATAGTTTAAACAAGATTTCATCAAAGTGGAAATTTCGTCATGATTTTATCCACTGACTATTATTACATTATTTGGAAATTAAACTCAGAAAGAAGACTGTATCCATTTGCTCAATATGAGATTCTGGCATGGTGTTTAATGTATTTGAATAAGTGTGTATAAAGTTATTGGCATGGCAAGCTCAAATAAGTATTTTGCACAGACACATATGCAGATTAAGTCCTTCCATTTAGACTGATCAATTGGCTAACAATTTCCAACATCCAACTTAGACTGCAACAGCATAAGACCATGGTTAACAATATAAATAGGATGTCGGCCAAGGCCATACCTATCAATGGTGCTCTGAAAACTAAAATTTCGGACCATTTAAATGTAATTGGATATTCAATTTTGGGTGCCAGTTTTCTATACCTAGCCTCAGATCCGCGGGCTTCCCTTCCCCAGTAAAAATGTTTGTTTAATTTTTGAATATGCTATTTTTAACTGGACGGAAAAAATAAACTTGACTCAATAAACTAGAAAATGAACTTAAAATAAACTATGACTTATTTATGACATAACACATATAGTAATCAAAATTCAAAAGTAACATATTCCAAAGCAAATCATAAATAAATGTACCACAATCACAGAAAACAGTAGCTTGCTCTTCACATCATTTACACGTGCATTTGAGCTGTCACTTTCATCCTGCCTTAATATTTCATCAATTGCATCAAAAGCTTGTACTCTTCCTTCACTGTAGAGATTACGGTATCGTCTGATAAGTTCAGCTGGTCTTGTGACTCCCGCTGTTATTGTTTCGAAATTTGGACTTTTGCTGAGAAACGTTTCAGCTTGTTGTGACAACCTGGTATAAAATAATATCAAGCAATAATATTTTGTTTATTTTTTCACAAGACATGTTATATTGTTAGTGCTAAATGTTATACTGATGAAATTTTTGAATACTGATTTCAAGTTGGTAAAATTACCATAAATTTACTGTTGTTATTCTGTTTTCACCAAAACCTGGATCAAATCCGTAACTGAAGGAACAAGCAAAAATTGAGAAATTTTAATATGCTACTGAATTACTTTCAAAAAATGAAAGATGATAAAACATCCATTTTCAATTTCATAAAAAAAATAAACATAGAGCATAGAGTTTGCTGAAAGGATCAACAGACAAGAGATAGGGGGCAGCCGTGCAATATGAAATAAAAAGTGTTCTCCATTAATCTAAATATAGCAACGATTTCATTGCAATATAGGACTTGGAAAAATGGAAGTAGTAGATTCCTAATCACTTCTTCAATTTTCAAGTACTAAAAATTTGAAATCAAATCCAAACAGCAATCATCCAAACAACTACAGGAATTCAAAAAAGTGATTCAACGATCTACTTCATGTCCAAATCATTGGATTCAAATTACCTCTCTAAAATTTGGCCAAACTGAACAACTATAAAGCTATTAAATAAATACCTTCTGACAAGGTCTTTCTCCCTTTTTCTCAGATGATCGATTGCTTGTTGAGCACGTTTTAATTCACGCTGTAATCTTTCACATTCTTGTTCAGTGGATTTATTCGATGTTTTAGAAGGCCTTTTACCTGTATCAGTTTTCCTTGGTGATCTTTCTATGCTACCAACTGTAGAGTTACCTGCAAAATTGTCAGAACACGCTTACAAATCTCAATAGTTGAATAGGTTGAAAACAAAAACATGGTGCAATTGATTATGGTATGGTACATTAGAGTATGGTACATTGAACTCAATTGAAGATAATTGTGTCATATTCAAAAGTATGGTAATCTATATAATCTGACATTAACATTTTTAGTCTCTTTGTGGTAATGAAAACTTGCAGACATTTGTTCCAGTCACAGATAACTTACCTTGATGACCAAAATCATTTTCAATGTATTGGTGCATAGACAACAGTGCCAACTTTTTATACATTTATTAGATTTCAAATGAGGTTTTCACTTTTAAAAAAACATGGTGATTTAAAATGATTTTACTGTTCTCCTCAACTCTACACAATAAAAGAAGTGGTGCTTATGATCTTGTATGTCTATAATTCATAATCAAAATATTTCCCTATACCTTATTACTAAGATGGGCATATAATCAGAAATATCGAATTTAACAATGGAATTAAAATGCCATGTATGAATTTCATAAACTTTAAACATGAAATATCAAAAATCCTATAGAGAATAATACGAAAAGATGAATACCAAACAAAAAATTTCAACTATCCAAAGAGCAAAGTGCTTAAGTGGTAAGGTATGTGCTATAAAAACAAGAATTTGGGTCAGCAAAATTGGCTATGGTTAACAACAAAAACTATCAAATGTCATTCAACAATACCTCCACTCGGTTTAGAAATCATGTTTCATACAATAGAAGGATGAGATTAAATAACGATGTCCCCACAATGTCTGACGACAATAATAGGTTGAGAGTATTCTACTTTCAATACATCATCGGATATGAAGCCATACCGCACAATAGCATAATTACTATATGTGATATCATGATATAAATGAATTCAATAATTTTAACAATTACTGTCATGTTGTAGCGTAAGTATTCATTCTACTTTTAGCAGACATTTGGAAAATCCATACATCAGTCCATATGCCAGCATATTATGACCATTAGCAAATTCTTGATCTATTCTTGTTTATGTCCAGTCTAATTAGGCGATATAAGCATCTAACATCAATGCATCATAAAATAGCAATATTGGTACTCTATTACTAGGATGGCATTACTCAGACCAGCAAAGCTTTTATGATTTTTGGCAATAATAGCCTGAATTGTACCAAACTCGAAGAGAACCTTTATTATGTTAATTTCGTAAAATTATGACACCTCGTGTGTTTATCATCCAAGTACATGAAAGCTTAAATGGAATACAAACAAATGCATTTATTGGTGCAAAGTAATTACGTCCATAAAAATTTATTCTCCTTTCGGTTATTATAATAAACTGTATACCTGCACTAGGTGATCCGGTTGATATATGTGAAGCAGGCTTTGGATACTCGCCATCGTAAATATAAGGCTTGAATCCATTTTCACTGCTATCTGGTACATCAGGAATGTCTGAGTCACCTTCGACATATACCTGCATATATAATTGAATAAATTTGAAATATAAAACATATATTTTGTGAGTGCGATGACCATCACGCCCCTTCCAATTAATAGTAGCTGCTTAGATATCCCTGGGCACTGGATTGAAGCCTTGTTCAGAGTGTGAGGCATGATTAAGCACCTTATGAAAGTAGTATAGAAAGTAGTTAGATATCAGAGGAACCTGTAATAGGTCTTATTCAGAGTAAAACGAGTTGAATAAGATATATATATATATATATATACAACAATACAAGTCAAATAAAATGTGAAGTAATTTTGGAAATTCTTGAAAATGAACAAGACAAAATATAGTTAAGGTGGACATAACCCAATGAGATGAGGCGAACATAAAATATCCAATAAAATCACCGGACCTTGATTCTATATATCATTGATGCATTGGCCATTAGCTTTACAGTTTACCTATCCATAATAGTGTTATAGCATTTGACTTGAGAAAATGACACAGCAATAAATGCCTGATTGTTAATATTAAACTATTGTTGTCTTAGTGTCATTTCAGTTCTCACAACCTTTTAGTCATAAGAATAATGAACTTTCACAAAAAAATGAAATCTTGACATTCTACTCACTGCTTTACATAATCAAAGTTGTTCAAATTAGGTTTACCTTTAGAATATCAATGACTGCTGTGAATGCATCAGAATATTGTAATAATATTTGTGAAAGCTTTGTATCAGCAGGAACAGAGGTAATTTCTTTGCGTAATTGAGAAAATGTTAGTAGAACATCTTTATCACGTTCTATACGTTCCTGTTAATATTTTTATAATTATCAAATAGAAAACCCTTAATTTATAAATAAATGAAAAACCATATACATGGCCGGTTTGAAACTAGCATTCAATTAAATAAGTCTTTTTATTTCATTTTACACATAACACATATTAAAGTGACTGAGCATAACTGAGTAGTGACAATACAAACTTTCGAAATTAATTGATCAAATTTGATTTTAATATAATATCATAAAAACAAAAATCTATTATGTATAATTGTATATTACGCAAATATTTACAGATTAATAAAACATATACTTGTAATAAAGTCAGCAACCAGGGCAACTGTGCATATTGCATCACAGGTTCCACAACATTGAGCAGCATTTTGTTCTGGTACAACCTTTCCTGAAACAAATTGAACCTTTTTGTTACTTATTTATCAAACAAAACATAGCGAAAATATGTATAAAACAAGATTAATTTTTTTATCTTGGAAATAGTAAAGTTAGTAAAGCATTGTGATTAGAAAGAATAGGATTTTCCATTTATCCAAGGGAAGAGGAAAGACGACTTGAACATGTGGCGAACCTTTTCCGGTTACAAGATCATGTTGGGTATGAGAATAGTTGACCTGTTATTGGTTTCTGAACTTCATGAACTTCATTGTAGAGGAAGCAGTGGAAGAAGTTGAATTATAGCACAATGAAGAATGTGTTTTTAACAACACTATAAAAGCAAAAATCCAACTGACTTCTATCAGTGCCAAGAATAAGTTCAACTTGTTGTTTTGCCATCTATATAAAGCATAATATCACAGACATGAATTTGAAATGGTATATCATACTTGTATGTGCGTTGATGTCAACCCAATCATTCTTTGATGGTTACATTGTGAAGGTGCAGTAGACGAAGACAATTGTGATTTCGATTTGATTGTTGAACTTCTTGATGAAAATTGAGCATCACTTTCTCCTCTTATTGGTAAAGAAAGTTTGTGTAGAGCTGTTTTCGAGTTTATAATCATCCTCTCTAACTCAACTCCGAGTGCATCAGGAAGGCTCAATAGCTTTTTGATGATTTTCTCCTCACTTGATGGTGTTATTTCCACTTCAACAAGGCCGTGTTTACCCAGGCTTTCAATTGCCCTGTGCAAACATCTTCGTCGGTGTCGAAGCATTTTCAAGATACTTGAGCCGTCAACAAAACCCATTATCTGAAAAAAAATATCCATTCTGTAAACAATGGCTCAGGACTAACTCAAAAATGATGGACTGGAACTTTTCCAAGCATACAGAGTAGCTTAATGTTGACAAATAACTGGTTTATGGTAGGTATTCAACTGATACAACATGATATCAAATTCCCTAATGACTTGATCTCTAAAATGGGTCAAACTCTATAATCTACATGATCATGAATCTTTAAATGTGATCTGTTATATTGTATAAATTCATTTCAAATTTACTCCAAAATGTTCCTACTTGTGTGAGACAGAACTTGTAAACTTGAGATCAATTAGATCAATAAAATGAACGGACCTCCTGAAGTATGCGCACCAAGATGGCGCACAACCTGAACTCAGGTTGTGTACCAGATTAGGATTCAGGTTATGCGACAACTTGGTGCGCATACTTCAGAAGTACCAAATAAACTATTACAATTGATAACTCTGAGAGTAAACAGTCATAAATAGATTTCCAAAGATAATAATCTTACTTTCAATATATTAGAACAATACTTCTGTGTTGACTCCCAATTTCTGAGTTTAGGTAAATCAGCAGATTGATGACGAGAATACAACTTCACAATATGCATAACCAGGACATCAAGTTCAAAATCAGATTTTGGAAATTTTTCTGCATTCTAGACAAAACATAAATTCAATCAAATTAGAGTTAAAAAACAATTTCATTTGTCAAAATGTTGCAAGCATCATACCAACAATTTACCAATCATGCTTATATAAAATTTTTATTTAGCAGTAAAATAAGCATTCTCGCTAATGTTTTAAAATTTAATTTGTAGCCAAATATATTCCTTAAATATTTTCTTTCTGCAAAGTGATATAGTAAATTCATAAGTAGAAAACTTTGAGTATAAATCATTTCTATTGGGTCGGTTTTTTTGAATCTGAAAGAGTTTGGTCCTTCCAAAAATAATAGTTTCTCACATATCAGCACATCATTATATATAAGTGGTAGCTTGTACAGCGCCTTGCTCAGAGCAAAATCGTCACATAAAAACTACTCAATATACTTACATGCAAAAACAACCTCGTCAATATACAATCTAATATTCCCAAAGACTGAGGAATGGAGTCCATAAAAATATCAAGTGGAAAATCTTTGTATATATCAAGCAATGTATCGATGGAAAGATGTGAGATGATGTTTATCGCTTCTTGTTTATCATCTTTTTCATACAACATTGCAATTTTACGCAATGCAAAAGAAGGATCATAATCTTTGATGTCCAGACTTGGTGTCATCCTAGAAATAAAGATAATTTTAAGGCAATGAATTTATCTGTATATATAAACTATTTCATCTCAAATTTAATTTTGTTTTTGCAGAATTACTATCTAATATTAAAATGCACTACAATCAGTGATTAAATCCTTAAAAATTTACTGATTATTTTAACAAGCTTTTTCAATTTACAGCCAATGAAAAATGTGATTTATTGTAAAAACTAGGTTAGCTCACATTGATTTCCTTGACACTTCTGTATTCACATTATTCCATCTCAACTTCGAGCTGCATTTTGAATGCTCTCTTTGTAGTTTTCTCTGTGATACACGAGGTATGGTATTTGAGGAAACGTTTTCCGCCATGTTTATGTTTGTATCATTTTCCTTTCCCATGAAGATAATTTATCAATATAAAAACTTCTAAATATATATTTAGCACAGTACATATTTATTAATAACATTAATTACGCCATATGATAAAGCCGTATTATTGTCTTTGCTTCCCCCGGGACAACTATGGGAACTCTATCCTATCCTAAATGCTGATTTTATCCATTAAATTGTTTTTCTTTATATCTATATACCCAATCCTACTGTTTTTCATTTAACGAGTCATTTAATATTCCAAATAACCCTCCAATATCAGATACTTCCAATTTCCAAGCATAAAAAAGCTTTTAATTTCGTTTCGAAGAATTTACAAGAAAGTATAGTTTTCAATTTCTTCAATATACTATCATGTGATACTCCTTTTTTTGGTAATACTATAGTAGACATGACGAAGACAAAATCTCGAAAGCGGACTAAACATCTGCATAAACGAGCATATCTATTCTATTTTAGAGATGTCAGAAAATTAGATTTGATATTGGATATTACTTAATCCAAATAACCTGGAATGCTTTCCCAAATCCAGTAAGCGCCCAAATCCCGCCGAATGACAAGATGAATGAATAACTATAGCTATTCAACTATTTCAGTCCGTTATATATTGTCCATGCTTGTTCGATGTTGTTCAGACAATGGGCAAAATATTGTAACGCTCTCTGCCGCCCACCTGCGTCTTTCGGCTATCAGTCCTATGATGCATGGACTAGATTTTTTTTGTTTCATCATTATATTACGTGGATATTGACGTCTAACTAACAGTTCGTTGCTTGAACTATTTTTTAGTTTTGTTCTAGAATAGATGCATAGTTTGACAAAACAATGCAAGTTATTTTTTGTTTCCTTTATTGCAATATTTTAACGCGGTCTGTAAATACATTTTATAATATATAATGCTACCAGATGACCGGTGTAGAAAGGTTGAAAGCCGTTAGAATTGATGGCAGAGGAAGCGCAAACCGACCAAAGTTCACCTAAACCATCCTACGGCGGCGATGAGTCAATTAAAATACGTTCACAAAATCTGTAACAAATTTTCAATTTGTCGCTTTGAAATTATCGAATGCAACTCCAATTCATCTTCTTCATCTTGTAATCCACAATCTTAGGCACCTGTAATATTCAACCGGTATAAAACAATGATTTCATATTCACGGGACAAGAAATCATCGATATGTTTAACGTCAACTAGGTCATCTCATCAAACTTACAAGATATTTGACCTAAATTACAAGAATCTTGCTGAGCCCAATTTTTTTCTATCAATAACTAAACAAACCAGTCTTTGATTGGTCAAAGAAAGACCTTAAATCCAAAAAAGTAATAAATAAAGATAGAGAAATTATCCACTAAACTGAGAAATCCCAAGCACCTTCAAATAGAATAACTTAAAGTCTATCTGTCACATGTTAGACAGATGATGTATGTTCCAGAAAGAGCTGTGTATTGCTAAATATTTGAAAATTGGTAAAGGTTTAAACCTTTTATATTACTTGCCCTGAACAAGTTGAAATAAATAGTCATTTTGTTTGTGGTTGTTTGTGGCGGAACCTGACTGCAACCCCGTTAAGTATCAACACATTTTGTATCCCACGTCAGTAGTTGCTGAACATTTTGCTGGTGTTCGCTGTTTATTTACGCGTTTCAAGTCACTAATTATATATATTCATTCCAACTCAAATGCGTTGGTAAGGCCAATCTGTGTGTGACACAATAATAAAATACCATTTTCTGCTTTTTTTGTATATTTGTGTTAAAAAATGCTTGAAAGATTTTATACCTTGAAATAGAATTCGTGTTTTGTTGGTGATTAGTATCCTCAAAATCCTCTGTGTCATGTGTCAAAGAAATGTGGGAGCTGTACTTATTAGAATTAAAAAAAACATTGAAGTTACGGTTAAATGCCATTCGATTGTTAAATGACTGACGTTTTGTAACAGTATTGCTGTTAAAAAATTTCAGTTGTGAAATGTTTTACGTAGCATTTTACCGTAACTTCAATGTCGTTAAGATGCCATAATAGGATGCGACTCGCGTAAAATACGAAGATACAGTAAAGTCAAAAGTTTTTACTACGCATATATATTTCAATGTCAAGTATGACACCGCTTTTATCTAATAAGTTTGTCAATATTCGGTGCGATGGACGAGGTAGCAATGCAGAGCGAATTTTTCATTAGCGAAATTAGTGATCTCATGGGGGATTTGAGATGATTCATCTGTGAAAAAACTTGCTGCACAAGTAAATGCTGTTAAATATTGAGGTCATGAAAACTGCCTCTTCTAGCTTCGCAGAAAAAAGACAGGAAATCAGATTAAAATACATGGCAGACGATAAAAATAAATTCAAACATCTCTCTTCAGCAATTACGCCCACAAAGGGACATAAAAAAATCTTTCGATAGCTGAGTGGTGTTTCTCGCGGGTTTAAACGACGAGGAATAACTTTTTATTAGAGGTTTCAATAATGGCTCAGATTTATGAGAACATTAGGATTCGAACAATATCCCGCGGGCCACTCGGAAACCTTCGGCGGGTCACATTTGACCCGCAGGCCATGGGTTGGACGACCCTGCCTTAGTGCCACCCATATATATTCCATCTGATGCATCTACAAATGTACAAAGTCGAAATGAGGAAAAGGTTTTGAAAGAAATGGGTCCAATCAGAAGATTGCACTCGAAATGTTACGGAGAATCTTTTAAATGTTTATGTAAATACGAAATGATAATTATACGGCTATGTGCTATTCGGTGGAACCTTTTAAATTAGTTTGTTAAATTCTAAATTCGCTGGATGACATTGGATGCCACATTTGAAATATACCGGGTGGTCGCTAGAAAAGCAGAAATTTGGAAGCTCGAATGAGATCAGGGATAAAATGCATTCCTACTAATTTCTTGGACTAAGATACTGCTCTGCACAGACGACATTTTTAGCATTAATGAATGTAATATAGCATATGCCTTTAATAATTCCATTAAAGTTATTCTTTGTATTAATTAAATGTTTGATGAATTTTCTGCTTTTATAGCGACAAGCCTGTAGTTCGCATAGACAAGCAACAGTAGCAATAAATAAACTGTAAAACAAGTATTATGAGAATGATTGATTACAGTTGATCTAATGACCCGTTTTTAGGCAGGTATTTCTCGATGAACTCCAATAAAGCCAACATTACGACATATTTAAAGAAAAGGGGAAACTCAATAGATTCGATTTCATTATGATGACAGAACAGCAGCATGGTTCAACATGATTATATATATATATATATATATATATATATATATTGCCAAACATAGCGCATATTCACATAATTTAATGAAAAATATAAATGTATCATAGTTTAAATAAATTATGTAACTAAATTTACTGAAAAATTGAACAAGTATCTTTTTACTTCGATACTGAACGTCTAATACATTGAAAACAAGTATCGGAGAGTATAAAATAAATAAAAAAAAACATTTTACGCCACCTCGTGAATTCTTTAGAAATGTAGAAAAATTACAGTTTTGAATGAGCGATTTTTCGAAATCCTACTATACAACATATTGGGAGAAAAAAAGAAATCTTGTATTTTCGAATTCATCGTAGCAGAATAGTAGTAGCACGTTTTAACTGGCCATATATAATACCAAAAACATAGTGTATATTCCGATAATTTCATGAAAAATATATATTTATCATAGTTAAAAGATGACGTACGACAGCTTTGGTTATGAAATCTCGTTACAGTGTTAGTTACGGTAACTTTGACCGACGGGGTTGGGCAGAGGGGGCTGCCACTCTAGATCAGTGCTCTTCAACCGGGTATACAGTATACCCAAATGTATACCGGACCATAAGTTGGGTATACAGCTGATAAAGGGTATACGAAGGGTGTACAGCCTAAGTCATGGATTCTAAACTGTAATATAATGAATTATAAAATATTCAAGCAAAGACAACAATGCAAACAAGGCGCACATGAAATATAAAATGGTATTTACGCAAATAACCGACTCGAGCACATTGTTACGTCACAAATTATATAGATAATGTGGGCACTTGTCTGGGTTGGTGATTTTGGCTGCCATGCATGTTGCTCGATTTACATTGAGCAATATTCCCGTTCACGCTAAGGAAAGGCAGTCAAATCACAACGTCTATAACTAGCCTATTACAGTATTAGATTGCATGATGATATTGCAGTACAATCTGTGCTTGAAATTTAATGTTTATTTAGGTATTGAATGATCATTGGTATTTGTAAAGTATACAAAGTTCTTGAAAAATTGTAAAAGGTATACCACGATAAAAAAAGATTGAAGAACACTGCTCTAGATGATTTATTGCTTGATCTAAATGTTTTTTTCAATATCTAGATGTAAAATTTGGAGCCAAGATGTTAGCTATATTTTTTTTTCAAGGTTTTAAATATTATTCAGTGGGAATTAAATACTTGAAATAGAGAGATGTGTAGGCTACCGGTACGGTAATATACGGTATATACTAATAGGTGAATGAATAATATTTCATTATTTAGAAGTATTGATGTAAGATTGATCAAACTCATTTATATTGTATTCGTCCACCGGTGCCATATGTACCGGTACTTGAAATATTTAAATAACGAATTAAACATGTTTAAAACATGTGACGTTTTAATTAACGTTAAATTAATTAATTAACGTTTTAACGTAAATTAATTAACGTAATGTTAACGTAATTTAATTAACATTTAATTAACGTTGGCGCGGCGGTGTGGCTCAACGGGCTAAGCGTTAGAAATACGCTCGCCACCGCACCTCTGATTACTCTGCGTGGGTTCGCAGGTTCGAATCCCATGCAGGGATGGTTATGTGCGAGAGGATTGCTGGACTCCTCGCCGTCGTTGGTTGGTTCACGTAACCGCTGGTCGGTTACGGCTGCCTCCACTGCTCCACCACGAAGTCCATGCTTCGGAAAACAAACAATATACCTAATCCCATACCCGACTTGGAAGGGTAACCGGACGAGAGGCCGTGGTTCGCTATATGGATAAGCCATCTTATCGACTTTCCTCTCCCCCTGGATAAATATGTAAATCCTATCCTAAATAGAAAGGACGACGTTGGTCCGATGATATTGTTGCCAAGGGGTTTTAAAATTATTAAGTTATTTAAGTCTATAAGTGCTATTGAATTGGTCTCTCTTTGGACATCAACTTTTCAAAATGCCATAGTGCAGTGTATACCAGTGGTTCCCAACCGCCGGTCCGCGGACCGGTGCCGGTCCGCGAAGCTTTTTTGCCGGTCCGCAAGAAGTTTTGTTGTTTTGTTGTTTTTATGCCGTTTCAATCGCTTTACCGTAGGCAAAGTTGCGTTGGCTCATTACGCAGTTCTCTTCTGCCGTCATATTACGACGTCTTTCGCGACATGTTGGCGCCGTATTACGCGACATCTTGGCGCCGATCACTCACACTTTTCGCTTTTCCAGCTCCGATTCATCGCGAATGCGCTCCATCAAATCTCGCAAAATTAAGAAGCCTAAAAATCGGCACGCGTGCCTTTACTGTTCTGCGTGCTTTTTCTGATTAATATGACCATTCATATGAAACGTAATGGATATCTCCTTGTTTAAACTAGAAAACAGTCAAGAACAGTATAATAATCCAGTAAGATATGAACTTGTTGCGACCCCACAGGTGGTCACGCGATACACGCAAAAAAAAGCACGAGCCGCAGAGATCTTTTCCAGACACAGTAGGATTTTGAGCTTGTCGCCAAGTTATCGACGACTTTGTCATTGTAATGCAAATTCATTCCGTTTGAGGCGTCGATTAACTGCAGATGGATTAATATTATGAACCCAATGAAAAAGAAAGGGCTTGATTAAAATTGTGATTCTTTTTTACAGTCCAGATTGAAAAAGAATTACTTATCACAATTTTAGATATCTCTTGATAACGAATACCCATCGCCAAGTAATCGAGCAATCAAACTGTGGTCCGTCTTTTCAGCCAGTTACTGCGTTATGCGAAAAAACATTCTCATCACTCGATTCAATTAAAACCTCACTTTGATTAAAACGAGGCAAGGAAATCGGCTGCACGCGGCTGCAGAGCTATGTGTTGCAAAAACTTCTTTGCCTCGTTCGCAATCTTGTATTGGAAACGAAACAGCAGCAAAATTCTCACAGAAGTTAATTGTGCATTATTTTAATGTGAGAATTTAATGCGTGCCTTTCTCACGCATAATGGGTGCCCAGCACTGCATTTCATTACGCAAATATATGGTATTATTTTATGTTTCACTCATTTTTAATTTTTGGTCGACACATTATTTGATAGTTATTCTTCGTGTGAAATGTTTTAAAGTGTGCTTTTTTGTCTAGAAGCATATTGAGTGCCCGACATTGCATTATAAGACGCAAATATATGTTATTCTTTTCTGTTACGGCCATTTCAATTTTTGCCGGTCCGCGAGTACATTTAATCTAATTTTACCGGTCCGCCAGGGTAGAAAGGTTGGGAACCGCTGGTGTATACTACAATAATTAGAAAAGATTGGCTTAAGAACAAGGCCTTTTGTAAGTTCTGCAGGTGGGAATTGAATTCTAGGTTATGATGTTAGTTTCTTCGACATCTGATATTACTGTATTATGGTTATGTTTCATTAAATTCAATGACTTCATAAATAGATGTATTTTCTATATGTTTTATTTTTCAATCTAGATGTTTCTAGATGTTTTTTTCGAGGTCAATCTAGATGTTTTTAGTCAGGCAAAAGTGGCAGCCCTGAGGCAGACACGATGGCCAGTCGGGTCCAGTGAAGTAAACATCGTACCATAACTGCTTAAATACTGAAATAACGGCTAACAAAAAGGTGGAATGAACGTCTTAACTGCTCAAATAATGCCAAACATTAATTCTTTCAATCGTCTTTCAGTCTTGTATCTAACATTAGCTGTCTATTATTAGTGTATTAACTGCTGATATATCCATGAATATGTCTTAGCTATCTGACTATAGCCCAGATAGACATTTCAGCTTTTAAAAACACACTTTCTTACCTTGGACAACACTGTACAACAGTATTTTATCAACTTTTCAATTCAAATTATACAAAAAATCTGAAAAACATTTTCAAGATGAGAGGAAACAATGATGCATCATCTTTTATGTGGAATCGAAGGATGTCTATTCTCAAAGTTTTAATTGGAATATTGCTAAGCGCTAATATGTTTTATTTTGTATTGCGATATCGGGAATTAAGTAACACTGTGCGGATTCTCCAAGAGCAACAGAGACTCAATAATAAAGTTATAAGGACGGTTGAAAAAGAAAAAGAACCAGAGAAACCGAAAGAAGAAGAGCCACAGCTAGATTACTCACAGGTGAGGAGATTTTCATAAATCGAGGGTGAAACTGAAAAAAAAACTGTTTTGAGAAAATATGGTACAAATATATTTTTTTAAACTCTGTAACTATTTTATTGAAATAATTAAAAGTTGCTTCAAACAATGATTAGATACCAGCATAAGTAACACATATTTCTTTGTAATATTTTTATTGTATAGTCTTTATTTTATTTAAAGTGCACCTCTGTAACTATTTTGTTCGTAATATTTTCAAATTAATTTTTTGGAAATTTCATCTTAATTCGCCTTTCGGAAATCAGCGTTGTTTCATGTTTAGGCCTTCGTTAAAGTTTAAATATTATTAAGAATGACAGTAGATCATTAGAATAAAGACTTTCATTTCAAGTGCGGAAGTGAATATGGTAGTTATAGACTATTTACTCTATGCCCTCAGTATGATCCTGAGCAGAGTTTGATAAACAATATTCTTAAATCAATTTACAGAAAAAATATTATCCATTTTTGTACAACGAACCGAACAAGTGCAAAAATGAAAATGGTGAAGAGTTACCAATATTTCTACTAATCATTGTCAAATCAACAACTGCACAGTTTGATAGAAGACGAGCAATAAGAGCTACTTGGGGAAATGAAACATTATTTAAAGGTTTAAATATGAGGAGGTGAGGCCATGATAAATATCATACAATATTATTTAAACTGACTGAATAGCAATTAGTTAGGTTGGGTAGCTCTGCCTTGTGATGACACGACTACAAATTTATTTCACTAAAGTTGGCATTAGAGATGTATTGATATCATTTTTTCACCAATACCGATCAAGTACCAATCAAAATCCTTCAATAGCGCTCACCAATAGTGCAAATTGCCGATATTCCAAATTTCAATAATGTTTATGAAATATCAATGTGCAACAACATTCATATTCATATTCCAGTGCATTTATAAGGACATTCAACTCCAAATCCACATTTGTGAGTTGAACGCTTAGTGTGTCACTACACTCACTACTATTGGTTTAGTAAAATACTTGAATTATATGCATTGTAACTGTAAGATTCATTTTACAGTTCTCATACCCGACTTGGAATGGTAACCGGACGAGAGGCCGTGGTTTGCCATATGGATAAGCCGTCTTATTGGCTTTCCTCTCCCCGGGATAAATATGTAAATCTTATCCTTTTTTATCCTAACTTTGTACGCATTCAAAGATGCTCAGAACCTCCATCAAGTAACACAGGCACTATGAATCGCTAGATTAGAAATTTCGTAGCGGGCGGGCTAATATAAATGTTGAAATACTTATCCTCTAAACTTCCTTTGATATCCCTTGTGACTCATGTGCCTCAAAAATATGAATGAAGTGAGATTTCTTGTTTTTCCGAGAGATGTGGTCATGAAATAGTTTTTCAATGCCAATGACACTGAAGTCTTTAAGTGAATGTCCCGGTTGACTGAAATGGGCACCAACAATCAGATCTTTGTTTTGCGCTTTGATACTTCTGATGTGTTCAGATAATTCTGTATTGTAAATGTCTTCCTGTTTCTCCTATGTATTGCATGACACAGTTTTTGCAGCTAGTCAAGTAGAAGACATTTTCCGAGTTGGATTGGTAATGATTCTTGTCAAGTTGTTGTTTTGTGAGGACTGAGTTAGCTGCTTTTGCTATCTAGGGGATTTCTTGTTTGTCTGCTTTGAATTTGTAGAGTTATTTTTCTATCGCTTCTAGCCTTCTACACCATGGGCGTGGGGAATTGTGTTTAATGTAAATTAAAAGGAAAGTAATAAAATTGTTTATAGGATGAAACAGGATCCATGGCTTGGTTCATTTCCACATAGTTAAACTATAAAGTCCGGTTGGAAGGTTAGGATCCGGGACCATAATCTTTGACCTCTAATTTGAGCACAATTTCTAAATCGGTGGAAAAAAGTGGAACACATAATTTCTCTTTTTGCTGTTTTCAGTAATGCTCTGAAACAAAACCTAGTAATGTAGGCTACTACTTTCATACTCTTGTAAAATGCATTTTCTTTAAATAATTTCGATCATAAATTAGTTTTAAGTAAACTGAAAATATTGGTACCGGTAATTGGTATATACTTCCAAAATCTAACTTTCATGTTAAAACCGGTTCTGTGTTTTTAATTCCTTTTTATTTAATATTTGTTTCAATGGTTTAATTAAATATAATATAGGTAATGTAAAAAATAAATAGTCCATACTTCATTTTACATCCATAATCCGGTTGTTAAATTTTGAGTTTCAGAATGTTTCCAGTTTTTTTCTAAGCAGTAATGGTTATCTAAAATAATAAATAGGTTATCTGAAGCACATTTACACAGAACAATAAAAAAAGAAAAACAAAATTACCAAATGAAAAAAAACGTATCATAAATATCTTCTTTACAAATCATTTAATCGATAGTTTAGGAAAACAGTCATCTGGTAAGAGTATGATGCTCTTGCAGTGGCTCTTACGCCTCTTAGTGATATTTGCTCAGCAAAATTAGATTATATATTGGTATTACAATTTAACACAAAAATTGGTGTACTCTTGTAGTATGTGTACCAGGTTAGGGTTAGGCCATACTCATAATTTTATTCCGATTTTCCTTGTTTTAGTTCTATTACAAGTTTGGAGACTGTTTTAGCCAAGTGAATATACCCATAGTTCCATAGGCTTCAGTCCCTTTATACAACTTAATGTAAAGTAGGCGAACAAAATTAGTTCCCTCCATATTGGTACACATACTTCTGTAGTGCCCAAAAATCTTGTCACATAAACTGAATACTGACTGCATTTTGTTTTACAGGATATTTTTATTAGCAAAAGGTAATGATGAAAAAAAGCAAGCGTTATTAGAAATGGAGCAAAACGAATATCATGACATAATACAAGGAGATTTTCAAGATTCATTTCGAAATCTCACAATTAAAGATATTATGTTTATGAGATGGATGACGACATATTGTCCTCAAGTTAAATATATATTCAAGGTTGGTCTTTTCTTATCAGCTTTATATCCTGTATTTAATTTTATTCACATATCCATAATAAGTGCAAATATATGTCAATGATAAATAAAGCACAACCGGATCTATTATAATATTTTCACGTTTTCAGATTTTTCGCCGTCGATGACAAATCACATCATTTTGCTATACACCAGTTGTGCTTTAAAAATATCATCGACCTAAATACACCTGGTGGCAATCATGCGTTATTTAAGTACAAAAATAGTTTTTTAGGTAATTTTAAGGTTTAGGAAAATTTGGGCGATGAAACATTCTTATGGTTGTTTCTAATAAATTAATCGCCTCCGACCATAAATATCCCTTTTGATATTATTGACTTTATAGTTAAACATCTGAATAGTGTAATATCTTGTGATGATGAAGTCGCTGATTTAAATTGATGTTAAGTTATGAGAAAGGAATGCGTTTTATTTTTCTGTTCAGCATTTTACTTAGGATATATATACTCAATGAGGGGATTTCCAAATTACTTGTTGTAAACACTTGGCAACGGAATTCATTCCTAATTTAATTTGACCAAGTTTTTCGAATATGATATGAACCTTCAATCTGAATGAATTATTAACTTGATTGATAAGAGAAGATAATTCAACAAGGCAAACATGCTTGGCCGGCCAAATATAAAAAATTTGATTTTTGATGAGGAACGTGATTGTGATGTACCAATGCAGGAATCATATTCAACATATTAAACAACGACGCAAACATGGGTAATAAAGTATTGTGAAATTAAGGATATAAGAAAGTGGATTAATGTTATTGAACTATATGCCTATGGTACTAATTCTCAAATAACTTCACACTGATGTATCAAAATACAAATGTTGTATAGTTTGAATTATTTTCCTATAATATGTGCATTTTAATAGGTAGTATTACTAAAAAAGATGCCTTTTTATGGCTGTTAATGGATAGTATAATTCAAAATATTCAACAGTGTGTGGTATTATACAAATTCAGTTTGGGCAATGAAGTGGAAAATGCCCTGCTGTGTCTCTGAAAACATAAATTCATCTACTTGTCATGTTTGATGATTTATTGCTAGTGATAATATCATTGGTAGGCAATGCAAAGAAGTTTGCAAAACAGATGAACTTGAATGTACAAAAGTATACACACAATCAATTACCACAGTCTACATATTTTTACTTGATCAATTATCAGGACAGTAACGGAGTTCTAGTTTCCTTGGATCATAAATATGTCAATCACCTTGAAGACACCATTTTGAATAGTTTAGTAATTTTGAACAGATATTGATTTTGGATTAATATTCCATTCTAGTTTTATGCAAACGGAAGCTCCGTTTTCAATTTAGTAAATTGTTAATTTGCCCCGCGTCAAGTTCGGTTGAGAATAATGAGGTTACGCATATCCCTTTTCACATCCCTTATTCAAATAATCAGTATTTGATAAACATTTTCAATAATATCATCCCGCAGACACATAATTATTTTTACTTTCATAATGTAATTTATATGAACCTACGTATTTCATACGGTAGTTGACGACTATTATCTTGTCAATTATTATTATTATTTACCTTTATTATTATTATAAGTTATTTTCTTGGTAATTAACAGTGTCTGTTACACACTGTTAGTTATGTTGTTATGGTATTTGAATTTTATTTCTTAAATATTTTGAAAAAGGAACTGAATTGAACACTTTTCATATATCATGGCATCATATAAGATAAGACATAATGAAACTCGCTGAACTGCGCTAGAATCTTGAGAATGCTATATCACCTGTAAGTACACATAGTTGTACTTATTGTAATATTGACACGGAAAGTAGTAAACATACCGTGAATATGAATGTTTTATGTGTTTTATGAATATAGCAATGAATTTCATCAGATCAATTTCTGTTCAAGTGATTCGAAATTCTTGCTGCTTACTAATGTTTTTATAATGTTTATAATGACCAAAATATTATGAAATGTTACGTGAATGTATTTGTGTTGGTGTTCAACTGGCTCTTGAATCACTGAGGATAGGTATTTTTATTTATGCTACAGCCTTATCACAATATACGCCTATAAACAGCATACCAATCCACAACAACAGGCATAAAAACAATTGTAAGTAGTTCGTCCTGCAGAAACCCCATTGATAGCTCCAAATTGTCTTGAATAACTTGGAATAATTGCTTTTACTCGTGCTACAGCATTTTTGCATTATACACATACATACTCACCAATGCAAACACATATGAGAAGAATAGTTAGTTCTACAGATATCCGATTGACAGTATTAATTCCTATTTTTGTTATCTTTAAATTCCTCTGCCACTCAGAGGCATAGAAGTACTAAGTAACTAATTTTGGAATATTAAACTAAATCTATTGGTTTCCAGGGAGATGATGATGTATTTGTGAATCTCGGAAACATTGTGGACTATTTATTATCACTATCTTCAGAAGATGGAAAAGGTCTGTTCACAGGAAGTGTTTTATATCCTTCGCCACGGATAAAAGACCCCAAGAGCAAATATTATGTTCCGGTCAGTCTGTGGCCGGAAAAGTATTATCCACCCTATGTATCAGGTGGTGGGTTCCTAATGTCATCTGTAGTTGCAAAGAAAATTTTTGAGGTGGGAAATTGTTTTTTGATTCAAATATTTTTTTTATTCTGTCTCTGTCATATATGAACGAATGTTGAATATGTTGTTTACTTCAGTCAAATATAATTAAGATTATGGATGGTCATTTTCAGGTTTAATTGTAGATTGCTTAATCGAACAGTTTGGTGGTACTTATTGCGCAAGTAAAACTATTTCTTCTGATAGCCTCATTTTATCTGTGTTGGTGATTATGAGAATTAGTTATCTATAATAATATTTTCTATCATTATAAATGCACCCAGACTTAGTAATAGGTTTAAAACCAACAGGGAAAAATTTTTTTTTTTTCAGTTTTATTTTTGTGCTATAGAGAATTACAATATTATACATTATTGAACATAACACATGGATAGTTTGGCTAGATTGATGTTTGGGAAAAATGCCTTTCTCTGAAAGTAATGAGTTAATGACTAATCACTTTCAAATTTTTATAACCACGGATTGGTTGATGCCACTGCCCACTAGAAAGATGCTTAAATTTTTTCAAATTTTCTTCTAGTCCTATGGGACTTGATAATTGACCAAAAATACTTATGTTATTATGTTATTAATGGTCCTAGACGTGATAAACGTTTACCAAATTGAACTATCTTTGAACTAATGCTCTATTATGAAAGTGGGTTCAATTGACAGCAACTCTAAATGACCTCTTAGAGTAAAAATATTATGATATTACAATTACAGTTTTATCACGTTACAGCCAATATCTATAAACAATTGTACACATGGGTTAACATAACTTTAACTTGATTCCTAAGATTCCCTTTTTCACCTTAAAAATGAATTGTGCACAATTGTGTCCTTATTGAATAATCTTGTCTTGTTTTTGTATACTGTGAAACGCATTGCCCACGACAGTTCAGGAAAATATCAATGGATATACATGTCGAGATATAAAGACAGTACAAACAGTAGCATCCTGTGTGGTTAGCATTGATGCACTCCTATTATGATTCATTGTGGCCAGTTATCATTTGAATTAATTGATATTAATAATAATAAAGCTTTCACATGTGTGATGTTTGATCATATTCCTTTGTGATTTGATCAGAGCATTCTACTTTACAACTCAATGATATTGCATTGTTTGTATTGAATAATTAAAATAAAGGCTATTACTGATGACACTCACTGAACTGTCATTTCCCTGATGAGTCAATGTAAAATGATGACTACTACGCTACTGACCTAACGTTTTATGTCTATGCAAATGTACGTATGTTTAAATGACGTCTTTGTTCACTTGAAAATGTGAAAGTGAATCTTATGCAAGGTATAATATTAGATATCCGCTTGTGATATCCAGAGAATTTTTAAACTAAATTTGATGAAAATGAATATTTGTTTGGAATTCTGGGTATCGTAATTTTTACTGACGATTTTTATTGGATCGGCTGTTTTCTTGATGAAGTCATCATTTGCATTAAATTATATGTGGTAAAGTTTGATATATATCTTAATTTTGTTAATAAGTAGTCGTTAAACTATTCAAAATCAAATTCATAAAAATTCACAAAATATATTTCTTTAGACATTGATGTTGGACAAATATATATGTTCACAAACTAAAATTTTAGACTATCCATACCATTGGTAAAATATGGACAATTGCACACCTTCCTTTAACCAAGCGCATGTCACTAATTCAATATTAGCACATACTGGTACTACACCCAGATTACCATGGTGAATCTGATTTTTGAATATAACTTATTCATTTATACACATGCTTATTATGACCCATTGATAATTTTTTCTCATAATGCATGTTTCATACTTGGATCTTTTTTTGCTACGAATTTTAATTAAATAGAAAGGTAACTTATTGTTCGTCTTATTAAATTTAAAAGTAAATAGGGATTATGTTAAGTTTCGTAGGATTTGTCTCCTTTCCAAAAATAAGGACAGGATCCGGATTAATTATTATCCCGGAACATCTTCTTGTAGTGAATGTTATGATAGGTATTAGAAAAAGTCATCATATTTTGACTATAATATTTCGCTTATCCAAAAATTTTAGTATATTTGAAATTGAAAGGTTTTTGTGAACTATAAAAATATATGGCTTTATTGCGACTTACAATCAGACGTATAAACCCCTAATTAAAATTAGAATCATTGTCTAGTATCTACCTTGACATGTAATTGCCAGTGAAAATATATAAGTGGTATGATATAATGCTTTCTGATCGTGGATGTCAATTTGTCATTATCAAAAAAGTTAGATTTAAGTGGCAATTATTGACAATACGTTCAACTTGATTTCATCAAGAGGTTATAGCTCATTTTTACATTTGGTCTCATTAATAAAAATATATTTTTTTGTGTACCTTTATTTATTAATATTTGAAAAATAAATCTTATATTCTGATTCAGAATTATTCTACTTGGCTAATTACTCATTTGCGCATTCTCAAGTTGAATTCCTAACTGTTTTGATGGATAAATCAAAGTATTACTTCATTAGAGTTTATTTGGCAATAGGCGGCATTAGCATTATCTATTAGTATCTAATACTTGGAAAAAACAATAAAGAAAAGATCAATCCTTGAAACAATGAAAATTTTGAGACTTTTTTCGTCATGGTGCTTTCCAACATGGCAACTGCTCGCTTCCGTTCGGGAAATAAAACAATGGAATTTGTGGATATGATTCTTGCAAGTGCCCTGTAATAATATGGCTAGAAATTGAATCATGAAATTTGTCCATACTTTGATATTACACAAGATTGTGACTTGTGAGTAATATTGAATTCAAGCTGTTAAATAATATTCTTTTTTCGGCGCTTCAAAGGTATGTGTACCAATATGGAAGTAACTAATTTTGTTTGCCTGCTTTACATCAAGTTGTGTAAAGGGACTGAAACCTATGGGTAACAGGGTGGGTATATACACTTGGCTGACACAGACAGTCTCTGAACTCGTAGTATGACTAAAATAAGGAAAATCGGAATAAAATTATGGCCAAACCCTAACCTGGTACACACACTACAGGAGTGCTTTTTTTCTGATATGTGGTATTGACTAAATACAACAGTTTGCTGTGGTATATACAGAGTAACAAGAACAAAAGCAGAACCCAGGTCACTTGGAAGTCCAGGGTTGTCCAAAACGAATCGAATATTCGAATGTATTCGAATATCAAAGTATTCGAATACCTTTTCGGCTGATTTTCGAATAATTCCGAATAGTAGTCACTTTTCGCCGTAAACGTGGTGTTTCGTTTTACGGGAATCTTTAAAAGACTTTTTACGCCGTCTCACGTAATGACGATGAAATAGAATCGGCACTTTGATTGTTTATATTCTTTGGGAGAGTATGTCGCATAGTGTTGCGACACATTTGTACGTGGACATTGCCGACATTCGTGTACGAGGCTTTTAATTTACAAATTCATTTCCATTACGTCGAAAAATTGAGAAAGTATGTTTATTTTATTTCTATGTGGCCTAATTATTATTCGCATGAGTCTTCTCAAGCATGATTTGTGTAACCTTATATTTGGGTCTTAGGGTCTGCCAATCATGATATTTATTCGCAGGCCGGTTATCCTTACTTTAAAGAGAAACACGGCCACCGAGATAAAGTGATTTTGTGACCCTTTCGTTTTGCTGATTCAGCAAAACACGACAGGGACAGGAAAACACAGCTGTGAAATAACCCGTGGACGTACAGTGTAGTACTTATCATAACATTCCAAAATGGTTATCATCACATTCCAAAATAGGTTGTCCAAAATGATTGTCGCTTTACAACTTAAATTTACCGCTCAATTGTTAAAAATAGTTAATTCTGTGAGTATGATTCTACCAAACTAACATGATCTGGTTCTGAACATATAAGATTATTAGCGAATTTTTCGACCCGTCTTATTGGAGGCCTATATGGAAAAACCCCTTTTTTGAGTGCTAAAAATAGACATCGTCCTATTTGCCATGTGGACTTCTTAGCCGGGAAATACGGTATTTATAGCCGACATTGTTACGATATCCAATAAATTGTCACAAGTTGGAAAAACAAGTCGATTTATTAGAAAATAATTTCTGGCAAATAATTCTGATAACGATAGTTAAAAGTATTCATCCTTTACCAGGATGATTTTTTGTTGCGCAAAATAATCCAATCCATGACTGGTACCAGCATTTAAAATGTCATGCCGTATTAATTTAATTCTGTTCAACGTAACTCATGGTTGTATCGACAATCTGTGGACATAAAATGTGTAGTAAACTGACCGATATTATTAAATATTGATTCCTATTTTTATATTGATAAAATAATGAAAGTATTAATGCCAAATACAACGTGTATTTGTGGACATAAAATACGTGGTAAACTGCCCAATTATAATTAATTTCGGATTCGTGTTTACAAAATAACAAAACTAATAATTTTAAAATGCAACGGCGATCTGTGACCTTAAAATATGTGGTAAACAGCCCGATTTACCAACATTTGAGTTATGATAATAGAATTAAATTAACCCGGTAGGGCATTTGAAGTAGTGGTATCGGTCATGGATTCGAATATTTTGCGCAGCACGAAATCATCCTAGTAAAAAGTCCATACTTTCAAATACAAACTAATGGGAACCATTATCCAAATTAGTTCCCAAGAGCGGGATAAAATATAAACTTGTGACAATTTTTCGTGAGTACTAAAATAAGAATCAAAACTAATTATATTCGGCACAATATCACGACAATCTGTGGACATAAATTGTGTGGCAAACTCGCGATTAATATTAATTTTTGATTCCTATTTCCGTATTTACAAAATACAACGGCGATCTGTGGACTTACAATGTGTGGTAAACTACCCGATTATAAATAGTTTTTGATTCCTATTTTCATATTTATAAAATAATAAAAGTATTATTACTCAAACATACAACGGCGATCTGCGGACTTAAAATGTGTGGTAAAGTTCCAGAATATAATTAATTTTTGAGTCGTATTTTTGTACTCACGAAAAAATTGTCACAAGCCGGAAAAATACCTCATACTTTATCCCGCTTTTCGACAAATAATTTGGATAATGGTTGGTATTTAAAAGTATGGGCGTTTTACTAGGATGGTTTTGTGTTGCGCAAATATTCAAATCCATCATCGATACCACTATTGTCGTATTAATTTAATTCTGTTAACATGACTCATGGTATATAAAATATATACTGCAATAATCTGCAAATATGAAATCCCTGGTAATATAGCTAGGTTGTAACTTGTAGATAGCAGTTATTCCATTGCTTATTGTATGGAAATTCCTACATACATTTAGATAAGCTTCAATTAGTGGATTTTATTTTCGAAGTATTCGAAATTTCATATTCGAAAAAAATAATTTCGAATGTATTCGAAATAGTGAACTATTCGGTATTGGCCATCCCTGCTTGGAACACACTTTAGAGAGAGCATAACTTTTATGCAATAGGTCCTAGATACTGAAACTTTGGGTTCAATCATACACAAACAGGAGTTCAAGTGTTTTCTTCATTTTCCTAATTAAGAAATTCATTGGTCATGTTTTTTTTGGGTCATCCTATACTTAATGAAGGATAATTTATGAATGGAATCCATATCATATTGTAGGACTTAAATATTACTATAATGATTTATTGTATGATGACAATTGTGAATTTTGAAATAAAAATTTCAAGTAGTAAAAATAAAAATGTTTTCACAAGCCTGTTTTATTAAGTCAATTTCTTGGAATAGTAATGAAATTCTATATAATATTACCTTAGTTTGAACATGGTAGTTCAATTCTCTCTGTGGCAGAATTATGTTGCATTCTGTGGATTAAATTATATTATTCGCCATAAATAATTGATGTTGTAATTCAACAGTAGGGTCAATTACACTAATAAAAAATATTAACAAAATATATATGGCATCTACACAGGATTTGTTACCTTATGTAAATGCCAAGTTGCCTTTTCATATTTTATTCTCATTGCAGTGAGGATTCCACATGTATTGAAAAAATGGCAATTTTTATATTCAAGTAATAATAATGACTTCTTATATCAATGCAAATAATTTCTCAATAAATGTTGCTATATGTTCTACATCAAAACTCAGAAAATGCCTAAATACATAACTTGTATTGAGAGATCCATATTTATTACTATTACATTCATCTTTATCATCATATATACAGTACACAATTTAAATTGTTATCATGCAGCCTACTCTCTTTCGGCACAACAATCAAATTGTCAATTGATCAGTGATCTACAATGATAAATAGAACGATGACTGTTATGAATAACATGAGCTACGTTTGAATTAAATTTTAGACAATTTGCTGTTTATTGCTATCACTTTATATATATTCTCCATTTGGTTGGTAACTGGACTAGAATATGAATGGTTTTATATTCTTTTCTATAGTTCAGTTCAATTTTGAATACTGTCATTCATACTGATATTAACCCATTTCAATGCAGTGTTTCATGAAACCAAAGAAGTTTTTTCTTAAGTTTTTGAATGAATTAACAACAAACAACAAACGGTTGAAACTGGACAATGCCCAGAATACTGGTAATTTGAAATCACAACCATTCTTTGTCTGTTTTGTCGTAGTGGACAATGCATTCTATTCATAACTTAAATTTTTAAATGAATTGCGTAAGATGATCACAATTACCAAATGAAAACATTGTGTAATACATTTGGTCGGTTAAATCTTTTTTTTTCTCGCTTTTTTGAAGATAGTACAAGCATAAAAGATTTTTAATATCTTTCAGAGAATAATTCAAAATTAGGTAAATATTTTTGTATAAAGAAAATTTATCCTGTTTCGTGTGGTCACAGTCACAGACAAAATTAGTCAGTCATGTAATGGTGTACTTTGTTGTCTATCCCACACCGGATTCGTGTGACGTGGCAGAGATTTTTTTTTTGTATATTCACTCAACTTATATATAAATATATAGGATGTAGGTGTGTTGACTTTACAATCCCATTTTATTACAAAAATAGAATGCGCTTGAGCATTTTGCTGATGTATTATCTGTTAATTCCTATCATGTTGCCTTCGGCTAAAATATTTCTTTGTTGATTTTTATTGTATGAAATTCCCCGAAAAGTTTGTATAGTTGTAAATCTATATTTTAAATCATGAGTAAACCGGTAAGTCGACTGAATTCAATATAAAATCAAATATCTGATATTCCGCAGTTTTTAGAAAGGACATGTATATTATATTAGTATTGTATTTATTCTAAGTCGTGTACACATTTTTAAATATTCATTTAATAAAGTTGCCATTTGCTTATAATTTGAATGAAGTGATTGAATGATATCACCGATGGAGAATTCTTTTTTAGAGTATAGAAGCAATATATATTTTGCTTTGTTCTCAATCCCACACACTAATAAATTAAGACTGAAGACAACTACTGTTGTTGAAATGAGCATTTCGGCTATTAGATATTATTGTTTTGCCTTATCATTGGACATGTTTAATGAAATGATTTATATATCCACTTTGTTGAATTACTAAAATTTGGAACTATGGTATGGTATTATTGGTATGTGACAGTAATGTAATTTCTCCTCATAGAAGCCACAGGTTTAGACTATTAAAAGACTTCATTCCAAATTTTTTTATTGAATTTGCTTATTTTTCGAGTATTTGAGTTTGTTTTGTAACTTGTCGATTATAGATTCAAAATTTTATTTCAATTTTTTTATATTCTTCAGGTATCTAAAGTCACTCCTATTATTCCCATTGATGATGCATTTCTCGGAGTTTGCTTGCGAAAATTGGGAATGAAACCTCAGAATCATAAAGGATTCAAGAGTTGGGGCGTCAATCGTCCAAAAGACATTTGTATTTACAGAGAAATAATGACGTTGCATAAACTTGGTAGCGACGATATGATAGCAATGTGGAAGGAATTACATAACTCAAATTTTAATAATTGTGCAAAAACATTTGAGGCTAAAAAAGAAAAAAGGTGATCTTGCCACGATCACTACTCAACACTGTAACGCAAAAAAAAAATATGATGTTCCACGCACTAATAATAGATTGCGCTGAATTTCCTATTGCAGTGGCTTATTTCCTCCTATGCTTCATTAGATTACGTCAACAAAGCAAAGGTTAGAGACGTTCTTCCGAGCAGTTAAAAATTTATGCTGATAAGCGTACTGCAGAGTCTAAAGATTTTTTTACACATAATCTGCGAGCATGTGTCTATAATAGAAGCGTTGCATTTTCTTCCACACATCTGTGAACAATAATTATTTCATTAATTGCCACTCTTGTCATTTGTCGCTAGAAATTTATTGTATGCTATATATTATATATAAAGATATATATCAAAAAAAAAACACAAATTAACTTTATTTTAGTAGGCAATGCGGTCCACGGAATTCAAAATCAATGCCATAAATAAAGATGTTTCATGTGCATTTAGTTATTCAAAATTATTCCTATTTGCAATGAATCTATGAATAATGTAGAATTTTGTTGAATAAGATTTGACATTTGTCATGATGCTACTCAAAAATAACAGATACAAATTATCAGATGCTATAACAGATTTGTCCTATGAGAAAACTCTTCTATAGATGATCAGATTCAATACAATCCATATTTCACAACTGAAAGGGCAGTAATCTGATATTTCAGTCATTTATTTAAATCTCAATTATGGATGGCTGAGATGCAAGCTCTGTTTTTGCTTTTCTATGAACAATTATTTCAATTTTTGTTTTACTTTCATAAGTGTGAATTTAGTTTAGTTATGAAATTTCGTACTTTGGTTACGATTATTGGGGTTCTACCATTGTAGCAGTTTTCCCCTTTATATTGTTGAAAACAAACTCTTAAATTCAGAGTTGTTTAAAGTGTACTATTATATTTTATTCGGGTTAATCTTTTAGTGTCACCTTTCAAACCTCATGGTTGCGGACATTTTTCACATAACTTCTGTCAAGTTGCAAGACTTTTTAACCATCTTATAAAACTGATAAGCATGAGTGTCAAAGATTCATCATAACCTTTCATTATAAACAGATTATTCTTTGTATGTTTTGATCCATTGTTCACAAATTTCATGTGGGCTAATTTTTATCTATCTAAAATCAAATACTGGTTCTGAATTTGAATCATAAAATTTCTTTGATAAAATTTCGTTTGATACACATAATTACGTCTGTCTCTCAATTTGGTATTTGCACCTAAGAATGTAGAAGTCCACTGTACATCTTTTATATTGTAGTTTAATTAGTTGGAAGTTATGGCATCGCTAGTCCAAATTGCCTTTCCTCTTGTTCTACCATACTTTTCCAAAGAAGCTATGATTACCATGTCTATAACTATTGTTATTTATCTTATCACCTGATAATTCACTTCTATATGCTATGTTTCTGTATAAAATCGATCTTCGGATACTTCCATACTTAAACACTTTTTTATGAAAACTTTTTCATGCAAAGTCTTATTTCATCTCATATTTCCTTATTTAGTTTAGTTTTCTCATATCAGTATTTTTATATGATGCGGAAAATTGTTTTGTCTCTGATTGTAGTGATATTTATTTTGCAGTGCCTTGCCAACCAATTGTAATCTTTTAAATCTCAATGTAGGTTCATGTAGGCTTGCATTGTTAAATTACATTTGCTGCTTATGTTTCAAATTTAGCAGAAATTCCAATATATTATTATTGCGCGCTCTAGAAGTATGTGTACCAATATGGAGGTTACTAATTTTGTTCGCCTACTCTACATCAAGTTGTATTAAGAGATGGAAGCCTATGGACATATTACTTGGCTAACACAAACATTCCCCGAACTCGTAATAGAACTAAAATAAGGGAAAACGGGATAAAATCATGGCCTAAGCCTAGCCTGGTACATATACTACTGGAGTACCTTAATACCAAGTATATTCACTCTTGTTACAATAATTTTTATCTAGATGTGGGCTTGCTTTGTGAAAAAAAATTTTTTTTATGTTTCAAAATTTTCGGGAATACATGCAGCTCGTAGTTAATTTCACTCTATTTGATATGCAGTTTTTACTTGAATACTTGGTAATTTGGTTGTTGTGTCAAAATTATATAATAAATTAACCTGGCAACGAAGCACTAACTAACATAATAATCTTCCCCCATTGTAATAATGGACTTGTACCCCCGATTTAATACTGCCAGCTTCAGACCGAATCAGTGTTGATATTTCCGTACTAAACACGGTAACTGAGAGCCCATCAAACATGATTGAAATTAAGTTGGAGTGTGGTACCTAAATAACTGATTTACCCACATTCATTTTTATATAGCATTTTACATGAGAGTGTGATTTAGGTGAGCGGGGAGATGAATATCTAGGTTCGCTGAAATGCATGTTATTCCTTTTTCTTCCACATCATATGACTTTGTGTAGTTTCGATAGGAATTGAATGAACCTTATTTTATAGAATAGTGAAATTTTGTTACTCCATTTCACTTATTGCTTCTCAAATATATCTTCGTACTACTGACCTTAAGCCAGCGAGTGTTTTTTGAGGTTTTATTGTCTTTTTCATGCTCTTCATCCATGTAGTGTGAGTTTGAGTACTCTGCATCACCGCTGTTCTAGTATTTGAATGAATTTTGAGATTACTCAGTCAGGTGAGATCTAAATAACTCCACGTTAAAGCAAATTCCAAGACACGCTGAAGTTAGAGAGGTAGTTTTAAAACTATTGAAAATGTGGAGTTCAGCGACAGCGGAGTGCAGAATGACAGAGTTTCAGCCGTCTTAACAAAATACCCAATGTTCCTCCTGAAAGGACGACGCTCATTGCAACGTGATTTTTTTGCTTGTTACTGAAGTTGGTGGGTCTTAGTTTACTAACTCTTACACCTATAATAATTCAGAAAAGTCTAGCGAGAAGGGATGATACTGCGTAGAAAATTCGTCCTCGCAAAATGCAAGTTATTTGAGATTATGTCAGTTTGAGGCGCAAAAGCTTGATCAATCATTTGTTTTTAGTCGATTTAGGTTCGACTGATATTAATGCATTGTGTTCGCGCTTTTCATCGATTTCCTCTCAGGTGGGGATAAATCCCGAACTGCACGAATATCCCCAATCTCCCAATATCCCTGACTCCCTCAGAGGTGAATGTAATAGAGATGTACCGATACCAACTAAAACGCCGATGCGATATTTCAAAGAAGCCGATATTCCGATACTATGTAATTATTACCCCAAGTGTGCAGGGCAGACGGGTTGAAACAATAGTCTTTGAGCATTATTCATAGTACACATCATTTCATGGTGAAAGGGAGATATATTCACATAATATGGAGATCCAGATGCGTTAATTGATTCAGGTGCATTGTGTACTGACGCTAGTAATCTTGGTGTTCAATTAGAAAACTCATAGGGTTTGGGTGGTAAAATAAATCAATGTTTACTTATCCTACAAAACTGATTCATTAGGTTTCTTGCGCAGGATTTTGTGCCAATATAACGACATATTTTGTATTTTGCACATTGGAAAATCCACAAGTATTCGATTGGTATAACTCTTCATAATTACCAGGTAGATAATATAAAAAATGTAAAGTAAAAATTGCGAGAATATCAAAATTAGTTGAGTTTAAATAGCTAAATTCATGTCAGAATCTTATTCCCGTTTCTATTCGTTGGGGTGGGGACGTGCATGCCTCATAGTTCACGATCTAACCAAGAAAATAAAATTTTAACATCAGTATTTTACCTTAATATTTAAAATATTGTGGATCATATTAAAAAGCTAAATATATCGGAAATATCGGTCTACATTTAGCCGATACACTACTGATACCGAAAATTTGGCCGATACCGATGTATCTCTAGAAAGTAACACATATCATTTGCATCTTTTTGTAAATATAATATTACCTTTATCGAAACGTACAACCTACACGTATATAGTTGTTCTTATGTTGATAAGCTGAAATTTGATAACTATATATAACGACTGACGGAAGCAATCAACCGACGCAAAGTTTTCCATCTTCAATATTTAGAGATTTATATTCCTTTATTCTGTGCGGCCAACGCACGAGTGGTTTTAGTTACAATGCATTGGTTAACGAAAAACGTTTCTTTGATTTCAAGAACACGGCTTTGCTAAATTATTTAATGTTTTGGTGATGAGTCTTTCAGCTTTATCGGACATCGGCATATAAACATTTGGTGGGCTTCATATTGAAACAGAATTTCCGCAGTAGACACAGTAAATTTCTGCCTAGTCTGCGATTCGGTTGTCATTGAATCTATAATTGATTCAGTTAAAAGAAATAGGTAAATTTATTGCTTCCTAATATTTCGACAGATAGTGCCTTTTGTTGGATCTGGGGCTGCAGTTTTACAACTTGAAATATATATATATATATATGTCCTTTCCATTTCGTGCAATACTCAATATGAATAAACCACTTATGGGGTAATTATTTGAGTTTTTCAGAGTTGAATCAGAGTAACATGATATATATATATTACATTTGATTTCTCTACGTTTCTTCCCAAAATAAATGAAACTAATAGGCGTTGTACGAATCTATGTATTGATCAGTCAGGGCGGTTCTCAATGCGTTTGCTTCAGTTCAAATGTTGGCTAACGGAATAAAAATAGATCTAAATAAATATTGTACCCACCCAATCCTCTTTTCTTAAACTAGACATTTCGGAATATTTTAATCAAAAATTAAATATCGATCATCAAGCTGAAACTCGAGTTTCGAAAGTCAATGGTTTCACGATAATAAAAACTTTCTGCAGTAGCCTATAGCATAAAAAATGACACGAAATATTGGTATAGCTATTGCTAGCCATTGTCAGCGTATTTCTCGAATGATATATATATTCGAATGGCATGAGTTGAATAATTATGTATAAGTGACTGCATCGAAAGAGAATAACTCGTTAAATTAAGAACTACTACTATGCAGAATCGAATCGAAAAATACATTTATAAAAAATATACATAGGCTATGAAACCCAAAAAATAAGGCTAAAACTTAGCATAGATATATTCTACATAAATATTTATATAATTGAATGAAACGACTGAGATTGGACGCGACAGCAATTTTAAAAACTAATCAAATTTTATGATTTATATTTCGTTTCACTGCGAATGGTTTGTTACATTATTTCCAGTCTGTTCATCAGCCTCGTTAGTGTCATTGGATAAATAGGTAGAACATGTTCCACTCGCGATGCCCGGTAAAGCGTTTTCTTTGACCATCAACTTATTACTCTGTCGCAGGGCTGCAAAAGCTTCGCCAATTCTGCTGCTAGTTTTTTCGCTTCGCTTTTTTACTGGTGTGTTTGATGATTGCTTTTGTATCCCATTCCCATTATTACTTTCGTTTTCTGACGTTAATCGATCGATAGCTGCTTTGAAGCGTTTGGACATACTTGTACTTGTAAGTAAGGTATAAACTATGGGATTGATCGTGGAATTTATTGGAAGAATTATGATCGCAGTAACAGGGTAAATTATTGCATGAACATCGTTACTCAAGCCACCGGTTATCAGAGAGTAGACCGCAATGACGCAGACTGGTATCCAGCACAACATGTCCGTTATTACCAGCACCGCAACTCGGGCATTTAACTTTTTTCCAGCGTTACCCGATTTCTTGGTAGCAACATTGGACATCTTCAATCGTTTTGATCGCTTGCTGTTGCGACCTGCTATGTAAACCAAAACAGCATAGGCGACCGTCATTAATAAAAATGCAATGAGATTGATAGTAACAATAACTAAAGTATAAATCCAGCTGCTTACGGCTGTTGACGTATATAATGACGGCAGGCATGTTGCAACGGATGCTCTGAAGTAACCTGCCAAGGATACAAACCCCATGAATGGAGCGTTTGCTAAAACTAGTCCTAGTATCCATATACCAGCAGTTGAAAAATAAAATATTCGAACATCCACTTGTAGATAGTTGAATGGCTGTACTATTGAAAGGAGACGTGTTATGGTTATCAGAGACAGCAACAAAACGGATACTTCGCCGGATAGCATGGCAAGCACACCAGCCGTTGAGCAAGCTGTTGATGCTAACCAATTATGTGAGTGTCTGTAATATTCTCCTGCAAATATCAGATCAGCTGAAGCTATTATAAATAGGTAAATGCACATCAGAAAATCTGATAAACCGAGCATCCCGATTAGAAATATGTTAATTTTCGCTGTTCTTTGTTGAATTGTACGTCCGACACTTTTATATTCTTTCGCGCGAAGAAAAATAACTGTCAGGTTCCCCAATGCAGTTACCAAAGCCTGAATCCACAAAAACGCCCGCAGAGCTTCATTTGCAATCAGGCGATTACATGATGAAACGGCATCTTTCGGAGTACACGTTAGTGAGCTACTACCCCATGTAGCAACAATACAGCAAATAGTAAAGACATCTCCATGAACTTTTTTCAGCTTTTTCTGGCGTGCTAATAATTCCGGGTGATAGTTGGTTACGGAGTTTTTTGACACGTCTAATATTATAAGATCTACCAAACGGACAAAGGTACTCTCATGAAAATATACAATTTTATTCTGAGATAAGTCAAGAACGCGTAGACGTGTTATCCCATTGAATGCATCACTTGATATATGCATTATTTCGTTTCTTGGAAGATATAATTCTTCTAACAAGCTGTTTGCCAAAAATGTATCGTCTTCTATGTTTGAAATATTGTTGTCCGATATGACTATTTTTGTTAACAAATTGAATACAGTTATAAATGTTGGTATCGCTGTCAAAGAGGCATTCATCAACTCTATGTCCAGAAGTTTAGGAAGGAAGTCTATCTGATAATCAACTATCGAGTCTAATGATGTTGTATCCATGTCAGTTAAACGAACTGTTGAAAATATTCCAAATGAAGATAGCAAGTTGACAAAGGACGTCGCATTAATTACGACATTCTTCAATTCCAAAATTGTTGATTTTTTAGGCAAGCAGAGGTTTTCATGCAGCAGAGACGTATCTATTGTACCTTCAGCACAAGATACTGATGTAGCAGCTTGGTTGCAAAAACATGGATTCAAACACGGATCATCAACTTGTATGAGACCACCTCCCAAAGTTGACCTGGAGCATCTGGATTTTATGAAAAAATATATAAGGAAGGGTATCTACGAACAAAAAAATCAGACAAAAAAGAACATTATGGTGGGGTAATTGGTTCGCAAATTGTTTTTATTATCGTATTATCGCATCAAAAACAACAACTACAAAAATGTCACTTGGATAAGTAAAAAATAGTCCTTCCTACCTTCCATTTTTGTTGATTGAACAATCATTTTCGTTACATAATGTATCATTGCAAGTAAACCCTCCGATGAAGTCGGTGCATTCACTTCCTTCGGGACATTGATTGATATAGCATTCATCGATTGCATCATAAATAAAGAGTCCGTTTGCATTATATCGGTGAAATTCCTCGGAACAATTCAGCTGATCCTGTGCGTCGAGGGAGGAACAATTCAAGGTATTTGGGATTACAACTAACAACGGTTCTTTGGGAGCGAGTGCTATTCCTCGCAATAAAACGATTTTCGTTAAAGAATTTCCTTGCAGATAAATCCTTTCCAAATCTCGAAGATTTTCGAACGCGTTTGGACGAATGTGTTCAATACAATTATGGCCTAAATCAAGTAAACGAAGTCTCTTCAAACCATCAAAGTTATAATTAACTGACAAGAGGTTGAATGACAGGTATAATTCATACAAAGTTGAAAACTGATCTCTGAATAGCTCATATTGAATGTTTGTTATTCTGTTATGCGTCATAGAAATTGTTATGATGTCGTTGGATCCTGAAAACGTATCATCATGTAAATCGGTAATCTCATTGTTGTCAAGATTCAAAACTGCGAGATTGTGTTGGTTCTTGAAAACTGGAAGAGTTTCTTTTGTGAAACCCATATCGTTCAAATAGAGGAAAATCAAAGAAGAAGTTGATTCAGAAATAAAATCGCGGTCTATACAATCGTATGATATATTCTTCATTCGCAACATCTCCAAATTTGATGATATTTCATCCAATATACCAACATGTATGTTTTTCAGTTGTACATTTTTTAAATCCAATCTTCTGACGTCACTCGGAACACAAGGCGGACTACTGTTTTCTTGATAGTCAAAAATTTTATAATACAGATTGACGTTGGGAATTGTTGATTGGCAAAATGGTGGTCGACAGGAAACGCAAGTTTCGTTGCAATATTTTCCATCGAGTCCAAATTTACAGATGCCGGTTGTTGGTTCACCTATTTAGGACATTTTAAATAATATTATAATTTTTTTTACATTTCACAAGCCAATTAAATCGAACATAATGCAAAATTGATCGACCGTTTATTGGAAATAATATGCGTTGTCTAATTTTAACCGTTTGTGAAATAGATTTTAATACTTCTTCATATAGCCAGATGAGCAAAGTTATTTCCATTGGCGTTTTAGTAATTTAAGATTGATTACAAATGGAATCATTTAAATTCTACTTACTTCTGTTCGTTGAACTGCAGTTGGGCTTTTGAAGATCTTCCGGAGTGACATGATCGGCGGTACACCTATCTGAAATAGGTCAGATGCAAACATTGTTATTGATGAAATTGTAGAAGGAGATCGTATTTTGTTGAAAACATAAGCTTTGTCTTCGAAATATAGGCTTTGTCTCTTTTACCACTATATATGTGCATATGTCGAATGTCACGACAACTTTTTTAAATACTCAAGATCAAAAACTTGGAGCTCCCGTAGTATGTACACAAACATGGCGCACAACCTGAACACAGTATGTGTACCCGGTTAGGGTTCAGGTTGTGCGCCATCTTGGTGCACATACTACGGAAGCGCCAAAAACTTTCATTGGATACGTATATTGAAAGTGCAAAAAATGGCATGGATCCCTTCACTGGTTAATTGACCTCACACTGCACTCATTATGTGAAAATCGTTGTAGACAATGAAAAAACAGAACAACCAGATTTTGTATCAGCCCATTATTTATATCTACAACCAATAAAAAGAAAGCAAACTGGTTGTTTTTATTCTGGTTCTAATATCATGGCAACTTTGATTTGATAATCGAACATTTTTATTTTCGGAGACTTTGTGACTGAATTAAAGACACAATTTGGAATCTCTCTTTCTGTTTCATTTCAACTAATAATTCAAAAGACTGATGCTAAATCAGTTCCAGAGTAACAACAACAATAAATAAAAAATGTTATAATTGTACGTGAGAGTATATTTTATTAGGTTAAAGTGTTCATATATATCATATAATATGTAGAGTTATTGATAATCCACACAAGTTAGTAATAAGTATGTATATATATACTAGATATGCCGATATCTCTTTTTTGTCGATACCGATACTAATATATGGGTACATTTCTAGTAAGCACTAAGCATAGTTTCTTAATAATCGAGTTTCAAAACGTGAACTGCACATATTTGAAATTAAGCTGAAAAAAAAAAACCCAGCAAGATATAGGTATTACTAGCTTGGTATTGGACGATTAGAACGGCTATGTTGTGTCAAAACAAAAACGCTGTTATGCGTAAAGGCCATGGGTTCTTACGTCAAAGTCATTAGCTTCTATTTCATGCTATTGATCGAATCAACTGTGCAGACCTGTTGAATACACACCTGTACAATCTCTCTCATCAGATCCATCGTCGCAATCTTCAATGAGGTCACAATACTGATGTAAGGAGATGCAATTGGAATCAAAATCACCGCATTTCTTTTTGAACGATTCACATTCTAAAGTTGAAATATCTTTTTAATAAATGATTATATAGAGTATAGACAAAATGAAAATTGGACAATTACCGGTACCACCTCGTCTCTCACGGTGGTCAAATTCAATTTTATAAGTGTCAGGGCCAAATTTATATCTTGAACGCATATCGAAATTTTTAGAACAAATGCTCATAAAGCAAAAGGCAAAAACCTAATATCTTTGTGAAAAGTGTGAGTCACTTTGACGCTATTCATCAAAAAGTATTGTAGGCTTTTGGCGCAGAATAGACACTTTTTATTATTTGAAAACGGTTAATCAACAGCTAATAAATAATTTGCACAATGATGCATCGATTACATCGCTTATATATAATATCAAAATTCCGTCTATATCAAAATAAAAGAAAAGGTGTGATTTTATTTATTTTTCTAAATTGATGATTGAGGGGAAGAAAGGCATTGAAGCCACAGGTTTATAATCTCTGGTTCAAAGTTTAGCCCGACGCTTCACCCAAAAACTAGGTACACTACAACGCACTGTAAAGATTTAGGCACCCTAAAAACATATAAGCACTTTACGTTAGGCATCTCAATCAGTCTTCAAATTGGTGGTACCTTGGTAAGTGTGGCAACCATTTTCACTCACATGGAGTGTCAGTGTGTACGTTCCAACAACTCACCATTGAAGTAATAATGTTAAATATTTCATGTATAAGGTCTGTGAAGTCATTTATCAGTACTAAAACTACGTGAAACCACGACTTGCAACAAATAAGGCTTGTAATGATGATGAAATGTTTTCTAAATACCACGGCTCAAATAAAAAAAGGATTACGCTTTGATGCACTGAGTATTAGTTGGGCTATCGGAACAGTTTTTGACCGATTGTCGAACTGTTGTTATGAGATGTAGAGTAGGCCGTCCGCTTAAGAATTCGTAGATCTCTTGGCTACTAAAGTATAAATTACCAAAGCATCCCTCTTCGTCAGATTTGTCGGGACAATCAAAATTTCCATCGCAAACTTCAGAAGGGAAGACGCAAGCTGTTTCTGATTTACATTTGATACGATCACCACAATCTGAACAGAAAAACTTCAATAGTTTAAATTTTGGTCAGGATTGAATTCATCCGGGGAAATACTACTATCTAAAAGCGTGATCAAGAACATAAAACTTATTAATTTTATTAATTAATTTAAACTAGGAAATAGCAAAAACAGGACGAGTCTTTGATGATCTTTCTGGCTACAGTACAATAACGCTATTTCTTCCCACTTCTTACTGCTCGCAAACACCGAGTACTGTTTATCAGTATTGAGGGAATCAAGCTATTGACTCGACTCGGATAACCTTTATTTAATTAAGGCTATAATATAAAATCCAAGCCTTAGTGTCAATTTGACTCATATTTATCATTTAATTGTTGCTTATGAAATTTACCATTACTCAAATTTCGACTCAGGAGTGCAGTGACTGGCCTTGACTCGGGAGTCGAGAATGTGGTGACTCGATTTGGATGCCTAACCTAAAAATGTTTTGTCCTGACTAGAGACTCGTTTCGACCCAGGGTTAGAGGAATTGTATCCAGCACTGCTGTTTAGACTTGTTCATTGAATTCATATTCAAATTACCGTATTCTTTGCAATTCATCTCGTCTGTCCCATTTTGACAATCAATCTTTCCATTGCACCGAAAATAATCAGGCTTGCAAATGTTGTCGCACTTGAAATGATACTTCTCACAAACTTTTCAACAAAACAAAAATATATTAACACCAGTGCGTCGTTAGAAAAATACAATTTTCTGTATCTATGCCTATATAAGCTACAACTTGGACGTATGGAGGTATTGCATTTGGGATATTTTTGCATAGTCATAGTTTTCTCATGGGGTGAGGTTGTGGATCGCTTGGCTGACTACGATTATAACTGGGCATTTCCGAATACCTGATGATTTAGGAATCGAGATCCGAAAATTACAGAAAAAATCGAATCCATCACTCAGACTGTTCGCCCAGCGTTCAGGTACAGTAAAAAACATGTTCATCAATATTTCAAAATTGCAATTTACAAACAAAACTTGATTGAGGGATTCGCCGCGACCTTTGACGGATAAAAAACAAGATGGCGGCGATTCAAATAATTAACTACGATTCAAACACGATCTCTCTAATATGTAATGTTTAACGCAGTATTCAAGGAATATTGATCCATTTTAACAAAATGATCGAATTGGTTTAGACGAAGATTTCGAATCGCAGCTATCTTGTTTTTCGTGGTGAATTCCTCAATTATATATATAACTCTTATTTCTATTGAGTTATTGATGAAAAATGTTCATTATTGTACGTGACAAGTCAGCGAACTGTCTGAGTGATGGATTCTATGTTTTCAGTAATTTATGTGCCTAAAGGACCCATCACAACAAAAAAGTCACATTCAATTGATCATCTTCTAAGTGTTCGAGATTCGATTCGATTCTAAAATCATTAGATATTCGACTATGCCACAGCCTCAGGTCAGAGTAGACAAAAAATAACGTTGTGTCTACGTTGGTAATGTAATAGCTGTGGAAATAAATTTTGTAAACAACAAGCTTCATAAATGATTCTGACAATCCCAAAGTACAACAATAAATGTTACCAGCTTTGGCACAGTTGTTTTCATCTTCCCCATTCTTGCATTGTTCTATGCCATCACACAACATGTCCCTAGTAATGCAGAATTCTAATCCAGGTGGCAATTGACTGCTGTCAAACAGGCACAAGCCTTCGTCGCAAACTAGAAAAAAATATAATTGTGGTGAGCAAGTAAAAAAAGTAGATTCATTCAGAAATTGGAACCATTCGCGTGATGGAGCTAAAAGAGCATGATTGAAAAAAACTTTTACTTCAAATTAATTGGCGATCAATAATAATTCAATAAACTAATTGTGTTCTTTGTAATATATATATTAGGAAAGATACATAAAAAATCGGATAACAAATCATAACATAGTATTACATACCAAGCTGTGATGACACCTCTGAATCTGTAAGTAGTTAAAATTTCAATATTTTAAACATTCAAGGGTAAATATTCACACAATTCATTATTTTTAAACTCCAATATATCATATAAAACATGTTTGAGGGGAACTCAAAAAAGTCTAAAAATCTTTTTATATCCTGCTTATTTTTTTATTCCAGGCGATGCTTACAGCACATCATTTTTGCTTAGTTTGTTGGGATCGATTTTTGATAACGGGTCGCTGAGTAAAGGAACTCATCTGCATCTTGAAAAAGCGGTGTCATCAAGAAATGTAGTAACCACGTTGGTATAAGAAAGTGGGAATCAACTTTTGTATTTCATAATGGTTATTCTCACTTTGATACCGAATCAAATTAGTTTTTTCAGACTGAAGCTCCGCGGACGCTATATACCTATATTCAATTTGAGGCGCTCCAGAAGTGTGTGTATCCATATGGAGGTAACTAATTTTGTTTGCCTACTTTACATCAAGTAGTGTAAAGAAACTGATTACTATGAACAGAGGGTGTATTCCCTTGGCTATAATACAGACAGTCCCCGAACTCGTAATAAAACTAAAATAAGGAAAATCGGAATAAAATTATGGCCTAGCCCTAACCTGGTACACATACTACGGGAGTACCAATTTAATTCAAAAAAGTGAAAATAGTCGACCGGAAAGAAAAAATTTTAAAAAATATATATGAAAGTTATAAATATTTTACAGAAACTTAACTATTATCTCCTACATTTATTTCTGCCGAAGGAAACGGCGTGAGATTCTCTTGATGTAGTGGCGTGCAGGGTGTGTGCCTCCCATGTCATACTTTATTGGGCCATATATTTTAAGGGCAACATTCGAATTATTTATAATTAGAATTTTACTCGAAAAAATGTATCCAATTATTTTGAAAAAATTATGGAAATTCAAAATCACAAATAGAATGTCTATATATCATGTCAAATATACTTTATAATAAGCAGCAACACTTACCGAGAAGTAAAGCCGCCAGAAACAGTCCGAAAAATATCTTCATGTTAACTTTCTCCGCAAAATATTTTTTACCCAACGCCCTCTTTGCCTATCTCCAGAATAACCCAAAACATAAGAAACTTTGAGTTTTATTGTCATTTTCCTACACTTTATGCTCGTATTTTTTTGTACATAATTTAGTACAAGAAAGTTTATATCCTTTGCCCACGTTTAATGGTGTACTGGTCGAAAGTGGCAAATTAGTATGGGGAAACGCCCGACCTCGACTCGAAAATTACTGTCAACAACTTTCCACACAAAAGAGTGCCGTTCGCGAGTAGAGCCATAACAAATTTTGTAAAAATTCGCTTTTTACTCCATCCAAAAATTTCAAAAAATTCATAACCAATCAAGCGTATCAAATTTTAAAAAATCGATTCACTACTCAGATCAGCGGCTTTTGGCCATTCCAGTTCTGAACTGAACTTTTCGCTTAGATTTGGTATGAAACTTGATTTGTAACAGCACTAATATCATATCGGAGAACTCGATTAACGAACGAGTATTGAAATAGTACTTTGACTTCAATAACATTTTTGAATGCTTATTTATTCTTGAAAGAGACGCATAAAGACAAAGAGCAACGGGTTTTTCCTTAACCACGAGTGGGCATTGATAATAATCTTAATACATTTTTCAAAATTTTTGTATCAATTTGCAATAATAGTAGCATTCACCTATTTTTGGACCTTCAGATGTATGTACACCAAGGTGGCACCAGTTGAACAATGCAAGAAAAAAATAGAAAAAAAAAGCAAAGTTTAGATATGCAAATTTTTTTTTGCGTTTCCTGAAAATATACATGCTTGGTTAAATATTTACATAAAAATTGTATATGCTTTGAGGAATACGTTAACGTTGTTTTTGCGGCGACGCAGAACGCTTTTGACACATCTCCGTTTCCTCAAAAATAAAAACAGCGAATCATTGTTTTATTTTACCCAACTTTTTTGGAATGTTGTCGGTGCGGAATGTTTTTACTGCCTTATAAACCCATACATGCAAATATATATGAGCAGGCGCTCTATTGCCGAGAAAACTAAATTATTCTCATTCAATGTTCTTGTTTGTTTTTTCAAAAATAATTTATCACTGCCATCAATTGCAAATAAGAATCTGATGAAATTTTATTCCAGCTATTTACCAATATAAAACACAAACAGACTAATTTAACACAAACTCACGTGTTTCAACGAACCTGAATGCAATGAGATATGATATTGTATTCCTGTTATAAAGAAAATACTATAACATCTAGAAAGTTAAGCTTTGATTGTCGGTTTGATTGATTTCTCGGCGGTCCAGAAGTGTATGTACCAGTATGGAGGTAACTAATTATCTTTGCCTACTTTACATCAAGTTGTGTAAAGGGGCGGAAGCCTATGGGCAGGTGGTATATTCACTTAGCTAACACAGAGAGTCCCGAATTCGTAATAGAACTAAAATGAGGAAAATAGAAGTAAAATTATCGTCTAACCCTAACCTGGTACAAATACTACGAGAGTACCGATTTCTTTGCAAAAACAAAACAAAAAATATTTTTAGTGAAACTCAAATGGTATGGATAGCATAAGAAGTCATCATGCATGAGTTAAATTATCCTTCAATATTTGAACTGAAAGTTTCAAAATTTCCAAGCTTAAATACCGATGGTTTGTAAATATCACGATAGTTGTATCTCGACATCACATCATAATTCACTTTTTCTTGTTTGAAATCAGTATTGAATGCATCAGTATCCACCCTTGATCTGGGTAGAATCGTGATACGTTAATTCATTTTATCGCTGGATAATTTCAAATGTTATCTATTAATATTGTATTAATAGTTATCTTAGTAAGACCTTTTGTTTGTCTTCGTCATTCAGGACAATCATTAACGAAAACTGCGCGATGGTAGTTAACGTACTGTGCAGTTTTGCCTTCCGTACATAGTATTCCAACATTAGGCTAACTACCGTAAGCATGTGCAGGCTGACATGGACTTAAATATCCCTACGTAATTATATAGTTAGAACGTGATAATAGATAGCATTGAATCCTTTATTTTGTGTTGTGTATCCGATTAGGGTGTAATTGTACGGAACTGCTATTTCTGTTTAGTTTAGAGTTACATTCAACATAACAGGAACGATTTTTGATTTCTATGTGATCCATATTTCAAAGCAATTCTTATTTGCTCCGTTACTAAGTGCAATAACAACAAAATTCAACTTAATTCAATGCTTTTGATCATATATTTCATTTGATTGAAATGCGATCCAACGTCTGACATCATCATTTATAGAATATAATACAATACACATTCTTTATGACAATTATGAACACGCTTTGTTAAATTCGAATGAAAAGCTTCTTTAAAGCTAAGATTGTTACAGACATTAAAAGCGAAGGAAATTTCACTTGAAGGGGTAGTTGACAGTAGATTATGTATTAATATTATGCTAGAAACAATTGTATGCAATTGAATATATTGCAAGTGAATAACAAGACGTTTACCAGCAGTTTGGCAAAATGAAAGGCCACGACATCAATTGTGTGAAGTGCTGGTTAAATTAAGTATCTCAAATGCAAGTCGAATATTAATCTGGGTGATGACGTTACCCGATTGCGATAATTGCATGGATGTCTGAGGATTTCAATCTTTTAGTGCGATACCAAAGTAAACAATACCATGCCAAACAAGTCAACGATATTAAGCGACTACCTTAGGGATTAGCATTGGTTTATTAACTTATAATGTAATAACTAATTTGGTTCTGTAATATGATCGAAGAGAAACATTGAAATGCAATATTTGGCATCCAAACTTAACCCTCATTTGAAAAGATTGTTTGTGACTTTGCTCAGATTGTGTTAAAGGTGAAAAAATGGTTAGTTGTTTACCTGAATGCTCACAATAATGCAATCACAAGGTGCTTATTTTGTAAATATATCATTATTTACTGACTACTTCACAACTAGCTATTCCGCAATTCTTTTTATAGTATCTGGCAATCATCAAACGTATGCTTGTTGACCCCAGGTATTGCTTAATATAATATTTGTACACGACTCTTGTTATCGAAAAGTCGTAAGTCATTCAGTGGACCAACGAGGTATATGCTTATGATATAGGAATGTGAGAATTGTGAGCCAGTTATGTAAATAGGTTGTTTCATCTATGAATATGGTATGATATGAAATTTTGATAAACCGAGTGTAATTTGTCAGGGCTGGTGTCATTTCCAAGAAAGATTTTATACGATTCATTAGTTTCTTTGTGTTATCATCGCCTATTTATCTCTTAGCGCGATTTAAACAAATTGGTTTTGCAAATTGATTCACATACATTCAAGATATTCGGGAATTCGGCAGCGTCCGCTAAATCGCAGTATCACCGTGGTTTAATTTTCTATTTTAAAAGACAACTGAAACAATCTCATTCAAGAAATATATTGTTTTTATATTATTAACAATCAAAGTTTCGAATTATAAAGCTATTTCCTGTTTTTACTACTTTTTGTTACTTCAAACTTCATATAATCAAGCGTGATTCATTGATGGTGCATTCAGCCTTAGTGTGGAACTTGGCCCGAACTACATCCTAGCCCAAACTGAATTATGTTTGTAACAAAAATATGTGCGAATATCTATTGCTTTTTATGAATGAATTGCTGTGAACAGTAGGCAGCAGCTGTAGTGGCATTAGGATGTCATATTATGGTCCGTAGAAGCAATTGTACTATTCCGATACAAGATTCAACAATATTTGTTCGTTCATAAATAATGTGGTTTCTCAAGAATGTCGTGTTCCTTGTTGTCACACTTGTCCTGAACTATAGCGTGGATTCAATTTCATATGCTGACTTTAATCATTTGCTCCACAATCTATGTTTACCTTAACTCATAACAGTGGGATAAGTGCGCTAAGAAAGGGACAAGTGTGGGAAGAGTGGGGTGCGATATTATTGGAAATAATATATACTAGAAACCGACAGAATTATTTTAATATGAGATTTTTGCGAATTCACGCACCCCCTTGGAAATGTTTTGAAGTCAGTAGGGTATCGCGGTTGTTACTTTCCTTTTTTGCTAATTGATCATTGATTTGCTCTCAATAAACATAAAATACAGAGTCTCGAGTAATCAAATGCAACATTATACTAAATTCTTGTTGTCAGCAATTCTGATAAATAATATAATGATCATCCCGTGTGATGACAAAATCTATACCATTGCTTGTATATCACCAGGGAAGCAGTAGTATTTACTTTTCATATTACTTTCAGTCTGCGATTTTTTTGTTATAAATAACCGTAAAGCAATATTTATGGCCGATTTACCTAATGTGTACTCTCAACAATTTATCTATGTTTTCGTTTGATAATATTCGAGATAACGTCTTTTGCGATACGAATTTATATAACTTAGTATTTATTTAAATTCTCACTAAATTTTTTGTAATCAAATTTGTATTCGTTTTACTTCATTTAGAACTAGAAATAAGATCAATAAAAATGAGCGAAAACGGACACGATAAAGACGGTCATGGCGATTCCATGGAGTTAATGGAAAAACATAATAATGGAGTCAAATATAAAAGACCATCTTTTGAAGAGGTAAGCCATGTTTTAGGTTTTTCAATTGAACCTATTAGCCACGAATGAAATATTTCCTACATATGATTTGCCCCAGCAGGGTCACGATGGTTAAGATTGCAAGCCCACCAAAAATCGTGAATTGCAAGTTATTCATATCATCGTTTTCTTTTTAATTAAAAAATTTCAGCATCAAGAAAATAGTATTTTTGTGTCAACATTTCACACATGTAGAGCATTTATTATCCGTACTTTTATTATGCTTCAGGATGAACCTCCTGCTGCAGTCAAAAAACTCTCGGGATTGACTGTGGTAACAGCTGTTCTCTTCATCACTGGTGAAATGACAGGAAGTGGTGTATTGGCGTTGCCGAAAGCCGTGAAAGACGCTGGATGGGTGGGTACTGAACGTTAAGATTTGACAATATAAAACCTAATTTAACAGAACGTCTTAGTTCTGAGCCTTTCTTTGGACCAAATTCAAGTCTCATCCTACATATACAACACTGACCCAAACCAAATTCGAATTATTCGAATTTCATAGGTTCAAAAGTTCAGAATTCAAAATATCCTGATTTCATTAATCAGTTTCCATTAATTTGACACCACATGTTATCTAATTTCAAATTGGTGGCGTAAAAAGTTTTGGGCAATCTATCTCTTTTCTGATTGTAAATTCGAACCTGTTTACCCAATCCTTACGTTTATGATTCTGATCTACCAAGTATAGGTAGAAATGAAAACATCATCTATATATTATTTATATATTATATTTTATTAGCGTGTTCCATATTAGATAAATTTTGACAATAGCTTGATTTTTGAAAACTACACAAGATGTTTACTCTCTGATATTGCAATGTAAAATTTACTTTTTTAACTCCTTATGTGTGTTATTGGTGATAGGGACCACACACATTCGCGAGATAAAATTTCTGAGAATTACAACAATAATTGTTTAAAATTTTCTCATTACTTTGTTTATTAATTTTACTACAAAATAAGTGGGCGCGTGTGCTGAAAATGTTATCCTTTATTCGTGTCGAATCAGTGATATTTACGAGCGTTCTAAATTTAATTTTTTTAATCCGTAATGGGGTTTGGGATAGACACTCCCTTGTTCGGGTAAAATTGTAGCCAAAGAAGTTTTTGTGTAAAACAGGGCGCGTAGATTAGTGCGCTAACAGATTCTGAAAATGAACCCTTACAACTTGGCTAGTTGTCGTACAATGGTGATTTTTAAATGATTATGTTGTTTGCTTCAATATTACTGAGAACTCAACGAATAAAATAGAAGATAGCTACTTCTGATCGCATGACTGCTGGGTCTACAAAATTTGACAAAACTAATTAATTTCTCATTATCGAAGAATTTTTTCATGAGTTTTTGGACGATAGTTAACTTTTAACACTTAATGTTCAAGGTAATATTTTTGCTTTGAATTAAAGTTTACTGTCTCAAAAACTTTTGTGCTAGAGATCGACCAGGAAGATATAGTGCTGGATTCATTCATTATTATCTTCTTATTTTTGATAATTCTATAAAACTGGAGTCTTTAGGACTTTAAAAACAATTAGTTCCTATAATATAATGCTTTGGGTAAAACTATCATTCATATGCCGTTTTGTTATCTTCACGGTCTATTGTCATTTAAAGTTATTTTGATTTGCATGCAGTTCAAACAAAACTTATCGGAATCTTGCTAAGATCACGTCGCAATTTGATGAAACGCTGACCACCACAACTTGAAATTAAATTGGGCGATCACAAACAAAGTCGTAAACAATTGGAGAAACTCAAACAGATCATTTCGTTTGTCATCTTGACAGCGCGTGTGATCAGCCCAATAAACATGATGATTTTTATATTTATTATAGTTTTTTTTTCCCAAAATTTGTGTTTGCTGAATTTATACTTCAGCTCGAGCTTGCCTTAGATATTTCTGGACGAATTGTAACTTTGATTCAATGATAAATTTTTCAGTTTCCTTTGAAGAAATTCTAACATTGGCTACATTAGAGGATATCAAGTTAAATTGTAATCTTGCGTAACTAAAACTTTTTACCGTAACGTGAACAGTAACAATATAATTGCGGTTAGTCATTCAATTGGGCATAAGACGTTCATGGATCATTGCAAAGGCCCAGGCCATCTAGTCTAGGGTGTATATGTAGCATTGAAGTATTTCTCACCGGATATAATTAAAAGCTACTACAGGTAGAATTCACCGATTATTGTATTTTTATGAATGTCTCGTCTCTCTTTTTATGAACTAGCGTCTCGCTGCGGTTTTCAGCATAATAGTGCTTTGTGTACACTGTAAATTAGGAACGCTGTAAAATGCATACATTGAAATTTTCTCACGTATTCTTTATTAATATGTGATATGCAAACTTTTGGTAACTATACTGGAATGCTATTTTTGTGTGTTCTGTGTTTGTTTTATTATGTGCTATGGTTCACCATTGTCATTGTCGCCATTAAAATACACAACTAGATTAAGTATTTCGCTGCATAATTGAAGCGTGTTATCATCAACATCTTTTTACAAAATAAATATAATAAAATATAATTGTAAACGAAAAAATTAGAAAAACGCGGACTGTTCCTTGGAGCCTAATTTAAATCTAGTTTTGGACTGTGAAATCTGTTACTGTTTGGTATAAATGTTTGAACATTGAAGGCCAAGCCCAAAGCGTTGAGTGTTTTTCATAATTAGTCTGTGCAATTCATAGATTTCCATAATTTTATATTTCCAGATCGGTATATTTCTGATATTCATGTGTGCCGGAATTTCCTCGTTCACTGGATCAGTTTTGGGAAGATGTTGGGCTGCGATTATAAGAAACAGACCTGAGCTTGGTCGCCATTGTCAAGATCCGTATCCGACTATAGGAATGGAAGCTTTCGGAAAAGTTGGGAGGTAATATTTACTGAATTGAATCGCTGGAGAGCCTAGGCTTCAAGCCAAGACGTCATTCTCTCAGTCAGTAAAGTTACAGATTTGCAGCCAATGGATTACTAACTTGTAACATCTTTTGCTAACATTATGCCAATATGACATTATCTAAATTGAACCTGTATTGCGGAGTAATCAAGTTTTTTAATCGGTGCACACTAAACAAAATATTTAAAAGTGGCTTTAAGTTGTAAGATTCCATCAGCGCGTTTTTTGCACGTGTAGAACGTTTTCATTGGTCGACGGAAAAGTACGACGGCACACGCCCATTTGCGTCTGTGTCGCCTGATAGCTTGACATATATCGAATGACAACTTGCGCGAGGTTAACTCCGATCATACATTTATTTATAACACAAAAGCTTTTCCATTGGCCCTATATATTACCGCTTTGTTTTGTTTTCAGAATAATTGTCAACATTTCTGTGTATTTTACATTATATGGTGTGTGCGTAGTCCTGCTTCTCATTGCATCTGGAAACATACAAGGACTTTTATCCCAGGTGGGCGGTCATCGTTTTCTATGACCTTTTATGACCTATCTCTATAGACTTTTGTATTTATATGTATGTAAATAAATAAGGATCAGCTTAATAGGACATGGTGTCAAATACCACCATAGTGTTCCGTTCACAAACCTGAGTTTTGTATTAATTAACTTCCCAACATATTACACCACAATTATTAAAGGACTCAACTTGTCAGTTTACTTGGGCTCCATATGTGACCATGTATCAATTCAATTCGCGTAAAAAATGTAAATTTTTCTATTCGACTTAGAATAAATATTTTTTATTTGGCAGCATTCTTATTATTCTCATGTGTGTTACTGTTTTGTTATGGATGATTAATTTTTTTTAAATTTATATTTATTGGAAATTAGGTGAATGTCGATATGTCTCTATGTTACTGGGTTATGATAATTGGAGGAATATTAGCTCCGTTCTGTTGGATGAGCAGTCCGAAAGATTTTTGGTGAGATCAAAAGAAATTTTTGGTTTTATTTTTGTGGCAAATATTCAAGACTGGTGGCATCTATTATACTTACAAACAATTTTTTTCTTTATTTGTCGTTTTCCGGCTCCTTAAAGAAAAGATTCAGAAAATTAAATTATGGCGTCGCCATGTAAAGCCCATACTAAAACCAAGGAAAACTATTGCTCTGTATAAAAATGTGAACATGCTGTACGCTCGCGCTAAAAGAATTGCTTTCAACGAGCTTCGATATTTCCGCTTTCTGAAAGCTTTCAAACCAATAATATTTATCATGATGCCGATGATTTGATTCGGTAATTTCTTTCTCATGGCGATACTGTATTTAAATCAATAGATGGCGCTTTTATGTCACTGTTAGCGTTCAGACGAAAAACTGCAAATACATTGAATTGAACAGGAAAAACGATTCATGCGTGTATATGATTAAACTCACGTTCAACTTGATGAATGGCTGTGACAAACTTACTCTACACTAAACAAAGATCTTATCAGACATGATAACATAGCGTGATATAATGCAGACTGAATTTGAGAACGACGTGTATATTTGAACTCGAATATAGAAGATTATAACTTCAATGTTGGACATTGACATTGTGATACATATACATTCAAAATAATTTATAACGATTTGGCCGCTTTTACGGTATAATTGACAGTGAGTGACAAAAAAGTCTTCATTCTCATGATAGAATCAACTTGGTTAGTTTGGTAATGGTGTTATCGTGGTATCTTATAGGAAAAACGGCTCTGAAAATATATTACTAATTTTTGTGCCTCACAATTTCTGCAAGAAAACAAATCAGTGTGATCAGACTAATGCGGTTTGTTGACAAATCTCTCTCTGACACGGTCATAAATCGAATGCCAAGTTGTAAACTCGAATCAGGAATTTTTTCTTACAAACTCTGGAAAGTTGAAGTGAAATATTCCAATTATCGTTGAACAACGTATCAATGTTTACTATCTATTCTATAAATGGATTCACTTTGATTACGTTCCATAAACTCTGGTTCCTTGAATTAGTTGAGTCAACTCTTGATTATGCATCATTAAACTATTGAAAATGATATTATTTTAAAATGATAAGGATACAATTTTAATCTATTCACCAAATATCTTAAATGATAAAATAACCCAATAAAACAAAACTTTGCGAATTGTTTTGAAATTTATCTTAGTTGTAAATTCCACCTGTAAAAACTAAAACGTTCTTTATTTAGTAATTTTGAATGTATGAAAAAGTAAGAACGGTGCCATGGCTCTCTTTTTAGCCAGAAGTGAGGCAATATTCGCACGTATTTGGCCACACCTTAAAAACCGATTCTTGATCAAAACAGACTCAAGTTATCTCCCAATCTGGACGAATCTTTAAAAATGCGCCAAGCCATATGTTGGCTTATGTTGTCACAGTTGTACTCTGAAAGTTCGTATGGTAACATTTTCTCTTCGATCATGACATTTTTTTCCGACGTCTCGATCGTGTTCGGGCATCGTGCCAGTATTTTAAGGAATGGAATTCCCACTATGGCTCAATCAAAAAAAAAACTCGTAACTGTTTCTTGGTAATTAAAACAGTGAAATGATAGTAAAGTTGTACTACGTGCACAACAACAGCCGTTTACAAGCTATGTTCATATATGTTCCGCGCATGTTACTTTAATTCGGAATTTTAACGTAAATATTATTTTTAGGCCAATTGCTCTTGGTGCAACATTAACAACAGCTGTGGCATGTGTGCTGATTTGTATTCAAGCCATTATGGACATTGAACGCGCGAAAAACGAGACTGAAGCCTATTACACAGAGCATCCAGGTATAGGTTCTGTAAATAGCATCACTATAATAATTGTACGCTTAAAATCAAGATTTTGTTCATTAGTTTTCTGTTACACATTAAAATATAAAAAGCCTTCGACTTAATCATGTAGCATTTCCACAGACTGATCGCCAAAAATGTGTCAGATGCATAAGGATGTTAATTTAATTATTTTTACACCCGAAAAATAAAAAATAAAATCTATTAATTCATATGTTTATTTTTTTGGATCGAACCATTAATTTATTTTTGTTATGTCTCCGCTTCGCCTAATGAATTGTTATCATTTATGTTCCAAGAATATACTCAATTATATTTAGCAAACTTTTTTCTTTTTTCAACTTTTTGAACCAATTAGGAAGGAAATAGATTCTGATATATACTAATTGCTTTTTGCTTAATATGTATATCTTTCGCGATTTGTAATCACTTATGTTAACCGTAATGGGTTTCGGATCTATGAACCGGTCAAGTCTTATAGTTTGCAAATTTACGACTAATGAGGCAAAATCAAAACATCGTCCAATAATTAATCAATCACCACACCGTTACTGAAACCATTTGATAAGTTGCGTTTCAAAACTGCTATGAATGGCGAATTATATGAATTGTTTCATCGTAATGGTAAGAAAAATGCACTTCCAGAATTTTTACATTCAGTCAGACTAAATCTAGTGATTCACCATTTATATCGGAGGGAGTCTTAATTTTGACATTTGTACATCAGCTTTGGATTGATTGAACTACGCACTTCACTGAATCATCACTGAAACATAAATTAGTAGACTCACTTACGTCAAATGCCATGGATAGAATTTAAGGAGAGAATATGCCTTTAACAATAATTTCTGGTGTTTTAAAGGTGCATTATTGGAGGGCAAAATCCTCACTGGCATTTATTTCGTGCCAAAATACGGACAATTGCACATTAGGTCTGGTATAAATAGACAACGTATTTTCTGAAAATGTTAAAATAAAAATAACATATCATGCCACATACGAAGGTGAAACGTATCAGGGTGGTGGTTATGCTTTTCATCGTATTTGAATAAAATTTAATTCAACCTCCAGACTGTAAGTTACAGAGTATTAAATGGAAAGCAAAAATAAAATAAAAAAATTTGAACGTGATAAGCCATTGACATATAATGGAATAAGTTAGTCTGACTTTTTCAAAGAAAAATTCTATAATCTGATCAAGTTAATATATCATACGTGAAATTATATTATGCAATATTAACATTGTTTTAGTTGAAATTTTCGACATCAAAAACGGACTTTGATAAACTCGAAATTAAAAATGAAATCGTTGCCGTTTCGTTGAAAGCTGCCACGTTTTCTTTATATCTTTCATAAGATCTGTGAAATGTCGTAAATTCCATATCAGATGACTCTCATGACCATTGCCTTACCAAAGTTATTATAGAAAAAAAAAAATCACGCATTATTTAATGCATGAATGAGGATTCCATATGAATCGTTCAAACTGCTATTTCGTCATGCCCTAAGCTCTCCATTTTCTGCAAAATCACTGTGATCAGTCATGGGTGTCATTTCCAAACAAAATAAAATATCAATTCAATACTTGAACTTCGAGTCAAAGATGCGCACCAGTGTAAATGAAATTGTATGTTCGAATCGGTAATTTTGGGGAATTTCTTTTCTATTTTCTTGTCTGAAAATTATAACAATAGTGTGTAAGCTATTAATATGTAATATTATGTAAGTTTTGTATCGCCATTCCAAGCATATTCAAAATGGAATGAAAATGTTGGGTACTCCCGTAGTGTGTGTATCAGGTTAGGGTTAGGCCATAATTTCATTTCGATTTTACTTATTTTAGTTTTATTACGAGTTCGGGGACTGTCTGTGTTAGCCAAGTTAATACAACCCTGTCCATAGGCTTCAGTTTCTTTACACAACTTGATGTAAAATAGGCGTAAATTAGTTACCTCCATATTAGTACATACACTTCTGAAACGCCATAGTTTGTGCATATGTATTTGTTCAAATACACATTGCCGGTTCCACAATAACTTTCTGGCTTATGGTAAATTGGATGGCAGTTCCACCAGACAAATTGGCGTAAGATATTTCAAAACTAATTGCATAAAATTAACTATGAACAAATCTGACTAGTTGGTAAGATTGTAAATTACATAGTTGAACAAATTCCAATTTATTTACTACAGTAACTGCTAACGAGTTTCGTTGTAACATTTTTTTTGCAAATTCCACTTCGCTGCAATTTATCACGATTATGTAATTTCATTCAAAATGCAAATGGCTGCAAACTTTTCCATGACATTAGCATATAACATGATCATTAATAAGTCTTTTTTTATTTAAACTCTGCCAAATATCAATATTGATCAATAAATGACAAGTAATGGTTCAGATTTAGACATTGCTACGAAGGTATATCTAACATATTGACACTAGAAACACAGTTATAAATTTAAAACAGAATTCAATAAATGAAAACGTACTGTTTCTTATCTATCAGCCTTAATACTGAAGCATGGTTTAAATTTAAAGTTAGTAATAGATATTTAATCCTTTTTTTTAAATACGCAGAATGCCTTTATTGTATTCTTCTACTAGATAAAATTTCGAACTCTAACGTAAAATTGGAAAAGTGCCCACAGTTTTTAAAAGTACGATGAGTACGCTTCAATCATTCTTATTTTTTGAACTTGACCTTATTTGTACATATATATTTATAGAATCTTTTTTTATAATTTTTCATCAATGCTAGTCTGATTGATATTCAAATGAACGGATTGATTGAATAGAGAATGCAAAAAGGAACAAACACGTTTGTCAGTATGAATCGTAAAAAAAATCAAAGTGAATTTAGATAAACCTACATGATATGACATTGTCACAAAATTGTTTGTAGGCTTGCAGCCATACATACACTATTTTAAGTGCACGTGCCTTACTAGCGGGGACACTGAAAATCGTGACTTTTTTTATAAATGTTTTTATGCTAATTTCCACCTTTTCAACTTTCATATCCACATTCAATGACCCAACAAAACACTAGGGGGATATTAAGTTAAAAAACTTGAATCTTGCTGTTCGAATATGACTAATGCAATAATTCAGAATAAATTATTTAATAATTATAAGATGCGTAAAATACGATTATATGTCCTTCAAAATATCGGTTATTGCTACAAACCTTTGTAATTCGCAGAATTTGCAATTTCTCTCAACGTGTACTTAATATAACCATATTATGTGTTTATTATAAGAAAATATATAGTTATTTATACGCCCCAAACATGGATATAAATTTAAAATACCCAAAACAATATTTGATATTATCTTTTTCGTAGTAAGGTAGTAGTACAAGTTTGTACAACAATACGTTTACAATTAGGTACAGATACAAGCGTAGACAGTAACTCTGTCGTTTCATAGCGTTTGTACTTCTAATACAAGCTTGGTTTTACACAAACAAAGACATATTTTGTTTGTTATATCTGCAAATATTATTCTCGCCATCTCAACCATATTATGAGAACTAAAAATATTAAGTGTATTTACTGTGGTTCCATCATCATGCAAAATTACGAAGAAATTTAGTTAGTTTCATTTCACCCCAGTATGTAATTATTATTGTGCAGTCATACTTGATCAGAAGGTAGCTTCAGTATGCCTTACTTGGTGGTAAAAGGGATTTATTGACGATTTTCACGATCTTTACAATAGTAATACTATTGCATAATATTTGTTTGCCTTGCCTCCGTACACACGATATATGTTTTAATCATTTTATGCGGTTTTTGCGTCGATTAAAGTATTCCTGTAATCAGCTCTGGTGTAGGATGGGTTCCACCGAACGTGCTATTGTGAATCCTAAAAATCGTGACTTCTTTTATTAAGAGAAATGTGTAGAAATATTTTTATTTCATGTGGTGGTACGCCAATACATGTTCTTATTTTTATCACGTCCCACTATTTTAGGCACTCTATGTAATTTAAGGATGTTGCTGGTAAACGATATATTGGTATATAAAGGTGTGGTGAATTTAACTGCGACGTAACAATCTTGTTGATTTACTACTTCGGCAGATGTCATAAATCAAACATGATCTGCAAGATTGTTTGGTGCAGGGAAGGACTGCTGCGTGTTTGCCTCTGCGGCTTGCTATATACATACAATCTTTATAAAGTCAATGACAGCAATACTTTTTATTCCATTTATTTACATGAAATGATATAGAAAGATGAAATCGCTTGCAAAGCATTTTTTAATTATACATACATAAGAACGATATATGATAATTATAAATTTTGCGTAAAGGGTACACCACTACACTCTTGATCTTGACGGCGCACAAGTTTCGACCTTCACCGTTATCTTTATGTAGTGTTCCCTTTGCGAGAGATATTTATCGTATGTTTTGGCAAAAAGATTACTCATTGTCTTGGTATGTGTATGACGGCATTCCGGGAAGGATTCTTGGCAAAATCAATGCATTGTTTGCGTTGGCAAGACGCTTAAGTTGACATTAATTTTTCAAAGTATAATGTATCGGAATCTTCCATAATTAGACATATTCATTCAAATATTATTGCAACCATAACAATAAATTTAAGTAAAGTAAACGAGTTTATATGACACTTTAAATTTTGTGATGTGCGACAAAAAGTTTCTGCACCTGTTCAATAATATTCGAGACCTAGAAGTTCATCGGGTTCACCCATGTGTGTTAATGCGATCAATCAAGGAAAATGAAATGATTGATTTTGCGAGTTTCTGGACTTGCCCATTATCAAGCCCAATTTGCTAAAACCTTCCAACAGTATTCACAATTTATTCAACAATAATACTTGTTGTTGAAGAAAAAATCAAACCATAAGCATAAGGTCCGAATGTCATCTGAAAATAATGATCACAATAATATTTAAAAATATTTCGAAAGCGTATACATTGTACACTCCAAATAGATACACTGCAAAACAAGAGTACTTTTACTACTCTTTTTGAACAGTGCAAGATATCCCTTGATGTATTCAATAGAAATCAAATCTAGCAAGGTTTTTAATGGACTGTCCAACTTAGCCGAACAAACTTTTAACTGAAAATTCACTGCTTTAAACACAGACCTAACAAAAATTGCTATTTTAGAAAAACCGCAAATGTCATTTCTAATCCATTAGAGCCACACATTCATGTATCAATTTCAAATAAGACATTTCAATTTTAATTTAAACTATCCTAACTTTGAGAGATGGCACAAAAATCAATAGTTTCAACAGCATTTTATAGTACGTTTAAATGAGTTGAAAGGGTTCTTAAACATATGCACAAGTGCTTTTAGGCGGTGTTGAATATCGTCAGAGTTTTAGATGACCAAATTAAGTAATAGAACAATTTAAAACCGTTTTTTACAAACTGCATAATATAAATTTCGTGATTGCTTGATTTGAATTTAAAATTTCCTTGCAAGCCTCCTAATTTTACGTCACAAATCTTAAAATAGCAAATTGTGACGTCACAATATTGATTTTAGTAACTAATGATTCTTAATTAGCTTCTGTCCAAACTATTTCCATGATTACGTAAACAGAGTTATACTGCAGTTTCGACTCGCTTCTTTCATTCAACTTATCTAAAGTCGATCCATTATGTGTTTTTGAGTTTTCCCTAAGCAAGATCAACGTATAAATGAATAGTATCATAATAATTATAAAACTGCATTTGAAGATTCTGCAATTTATTTCTTGCACATTTTCAGCACAGATAGTAATATTGTTTCAATATACCCAATATTGTCATAATTAATTGTACGTAATAGTAATATTTCAACTTATAAATTTAGAATAAAAACACGGCTTATCAAATCAAAACTGAATTCAAGTTAACAATTTTTTTTATTTCTAGATCATGTATTCCATCGAGGATTTGACGAATTCTTCTTGGCGTTTGGAATGATTTTGTTTTGCTTTGGTGGTATGGCTGCATTCCCCACAATTCAGGCTGATATGAGAAATCCCGAAAAATTTCCGAAAACGGTTTTGATCGCTATGTCATGTGGGTATCATACTTCTGTTTTTTCAACAAACAGACTTCAAAAATAGTTTTATTATATCACAACCGCAGTTTTTATGAATCCCAGTATTCAATTTTTATGGGATATTCATATAATTTAGTTATTTATATATATTTTTTAAACCTTTTTTATTTGCAAAACAATAGGCATTTCAATGTATAATTTGTTTGGAGCTTTCATTTGTAATAAGGTTAAAGCCATGACAATCCCCTGTCCGGCATTCATAACTAGACTACGAGTTTCAAAATTTGAATGTTCCCCTGTTCAGTATAGCCTACTAGATTTCAATTTTAGTTGGGTGGTGAATTCTTAAAACTTGACTGATCGGAGTTCGATTCGAAGCCTTAATATGCGTCATAGTTGTGCCAGGCAATTTTCATTTATTGCTTTGCGTTTACTCACACCCTTTTTTTTCTTATGTTATTCTACTTCAGAGCTCTTGGCGATGAAGACATAGGGTGGTGTCCTGTTATAATTTCGCGAATATAACTATTTGGGACTCCGTTAAAAATTATTATCAATTCAAGAACAAATGTTAATTGAAAACGCAAAATGTATTTGTTTATTTGTTTTAAATTTTCAGTAATATATGTTTATATTTTCGTCCGAACCATATATTATTAAAAGGTTGCGGTATATGTGGGTGGTATTACTTTTGCATAAAAGCATATAAGCGCTAACGCGAATTTTCCCATGTGAATTTCTGTCTAATGATTGATATGAACAGATCTTCACGCTAACTAAACCATAATTTATGTAATTGTGGTGTACAACTTATCTATATTACAAGTTAATTTTGTGCATAAATGTGTAAAATTTCTTTTTTTTTTACAAAAAATGAAGATGCAATCATCCATTTATGGCCAAACCTTGTTCTCCTCCTTGAAGATACCCAGCTATTCAATGTCAGTCACCCATATGCAAACAAAATGGCTCATTAATAACAAATGACTTCCACTCCTTGTGTCAAAGTTTGCAATAACATATAAACAAATGTTGCGGGTATACTTGGGTATGTCCTCCATGGTATGTTTGTTTGACATGAATCGGTTAAATGGGTTCAAGCCAAAAATAATAATAATAATATATTGTATAAAATCTTTAATATTAATTTTATTTAATTTCGGGCATTTAATATGTATTTGTGATATTAGTTCCTAGATTGTGTATATTAAACACAATATATATATATAATATGTCTTTTCATTTTTTTTACATTTTTAGGAAATCATTTTGTTAAAATATGGCGCACAAAATTTCAACTAAATTTTTTTCTTTTAAATTTGTTTTAAAAACATGTGAACGTATTTACTGTTTATGAAATGTTGTTTGTCACACTTCAAACATGGCGTAGGAACGTAAAAAGTTACGGAGATTTAAAAAAAAAATGGTTCTTTCGAATTTGTAATACCTTCGAAGACGGGTCGTGTTTACCTTTGTAATAACGAACACTTAAACATCTTCTATAGAACTTTGCTTGAATGGAAAATGAGAATCTTCTAATACTTTTCAAAATGAAGTATTTCAAATTTACTGATTGTTTTACTATATACTATTCCAGGCATTTTATGTATGTACATCCCCGTGGGAGCAATAGGATTCGGTGTGTATGGAGATTTTGTCGCAGACAATATATTTGATTCTCTGACTCCGGGACCTCTCCAGATCACTGCTTCAATTCTCATTACTATGCATCTTACATTTGCTTACGTCATCATACAAAATCCTCTAAGCCAAGTGTTGGAAATGCCGTTGAATGTGCCTGACAGTAAGTTAGACGTGAATGACGATAAAGTGTTTGTGTGTATATTAGTCTCAATCTAACTCGTCTGAGTAATTTATTCTATATGCATGACAAAAAAGGTAGACGTTTTTTACATTTTTCAATTACAGGGATAATATTTTATGGAACTCATCTCTAAGCGAGATCGCATCAACTCGTTAAAAAGTCCGAGAACTCGGTATATAATACATCTAATAATGCGAACGGTTTCAAAGCCTAGATGACACCATGTCGGGTCAATTGATATTTAAATACAAGTATTAATTGATTTACTAAAGATATACAATATTCTATTTTTAATATTTGAATTATCGCCCAAAAATTGGATGCACTGAAAACAGAATTTTCCCCTCTGATTCTCTGTCTGATTTGGATCATAATAATTTTTTTGTTGTACGTCCTACTCATTCTGTACGTCCCCATTCAAGTGATTGACGGTAATATTCATTGCGACATATTTTGTTTCTTTATTTTTACTTTGACGTAACGTATTGTTTAAAAATTCATCGACTATAAATATCATTTGCGAAAAAATGAAAATCTCAGTTTACGTTAGCAGGTCTTGTTTGTACGTACTTTTGCCAACTGTGAAATTGGATATCGATTTTGTGACATTAAAATCCACTCTAAAAACACAACACTTGCGCGTATATCTAACATAATCGTGTTGTAAAAATATCATTCGAAACTGGACTTAGGTCACCGTGACAAATAACTGGAATTAACGTGACGCCAAGTACCTTGGAACCAATAATGTTGTAGACTGAAGATGACACCGTGTTCCGTGAGTTGGCATTTTACAAGACTGTCGGGCCGTTGCCAGAAAATAACTTTCCGAGTTAAAATCTTAACGTAACTAACGACGATTACTCAATTCTATTGATTGATCTTGAATCCCCTGATATTCAAATTCGCCTGCCGTCAAGTTTTTTGTTTCCTTTTTATTCTCTTTGACGACGGTCGTACAGTTGACCTCTTGTCGAGTCCCGCATAAATCGATATACAGTTGGTCTAATGTATGACGTCAGAGAACAACTTGCGTTTTATCTTGAAAAAAACACAACAGAAGACCTTAAACTGGAACTGTATAAAACATGATCTTTAATATAAAACGTACAACATCACTAGTATTAGTATTTCGATTATTTAGATTTGCCTCCTCCTGGTTCCGAATAACTATTCTTTGATGTCGGTGTCTTTCGCGCCGGCAGAAGTGTTCTGAATCTGAGCTCAATTACCGTTCGTCTGAAGGATTTTTGGAATATTTTGAAAAGGCTTTACATTGCGTAGTTATCGATATGCCATATATATTTTACGCTTTCTCAAATATTCATTGATCCCGTTTTCTGAATCGTAAACTTGTGTATTTAAATCACAAGGAAACAGTTTCAAGTTAAAGAAACAGTAAAATATAAATTTCTGCTTCATTCAAACAAAAAAATAAAAAGTTTTTTCGTAGATTTAATATTTCATATCCATTTACCCTTTTCTATTATTTTGAAGCTTGAAATTTGAGATTCCGTGGAAAAAAATTACAGAATGCCACCAAATTATAATCGCATGTCTTTGTGACAGAACCCGTAACAGCTCCTTTACTTTATTTAGATTTATTTACTATCCAGCCTCAATAAAAATATTTACATTTTAGAATTTGGACTGAAACGAGTAGTCATCAGAAGCCTCATTACGATCTTCGTTATATTCACTGCTGAAACCTGCCCTAGATTTGGGCATATCCTGGCGTTGGTCGGTGGAAGTGCAGTCACCCTGAATACTTTCGTTTTCCCGTCGCTATTCTTCTGGAAATTAGGCAGAAGAACTGGCAAACCATGGAGTGCGTTGTGAGTATTTTCAATTTTACAAAGCCTCAAACTAACAAAATATTTCCCTAATCACTCTGTCCTAATTTTGAAGCTAAAAAGAAACCCCGTTTTAGTCGAGTCCAACTTGCTACATCTCTATATTCCAAGTCAATCATCATATCAATTGGCCATAGAAACAGGGTCCCTCATTGACGAAAAACATTTTTATTATATTAATGTTTCTTCATCCTGACTGTAGCATTTTTATGCGTGCATGATCATTGTTGTTGTTCTGGTATTTAGTTCATTTTGGTATTCATAATTTTTTTGGTATTTCAACTCAAATATACATTTGATGTAAAATATAGCTGAAAGTTCTTTTTATTTAAATGTAATTACGGTCGTTGGTCGATTTATTTAAGTGTTTTTGTGACGAAATTATATTTTTCAACGCTTCAAACTTACTGCACTGTTTCATGGTGCTGTTCTTTTTTTTTAGAGAAATGCAAAGATGGGAGATTCCAGTTCATATACTCATCATAGTCATAGGAATTTTTGGAGGTTGCTCTGCTACATACGCCGCTATCAAAGCTATTATAGATCCTAACGCATTTGTACCACCTTGTTACGTCAATATAACAGCCGCTTCCGCCGCTGCTTCCGGGGGCGGAGGTCACTGAGAACATGGATGTTATAATCTGAAATAATAATTAAGTTGGGTTGAAAGTAATTTTATAATTCTGCAGTTTTGCCAATTTCTGTCGAATCTGTTTGTACTCCAAAGTGATCATTTACATTTATAGGAGTACATGACAATTATAACAATCAAATTACCTTTAAACAAACGCTGCCCTCGATAGCAACGTTTTGCCACTGATTTGGAGATTTAACAACCTTCAGAAACGCAGGTGCAGAGTTCATTTCGACATAAAATCAGATTCTGGCATAAAGTTTTGAGACTGAAAAACCAAAATGAATAATATGTCTGCATTGTTATAGTGAAAGTATCGTTAATTTAAAAAAGGAATAAATAATATTACGACAAAGAAAAAATTGTAAAGACTTTAATTGGATTTTAATAGCTAATTTGCGAAACAATCTTTTGCATAGTTTCACCAACTGAAAAATCCATACTTATATTTAAAGAGAATTCAATTTAATACTATCATAAATAATCAGACAGAGACAAATTGCCGTATTTCACTGACACAAATGTCTTTATACAATCTTATAGATTTTCATATACATTGTCGGTGAACTAATATTTCAACATTTCAGACAAACAAAAAAACATTTCTGCAATTGAGATTTGAATAGTAATAATACTCGTTCTTTTTTTAGTCGCTTTTTGGGATATCTTTTCAAATATATTAAGTTATGCAGAAGCGGTCGTTTACGTAATACCTCGTGTTTTAACTAGAGTTTACAAACGCGCCTATAAGTGCCATTCAGTTATGGGCTATATTACGGGATTTCGAACTTTTGATTTTATACCAAGTGTTGCACAGTTTCACAAATTTAATTTAACTACATGTATCCACTGAATGCCTCCAATAAGCATGGTGCATTTATACAAACACTGCAAAACTCATCGTTGACTCTAAGACGAGTCTAGTGATTACATAATTATGCTCGCCTGCAGAATTTATATCTGTGTTAAGTGAGAATTGAATAACACCTCAATTTCATCTTTTTATGATCATGACATTAATATAATTTTAATTTTAATTTATTGTTAGATATTACGTGTGCAAAATAGAAAATAACCATAGTTAAATATCGAATAAAATTTTTGAATATATTTTTCACTTTTTAACAATTAATCTCCGTAATCGTCGAATATGTTTTGGTATACAGCTTATGCGCTCGTTTACAGCTACTTACATATGCTGCGTGCCATTTTTTCAAAGACGATTTTAGCAACAGAAATGAAAATTCTGGAATTTTATGACCTTCCTCATAATTTCCAAACCATGTAGCGCATTGAATAATTAGGAATTATTACATAACTTTATAAAGACCAGTGAAACCAATCGTTTTCTGTAATTGGGCTTCTAAATAGTGCCATTTGAATTTTGTAATTCTTTTTTTAATTTTAGTTGTGACGTCATACTGATGATGTCACAATGTGCCTTTGATTGTGTTCATATAACCAATTTGTTTTTTTACCACTAAAAAGACTATTTGTTTTTGCTAGCTTTATTAAAAGTTAGTCACTCAGACGTGTAAATCTGCCAAATTTATAAACTAGTTTATATTATTTTAAATGTAAATCCGACTTTAAAATGCATATCTAAAATTATTTGATGTTATTAGGAAAAATACATATGAGTATTTCAACAACCAAATAATGCCAAAAAAATAACATCTTTTACACGAACGTGTAACGATAGGAATTCTTCGTGATTTAAAATTGAAGCTCCAATTCGATATATCATAAAATATTGATTGTTGATAATTAATATTCCTGACAGAATGTCATGCGGGTCATCAGAGTAAAACTATTTGAATTTTAATTATGAATTCACCTTTAAAAAATTCGTGCACGAACTGAAGCTTTCAGCGTCGATTCATCAAATTTGTTCAAACATGATAGATGCCTATTTTGTTCGACGCTTCTACAGTTTATACTTGATTCAACTTTAATTCTAATGTGATGCTTCCATTGACAAAGTCGTTTATTCTGTGAACAAAATTTCTTTGTTTAAAAAATCAATTGCGTCAAGGTGCTGCATTTTAGCTTATACATAATTTGATAATTTCAATAAATTAACTCGGGTTGGGTTAGCTGAATTTGCAACTAGTATAACGGACTGTTGATCGTGCGTTATTCTTTACCATAATATAATTTAGTTTACCACGATTTCTAATTTTTTAGGTGTTGTGTCCATTTTTAACTCAAATAAATTTTTTCATGACTTTTTCCACCTGTAATATACTACCTATTGACACGTAGGGGTATTACCACATAATATATGGCTATGTGACCTCACACAGGGTAAAATGCAACTTATAAACCTAATAGAACAAAATTGAATCTTCTGCCATTTTCGTATACTATTTAAAGTTGTAGCTCGTATGTGCCATTAATTTTATTTTGAAGAGTCTTTTGTGTGCAAGATTTTTGGCTAAAATACCCATAAAAATGTGTTAAAAATATAAATCAATTTGTAAATTTCAATATATTACGTTAAAGATAATTTTGTATATACACTAACATTTTGTATTGGGAAATTTATTTCCAACTAGTGACTGGCAAATTGCTAATGTATTGTGAAACACAGCAAAAATAATATTACGTATTTGAAATAGTATTTACATTCAGACATGACATTAGCTGATTTATATTCCATTAAGTCGCTTTACAATCGTGTTTTAATTCATTTCTAAACTTTTTCGAGAAAATGTAATCCAGTATAATTTTTATTTCAATTGTGTAAGCATTTTCGTGTTTTATTTTTCCGAAGCAACTAGAAACAAACATTTTTTTTATAATAAACTGCTTATTTAATTGACATGACACTGCGTATGTGATTAGAACTGTTATGCGCTTTTAGGATCAATAACTTCCACAGATAGACAGCTTCTGAGGTCTCGTGACGCTAACATGCAAACGTCACGGAAATGATGCCATTTCGTGCCAGGACGACTGCCACACGTCCTACATTCGCATGTTACCTCTCTCGTCCAATCAGATTGGATTGCACAAAAGGTCTTCATCAACTCTTGGTGATGATGATGCGAATTTCGTGACCAGCAAGCTACGAATGATTTTTTTCTTTTCCTTGTACTATTTGTCCATCAAAATCGTGTCACGGCGTTTTGGGATTTCAGTTTTGGAGAGAGTTGTTGCAGAGGACGCATTCGAACGCATTTAACGCTAGTCTGAGGTTACAAATGCTTTTCTGAAGCAATTTTCAGCAAGAAATAGACGATTGATAACTTGAAGATTTTTTCATTAGCTCTGTTGTGAAATATGACAGTCAATTAGCGCTTATAGTAATTAGCAATATCTATTTATTTAGTGCGGAATGTCTGTTGATTTACAAACTTATAAGAGAACTTCTCACTTATGCCGGATGGTGATACGATAACATATGTTGCGTAGAATTGAAAAGATTGAAATATACCTCGAGGGAAAAGAGTTTCAAATGTGTGTAAATCATAAACAAATACAAATTCGGTAAAACAACATTTTTAATTCAGGATTCGGGTACTGTATTGACTGGACTGTTACTTTAAAATTGAAATACCATTTCGTGTTCAGCTTGGAAGTAAGGAATAGGCATTTGATAAAAAAGCAGATTTTTAGTTAGAAAGTCGTAGTTTTTCAGTAAAATTGTCTTATAGTAAAATTTGATATTCGGATTTGTTACCTCGTTTTGTTTATCTGTTGGATCGTCAATGTTGAGTGTCAGTCAACATCTTCATGATGTTGATATGATAGTAACCTCGTGAAAGGTAAATGGTACAGCAGACTCGGTAAGCAAAATTCAAAATTTATTCTCCGCGTCTCAAACGGATTATCTAATTTTTAGAAAGCAAAATATTCACGACAGAATATTACAGATTAAATTGACAAAATGGTGTAAGTAATACAGTATTACGGCAGTACTTATGTCCAATTCATTATAGTAATCTTAGGTAATAAATGTAATAAAAAAATGGATAAGTAGGCAAAAGTATGTGCTAGTTATGTATGGCCCGAAGTAGATCGGTTTCAAACAATTACTTTTGAAATTGTGCATAAATAAAAATGTAAACTTTTTGATAATTGAAATAAGATCAAAACGCCACAGGAAAATACGTTTAGATAAAAATTTAAAATATAATTATTGACTTTTAGTTAATATTATCAATCATTTCGGACAGTAAATAGATTATAATCAGTTATATCTTTGTACAACTTGACGATCTTACGGTGTAAAAGTGCATAAGTAGTCAACATGTTTTGGGTAGAGGAGCAGAAATTGTTATTGAAATCAAGTTTGACTTTATTCTGTTTCGATATTTTATGTTAAATATAATCTAAGACGTACATACAAATATGTAATGGAAAAATGGAAATGCATTTTAAGCGCAATACGTTTTTACGCTTTTAAATTTACTTACAAACATCGTAATACTCGCATCAAATGAATTATTTCACACATCAGAGAAAATTGAAGAAAACGATGAAAAGTATTTGAACTTAGTTCTCATGTCTAAATTTATTTATTCAAAAAGAATCGTTGATACCTTCAATGCTTACAAGCCAAATTATTTTGACATTACCTCGGATTACGTGAACAAATTGCCAGACTTGAATATTGAACGTCGTCTGTCTTTATTTATATATATTAAATGACACGGTACGATTCCACTGAGATAATTCTTCCTAGAAAAACTTTTAGAAAAATACAATATTCGTAAATTTCTATTACCTATATTTATTCAAGGTACGATCAATAAATGCTTAGCTAACTGAATAAAAGAAGAAAATTAGGAGAAGTAAAAAGCAGATTAGTCCATCCAGTAATCATTGACAGTACTTAATCGATTGTACTTAAGTTTATACCATAAATACATTGAACAGCTTAACAAATAAATTAATAACTTAATAAATAAAATAATTCAAAAACATTTTGCTACATACCAAATGTATTTGCAAATGCTTACAATTCTATTTAATGTGCTACAATTCGCTTGGACAACGATAAAAAACTTGGTGCGTTTACTGAAAAGCGTTTTCAGATTTGTGTATGGTACAAGATTTTGGTCTCAATTCTAAACATCCTAAAGACTATCATGATTAGTATCTAACGCAAAATATTTTATAAAAATAGGGAAAAGTTCTAAGAGTAAGTTTCATTGATTCACTGTTTTCATGCAAGACATTAAAATCATCTAATTATTAATTGGATGTTTATTGTTCAAGAATATTTAACCAACAAAACATAATTTTACGTTGTCTGCATTGAAATAATTTGGGCTTTTTGAGGAAAATGACTGATGCATGTTCCAGCGTCTGCTTGTATAACCCACGTCATGTATGTTTTTAGGCGAGACGTCATGTTTGGTTATAGTTTAAAGATACACAAGCTTGCTTAACATTATACTCGTGAATGAAATATCCCCCTCCGGCAGCATAAACAATAGAGTTTATACCTAATGCTTCCATACGAGCTATAGGGTTGTTGTCGTTTTTTTGCCTTCAATCAAAATGGTTCTTTGTGTACACACTGCGAGAAATAGAGTTGTGACAAAAATGAAATGAATGTATATTCTATCTGGTATTAATGAAATATAGTATTGATTCGAAAATTTGTTATTTTTAACAGATAACTAGACTCTATCTAGGTTCATCATCGAATCTTTACACGGAATACTATAACATGGCTGAAGCGGACTTCGATTTCGATTCCTTTTTGGGTAAGTTAAATTTGAAACATTTTGTTATAAACTTACAAAAAACTACTCCATTTTTATGCAGTTCAGGCTGATGAAATTATGGCAGATCAGCCTTTGTCGTAGTGATTCCACATTTTATTAGATAATAACTACGAGACTGATTCAAATGGAACATGGATTCAAAGCCAAACTAAAATTTACTGGGAATAAACAAAACTGTTCTATGATGAATTTTATATTTTGGTTATTAGCTTTTTCATAATCGCTTCGAGAAACGTATTGGACGTTTGTATCTATCAGGACTTCGATAAATTATAATAAAAAAAATGATTGAAATTGTAGGGAGGGGTTGTATTATTGATAATTCCATTACAACTTTCATATACAAATACCGAAATATATTGAGAAAACTGTAACGTTTAGGAAAAACAATCTTTTTTAATCGTTTGAGATTGAAAATAAATAAACAAATTAAATCAATATTTAGCAAGCTCTTCAAGATTAGATTTAAATTGTTCAATATTTTTATTCGCAAAGTTTTTCCCAATGGAGAAATAAATTCTTTAAATAATTAAAGACATGGAGCTATGGGACTTTGCTCTATATTTGTAATCTCTTGAAGATGTATATTTGTAAATTCTTCGTAAAACAAAGTAAGTTCAGATAGAAGGAATATCATCGAAGTATAACTCGCGACATTGCTTTGTCTTACATCTTCTGGCGACTAATTTGATTGATATCGAATTTTATATTCAATACGAATTCGAATTAACAGACAAATTATTACAAAATATGATGTGTGAAAATTTTCACGTGTTGTCAAAGCTTCATTTTTTTCTTGCAGAAAGTTTACAAAATATGGACAATGGAGAAGACGATGGTGCGAGCCTGAGCGACATACTGTCAGGAGGTAAGTTATTACATCACAATTGCAAAAAAAAACTTTAGTGAGTCGATAAGAATAATAATATACATTCAAATTTACGACAACACTGACATATCGCTAAACGATTTTGTCCGCAAAATGACACCTCATTATGTTTGATATTCCGGTGTGAAATATGATATTGACGACAAGATCAACGAAAGTAACTCTATACTGATAATCTTTATGGGCCATTATCGGGTCCGGATACCTTGGATAAGATTTCTTTCTTAAGAGCGCGTAGTTATAGCATTGTACCTAAGTATGCTGAGTCGCGGGTTGAAGATTACACACACACCCATTTTCTCATCAAGGATTAAAAGTGAAGCAGACAATGTCGGATCGAAATGTTACGGCCCTTTTGAAAATAGCAACGCTACACGTATCAGATAGTGGTTGTTGCACATCGTAGAAGTGTAAAAACGCGTCGTATGAAATTATCATAAAGATATTTCAATAGGTCACATTCTTAAACAGCATAAATAATTTAAAACCACCCACATAAATCATTTCAAAATTTCATTAATTTCTAGTTATCTAATCCATATTTTTTTTTATCAGAATCTAAAAATTGTGCGGATGAAAGGAACGTCACAATGTCTGTCTTTATGATTCTCATTGTTATCGTTGGATTGTTTGGAAACGCCATTGTATTTTTCGTCATTCTTGTTCTCAAAGAATACAAAAAATCTGTATCAAACTGGTGAGATATTTTGAAAGTAGTAAATTGAACCAATTGAAGAAAACACAATGCAAAGATGATTGTTTTTTACATGTTCAGAGCTGATTAAAACCTAGTTGAAATAAAACGTTTGCTTAAAGAATAAACTTTTCAGATTAAGTGGTTAAAATTTTCCGTACAGTATTGTCTTTGCTTGGTAACACTGCTAAAAGAGGGTTTTAAATTAAGAGATAATAATTCAAAATGTAACCGTAGACTTTCATGAAACATTTAGACTCTTTCAAGAAAACAGTATATATTATATCCAACAATAATAGTTCAAATGCCAATAGAATCTTTTTCCTCCTATTTACCGTACTTGGTTTGGCTTGGTTTTTGATGGTTTTTTGAATTCAATTATAAATTCACTATAATTTTTATACAGTCAAGATTATTTCTTTTATTTTCTGCCTGCAACTGACAGTGACCTCGCCTAAACTTTTTAAAAAAAAAATACAATATTCAATACTCAATGGAGCTCATCAATTCAGCTTCTGGTATATTCAGGTACGTTCTGCAGCTTGCTCTTGCCGATACTTTGTTTTTGCTTATGCTCCCATTCACCGCTTCTGACACACTTGCTGGACAATGGGATTTTTCACAAACACTTTGTAAAGCAAAAGAAGGAATATTATTTGTAAATTACTACGCAAGCATCTTCTTTTTGACAGTAAGTGTTACGGATTTGATTGTATGTAAATTCGTACATATTATATAAATTAAAATGTTACTGAAGCAGACAAAACATCGCAGAATAAAAATTTTGGGTTCAAATTCCATGCTAAGCACATCAAGTGGAAGGCACAAACTTCTCAAAAACAGCTCTCAAATCTGCTTCGTTGATAGAAGCTGCAGAGCGCAAATGTTAAAAAACAATCCAAATATCGCCATCAGTTTGAGTAACAAAAATTCATAACTTCAAATGTGCGTGTATTCTTCGATATTAATTTTTCGAAAGTAGAATTTCTAACGAATTTCATCGACGTTTTGCAACTCATTCATTTAAATTCCACAAATAATTAGGCAGTTACATCTTTTGTTTTGACATAAAATGATCAATGACTTGTATTGTCAGGTATAAAAAGAAATGAAATATTATAAACTTCAAAATGACATTAATTTCGTAACTGAAATGAATGTCTCAGAATGTCATGTAGTATTTGAAGAAATGAATAATTAAAATTTATACATGTTCTAAAACATAATACTTTCTCGTGTTATGAGATTATGGCACATTCAACCCACTATCGTGATGCTATCTCATCAATCACTTCTCATAGATTCATTTATATAGATTCATTTCACAGATCTGTCAATATAATATGTTGTTACATAATTTATTACATTGGGAATTTACAATTTAATGTCATACGTAACCACTTTGACAGTGAGGCTTTTGAGTATTATTTTTGAACAGCAATGGATGCTAAATCCAAATAAATCGTCTCTGTGGCATTTAAATTTTGATCGGAAAAGCCTCTTATACTAGCTGTAATGGGTTATTATCATCAGTATAGACTTCAATGCATATTAGAGCAACGTGATCCATTAATTTGAAATAGTTTGGTATTTGGAACTAATATGTAAATTCACCTATTTATACAGATTATGAGTTTCGATCGATACATGGCTGTCACAAAATCGGGAGTTTCGAAATGGGCCGATATTCTCAGGAGGCTAGACAGTGCAGCAGTCATTTCTCTCGTCGCCTGGTTAATCAGCATTTGTCTTGCTGTTCCAATCTATCTCTACAGCAAAGTAAATCTTTGCAAACAATGTTCATACGACTTCCCACTTACTGATATTGAACGATGCACCCAGGTAAAAAAAGTTACTTTCGATCAATCTTTGATCTGCACGAATTGAAAAGTTTATTCCTTCAAGAAAACATTTCAGATCGAATTTCACTGTTTACATCTGATTTGAAAAGTAATGCTTTAGATCTTCCCCGAGCAGCGACTTCCTCGTTCATTTCCGTGACAATGGCTAATCAATAAGATGTCAAAGATGACTTAATAATTAAAATTTAAGCAGTCGCTCAGACACTTTTGCACTCATGCAGTTATCATGCATGGTTGCTCGTTTTTGATTTTGCATACAATTTTTCAGCTTCTAGTTATGTTCCCGAAATTTGAATATAAATCAAATTTTTATCTCCCAAGGAGTTTTAGTCAAGTCGCAATAATTAGGAATTAGTCCCGACAAAGCCACGATAGTATCGAATCTCGAATAATTGGAAGATATGTATTTGTGTTGGCTGTTTTATTGGGTCCTTCAAACACATAAATCAGTAAAAACACTTATTTTTCACTCAGACAGTTGCTGAGTCACATGTAAATTTCATTTCAAAAAGTTGACATGAAGAAAAAAAAATACGTTTCGATCCGAAATGCCCAGCCCTAATTAGGACTCAGATTCGCAGCAAAGTATTGTTCGAAGTTATGTTCCGACATATAGATCAAAACAAGATCGCTATTACATCATCGGTATTATTATTGATTAGGCTGGAATCAACGCAACTTCATGTCCTGAATGGATTAAAGGAGAAGAAAACGCGACAATTGGTGGAGGATTAACAGAGGACGATTTTATAAAAATATTTGACGATGATCTATTCAAAAACTTCACTGACCAATTAGAAAGCGACTCTGCCAAATACGAGAATTTATGCCGGTATATATATATGTTATAGTTTTCTGTGTTATAACGAAAACAACTTTTATATTTCAGAATTTCTTTTATTAAATTATTCGACTGATCATAAATTGCATTTCTAATTTTAGTGATGAAACAACTCCGTATATGTATCGTGTATGGTTGTATTTGAATTTATCTCTTCTGCTCATCCTCCCATTTGTTCTGATTTGCGGATTCTACGGGATGATTTTACGCACCATGATGGGAACAACTGTTACTGCTAGCACGAGTCAGGTGAGGTTACTTGCCAACGCAATGGATTAATATGTGACTCTATGAGAAACTAGTATGAGATACTTAATAATAAAATTTCCATTAACTATAGTATCACAACCACCTAATTAAATTGTCTCTTAGTCTGTCGGGTTTTTCTGACTTATTCGCTTGTGATATTGGTTTAATGACGGTTGAAAATAGCGGCATATTTAATCTAAGCGTTCAACAGTCTTGCTATAGCATTTTTGTATTATATGCAAGAATGGCACAAAAGCAGGATTAGTAGACAGTCCCGTAGAGAACAAATCAATAGCGCAAATCATATTTAAATTACAAATAATGCACATTATTTCTATGCTTTCAATATAATTTAAGTACATTACGGGCTTAGAAAAACCTAAAACTCTCTTTAAAATTTAATATTACAGCAGCATAAAATATGAGCCATCGGTTAAATTGATATTTTCATTCTATTTTGCAGAGACAATATCGCCGTAGGGTAACATTCATGGTTCTTGCCCTTGTGTCTTTGTTTGCCGTTTCGTGGGTGCCATGGTATGCAGTGATGATGGCTCGTATTCCTGGGTTTCCTCTAAGTCCAGAAGGATGCGCCAAACTTGGGAATTTCACTAGAATACTGTCGTATCTAAACAGTGCTTTGAATCCTTATTTTTACAGGTAAATATTTACTGTATTTTTTGTTCTTCCCGCTCAAAGTTAAAAGTATTATTCTCCAAGCCGGTGGGACGTTGGATGGGGATGGTTACGGAACCTCGAACGATTACTTGTTTTGGTTAACTTCTTTTCTGATTATGATTTGTATTACTTCGTCGACTTAATAGAAGACAAGCTAGAAAAATGTCATCAAACGAATTTCGTTTTTTTTGTGCACTATTTCTTATATCTTTGAAACCCTGAACAGTTTATTGAGTATGCGGTTCCCGACTCGGTTGACAGCAGCTTTCGCAAGAAGTCGTCGAATGGGGAGAAACGTATCAGGAGGATTCGGAAGTCGAAATAGATCAAAAGTTTGTATAAATTTGAATACAATTGATTTATGATATCGAACGATGCACACTGGTCTTTACATCGTTTAATAATATGATTTTGTGCTGAGTTATATTAGAAAATGTCGGTAATCGATTACAGAAAGTCGTTATTACTGTATCTCATATCGAAATCATTTGCCGCAAAGATATATTTGGCATGTGAACGATTCCGCGAAGCTATGATTTTGCGATTTATATTTCAAACCAGTGTGCAGCGTTCGCTGTTTAATTTCCAAAGACGAGATATATATGTATGGTAAATGTATATGTGCTGATACTTTGAAAATATTCATTTTCAAAACTGTTCAAATATTGTTGTTTCACAAAAATGTCAAAGTAGCAAAGTTGGCTTAAACAATTTATGTAATTTTTGTGTTTACGCCTGTCTCGTGCTTTGGCAAATCAATTGTCAAATTTATACATCTCTTTTGCTAGCATGGCCATATGTATATAACTCCTCTTTGCTGCATGCCTAATATCTGTGCAATAAACTTCAGCAGAAATCTCTGAAGTTTTAACTTTTCTTCGCTGAAAGACTGAATTATTAACGTGCTTTTCTGCATTTCTGAGTATTATATTTTCCATGTTGTTAATTTGACATGGAAAATAGCACATGTGTATTATATGCTGTCACTGCACTGAAACATTTGCCTGTTCGCTTCTGCAGTAAGCATTTACTAAGCACTAATGTTTCAACAGTCATAAGTGAAGTTCTCGGTCGTAGGGAATTCTTATTTGCTCCTAATTTTTTATCCAACTTTCTATCTTTAAAAAGATGACTTTTTTAATCTTGATAGAATATATTTTAAATGTATACCTCTACAATTTAGGGGAGAAACCGTAGAAGCTATCAATAACAGTTTTAACATTTTGATGCTTGTTTTAAGTGATTTGGCAAATATTTATGTTCCTGACAGCTGAAGTCTTGCAAGGCTAACTTTACTTTTGGCAAATTACTCTAAATCTGAAGAGTTGCATGTTTTACTTCCGGACTTTTCCAATTTGACAGAATAAAAATGGATTAACACTGACCTATAACTCTGAACCTTTTCACCTATGCAAAAACAGACTGGTAAACAATTTATTTTATTTATGTATTACAGCTTCATGGGATCCAGGTTCCACAAAAGATTTCAGAGGGCTCGCAATACTGCCAGCCGTAAATCCCGTCTTTTCAATTTCTTATCTCGTGTATCCTGGACTGGCCACGATCACAGCAACAGTACGGGAAGTGGAACAGGAAGGAATATGCATGGAAGTGGAAAAGACATGAAAATGAGAAACATAAACGGACATTCCGACGATGAATCTTTCAACACAAAAAGCAATTTGCGTACTGAGCGTACGGTAGTCGACACTCAGTGCAACTTACCAGAAAATTTAAGATCTTAAATATACTGTTTTGGTCTCGATCAACCTCTTTGGTATTCGAAGGTCGCTTATTCCAACGTGATCTCTTGAATATATCCTCGTTACATCGTTGTTTGTACGTAATGAAACGAAAAAATAAGGGTACGAAGTATGTGAACCAAGATGGCGGACACCTGGACGTAGTATGTACCAGGTTAGGGTTAGGCCATAATTCCAGGTATAAATACTACGGGAGTCACTTGGCTTCCTCAAACTCACAATAGAACTAAAATAAGGAAAATTGGAATGAAATTATGGCCTAACCTGGTACACATACAACGTTCCAGTGTCCGCCATCTTGGTTCACATACTTCAAGAGTACCAAAATAAGTACATGAGATTAAGGGTAAATGAGTAAATTTGTTTCGATTGTGTGAAACTAAATTTTTCTATATTTTTGTATCATATCACAGCCAAAGACATTTTCATTATTGTTATTAATTTCGTCAAATTGAACAATCTTTAAAGAAGAAAGCTGACAATTCATAAAAATTGCATTCTTAACCACTTTCATGAAATGACCTCCTGCGCAGTTAATTCACTCATATTGCATTTGCACATTTCGGCCTGCATGATATCGATCTACTAAGCTTTGAGATATATTAGCGAGATTGTTTAGACTTTTTAGCATACGTACTTTTTATTAGTTCTGAAATACTTCTTTTTAACATGACCAACTTATAGAAAGTCTTCAGTCATTAGGAGCATTACTTTGTAATACAATATATACATAGAGAAAGAATTCAAAGAACACTCGACGATATTGTTAATTTTTTTAAAAGTTCATTTATAATAGTTTATATGTTGCTACGAAACAATTATAACGATGTACGAAATATGTATGTATTTTCATATTATGCTTTTCCAATGATCATTACATAGGTGTAAGCCTCGCCTTTCTTCTCGTTAATAAATGTAAATTTTCGAAATAGTAGTGTGTTGGATTTTCGCGAAATAACGAAGAAGCAAAGAGAAAATGCATTACCATGGACACTGACAGAGTATGACGGTGGATTCCCTTATTCACCAACATCATTCCAGAATTTTATACTGAAACGTCGCGTGTTGTCCATAATGATTGTTTCAAAGAAGATATATAGACATGTATGTATGTATGTATGTGTGTATGTGTGTATGTGTGTGTGTGTGTGTGTGTCTTTTGGTATATGCAGAATGATGTTAGATAAAGCATAATTTTCAGATCGCGAAATTGAGTCGAGAAATATTTCTGATAGCTATAGAATAATGCAAAAAAGATATTAGACAGTTGATAGCTACGGCATTTTGCTTTAACGAGATATAATCGAAGTTTAAATATTGGAAGAAAAAAAATTTAAATTTCCACATTTGTCTGTACTCCAATTTTTTATTGTATTACACGCAGTTAAACACGGTTCCCCGTTTTTTCTTTTTTTTAGGATTATCAGATAAATTTTAAACTTTAAAGCATCAACATATCTTTGATCAGATAACTGCTGTTAGGTTTTGGGAAGTCCGGAATTCTATAACAATCATGACAATATCATTCATTTGATTGATCGATGATTTTGTTGACATTCCAAAAAATGTATTTTTTGTCACATTCTCGATGAAAAATCCATGGAATATAATTGAATCAAAATTTGACGCAATATCAAATGTTTTTCTGGGAAAATTTCAGACTAAGAGTGATAGGTCATTTTATGAAAGTAACGTGTGCATTGACCGCCAAAATCTTTCGTAGGATAGCTTCGGGAAATACAAAATTTGAAAAATATGTCACACGAAACATTACACAATTTGAATAAATTAATTTTAATTGGCAAGTCGAACGTAATATATTCAGATCAAAATTTTTCCTATTGTGTGCGTGTTAATACAATACATATCATACTATTTTAGAGCAAACCATCTTACAAAATATTATTATTTTAATCATATTCAATCAGTGAGTTAAACGAAAAGTCTTAAACAGTTTTATTTTTGGGTTAATAAAATTTCAAACTAAAAGTATTTATCCAGAATCAGAAATCAATAAATAAGTATCAAGTAAATATTTCAGTAAAAATCGGTTGGACCTGAGTTGATACTGATCGATGGAGTACTGCTCATATACTAATCTCCATCTCCAGCAGACCTATTACGCAGAAGTTATAAGTTGCTCTTCTGGAGTGAAAACACTCAAATTCAAGCACTTAAAAACTTCTATTCTGTGTTCACGATATCACTGATAAATTATTAAATTTAAATTTTGAAAACTGGTAAATATATTATTATATGAAGAAAACTAAATAGAATAGAATTCCGCACTTTTTTAAATTCGATTGAAAAGCCTGAATTGAGTCACTGGAAATGACGCACAATAGTTGATTTTTTAACACTTGTGAAATTCAAATCTATCAAATCAAATCAAAAAACTTTATATTACTGAGTATGTGTAATATCATTCATGTTAGCTTGGTTTTTAATAAGTTTTAAATCAATAAATATCAAAACTTCGTCTAACTAAAGAAAACAAAAGAGCAATGCTCAAATATATGAACACGAAAGCCAAAACGAAGTAAGATCAAATCTTCATAGTACCGGTGCCTCATCAAAAAACTTTCGACTTGTGTGACATCATCACACTAAATTTCAAAGTGAAACATTATTCTTGAAATAAATAACAGCTGAAAGTTTCAAATCAATAGAACCAGTAGGTAGAGAAAGGCGATTTTTCCTGAACAACAATCACGGGAAGAAGACAAATACCAAGAAGAATACTAGCAGCAACAACATGGTAGCATAACGATCCATGGGTCTGGTTCATGTTCCATAAAACGGATACATATGACGGTGATTTGTACTTGAACGTGTTGATAAATATGTTTGAGTGCTTACAGGACAAAATAAAAAACAATCCCTTAGTGTCGCATCGAAGTATTGGTTACTATGCCATATTGTGGATGGACTAATCAAATTTCATGACTATCAATGTGTCAATACATTATGTGCAATACAGTATGCATAATATACAAATTTCTTTCTCTGTATCATGCAAAACTTATTTTTATGAAACGAAAATCTGAAGGTGCGTCAGAATGAAACTAGAAATCAATCAAACCAATACATCAGTTCTGGAGATACAAATATCTCTGTTATTTACATATTTTTCGATTTCCCAAATTAATTTTTGATGGAATACTTAAAACTACCTAATCATGCAGACTCATCCATCAAATTGTTAGTCAAAAATGGAATGGAATGAAACAATTAATCGTGAAGATGTAAGCAATACGTTTTTTTCTCTCTTTAAAAATAAAAGAAGAAACGATATCTAGATTGATTTTAGTTGGCATGAGTTTCAATTTAAATGAGACCACTATGGAAATATAATCACGATTCATTTTCTCACAAAAATTAAGATGTTCGTATAGTAGTTTCGTTTGGAAACATCAGACACGCACATTTTTGACGTTGATGAATTGGTATTTTGGGGTGAAGTAATGATTTTCTACAATCCGAAATCGAAGAACTTTCCAAAAATTTTTACAGATAAATTACATCTAATACCATGATAAAACTTCAAGTTTATATAAGTTAGTATGATATGTTAGAAATTATGTTTTAAAGTCTTTTTGAAATCGGACATTCACATATATACATTTCATTACGCGGAAGTTTCCTTTGTTTCTTTGAACATTACAGATTAAACATCTATTGCTCAAAATAAAATAATACATTTTCAGGCCTTATTCAAACATTTTTCACTACATAGAACAAAAATGTAGTCGATTAAATGTATTTAATCAAAATTCACGTTTATTTTTTTTTTAAATTTGACTCCGCGTTGATTGGCTTTGTGACTGGTTGATTTTAACTAAATATGTATTACATTGCCGACTTTAAATTCCGAATAAAGTGAATAAGCATTGCTTCGGTGTCTCAGTTTCCTTGGTCTTCTTACTTAACATACTTTTAAATAATATCGGACTTGACTCTACAGTTAAGTTGATATTTAGATCAATTTATTTTTATCATTTTAGGCAAAACTAAAGTTAATTTATTCACCTTGTTTTAGCATTTTTTCTGAAATAGTTAATGTTGTCCGTTTAGCGCTATATCAGGTTGTTAACCACCGTTTTTACAATCGTGTTATTCCAAAGTATTTATGACAATACCTGGAAAGAGACTGGTGTAAAAATCCACACACGAATCAATAAAAACTATTAATTATTTTGCACCATTGCCAAAAATATTTCACATTTCGCGTGTTCAAGTAAATTGTATGGAACGTTTCATACTTCGTTACTAACTTAAAATGAAAAACGTTACTTCACTCTAAAAAAAATAAGCAGAATAAGTAAAACTAGAGAGCCATAATTAATGGGCAATCAATCATGCGATAGTATGATATTTTGCTAAGCACAAAAATCAATGACATGATAAAAATAGGCGACCCCGATCAAAACAAATCTTTTTGATTAGAGTCTGCGTATCTATGCTCGCGCTAAATAATTTTAGTTAGCAATATACAATAAAAAATATGTCCAGAAAAGTTATCTATAGATAAAAATTGCCATGTTTCATGCACATTTTAGATATTAAATATTGCAATTATTGAGTTTTATAAAATCGCAAATAATTCATGGTATGATTTTATTTTGTTTAACATTTTTACGATTAAGGCGAATCGTAAAACAAAAATAATTATTAGATACTATGTTGTCGGTTACATTACCAAGTTTTCCATTCTATTTTCATATTCGCTTTGAATTTGTGTTGTGTTTACACTCCATTCCAGAGTTTGTGTGCTTTTATGCTCTCAATTAAAGTATTCATTTGGGGTGACATCCATTAGATTGCTATACGATTGCTAACTGATATTTGTTTCTGAAACCATTGAACGTAATCGATCTCGATCTGAAGACTCTCTTGAGCTCATATGTTTACAGTTGTATTTGAGCGCAAAACTCGCTACTATTATTGTGGAAACTAATCTACGATTTTTAAAATACGCTGTGGATAATCTAAGTATAGGTTTTGTTTTGTCCATTTTTTTCACAGTTAGTTTTAAAATTTGTGGCGTTGCATTCTTGAAATTGACGAAAAAAAATTAAAGCAGAATTTAGGTGGTATTCAATTAAAACTTGTATCCGTAAAATTAATTTATCGTAGCTTCAGGTAATATTTGAAAAAAAAATGAGAAATATGTTAATTTTGTTTTATTTGATAAAGCATACATAGAACCGTAGTTGCGAACACATAGATCGTGCAGCAAAAGCAAAACGCGTAGCAAATTGATCGAAATTCTGCCTAAACTTTTTCTTCTTCAAATATTCACAACCGCAATCTCAATCTCAAAGTTACTTTTCTTTTGCCATTTGAATATAGGTGTTTCCCACTTCGTTTCAGTGATCCATCTATCTGCGACATTGCAATCATTGATGAGATGATCATTCAGAAGAAATATATGTTATATGACTCTCCGCCAAAGTAGTTCGCAAACACGAACTCGGTAGTTTGATAAACTTTTTGAAGCGTTGCTGGCTATCCATTACTGAAGCATCAAAAACTATAACTGCCAAATCCTGTCACGGTCAAATAACAAATCCTCTTGGTGGTCGCAAGGTGGCGATATCGTATGTGCCAGATAACTGTGATTTGCAAATACATGTGTTGCGAATGTAAAATGATTACTACGGATTTAATGTTATTTACCTTCTTTTTGTTATTAGTATGTTGAATACGACGAAACTAGGCTTTTCCGGCATGTTTTTTTATGGTGATTTATCCGTGAAGCTTTTATGCATTTATCCTCTGTGTGCCGAAAAGATTGATGGCGTATTTTCGACCTTGCAAAAAACTTGAGAATAATAACGTTTTTCATGTTTTCTTTGTGAACCAGTTCTGATATAGATTTCAACCGTAAATTTGTATTAAGTTTTAAATGTTTATTTCATTACATATGACAATTCAATTCTATCGTCCAACTATATGTGAACATTTGGCATTACAATCTATTGTGTGCTTATACAACATCTGATGGACTCAGATGGAGTTTACTCCGCTAAGGTACGTTTGATAGCACGTAGAGATCAGGAACCCATCCTTCCCTACGCAAACATGGGTACTTCCGCAGTGTGTGTACCAGGTTAGGTTTAGGCCATGTTCTGTTCTAAGTTCACAAAAGACTCAGTGGTTGATGCACACGGATTTAATACAGCATAACATAAGACTTCAACTATAACGGTAAGACAAAACAAAGCAGTACCGCACGCCAGATAAATATTCGACAAGTGCCTGGGCGGATCGCGTATGAGTCTGGCAGTTGATTACTTTCTCGGGACTTTTCGTCACACGTAAACAGTGGCCAGACGTGTATACAACAGATCATAATTTTATTCCGATTTTTCTTATTTTAGTTCTATTACGAGTTCAGGGACTGTATGTGTTGGCTAAGTGAATATCCCCCTGCCCGTAGGTTTTAGTCCCTTCACACAACTTGATGTAAAATAGGCGAAGAAAATTAGTTACCTCTATATTGGTACCCATACGTCTGGAGCGCCCAGGCATTCAATGTAGGTTTCTAATAAAAACAATGGTGCATGTCCACAACAATTACCCCCTTGATCTCGTGATTCTCTCTCTTTATTTGTTATTTGATGAGAATAATTTTGGACAACCCTCTGGAAATAATCTCGCTCTATTGACATTCATTCAACGAGACAAAAATAAATTATTATGTGAATACCTTTCATTGACATAGCTCCATCCGGAGGTGATTATACGAACTGAAGTCTATCAATTTAGCCCCTATGGCATGAATGGCGAAACGGGTCAGTGGTTTGCCATCCCTGCCCTATGGCCTACCCTAACCATTCCGTTTTGCCGACAAAAAGTCTATAATCTCGACACAGGCCGTGAACCCTTGCAACAATACTATCAATGAATTTTTGATTTCTGATGAATGGCAGTGAATTAGGCAGACTTTCTCTCACTGTTTGGTGGCGTTTGCTTGTGATGTCGCGACTTGAAAAAAAAAATCGATGCTTTCTTTCGATATATTTTGTTAGTTGAGTCATCACTTACGCTTGCTTCAATAATAACTTGGTGCTTATGACAAACGTTTGTAAAAAAATTGTAAATATATTAAAGTGCAAAATACTGAACAACTGGTCATAATTGGGAGAGATTCCATTTTGTCAATTTAATCCTCGCACAAGATCAAAAATACAAATCACGAAGTTTGTTGTCGCTGTTTCCGCTCAATAAAACAACTAATTATCAGAAGTTATTGTTGGGCGGCAATTAAAACTTATTATCAGAAATCAAACGTTTCGTGAACACCCCGATGCAATTCCTGAAATCTCGGTGCAATCAATACGTAAGAGGGCAAGGCCTTTTAGTTTTACGATATCTGCAGGGCATTGAACAGTCGCTAATATAATATAGTTACATTCGATGCTGTATTACATGTCACACTTTTAAAATAAAATAACACTTATTCGCAAACGGATTGTCGTTCGCCAAGATCGGAAAGATGCCCCGGGCAAAAAGCCGTCACATGAACTAACTCAACATCCAGAATTGTCGTCAGTTACGAAACTCATCACGCAGAAAGCGCGTGGCATATCAGTTGTCGCTACCAGACTAATTGCTATTGAACTTGTAGAAAGGATATTAGGAATTTCTTTTGTTGAGATTCAGTCAAGAATCAGGCGCGCAACCCGGGATGCACTAGCTGTCGATACTTTTTGGACCACTGGAACGAACACCACATTTGATATAGGTTTTACTTCACTACAGTCTGCAGTCTACAATATAGTCTATGTAGCATAATTCACAGATGAGGTAAAAAGTTGCCATTAGTGAGCCTCAAATAAGTTGTATCATTTGAATTCGTTTGCTCATACGTGGAGAAAAAATTTAATAAAGCAGTATGTCACTATTTTATACGCTAGTTTTGTGGAGACAGTTTCCCTAGAAGCGCTGGTTATATAGTTATGAGAATACTGTAATTTTTCGTTTTAATGAATATTTCACATTGAAATTTAACAGTTGCATCATTTATGTTCTACTATTCACAGTGAAAGGCGATTTTAAATAAAACCAATAAGATACGCCAATTTCACTTTTCATTTCTGTTTTGACGTGACTACGGACGGAAACTCCGACTGTGATCATGACAAGCAGAAGACGCAACGGGGTGAGTATAATATATTATCTAACTCTTGCATTCGTAAAGTAAGCTTTGGAGAACTCCAAAACCTATTTTAATCTGGAAATGTACAAAGTGTCTTGTAGAAAGTATGACTCGACCTTTTTTAAACTAAACTTTGACAACAATAGCCTATTTTGACCTTAATTTCAAACTCATTTCTAGTGGTGGTAAACATAATTATGATTTTATCGTTTGTAATGAAAGACCGATTAGAGAATGAAAATATGTTAATATATTACATACATTGCAAAAAATGTATTCAGCTTCAATTTTTCAACAATGAATCGTTGTTATATTTTCAGCACTCCGGTCCTTACAGTAGGGAGAGTGGATTGAACAGTGATGGAAGTCACACAACACCAAGACATCCCTCAGCTCGCTACAGTTCATCCGCAGCGGTATGGTCATAATTAAAGCATTTACTTGCAATGAAACAATCTCCTATACATGAAATATATTGAAGAGTTGGACCCAAGTCTTCTCAGTAATATTTTATCAGTTTTCATATACTTTTGCTTGTGTGGCAAGAAACGGAAAACATTGGGCACGACTGTTTATCAAAGTATTTTGCCTGGTTGTCATTTTTTATGGCATTTCTTGACGAAGACTAATGGTTTTAGTCATACAAAGAAGCTGTAAAAAATTCCCGTGAATGTATTGGCTGTGTGTTTGACATTTCAACACGTGAACCGTAGTTTGTCAGTTGAAACAGAAGAAAAGGACCTGTTGTTGGACTATACTAGTAAACAGATTTTTACCGCGAAATACCAATTAATTTTCCCCAATTAATACCCCGTTACATCTAAACTTATTTTTTCTTAGTTATGACCTTGACAATAAAATTAGAATAACTTGTTTATACGTCACGTCGTGTTCACGCGTAACGAACAGGTTATCGTTTCATAATTGCCTTGTTCCATTAAGACATTGGATGTAAAGTTCTTATAGCCTCGGGGCATGCGTGATTCACTGTAACTCATATACTTGAAATACTGGTTCAGCTGGCATCTTCAGAATTAAAAACTTGCTCGATGTTTTCCTTTTATAAGAATTCACATGACCGCGTAAAATTCAACAGCATTCACTACTTAATTTTGTTAAAACGGCGCTGCTTGTTTATTTCAAATATATTAAAATTGGAATCCGAACCAGTTAGGTAATGCTTGATTGCACAAATTCATTATTATTTCGCAGTCAAGTATTTGTGATACTTTCACATGCCAGTCCGACAGAAGACAATACTTTTATTAAAAATATATCTGCTGGCGGCAAATTCATTAATGTTGCCATATTTTATTATACACTATAATAAGGAGCAAAACTTTCTGAAGTATATACTGCTGATAGGGACACAGACAGTCGTCGCTCCCAAACGATGACTATTTTAAATTACCTTTAATTCCTTTAGAGAAGGATTATCCATAATTATGTAGAACCAAATCTGTATAAACTAATTTTTCTATTGTCATGTTGAATGCTACAATAACAAATACATGTACTTTAGAATGCATGTAAAGCAACCCATTAGGTTTTTATATATTGGAAGATACGCACACTATATAACATTTACATCATTTTTTTACTTTTAGAACAATACCGACCAAGATTTTTCGACAGCTTCATATAGAGAAACTGATGATATGGACCACAGCACTAGTTCACAGTGAGTATAGAAAACGTAATTAGTGTGAATATATAATTTAAAAAAATTGTTAATTTTGTCTCTGCATTGCGCTGCTACTATTTCAATGCGATTACTGCCCCCAGAATGTAATGAGAAAAAATCTACAGCACATGTTTGGCAGAAATTTATTAATCTTTTTTTTTCAAATTAAGCCGCCAATCAAGAACAATGCCAGGACCAGGACGTCGATACCAGAGTGGATATTCTGGGGATCCTAGCAGTACGGCATCCTCCCACAGCTTATCGAGAAGTGGAAAACGCCACAGCCGAACGACAACCGGAACTGACTCCACGGTGAGTAAATTTTAACCTTATTTCGTAAATAATTAATCGAAAAATCTTGAATAACAAATAACTATTTTGACTAATACAATTTTAGTTGAGCGACAATTCATCAAGATCCAACGATTGGCATAACCAACGATCAGACGATGCGAGTTCATACACTTCAGGAGAGAGCTACGGTAAGGAAGAATATGGAAGATACACTTTAAAATAAACCCGATCCAAATAAACCTCAGTCGGGCAGCATGTCATTTATTGAACAGTATAAAGTAATAAAACATAAAAGCAAAATATATACCTGGAAGGCAGTCTGAGACAAAAAGTTCACAATAAGCGTAACAAGCGCACGTCACGACAGCCACTGATGCGTCACAATCACTTTATAGTACACGACGTAAACAAGTCTGCAAAATCACAATGCTCTCGAAAAATTAGCTAGCAACCAGATTGGCGTGAGGATGCCTGAAATTTCAGCATTTCATATGTATGCCCTTGCAGTTTACAGAGAGTCACGCGCAACAGACTGGTATAATAGTCCCATCCCATAAGTTCATTGGTAAAGCGCGGGATCAAATTTATAACACCCATTATTTGCTTTCAAGCACAAGATTTATTATTTTTATATCATTATCACATTCTAGATACGGACGACACCGAACATGGACGTAGACGTAGTCATAGAAAATCTGTAAGCATAATATTTTAAAATGAACATATTTATTCATTACTATACAATGTAATAGGATATAAATATGTTTTTTATTCATTTAGAGGGATACTCATCACTCATCTGACTATAGTGGGAGATACTACCCTGACCCAATGGATGTAAGTTGCATTTTTTTGTAGAAAATGGAACCCAATGTACGTTATCATATTTCCAATATTCTTCATATTTTATTTAGAATGACGAGATGCGTCGCCTGCAGTCCGGATACTCGCAAGATACGAGCACAGGAACGGATACTACTCTCACAAATGGGGATGATCAGCAAAACGACATTGATGAACTAGCAAATTATTTTAACCGGTAAGTTAAGTAAATGATATACACAAAGAAATAGCATATCTATTAATACTTCTCAATGGATAAAGGCGGGCACAGAGGTAAGACGACAAACAGAAAAATTATGTTTTTAAAAATTACTTATCTTATCCATATTGTAACAAAACTACATTACGGTTTGTTAACGTGCAGTAGACACTTGTGCAGATATTCTGACATTTTTTTGTGTACAGTGATCGAAATATTCAACCTTAATTTATGTTTCCTATATTTATGTTTCAGTCGCTTGGAAGACATGCAAAAGCAAACTTCGCGATCATCAGCTAGCAGGGGATACTCACAAAGAGATAACTACCCAGACGATGTAACATCGACGTACAGTTATAATAATCAAAACCGAACTGAATCTTCTGACCGTCCTTCTAATTACAACAATCGCACAATCAGACCAACAAACAGAGCGATATCAAGCACATCCGAGATGACACCGACCAATAGCAGATCGGTAAGTCAGCATAATCTTTTTGCAAACAGAAAAAACAAATACATTTGTTGGATGATGTTGAAAATTCGATAACACTTTTCCGCAATGTTATCTCGCTCGTCAACAGCACGAGTACACTTTAGTAGTAAAAACAGGGTATAATTATTGCGCGCCGATGACGTTTTGAACCTTGACTTTCCATACCATATTATTGAAACTGCAGTCCAAATCTGTCTAAATTTTTTGAACTTTATACCTGTTCATTCCACCTTGGTTGGGACTCGTGGGCTCATTGTTTCAATCGTTACAGATTGACCACACTACCAGCGGAACTAATAGCACCATAACTCTTGCGCGTGATGAAATTGAAAGTCTGCGCTCACAAATATCGCGAGGTATGGACGGCAGAGACGACAAGTCCAGTCGTACCGGCGACATGACATCATATTTCAGTAAAAGACTTGAAGAGTGCCAACAGCAGGTCAATATCAAATTGTTTGAAAAGTCACTAAAACAAACTAACACAACTTAGAATGAATATCAAACTAACCAAATAATTGGAGTCACATAATATTTGAAATTCCGATTACGAATTTCAAATATTCGTGAAGTAAAATTAAAAAACAAGTTCATACTGGCAACTGAAGCCTAAACATCCCAAAGTTTCTTCTTGAACGCCAGAATCACAATTGAGCGCGCGGGTGTTCCTTGGCGACAACTGATATCGCTAGCGGAATACTTTTCACTTTTACTTCGTGATGAGTGGGATAAAAATTGTGACGCAAAAGATGTCAATACATCTAGAATCCCAATAAGTATACTCTGAGCGTGAACATCTGGCCCGAAACTAAAGTTGACCATTTGTAATAGTCAATTTATTTACTTTTTTACCTTCGAATTCAAAACATAATTAGGGAGCTGATAAATATTTTTACTGCTAAATATTTCAATTGTGTATTTATCTATTTTAGGTTTACAATGCTGTGAATTCAGTTCAATCTCAGGTCGGGCAAGTGAGGGATCAAGTAGATGGCAGTATGAGAAGGGTAAGTACGAATTGGCTTGATTTTGATTGTTACAATTTTTTATGTCATATTCAATTTATTTTTATTTTTTCTGGTTAATATCGTTGTTAATAGAAACAGTGTGGTAACGTTCATTGATATTTTAGCCCTCCTAGATACGACTATGAGTTCACAGTGGTTTAATATGTTTTCTTTTCTGCAGCGTCGAGGCAACGATTGGGAATCACGTGAGGAAGAATCATATGATAGTAGCGATAGTGGCATCGGGCCAAGAAACTTGACGATCAGACCACTCACTAGAGCGCATGCGAATGCTATGGCAGGTACGTAAAATCTCACAATGCGTCACAAACACGCCAAAACCATAATAACTAAATCATTTTTTTTTGTTGCAGAGCGTCAAGCATCCTATCCAAAAGGTGCGTCATATAGGACAGATGTCCAAACCCCAGTCTTTGAACCACCAATGTCACATATGGACGATGATGACAATTACTTGGGCAGCAACATGCCAAGTCACCCTGAATCAAACATGACACCAAGCCCACCACCGCCAGAACCAATCTCCAAATCCCTAAAATCAGACATGGTTAACGATGATATGCCGATTCCATTTCAAACAAACTTTGACGAAGAAGAGGAATGGGACGATTTTGAAGAGGTTTGTTGTTTATCCATCAGGATTCATTTTCAAAACGCTATTAATCTAATTAGGTATTCAATGATAGCAACTATGAAGCTGATCACTACTTTCTAATTAAAGCATTCAGCGGAAAGCCTAAAAAGTTATTTTATAAACTTTGGGTAAATCTCAGATTATTTTCTTTATATTTCAGTTTATCGACGATGACACACCAGCTCCAGAGGCTTCGATTCCAGTACCAAAAGTCGGGTTCAAGACTAATAACTACGCATATCAAGCTGTTTACATTACCTACATATTGTCTTTCTTGGCCTACGTTTACGTCAGAATTACGTACACACTTGACGCACCCGGTCTGAACAGAGTCTATTGTATCGTCGTTGCTTCCCTTGAAATTGTTACAGCACCCTCTCTATTACTCCAGGTATATCTATTTGGAACTAAAATTTTATCTTTTTTCGATTTTAGTAGTTTCGAGTAACTTGAAGTGATGACATATTTAAAACTTACACGAATGCAGAGTCCATAAAAGATTCATTACCGAGTCATTAAGATTAAACTCATGTGATCACATGATCAATTGTGTAATCTTAACATTACTCTTTCAGGGATTATGTCTTTGGAGATGGATATCTCGTAATCCGCCCCCTGGCAATGCTTTTGAACGACCGAAATTTCATACTTGCCGTATCATGGTGCCTACGTACAAGGTAATATTATTTTCAAGAAAAACGTAATAGAATGTAGATTACAATTGTTGAAATTGTGAAAAACGATTGAACAAAATTGAATAGTATGTGCATGAAAACAATTAATTTCATGAAAAGTTTTTACAAAGCAAAGTGGGTCGTCAATCAAGAGTTGATATATCAGTAATAGCAAATTCTCCAGTGACCAACGACGCTATAAAAGTTTCGAGTATCAAAGTTGATAAAAATATAGGTGTACAAATGGTACATGTCTTGGAGGCACTGTTAGTTCACAATTTTTATCTGAATAACGTGTAAATGGTGTTTAATCCCATATTTCAATCAAAAATAGGATTTTTCAATCTATCCCTTTTTATTTTCACAGGAACCTCTTGAAGTGGTCGCCGGAACCATACACGAAATTATTCATATGGAACTTCCACCAGGTCTGCACGTACACGTCTACGTACTTGATGACGGTAAAAGAGAAAATCTTGAAAATTGGGTTTTGTCGAAAAGAACAAAGCGGTAAGTCCAAATAGGATTTCGGAGATCGATTCACTGACCAATTTTATAAATCTAGAATATTTGTATCTAGCGACTGACTGGAAATATATTGTATGCGTAAATCAGGATTAGTACTTAACTTGAGACATAATGATTAACGTAGATTCAGATTCTTTTTAAAACTGAATATTCGGGAAAATTTACTGTTCTAACCAACGCAATTTTACTCTTCAGTGGTATGTACCTCCATTACATTGCTCGTCCCAAGTTGCCTGGAATTCCTCATCACGCGAAAGCTGGAAACATTAATCATACTCTCCACTTCATTTTCGATGATGCACAGACTGAAGGAGAATGTGTTGCTATTTTCGATGCCGATTTTATGCCCAGGTACGGTGAATAAATTTTCGACAATATATACGTGTTATTTCCTAGAATGTAATCTCAGTAGAATTGTTGTGGTTTAGACATAGGGCTTGTAATAAATACCTACTGTATTTCCATGAGAATGTAACACAAAGTCATTTTTGAGCCACAAATTAATGGCGAAATTTCACATAAAATATCAACCAATAACAACCGACCGACAACTGCCCGCGGGCAATCTAACTTTATGTTATGTAACGCTGAAATATACTGTTACTGTTATGTTTAAAAACTTAACAGCGCTCATTAACGCACCTGACGTCCCATTCATATTGTAGTTTGGAATTTTTACAATGAATTTTCATTTGATTTACAGGCGTAACTACCTGATGCAGGTTTTACCGGTGTTTTCTGAGAAGCGTACCCGTCCACTTGGTCTAGTACAGACGCCACAGTTTTTCTACAATGTAAACCCCGATGAAGACGTATGGGACCATCTTAACGTTTCATTTTTCCATCGTATCGAACCTAGCTTGGACAGATGGAGTGCTGTCAACTGCTGCGGAACAAATTTCATCGTGAGAGCTGATGCTCTGAAAGATGTCGGTTATTTCCCTGTCGGTTGTCTTACAGAAGATACGTTGCTGTCTCTTAGGCTTTGTACAATGGGATGGGGTGTAGCCTACCATCACGAAGTACTTGCTATTGGTCAATCTCCTCACGAAATCACGGAAATTTTCAAACAACGTTCCCGTTGGTGCAAAGGAAATTTACAGATTTTCTTGGACGAATTCCCACTTATGCAGTCTGGTCTTTCACTATCTCAGCGATTGTTCTACAGTTCTTGCGGTTTCAACTATTTCTGCGCTTCGATTTCAATTCCGTTTTTCCAGCTTGTACCTGCGTGGGCTATCTTCTTCGGTCTCTGGCCTGTATCCAAAATCGGTCTCGAGTTTGCGTTTGCTTTCTTTATCTACTACATTCTCGGAAACATTCTCTTGCTTTTCCCGCCTCCACGTTTCGGAGTCAAAGACATGTGGAACGGAGAATTGGCATCTACGAACTTGTGGTTCACGTACTTCAATGGTGTGCGTCGTATTGTGGGAACGAAGATTTTGAAAGGAAAAGGTGAAAGATTTTTCCAGTTTGCAAGCATTACTTATTATTCAGATTTTAGATAAATTTAAATAAATAAACATAACTTGATCTATATGCGAGTAAACCAACAGCCCATCCGTCAGTCACTAAAACATCTGGCTAGCTATTCATCTGCTTGAAAATGCCACTTTAGTCTTTCTGAATAGTAATATCCAATTTTGTTGAAAACCAACACTAAATATACTTTTTGTTTTCAGGTGAACTGACGTTCAAGACTACCAAAAAGAAGGCTGAGGGTGAAGATGAATTATCAAAAGTAGGATTCAGAAAAGAAGATGTTCGTGCTTGCTACATGCATTTCATTATGTTCACCATTATGTTGGTGACAATCATTTATGCTATCGTTAAAGGTACGTTTTTACAAATAATTCCCGCCTAAGTAAACGAGACGATTCAGTTTGCCGTTGCGCAGTGGCTTCTACAGCTTTTCCGGAGTTATGACTATATTCACAATTCTCTGGACATGATAACAGTAAATATAGTATGATAGTGCACTCAGTTGAAAAAAAAACTATTTATGCGCCCGTCTGGAAACATCACGCAGAAAAGAAAAGAACACGTCGATTTTTACCATTTTAAAAAAATTCAAGTAAATATGAAATATGGCTTGTCGAGTTAAAACCCGCGACCATTTCAGACAAAGTTGCTTGCTAGATGTCAAATTATTTTCTTATTATACAATGTACAATAATTTTTATTTTTTAGCTATCATCGCCGAAGATGTGAAATTCTACTTCTACTACATGTACATGATTGGTATGTCCTGGGCTATGATCAACATGGTGCCATATTTGATTGTAGTAATCTACTGCTGGTACCGGGTTCGTATTCCGGGTCTGATGGTTGCTTGTTTCCGTAACATCCAACTTTTGCTGAGAATCGTGTGTGCTGCTCTCATTTTGGTGCAGGCTTTCACAACAAGAAATTTGACAGAAAACTTTATCTGCGGTCACGAATATGAGGCTACGCTCGGTAAGTAATAGAACGATTTATTTTTTCGTTTTACATCACTAATCTCTCGTTGCCACTCCGGATCATTCATATTTCACCTGATTCTAGGTTGTTCCCTTTCTTTCGGCCACCTTCTCTGATCGTATTATCAACTATTTCACATTCTCTCATCTTCAATAGTTATCTAATTTTCTATATTAATCTAGGATTGAGTCAACTCACTATGGTCACCACTCTTGATGAAGCATCTGGTCTTGACGTAGAAAGAAATGCTTTCTGGCTGCTCGGTTTGGACGACGATTTCTATACAATGCAGCAAGTAAAAAGATCAGCTTGTGATGATGCAACTGTCCCAGTTATTGTATTTTTCATGCATCCTTCGCAGGGCTTAGTGTTAGAAGTGGAGGCTGGGCATTACATGCCTGAGGAAAGAATCGGTAAGTCGAAATGAAGAATTTTTCACCACTTTTGCGTCAAGTTTGAAAACTCTGGTTCAAGATCCAGCTAGCAATAACACCAAGGGTGTGACGAAATAGGTACCTAACTTGACTGATCCCAGTTATATTGAAGAGAAAAAAAAGAAGTAGTGATGATTACAGCTGATGATATTTTTGTCTGATAAATTCAATAATAAAACAAAATATTCTATTCACAGGTACTTGGGAGGAATATGACGAAAAGCTGGATTATTACGCTGAACATCTATCGGAGATTCCTTCCATAATTGTAATGGAACCTTCGTTACTTATGCACACATTTAATTCGAAAACGGAATATCACAATACAGAATATCAGGTATGCTCGCCACTACAATCAATATGGTCAAGTTGAAGACGCCAAAACAAAACGAATTAACCATTTTTGATTAATTTTCTACTTTTAGCTCGCCTACGCCGCCCGTGTTGAACAAGTAATAAACAAATTCCCAAATTCTTGGGTTTACGTGGATGCCGGTAATGCTATGTACTTGCAATGGACTGTTAACTTGGAACATATTATATCTGTGTTGAAAAAGATGCCTGCGAATGTAAGAGGATTCTCAGTAAACGTCGGTTCATTTGTAAACAGCACGTTTAATCGACAATTAGCTGAGGAAATTCATTGCCAAACTGGATTGCATTATATTGTTGATACATCTCGTAATGGCGGATCATTTTCAAGAAGGTAATTACGATTTTGGATTTATAGTTTTATACTTTATGCTCTTCATTTGTAGCCTACATGTCCAAAACTGAAAACCATGTGAATCTATAGATAATTATAATTACGTAAGGTTACTTTCAACATAGCTTTTTTATCACGTCGTTGGTGAAGAGGATCTGCCAAACAGCAAACGTGGCTTTACTTTCAAATTCAGGAATTCCAAGTCGTTATCTGTATATTCCCATTTTGGTATGAAAGTGTATTCCATACAATATTAAGCAATATTATCAAGTTACATACATTCTCAGCCTTCGTGACAAAAAAATTATTTAAAATTATATATTTTTTAGTATTATATTGTTATTTTCAGATCGATTGAGGAAATTAACGAATGTACATACGATCCACCGATGGTGGAGAAAGGAGACACTCCAAGTTGGCAAACAGGGGCAGCGTTGCGTCAACATCAAGCACAGCAACTTGCTAATACCATAACGATCGAAGAACCAGAAATTGCAGTTGCCATTGAAGACGGTAAGATGGTTTGGTTTGGACAGAATGCCTTATTTCCATCGCCGTTATTTAGTTGATCCGTTACAATTCAAAGGGGTGGGCAAAGACTGATATCACTCAATCCTAAAGCCAGTTTTAATTGTATATACTCTTTGGATAGAGGTAACAAGATTGTCACTACGACATTTTTTGATTCCATAAATATACCGAATAATTTAGCAGAAAATAGTTCTTTGACAGTAACGAAACTACGTTAATATTATCTTAGAATTGTTAGATTAAGTTGATGCGTTTGGGTTAAGATCTATTGCGCCTTTACTCCAACAAATTAGGTAAAAATATTTTGAGAAATACATGATTTGCGAACCATAAGATCGTTCAAAGGAGGGGTCGGCAACCTTTTGACGCTCGCGGGCCAAAATTAAGGTTGCAAGTCATTGGCGGGCCGCACATATTTTTAGAAAGTTGAGAAACCGAACGGATGGTACTTTTTATAATAAAAATCAAGCAGTGATACATCTCTTGAAGAAAGTATAGATTTATTTCCTCATTGCATCTCATAAATTTGAATATTGTACTCGTCATTAGACCCTTTGCACTTAGCATCAACTTTTCTGCATTTTGTTGCCATTTACTTAATTATATTCAAATTATATGCTCATTAAACGAGTAACTGTGCATTATATAGATGTTAGGTTATAATATAATTTAGTCTAAAGAATATATTCGTCAAAACGGATGTTTTGTTACTATAATTTAGTGAAGCGTCGCGGGCTGGATTATGGTGATCCGCGGGCCGGATCTGGCCCGCGGGCCGTAGGTTGCCGACCCCTGGTTTAAAGGTTAATTTTATTTAAATTTTCATTTAACTAACTGTTTCATTTTTCTTAAAAAATTAGAGGACGATTCGACGAACTACGATATTGATATTATTGGTAAACGAAAGAAGAGATGGTCACTGGATGGAACTAATGATGGAAATGCGCCGGTTTACGCATACGATAATGAGGCTGCTGGAGGAGGTAACATGTTCAACATTTTCTTTGAATGAATAATTTTCATTTATAGAGTGTAAATGCACTAATATAGTTTCAAGTAGATTCGATTAATGATAATTCATTTAAAATATTAATTAGGTAATGTAGAAAATTTTCACCACCAGTTTTCCAACCACGGTATTTACAAGTTAAACATAATTTAAAGTGACGGATAGTTTCTCAATAGCATATCTATCAGCGCACTTCCAATTGTGCCTGAATGCAGGGAAAACCTTGCATGCTACAAATTCTTATTAAAACCCACAAAAAAATTGGATGAATCTAGTTTGTACTCATTCAAATTTAATATAATAATGATATTTTTCACAGTTAACCCTGGAGGTGGTGGTGGAGCCGGCGGCGGTGGGGGAGGAGGCGGAAAACGCGCTGGAGGAGGAGGAGCAGGTAAAGGAGGAGGAGGTGGTGGTGCCGAGGACTACGGAGACCCAGGTTTTGGTGACTACGACGGCGATTACTACTACCCAGGAGGTGACGTTAAAGCGAAATCCTGTATTACACCCGAAGGCCAAGAAGGACTGGATGCATTTGCCTGGGTCAAGACGCCTGGTGAATCTGATGGTCGCATGTTTACCGCCGGTACCTTCCATCCGTGTCTCTTGGGTCATATTATTGAATGCACTGATACTTGTCCCCAATATGTACCTAAATTAAGTGGAGAATTTCAAAGGAGCGATTCGTGTAAATGCATAGATGACTAATTAGATCCAAAATTTTAACGGGCGATTAATACAATTTTTAAATTAAAATTGAAGTTTTAATTCGAGTCAATTATATATTATAATTTATCTTTTCGAAATCTTTTTAAGTGATGAAGTGCTTTCCATTACGTGGATATTCCTTTTATTGCATATAAATATCGTGTGCCTACAAGTTTTTGTGATGCTCTTGTGTATTTTGCAAAGGGATCGATAAGTGATGGTTTTCAATAACTTGAGAAAAGCGCCTTTATGTTGAACATTTTACTCGTTTTCATAACATTCAAGATATTGAGTCATTCCAATTTGGGACGCTCCAGAAGTGTGGGTACAAATTTAGAGGTAACTAATTTTGATCACCTACTTCAAATCAAGTTCTGTAAAGTGACTGACGCTTATGGGCAGGGGTTCACTTGGCTAGCACAGGCAGTCCCCGAACTCGTAGTAGAACTAAAATAAGGAAAAACGGAATTAAATTATGGCCTAACCCTAACCTGGTATACACACTACTTGAATACCCAATTCGGTGCACTAAAGATCCATTTTCTCTCCTTTAATTAATATATAGCCTGCTAATGTTTGCAAACTAATCGCACAGTAAAAATCAAAATGTATAAATCTGTCCAAACTATATATATATTTACGCCGGAAATCCTGGATAATATTTTCAGACGCAGGAATTCCGTAGCCATAAACGCCAGAACAAATCAGTTACGTTATTGGTATCTCGGCATTCGTAATTTGGCATGCACCATATCGTTGACAAAGAATGCCAATTTGACCAGGATTGCTAGAGTTTGATCCTATCAGTAAGGTATATCTCATACTTTATACCAGGGTGGTCCAAACTGCGACCCGTGGGCACATGCGGCCTGTCGACACATTTCTGCGCGGCCCGCAGAACAATTTTGGCATATATATATATACTACTAAACCATTGGCAGATATTTGTATTTATTAGCAAATTAATTTTGATTTATTTTTAAACTATTCCAACTGGGAATAGACCTTTTCCTAATAGGATTGATGTTTGTTAAAATCACAGAATTTCATTGTTGTATCTATAAACGTCAAGACGGTGCCTATATGGGAATGACGTCCTGTGATCGGTAAAATGAGAATGACTTGTCTTGTGCAGATGGAACCAAGCCGATGAAATGAGCTCGCGCCAAATAACTCCTCATTTGAAGAAACCCTCTATTTTCAAGCGTTGGCCATGTGACAGCAGTAACGAACCGCAGAGCTGACTTAGCGCCGCGCGATCCAGTTTTTTTTTTTTCATCTCGTCTGAGGTCCCAACTTAGACGGACTTGGCTGTTTTTTGACCGTGGCCCTTGGCCTGCTCACGCTACAAGTAATAAATTTTTACAAATATAACAATTCATCATACAACGGGTGTAAAAAAGGGTGACCGAAGTAAACTGAGAGGAAACGTATTTCCTCACCCACTACAACGTTAAACCACAGTGTCTGGTGTGTTTTCAAGTAATATTCGTCACGAAAGAATATAATTTTGAGCGACATTACAAAACCAAACACGAGAAAATATACCGAAAATACCACGGTATTTCTCAGAAAGCAATTTTAAAATATCTAAGCTTTCTAAGGCTTTATATATCTCCCTTAAAAAACTGATTAGAACGGTAAACTCTCATTCTTGAATATATATTCAAAGTAAGTAAACTTGTTATGTTTTGATCACTTCTGGGTTTTCTCCGACTGCGGCCGCGAGACCTTCTCAAAAAATTTTGAGGCCTTTCAACCTCGCAACCTTGGACCACCCTGGGACAGTAGTTCCCATATACACTCAAAACAAGCCCCCAGAAAAGTCAGATTTTATAGGAGAAAATTCGTGTAGGAGTTTCATATATATATATATACTAATATACCTAATTTATCACACCCCAGATGAAACATTGGGGCATGAACATCAAACGCCAATTCCGACCGAATGTGGTTTTCCGTTAGGTTCTCGCCTAAACTACCCGTCGATATTTTAATTTTGCGGAACTTGATGCTGAATCCAGCGCGCCCCATTACAATATCTGACAAATATCCAAGTACTGGGAGGCGCTTGTACACAAACAAAATCGCTATATTCGTTGTATAAATATTATGAATTTCCAAATGTGAAAAAGAAAGTTGATTGCGAACATTCAAAAGCAATACTGCTCTATATATATATATAAAGATAGGTATTTCCGTATTAGAGATCAGTCGCAACTATACCAAATTCCTCAAGTTTGTAAGTATTTTTTAATATTTCTTGTTCGTCCGGGCCGTGCGTATCCTTGTCTATTACTGGCTTGCGGGGACTAGTTTGTCTTTGATCATCGGTTATGTTTGGCACAGGGCGGCACAATTTCTCAAAATCGAGTTTTTCTATAGACGCCACGAATGATTCCGGTGTCATGCCTATTTCAGCAAAAACACTCGAGTGCAGTTTGCTGCTAAAGTCTGCCGGCAGTGACCCGTAACCGAATTGCCACCTTTCCCGCCTTTCGTGACCCTTTGTTCCAGTACGACGACGGGTATGTGCATTCTGTCCATCGCGTCTGGCACGTGTTCTCGGTGGTTTGGTTCGCGATTTTTTCATATTATTTTTCTCATTGTGCAAAATTGAAATATCGGAATCTTGAGAAGAACCTGGTTGGTAGGATTTCGGTCTTCCTGGCTTTACGTATATTGGCACTTCCATGATAGTTTCGCTTCTTACGAGCCCACTTGCTTTTATAGGTTGTGGATTTATGGAGGGTTTTTGATGCAACTCAGTTTGATCTATGTTAACCGTGTTGGCATCTCTAGTAACTTGATCTAGCTTACTTTGACTTTGAGTAGCGTCATGGGGAAGAGAATGTTTTTGGCTGCTATTCCTTTTCAAGTTGCTAAAAGGTTTCTTGGTTATAAACAAATGCGCATCACTTGCACTACGTTTCTTTTTTGATCGAGGTGGTGGGATCGGCATGCTGGTAATTGCCTGGCTTTTACCTTTCTCTGGTAACGTTGCTGTGCAGCTGAGACTTCTGGTTATAGGTTTACGTAAGTTTTTAGATTTTATACTCGGGATGGATGCCGTAGCATATTTGGTTTTATGATTAGAACTTCCTCTTGTTGTTGCTTTCGTTTGATGCTTGCGGCGACGTCGTTTCTGTTCCGCCATTTTTCTACTCGAATATCTTCCACCTGTCGGTCTTCGTGACATAATGTTCTGATGATGCTGATAATCTGACGACCCTTCCATGTCTGAAACATAATCGGAGGTTATACTTGGCTTGCTTATCACTTTTGCCGTTCTCCTATAATCACTAGTATTGCTTCTTGTTCTTGATCGAAAACTATCCATCATGTTTTCATCCTGTGGAATATTCCGCCACTTTGATAGTCTCATATGTTCAACGTAGTAATAATCCGGTGGTGGACGCGTGTTAATTTCTGGCACACTCAAGTTATGTGCATTTCTTAAATTTTCTTCATCAGAGTATTTCCGATTGTTGTTATAAATTCCGTTATTCCCTTCAAATGCTTGATTTGTCCGACCCTGGTTATTCTTGCTTCTTCGAATGTCATCAAACTCGTTTGCAAAACCGGTTGGAGGAGCTTGCACTACTGGAGGAAATTTAGTTACTGGGTTATTATTCATGCCAGGCGACGAAGTGTACCCAGATTCTGTATCCCCACAACACTTATCTCTCCACCAATCAACGGATAATCTCTTTCTCAGCCTGTAATAAAACAAATATATATATATAACCACAACAAATTTGGTATTAACGTTAGTAGTAGTAAGCATATTTGCTAGGAGGTTAAGGTTGAGTTTGATAAATTCTCTTAAAAAATAAAGCAAATTTGCTCCCATTCAATCAACGATGTGTTACACTTGATGATAAATGCCTGTTTAGTGGTTACCCCTACTTAAAGTGGGGCTTTGCAAAAAATCGACTCGTAAAGTAATGCACAAATAGCGGTCCTAAATTAGTAAGACAGTCTTAACTAGGAATAGATATATATATGCCATATATCTATCCCTATTAAGACTGTCAGTGGTGAGATTCAGCCGTTCGCACCGGTTCTATAGAAACGTCTCACGGAATTTCATGAGATCAGCGAACCGCTTAGCATTACTGTAACCAGTCAATGACTTTTTGTAACAGAACCGGGTGAAAAAAATGACTGTCTGACTAAAAACTTGAATCCCACCACTGAAGACTGTATATTATATGGCATCAACCGCAATTTGGACGGTTTCAGGCTCTACAGTACATTGTAGTACGACAAGAAATGAAAAATGCTTACCATGAAAATATCCCAAATACAATAGTTGAAACGAGGCATACTGATACAATTGAACTTGTCACTGACTGCGATGAACTTCCAATGTCTGTAAAAGTTGAATAATATTTTTGGGCAAAAAACATTTGGTGACAAATTCCAACAGTTTTTCATGACAGTTGATCCCGATAAACAGGCTTCCAAAATCATACTTTTCACGAAGTTTTAACACGATACATTAATTCAAATTTTTACCTGAATTAAATTGATTATCTGTGTCTTCCAGATATCCTATACGCCAACTCCGCTAACATTTTATGTGTAGGCTATATATATTTACTGCACCATGTGGTGCAAACGTATAACATCGGCATAAAAAGATTCTATATTAAAATCTCTGCATTTTTAGTTATTAAATCATATTACTAAAGTTGTCTTAAGTTATATCCAAGTTAACTCGAAAATATCTGCTGATCATACATTTTTATTTTTTCCAAAACACGCTTAAGGGTGAAGTGAACATAACTTACTGCCGTAAAGGTATTTTTTTCTTTAAATGGATAAATAAATTGTCATTTTTACTTACCAACATTTGTCATCATATCCAATTTTCTGCGTTGATTATTGCTTAAATGTGCTATATTTTTCCACAGGTATCGTAGTATACTTGCAATTTTCTAAGCAGAATCAAGTTACCTTACGTACAAACGCAGCAATCAATGTGTTGTCATACACAATTTGAGCCTTCGTACGGACTTAACGAAAACAAAACGACCTAATACGCTGCTATTGTTGTACTTTCTTTGTCTGTTGGTAACTGAGGACGTCCCATAAAGTATCGTATGCCGCGTCAGAATTAAGACATTGTACTCGACTAATTTATTCACAATACAAGCTTTCGTGAACCCTCGTCACTATAGATCAACCTTTTGTAAATACAAAGGTTGGGACATCTGTTATGTGATATATTATTTAATGTTTCATACACAGAGTGTATTGAGCCGTTATAATCTACACTTTTAATATCGAGCGAGCTACTAAATCCAGGTGATCCCATATAATATGTCAAATATGAAGCAATGTTATTTTTCCAACTCGTCATAAGTACTTTTCAAGTATGGATTTCGTGGCGATAGAAGCACTCGCTACAGAAGCCAACTGTCCCCAAGCTTTCGTTGTAGCTGATAAGTGACGAAATCAAGTGAAGAGCTATGTAAATTGCGTTCAAGTGTCTCGATGAGGACGTGTTTGGATTATAACCCACGTAGCCATAAATATTTCTTCATTAATTTGAACGTACGTGGAGAGATTTACATACGGTGTTATTCCACCAGTACATTTCAAAATTATCCACAGTGCTGTTCGCCAAAATAAGCTCACACCCTTCTTACGAAGAAGCATTGCGACGCAATAATGAAATGAATACCTTCTGATTTGTGATTCATTGATGCTCAGCGCCATTTCATTCAAACGGGGCATCTGATAATGTTTTATATATATATACTGTGCAGAGCACGTGGCTTTTTGCTTGTACAAATTTTTAAACGACCCAAAATACTTTGCACAATCAATATTTTCAACACAATCATGTTTACCAGGGTGGAAATCTAGGTTTCAAGCATTTGTTAATTATATACTCTCATATTTATATCAAATTCAGAAAAATTTCATGTTTGCATATGTGCGCAATATGTCAGTATCAATATATATAGTATGTGAGCTATATGCTTGTTTCTGGCTTTGCTTGATATTTGGGATCACATGGCATTGTTTATACCCGACTTCCGGTTGGTTTGGTTTATAATATGTATATGTAAGTTTTGTGTAGATAACAATTCACAATGGCATGTGGATCACAAACTACACGGCACTTAAATATTGTTGCAATAGCATTTCTACGTTTTTAATAAGCAGAACGACGAGACGATGTGTTGATTTGATTAACAATTTTCTTAGTGCGAAACATTTTCAATTTTTCGTATCAATCGCTAATGTTTACTCAGACCTTCTGAATAAGGAAATTGGAATAAAATTTTGGCCTAACCCTAACCTGGTACACATTCTACGGGAGTACCGATTACTTAGCTCACACGTTATAATCCATTAAAATCTTCCATTAGCATTACTCCACTTGGACAACGGAGGCTTCGATAGTACGAGGCTTTGACTTAAACTATAATCCATTTTGTTTTAACCGTGTGATAGAAGCATCTGTTTTTCAAACTCCGGTTACTTGTTTGTCGCCTTTAGTTTTGCTTTTTAGAGTGTATACACCCAACTCACGGAACCTAAACGGCATGGCATATATATGTTACGATAGGATAGGATTTACATATTTATCCCGGGGAGAGGAAAGCCGATAAGACGGCTTAACCATATGTCGAACCACGGCCTCTCGTCCGGTTATCATTCCATGTTGGGTATGGGATTAGTTAGTTGACTCTCGTAGTATTTGTACCTGAAATTATGGCCTAATACCAACCTGGTACACATACTACGTTCCAGTGTCCGCCATCTTAGTTCACACACTTCGGGAGTACCTTATCAAATACCTACGGAGTTTGTCACTATTATTAAACCAGCAACATGTTGACGATCAGGTTTGCTCATACATATACAATTCAGACAAAAAAAGATATTTGAAGTATTGCACTGGGATTCAGCAAGTCTCTGAAATGTTTCATTGCTCCATCAAAAAGGTGTGTCATGGGGATATTAAAAATCATCTGGGCTAACACAGCTCTGTTATTATCGGACGACGTTAATAATGACGATGTGCGCTAATAACATTATTAATTAATAACAATTAACAAAAAAGCAGGCAACAAAATTATATCAGGTGATTCTCATTCAAATCGCCCGGTAGGATATGCACAAATTAACGAAATGAAGATTTATTCCGACTATTTCCCCAACAGTCTCACATGTAAACTGAGTAATAGAAAGACAGGCGAAACGTTGCGTAGAGTTTAAAACAAAACAATTATTAGTGTACGTTGCCAAGCAAAAATCGTTTTCAACATTCTTTCAGTGCTCACATTTAGAAAACGTGGAAATACCCAAACATATAAAGCACACAAAAGCTATCATAAACGCTATCCCAATGTAGCCAAAATATTTGGAATGAACAACAAATCAGTATTCCACTGAATGTTTTTTGGTGAATATTTTATAATCAGTTAAAAGAAGATTTTTCTGAGAGGAAAAATGTGCAATCCAGGCTAAATGATGTTGATTCAATACCGCCCACATGTGGCTAATGTGATGTTTCAAACATGATTGTTCAGAATTGAGGACTGTCAAAGTCATGGGTCCGCGCAAGCTGTCACCGTACAGTTGAAGACGAACGTGAATAGATGTAAAACGAACGATGCCAATTATGTTATTTTAGGAAGATGTTTCAAGAGTCTACCTACACACTAACACAATTGAATGTAAAAAAATTCTGCGACATCTTATCAAAATCAGACCTGCTCGAACAAACAGCCATCTTCACATCAGACAAGCCTTTTGGGCGGATCACAGATATGGGACAGATTGGCGAAACAGCAGGATTTTAGATAACGAAACGCATTGCAGGAAAATACTATTCCCCGAATCGTTACCGATTCATTATATAATAAGGGTTCACCAAACTTTTCTGACTGCGGGCCAGTTATGACTCAAACTGTGTTAAAACGGGCCGGACAAATATTTTTGTCAATGTAATACAACAAATTCCCAAAAGTTGGGAAATCCATTCAATTTATTCAACAATATAAATTCTACATTTCTGAAGTCTTGAATATGAAATTCTATATCGCAAAATATAGATCAAGAACATCATAACAAAACAAATATATAGAAAAGAATTTTAGACAACTATCCTGAGGTTAGCTGTTAGCAACACAATTGCTGTCATGAATATCCGCATGTAAGCAGTATAAAAGTTAGGGTGACCTATTAGCGCAAAATGCACTATTAGCGTACTATTACTAACGTACTATTAGCGCAAAATGCACGTTCGGCGTTCATTTCAGCACGAGAAACGTATACAGCAACAGACTCGCCGAAAGCACGCGCCACGCCTGCATCTTTTGCAAAAAACGTTGCGTACCGATAGAGAATTTTAGCCTAGTTTATCGCAGCTATTTCTAGACAATTCTTAATTACTGCAATTGAACTACAACTCCTAAGAAGGCAAAATGATGATTGTTTTATTTGATTCATACTTAAATTCCGGAATCACGACCAAAAACTAATGAATAGCATCCAAAGGTATTGTTTGAAACCACGACTGAAAATCTGTCAAGTGACAAAAGAGTCTGAGCGGATGCGAAAGAGTCTGATCACTCTAATGTTAGGCTACGTCACTTTTTGCATCTTGCTGATTGGCCAATTTTACGAAATGAACAAGGAAGTCGATGCTCGGGGAAACATTCCTTGGAAAAAAATTTGCCATTTTTTCGTGTTATTGCGGGCCAGACGAAAGGACGACACGGGCCGGATCTAGCCCGCGGGCCGTAGTTTGGTGATCTCTGCTGATTATATCATTCTCTCGTGTTTTTGTATCAATATGTATATTGTATATGATGAAGTTTTCTATATAGAGATTTGATAGTTGGCAAATTACATAATTTTTTACTATTATCGGTTGTGGTCTATACTCTATAGTCTATATCCTCAATATCTTCACTATTTCCTATATGTATATATACATTATTACATATATACCTTGTATATATACCTTATTTTGCCCCGGAACACCTACGCTTTTTATCTCGCCTCGTGTAACACCAAGAAATAAAAAGGTAAAATTGTGAAATGGATTTATTTTGTGCATCAATTTGCACAGCCGGCTCACAACAGCTTTCAAGGCTTCCAGGTTTAAGCCGACAAATCCATTGAAAAGGGTGGTTTCCAAATAATTTAGGTTATGATAAAATTTAAAAGTTTGCTGTAAACTTAACAAATTTAAAATTGCGCCGACCCTTGACGATATTGAACGGTTTCGTTAACCGTTAACTCCACGATTGCCAGACAGACACTAGGCATGTCCGCCTGTTTAGATAGCAAGTCTTGCCCGCATGTTTGTCGCCAGTTGGAAAACAAATTTACAACCCAGAAGCGCCGAAGCACGGCAGAAAAATTCATGCAACCAATTTAGTCGCAATTTTGATCCCTGTCCCACGGAACACTCCAAAAAAGCTCTTTGAGAAACGCTGGTCTAGTCTATCGCAGCTCATTCGGGACAAATTTTTGATTTACTGCAATTAAACTAAGGCTTCTGAGAAGACATAATGACGATTAAATGATTTGATTTACGATTTTGGAAACTGACAAATAACACGCAGAATCGCGAAAACCACCAATGTTTGCTAGTTGCAGCCATGCTTGAATATGTCTGCAGCTGCATAAATTACCGTTGGTACGTCATCGTCGACTTATTGTTGATGGGAACTTTTCGGTATTGAATCATATTCATAAATAGATTTGTCAATAGGACCAATCAGGAGGCATAGTCACGCCTTGTCAACCAAGCGAAGTCATATCCTTCGGCCGTCTCCAAGCATCTTTGCGAAATTACTGTTTTGTCGACTAAAACAATCTTTTAAAATACGTAAACGTATAGACTAAATTTTATGCGTCCTTGGGCATGTTCATTTTTATTACAAAAAACTATCAGAATCAGTGCTCGGCATTGGCCTGGCATTACGCTAATGGAGTTGGAGAAACTTCATACAACAAGCTCGTGCTGCAGTGTATATTTTAGTTATTCGCATAAAAAGCAAAAATATTGATCAAATTTTAAAAGATTAATATGCTAACATATAGTTACAGAAAAGAGAGTGCAACAAAATCACAATTTTACAGATATTTCAGCACAATGAAAAAGTTACAATTCAAAATTATTTGGCTATAAGCAGGCAAATATACATATATATCAAGTTTTGAGTTCATTTGTATTATTGAGGAATGTTGGAATATATTAAGCACAATGACACCAGCAGTAGTGATTATTCAGAATAGGATGACAATATTTTA